TGATGCTCATAACCACTAGTCTCATTCATAGGTTTCCGAACTCTTTTTCTTTTCTTATTTTCCAGACGAAATAGGCTTTGTTTAACAAATGAAAATAGGTTTCCGAGTCCTTGGACGAGACAGTCGTGTGGAAATCAGACATTTTTTTCTTATATATATATACACTGAGGAAGCTTTCGCTTAAGAAACTACAAAGGACCGCTTTGAAGGGGAAGTGAACAATCAAGCAAATCAAGCATATTGAATCTAGTATTGCTGTAGATCTTTTGGTATCCTCGGCTGCCTACTTGTTTGTTGGGCTTGTAGTACTAGTCATTGGGACTTACTGCCCGATAAGCTGTGATCGGAATATGATAGGTCTTCATACATTTGTTATTGTCAAAATATTTTAATTCAATTTGTGTTAGACTCTTGTTTCCTTCTTACTGCCCGATAAGCTGTGATCGGAATATGATAGGTCTTCATGCATTTGTTATTGTCAAAATATTTTAATTCAATTTGTGTTAGACTCTTGTTTCCTTCTTTTCTTTTTTTTTTTTTGCATATTTGCAGAGTGTCCATCGTTTTTTTTTGTGCATATTTGCAGGGTGTCCATCGTCGGCAACAATGACTAATCCCCCTCGCAGAATTGTAGGCATCTCAATGGGTGGGACATCTGGCCAAAGTATTTAAGATTGCTCTATACTCATGATGAAATTCGAATCCTCTGTCAAAGTATATAAGTAATTTGGGCTCCCATCTCAAAACCAATTGGCAATGAGTGGGGTGGCCTTTGGCACTTATAAACAAGTGACAGATCCTTCACGACACCGATATGGGATTCTTTTGTCCCAACACCCTCCCTCAAGCCCAATGGGGTATTTGACCATTGGGGTTGCACAACACAACATAATTCACCAGATATACTGCTGGGTTAGTCAACAAGCCCGTACACACGGGTACATACTCTGAATATACTGTCGGATCAGTAACAAGCCTATCCGTGTGCACGGAAGCAATTGACGCAAGTCCAAGGCACACGGATCTATACCCGCACACGCGGGTCCATAGTTATCACAGGTCCACAGATCGTGAGCTTTGATACCATGTCAAAGTATATAAGTAATTTGGACTCTCATCTCAAAACCAATTGCAATGAGTAGGGTGGCCTTTGGCACTTATAAACAGGTGACAGATCCTTCACGACACCGATGTGGAATTCTTTTGTCCCAATATCCTCGACCTATGGTTAAGGATGGAAGAGTCCCTTCCACTTCACCACATCCACTTTGATTCTTGTTTCCTTCTTTGTTTTGTATCAAACGGCTACTAACTTTTGTTGTGGACTTCTAATCTCATTGCAATCTTCACTTTTTTCAGGCCGTCGTTAATTATCTAGGCTTGTTTTCACTTTTTGTGGTCTTGTGGGCTTAGGAGTCATCAACTTCTAAAGGTAGATATAAAATTGAAATTTTATTGGGTCCAATGTTTGAAGCCCATTTATATCTCATTCAATATGGTTACCTGGGGCAGGTGCATGTGGGATGAACATGCGTCCCAAATGAGTTGTTTTATCTAGTTAGTTAACGAAAACTAGATGTTTGACCCAGTCAGATGTCCGGGCGCCCCTTCTAAATTATTATTTTATTAAAATCTAATCGAATTACTATTTTTTGAGGAATTAATTTAGCGTATATATCATTTATGCTATGGTTTGGGGCTTAAAAAAATATACCTATAAATCTGAGGTTATAAGGGAATAATAAATAATTAGTTAATAAAGTATTATTCTTAATTGCTAGATTTAGGTATTTTTATTTTTTGTTTATATTAAGCCTGCAAAACTATACGATTGGACATTTAAATTTGAATTAATATATCCATTCGTTTGAAATGTAACTGATCCTTATTTGTAGTAAAACATGTGTTTTTTTTAAAAATATAACTTCTAATTAAAAGAGACTTACACGTGGCAAAAAGACTCCTGAAATATGGTGCATTGGAGCCAAAACAGATACATACGTAGTTGCCACATAAGCTTCATATCTTCTGCTTTAATAGGGTAAGAGGGATTGTTCTTAAAAAGTGAAGGGGAAAAAAGGAGATTATTTTGTTAGGTGGAATGTAGAGTTGAATCCAATTTCTTCTAGTTTCCAAGTCCCTTCACATCCTTATGATGATGACCTAAAAGGCTAAAAGGCAAGAGCTAGTGGGAACAACAGGTCGGATCTCGATCAGAAACTAGTTCATATGGAAAATGGAAGTAGCAAAAGTGGCCATTGTCATATGCTGGAAAGCCTTCAAAGTCTCTGAAAAACGCGTAAACTATGAATTATTAAAAGGAAAATGTGACTAATCTAAATCAACATTGAGGATGTAATTGAGGTGCTAATTTTAATATTAGTTTTGCATTGTATTAAGATTTAAGGTTGTGTAGTACAAGTGTTTGTATTTGCCGTAATTGAACTTGAACATGGATATAAATAAATACGGAGTATATAATTGTAAGAGATTTGTTATACCTTTTAACACAAGTTTACCCGAATTAAGGTGAGAACTAGCTTCAATATGTTTTTTGGCCAAAATAAATTGGTACAAGATATAAGTGAATTCCCGGGCGATGAAAGCAACTAGCCAAATCGGATAAACTTTTACATTAACCCTTTTTTTTTTGGGGGTTTTGAAGTAGCTTACTGTATTTCCTATCGGTTGTTCTATTCCCTTTCATCACCGGTCCTGACGACAATGGCATCATATCCGACTTTTTTCATCAAATTCCAGCTTATCTGTAAAGTTTGATTAGTCAATAGTTCTACCAATGTCAACAGCATTTATAGAGAGGGAAAAGGTTATTTGTATCGATCGCAAATCAAGCACAAAACCTCTTAGTGAAAACCTCTACACCTGTACTTTTACCACTATAAAAATCATAAATTCACAATGACTTGTGAATTTTACTACAAAAGAGCAATGAAATCACTAACTATGTTTGTTTCATTTTTTAGTGTGTGTTTTTAAGTGTTTTTTATATTGAGAATGTAAAAAAGTGTATTGAAAATGTAAAAAGATATGATGAGATGTGACAATTATTAATTAATAACTAAGTTCTCGACTCGTGCGTGTTATGATTCCTTACATAAAAGCAAATTGTATTTAATTATATGTATAATTTTTTCTTAATATCATGAGAAAATTATTCTCTAATTTTTCTGTTGAATTTTTAATTAGAGAGAAATGATCGCAAATCAATTGTATCAGATTATACGAAATTACAAAAGTCAAAGGGTGACAGAATGACTTCACGACAAATTCATCATTCCTTTTCAAAAAATAAAATAAAATTCATCATTTCACTATGATGGTTCCCCGTGTCATTTTTTGCAAGTGAAGCTTAGAAGAAAGTCATAGTATCCCGTACATAGAACAATGATTCTTCAATTCAAGTGGCTAAAGTACAATACGTATATGCATAACACTGTAATTTTAGTTTTTTTTTTATACTTTTCTCAACAAATCATAAAGTAAGCTGTGTACAACGTTAACTGGGATCACCACCTAATTTACTAAACCAAATCAATCAAAAGTTCTTATCTCTTAGCATCACCAAGGAACACAAAAAAAAAATATTCAAAAAAAAAAATTAAAAAAAATTATATCCCGCATTTTTGTATAAAACTAACCAAAAATGATTACATGCTTTTTCTCTCAAACGAGTGCTCATTACTGATTGCATAAAAATAGCATAAAACCTTTTTATTATAGTATCTTAGCCCGGATACATCCTATGAGAAAAGAAATACCTGGCAAATGACTTGTGCTTTTAATTTGTGCTTGACAATTTTCAATCTGTAATCTGCGCTTTATTAAAAGAACAAACTCCCTTCGCTTACAAATATACAATTAAGTAAATCAACTGAATAGTTTCAATTGCTAACCTGAACACAAATGGTTTCAAGATGATCGGTAGTTTTGTTGTGAAGGTATTTAATCAATAGCCCCACTATTGATTTGATACAAATAGTTCCCTTCGCTAACCTGAACACAAATGGTTTCAAGATGATCGGTAGTTTTGTTGTGAACACAAATGATTCCACCTTTACATCTATTCGTTCAAGGAAACTGATACAAATAAATACATAAGAGATCCACTCATAAAAGTTGTCATCCAAAAAATACATCATTGGAGATTTTGATCTAATTAATACAAATTATTTTAGAGTTTTTTTATGCCGCCGCTTTAGTCCAGCTGTGGTGGAATTCCAGCATGGCTTCTAGGGACTGCCTTCTTTAAGATTTTCTTCTTCTTTCTTGTTATTTTTCTCCTATTTCTGAATTCTTCTTTATTAACTTTAATTAAACCCTAGTAGTACGCCTTAAATTCCATAAGAAATTTGAATAAAAGAGAATTTTGGAAAAAAAATTGGTTAAAAGGAATTGATTGAGAATTGTGGAGATCTTGTAATTTGTTCCACAGTTTATTTGAGGATATAAATGATCATGCTTCGGTTGAAACTTGAAAGAGTAACTGTTGAAATCATGGATCAATTTTGAGGGTAAATACAGTTATAATTTTTTTTTTGTTTACTTTTTTTGATGAAATAAAAAGGGAATGGTGTTTTTGGGGGTTTGATATGGATACTTTTAAGGATAGTTTGACACTTGAATTTTTAGGCAAAAATTAGTTTTTGCTATTATGGAGTGTATAGAATAAATAGATAGATTCTCGAAAGACTAAAAAAAAAAAAAAGGAAAACAATGCATTCAACTTGTTTTACGGTAGAAATCTTCCGATAGTAAACAAAGCCTTGATAATTTTTCGATAGTAAAAAAAAAAAAAAGGAATTTCCTAGGACTGAGTCAACTTGTTTTACGGTAGAAATCTTACTCATAATTAGCAATGATTCAACCAATCAACAGTCGCCGGCTTTTGTCTGTTGGCTACAAGCCACACACGTCGTCGGTTGTACGTTCTAATCATACAAATAAATGGACCATGATTATGCAACTGCCTTAGTTGGCCCTCTTCGTCCTGCTCCAAATTTTCTAGTAGTACTTTTTTCCCGTAGAACTAATTTACTTATAGAACTTGAAAAAAAAAACAGTTATCAATTTAGTAATGGCTTCAAATATGCTATCCACTTTCCTCCTCCTCCTTCCCTTGATTGCTTCAACTTCGCAGACCATCTTTGTATCAGCAGATCCTACCTATGACAGTTTTGCAAATTGTTTAGCAGAAAATGGAATCCCAAGAGACCAAATTTCCCGGATACTTTACAGTCCCACAAGTTCTTCATTCAGCTCTGTTTTAAATGCGTATGTTCGAAATCTAAGATTTAACACGACAAGCACTAAAAAACCGTCCATAATTGTCACCCCTTTGCAGCTTCAAGGAGTCCAAGCAGCCGTTTTATGCACAAAACAATCAAACCTGCAGTTGAAAATCCGAAGCGGAGGGCATGATTATGAAGGTATTTCGTACGTTTCAGAAAACAATTTTGTGATTCTCGACATGTTCAATATTAGAAACATTACAGTTGACATTTCTACTAAGACCGCTTGGGTTCAAACCGGGGCGACACTTGGGGAACTCTATTACAGAATCTGGAAACAGAGTAATGTTTATGGCTTCCCCGCCGGTGTTTGCCCGACGGTAGGTGTCGGTGGGCACATCAGCGGCGGCGGTTATGGTCCGTTGTTGCGTAAATTCGGGCTCACGGTTGACAACGTTGTCGATGCACAGATTATTGATGTTAATGGAAATGTTTTGGATAGGAAAGGAATGGGTGAAGATCTGTTTTGGGCTATTAGAGGCGGTGGTGGAGCAAGTTTTGGAGTTGTTTTGTCTTACAAGATTAATTTAGTACCAGTTCCTCCAATTGTTACTGTTTTTAATGTTCAAAGAACTCAGGCTCAGAATGCAACCGATATTCTTGTTCAGTGGCAAAATGTTGCCAGCAAATACGATGACAATCTGTTCATAAGAGTCCTTGTTCAACCTGTTACTATCAATAAGAGCAGAGGAATTAGATTGACATTCATTGCATTGTACTTGGGAGATTCCAATAGCCTTCTTTCTGTCATAAATTCAAAACTTCCAAAGTTGGGATTGAAGAAAAGTGACTGTATTGAAACGAGTTGGATCAGATCGATGCTGTTTTGGATGAATTTCGACATCAAAACTGCACCAGAAGCTCTGCTTAGCAGAACCCCTGATTCAGTGAACTTCTTGAAGAGGAAATCTGATTATGTCCAGACCCCAATTCCAAAAACTGCATTAACATCGATTTTTGCCAAGATGGTTCAGCTTGGAAAAGTGGGATTTGTGTTCAATCCTTATGGTGGAAGAATGGGACAAATTGCTGAGACTGAAACGCCGTTTCCTCATCGGGCAGGGATCATTTACAAGATTCAGTATTCGGTTAACTGGCAAGATGCATCTCCAGATTTAGCACAGCAATATCTTGCACAAGCAAAGGAGCTTTACAGCTTCATGACACCATACGTGTCGAGCAATCCGAGGCAGGCTTTTCTGAATTACAGAGATCTGGATATTGGGTCAACCACAAATGGGAAGGATAATTACAATGAAGGAAGAGTATACGGGCTCAAGTATTTCAAGGGCAATTTTGATAGGTTAGTGAGAGTCAAGACTGCGGTTGATCCTGGGAATTTCTTCAAGAATGAACAGAGCATTCCACCACTTTCTCATTAATCCATCCCGTATAAAATTAATCAACAAGTGTAATACACACTAATATGCTCAATCTCTCTTTTCATACAACACAAGCACATTTCATTAATATAGAAAGCTTATCGATACAAATATACGGCACGATTATCTTTCTCTTTTTTATCACGGAGTAGTAATAACAAATATCACGGAGTACTTCGAAATAAGGGAGTCGCAGGGATTTCAAATCCAATTTCGGTCGTGCAGAAGAGGACGTTGTTAGCTTTAGTCGACTTAAAAAAACTGACATGTTTAATCCAAAATCCATCATTATTTTAAAAAAATTCTGTTTGATAGTACAGTACTATAATTTTTTATTAATTATAAATTCAATATTTATATAAAACTCATAAAAATATTTATTTTTTTAAGAGAAAATAACATCGTCAATGTAGTTGTCGACTTAAGAAACACCAGGATCAAGTTGACGAAGTACAAAATATGATGTATGTAAGCAGGGACGGAGCTAGGCCCCAAAGAAATGATGGGGCAAAATTTTTAATACTACTAATTTAATATGTTTACCCCCTAATATTATTAATTTAGGTGGGGCAAAATCTAATTTTCTTAAGAAAATACCTCAAATTTTAAGGGATAATAACTAAAAAAAAAAAAATCAGCTGGGGCAATTGCCCCACTAATCATATATGTGTCTCCGCCCCTATATGTAAGATCTATGTGGACTTTATACACAAATATATATAATTGTATATTATAAACTATCTTAAAGTACCGGCCCAATTAAAGTGATCTAATTAAGTATACTTAAGTTTGGGCTTATGATAATAAATTAGAGTGTGGACCAGTATTGTGTAGAAACCCTAAAGCCCAGTTTCCTGTTCTGTGATGGGTGGAACCGGAAACCCTATTATATATTGGTTGTGGTCCCCGAATGAGCCGTTATGCCAAATCTCGACTCCCCATTTGTCAGAGGTTCCCGCAAGGGCTTGACGGAATCATCTGGAAGGCCAAACCGGATTGATGTTCTTGCCACTTCAGATTAAGGTACGCTTCCGCTTTCGTATAGTTCTCAATAATTTGATATAAAGGTCTCTACCGTATTTGGATTATTCCAACAAGTGGTATCAGAGCTACCTTCATGTCAATTATTGGAAAATCCGGTTAATTTTGTTATAACAATTATTTCGGTGATGTAACAATCCAATCTGTCGTTTTTTGGTTTCGATGATTTTATTATCACTTTTGCTACGGCACAAAAAGAATTGGGTTTTACGTTATTCAGATCTATGATTTATTGTTTGTGTGCTCTGTTTGCTTTTTGGTTTCGGTGGCCATATTTGCTTCGGTTTTATTAAAGTCAATCAGGCTTGCCGTACTTGATCTTGGGTTTATTTGTTTGATTAATAAATTAATAAATTTGGATTCTCAAGCAGTGGTGATTGTTCTATATTTGTTTAAATTTTTTAATGAACCACTTATGTATCTAAAACAATTTAGTACGTTAAGGATTTGTTTTGCTTTTAGCCTTGGAATTGAAATCAATTTTGATCGATTAATATGTTGATTGTGGATTAAAGCAGACGAATGTTTGTCATTGTTCAACTTATTAATTTCAGTTTTATGGTTTTGATTTTCAACTTCGGTCATTCGGTTTCGTCAATGATCAATTTATTATGCTTAATAATTCTAGCTTCAGTGATCAATTTTGTGTCTTTTCGGTGGCCGAAAGATTTAATTGATTCAGCATATTGGTTTTTGGTTTTGTAGCTATGCATCCCTAATGGTTTAATTACATTAATATAGACCGTGGGTTTTGTAGTTTTAGTTTCCATATGATTTGGTTGATTAAAGAATCAATTTTGATGCAAAACTTAAAACCCTCTATTTTGGGTATAAGGTCATTTAGTTACAGTATCAAAATGGATTGTTTAGGTTAAAAATTGGCAATTTAATCAAACTTGATTGCATCAGTTGAACGTTTTATGCATTCAAGCTTTAAAGCATTCATGTTTTCGGTCCCAATTTGGTAATGTAATTTGGTTCCTGTCGATTTTTAAATTAAAGTTTTGGATTCAGTATTTCGTTTGGTGTTATGAATTAAGTTTTCTTTTGGTTGACAAATAGCTGCCGAGTGCATTTGTAATGCTTCTGCTTATCAAGATGCTAGGAGACTATTGGTTCGGTCAACCATTAATTTGGTAAAGGAAATAAAAGAAAATTTTTGTTTCCAGTTTTGTCCAAAATTTCAAGCTTCAGTTTTGTTCTATTAGATTTTGCAACGAATTTCTTACTGATCACAAACAAGTCTTTTTTGGACTAAAGTTATTTGATAAATAATTACTAATTTTGGACTCATTCAGTTTGTAGCATATGTGATATTATTTGGTTTTAATATGCATACACGAGTTATGATTCGATCAAATTTAGCATATACCATTTAATGTGATTTAAAATCAAATTTGGCATATATATAAAATCTATCTTCAGACATCTTATATTATTTAAATTGATTGATTGATATAATATGTCGCCAAAGTGACCTCTTTTGTATCAATTGATTACTTTAAAATACTAAGATGACAGTTGCGTGTGTTTTGATTTCATGCGGGTAATGATCAGCCCAAAGGAAGTTCACTATTTGGCCAAAAAAAAATATACTTGTGGTAATAAATATGTGATAATTATTATGATTTTTCCATGTGAATAATAAGTCGGTCCAAAGAAAAGCTTATTATTTGACAGGAATGAATTGTCAATGTTTGATTACTACACCAAGTGTGCCACTTGCAAATTGATGTTTTTGTCTAAAGACTAAACTCAATGTTGCACTAGGTATCTTGTAAAATGGGAATGCCAATTTGAATTTATTAATCATGTTATATTAGATTTTAAATGTGAGTTTGTGTTTGATAATTTTTAAACACAGTTGGTTCCGCTATTTTGCTAAATCTATTTCAATTAACTCCGTTAAGAGTTTCAATAACTAAAAGGAAACTTTAAGGAAAATTAAGGAGCAATATATTAAAAATAATGCAAACTTATTCCTATTATAAAGTATTTTGTCAAAAACAATAAGGTGGAGATGAGTATTCTTTTTGGATAACTTGTTTCTACAAGGTGTAAGAAAAATGGGTACATAAGAAAATGTATTATTTAAAAGTATCATATTAAATTAAGATTTAAGGTACTAAAGTTATAGTTGATCTCTCTTATACACAATGAGATTCGGTTAATAACAGTTTGTAAAAAGGACTCTTAATGAGTTCATTTCATATTGTGTACAAGAAGGGAGATTAAAATAAGAGATGAATATACATTTGGAAAATAAAGAAGAATCAATAAGTGCTCAATTAAGTTTAAATCATTTAGAAAATAAAGAATTAGGAAAAGAAGGATAATTAAGTTACGGTATCACAAAAGAAACAAATTTAGGAATTAAATTTGGTTGCTAATTTTGTGATAATACTTCTCTGTTTGACTTTAAGAATGTTTATTTTAAGGTTTTTTTGATTTTGGTACCTATACGGACTTGGTGGGTAGATTCGGCATTAGTGCTTACATAAGTGTATTTATGCAAGGTCATTTGAATCACCAAAAGCCAATTGATGTTGAAAGATACATCTATATGAAGTATTGGTGAGACAATTACGGTTGAGGTAATAAAGTTTTAGGTTATCATTAAAGACTGTATTTTATTTGGACTTCAGAGAGATTTTTATTGTTCCATCTTTTAGGTGGAACTCAATTTATGTTTCCACATTGAACAAAATCCGGTTATTTTTTGTTCTTTTGGTAACATAATGCTAGTGTCTTTCAAGAATTCAAAGAAGGTTAATTCAGTTCTTAATTAGGTTATGGTAATCTTAATTCTGATTTTATGGTTTTCCTCAAATTCGTACAAATTAAATTAATGGTACTACAATCAAATTAAGTGAGGAGAATTCCACATCAATTTGGTACACCCGTTTAGGGCACTTTGCTTTAAACAAGGAATTAAGTCATATGGAATTCTCAATTCACTTGACTTATCAGATTTCAAAAACTGAATTAAGTGCAATAAGTAAAAACAAACAAACAAACAAAGTAAGATTAGGTGGCATAAGGTTTTCAGATGTTGTTAGAACTAACACATACGGATATGTAAACCATTCTTTACGGTTTTCTTTTAGAATGGTCAAGTATATTATATTATGTTCACAAACAACTTTCCAGGGCTACTTTTTTGCCATTACTGAGAAGTACTGCAGACTAGACTTGTTCAAAGTTTCAAGACTGAATAAATTTTACAAACGAATTAAGTATTCGGTGAACTATGTCTAGGGTCATTGGTCTAATTTATCATTGAATATGGTATCGTCATATAGTAACACTATGTCGAAAAGTACTAATAGTGTTATTATAAGACAAATTCGGAAACTAAAGAATCGACTAACTAATATGACAAGTTCTACCACTTAGTTAAACCCACTAAGAGAAAAAGAGATAAAAGACTGCAACTTAATGATATGACAGTGTCCCAACTAAAGCAACAATCCTTGTGGATTATGGACATGCAAATAAGCTAGATAAATGCATTTTTCATATTTTGAGTTATCCGCTTAAAGCAAGGCCACATAGGTCTACAAAAACGAAACTCGATTTGGTTTGTTTTTTGTTGGATACACTAAAACATAATAAGTTCTAAGATCCAAAACTAATCCTTCTTTTAGATGGGAAATATCTAGTTTCTTGAGAATATTGAGTTTGGAGGGGAAGATAAGGTTAATAACATTGTCTTTAAAGGGAATATTTTTCTATTCATATAGTAATTTAAGATAATGTTAAAACTTTCCCTCATCAAGACAATTGTAAAGGACAAACTCAACAATCTCAAGTATGGATGCCATTAAGGGAATCCAAGAGAGAGAGAAGAAATACAGTGACGATTAATATCATAAAATAAATAAATACAGTAATTGATAAAAATAACGTTTAGGTTCTTTTCTCATTACCCAAAGGTGATGTAAAAAGATATTGGAGTTATTTTCCTGTTAATAACTCAAGTACTTTTAAGTTTTCATCTCATTTGGTTTTGAGGTGAATATTATGATGATTATACACATCACAATTTTAGTAGGAGTTTAAGACAGAGACTTAGTAATAAATAAATAAAAAATTCAGATTTAGATTTTAGTAGCAGCTACAAGGTTACACGGAATCATTAAGACATTAAAGATTACACGCTCACATATCGAAGTTCGATCAAGTTAGAGATCATTCAGTATCTCGACTTCGATTCAGTTTAGTTGTTGATATTGTCACAAGGCTGCAAATACAGTATGGTCTTAAAAGACTACTTAAGTTGTAATGTGACAATAATGTAACAATTCAGATACTCTAATAACAATGAACATTAAGTTCTTAATTGTTAGATTTAAGTTTAGAATGAACAAATTTTTAAGGAGAACATTCGGACAAACTCCAATATCACAGATTACTTCAGATAAGGTATTGCTTAAATGAGTGTTGTGTAATCTGATGATATGACGGTTTAGTGGGAGTTTGTAATTTTGGTTTTACTAAAGGTTCATACATTTATGAACACTCAGATACTAATTAATACTGCAGTACAAAGTCTAAAGTCTCAAGTAAAGTTTAAGGTATAATATTAAGTTTTTTCAGTGTGCTTACATTCTGAAACTTTGGTTGATCTCGCTGAAGTATAAAGAGGACCAGTTGGAAATAGGCATGTTAAAGATAACATTACATGAAATTTCCATGCTACACATCCACACTTGATCCATGTCATTTAGTTATATTAATGTATGTGACCACTAATGGGTTTAGTTGTCATTCGTGCAACGACTGCCCTTTTGATCCTATGCTTATATAATTAATGGACGGGATTGTTTAAGTCACTTTATGATAGCAAATTCTGCGCGCTCTTAAGTTTTCGGTATAATATACAATTATAAGGTGTATATATATGGTGTATAATCCAAGTGGGAGATTGTAAGATCTATGTGGACTTTATACACAAATATATATAATTGTATATTATAAACTATCTTAAAGTACCGGTCTAATTAAAGTGATCTAATTAAGTATACTTAAGTTTGGGCTTATGATAATAAATTAGAGTGTGGCCCAATATTGTATAGAAACCCTAAAGCCCAGTTTCTTGTTCTGTGATGGGTGGAACCGGAAACCCTATTATATATTGGTTGTGATCCCCGAATGAGCGTCATGCCAAATCTCGACTCCCCATTTGTCAGAGGTTCCCGCAAGGGTTTGACGGAATCATCTGGAAGGCCAAACCGGATTGATGTTTCTTGCCACTTCAGATTAAGGTACGCTTCCGCTTTCGTATAGTTCTCAATAATTTGATGTGAAGGTCTCTATAGGATTTGGATTATTCCAACAATGTAGTCTTGCATTTAAAAAAAAAAAAAAACTCACAAAAATAGCTGTTTTTTTAAGAGAACATATCCTCATCGATATGATCGTCGACCTGAGAAACTCGCCGACCAACTCCACGAAGTCCAGAATAAAACAATTTCTTTCATTTTTTTACTTTTTAAAAATGCTTTTATTTTGGATAAAGTAACTAATGTATGATAACTAATCTAAAATTCACAAAATACTAACTATTTGTATAACATGGTTGTGTCGATCGAATTGTTATTTTCCTCAATAACAATGACGAGACGGTTCACAAATAAAATCAACAAAAACCAAAACCTATGATCTCTTATAATTTTCATAATTTTTTGATTGTATTATAAGTTTTAATTAATGAAAATTATAAGAGATCATTGAAAAATTTATAACACCATTGAAAAATTATGAAAATTACGCGGGTGTATGCGTGCAAAACTAATGTAATCTAGGATCTCTTATAATTTTCATAATTTTTCAATGGTGTTATAAATTCAAATTAATTAAGATTTCAGTATTTATGTAAAACTCACAAAGATATTTGTTTTCTAAGAGCAAATAATTTCGTCGACAAATTCGTCGACCTAAAAAAGTCGATGATTAAGTCGACAGAATACAAAATATTATGTTTTTTTTAATTTTCAATGTTCTTTTATACTTTTATCGTGTGGGGAAAGTGATTGATGTATAAGAATCAATGTAAAATTCAAAAATACTAAATATTTTTAGTTTTTTTTTTTTTGTGTCCACTCGTTCTCTCCTCAATAACAATTAAGAGACGGTTCAATAAAGATATATTATGTTCGCAAATGAGATTGAAAGAGATATCTACGAGATAATGGTTCGACAAACTTCAATGCGACGAAATTTAGGAAGGCTGGTGCAAAATTAAACTACAGTCCTCCAGTAGAGCACGAGGAGAAACACAAATGTTGGAGTTCTTGGTACTTATCTTATGTAGGTAGATTTCAATTAACAAAAAAATATTATACTTTCAATGCATGTTTACTGGGCTTCTACTTTTATCTTGCCCCAAAGTGTGTTAACTCAGGTAACTGGAATCTGTAAAGCTTTCTTATGGGGTGTTAGACAGTCATGTAGATTAATACATTTAGTTGCTTGGAATGTAGTTCGTAAAAGCAAAAAAAAAAAAAAACAAAACAAAACAAAAGGGATTAGGGCTTAAAGATATCAAAGCATGGAATAGGCCTGCAATCTTGAAGTAGGTTTGGAATTTTGCCAAGAAATGTTATAATTATGTAGGTGAAGTACATCCATGAAATTTACCTTAAAAACAAAATCATATGTGAAGTAGAAGCCAAACTAGATTCCTGCTGGCACTGGAAACAGATTTTAAAGGTCAAAGATAAGGGACAAGATGGATTTGATGACATCATGTGGAAATTGAGGTCTTGTGGTACTTATAGCATTGCCATGTGATACAAATGGTTAATTGGGGATTCAACTAAGTCTCAGGATTTGGTCAATCCATCGAAAAAAGGATTTGGTCAAGACTTAATGTGCACAAGTACTCTTTTATTGCTTGGTTAGTATAGGAAAGATGACACTTTTAACGAAGGATCGACTGACATAAATGTTCAACACAGGGGTAAGTTCCCTGCGTGCATTATGCCAATCGAACCTTGAGAGTCACCATCACCTATTTTTTGAATGTGGAATAGCAGCTGGAGTCTTCTTTAAAGTCCAGAGATGGTTAGGAATCACCAATACGGAGGGGAACTAAGTTATCGAACCTCTGTTTCAGCTAATTGGAATTGTGGGAAAGTAGAGGTTAGATTAGTATGGAGGAGAACTAGGTTGAAGTACAGGATATGGTGTGCATCTTTTGTCGCTATACTATATCACATATGGGAGAAAAAGAACTCTTGAATTTTATACGGGAAGAGTAGAAATAATGAGCAAATTGTTGATAGCGTCCAGAAGGAAATCCAGTGCAGGATTTATGGTTGCTGTGATAGAAAACGTTCTAGGAGTGAAAAACTTTACAATCTTTGTTCCCTGATTTTAGAGAGACTGTATATCTACTAGTAGAACAAATAACTTTCCGTAGTAAATACGGATTTACTGTTTACATATTAAAAACAATTTACACTCTCCCACCAAAAAAACGATTAAAGCATGATCCAACTTATAACTTTTGCATTAGTATTGGTTATGGCACTGCAAATTTCAACCTAACTCGAATTTGAATGAGTTAAAACAGTAATTTAGATCTGATAAAAAAAACTTTGCATAATTTTCAAATGTTGAAAATCTCTATTTAAGTAAGCTTTCTCCTACTGACAAGTAACAAAAACGAATCCACCAAAAAAATAAATTGAATAACCCAAAAAAATAAATTTGAAAATGCTACTGGTTTTGATGGGAGTACTTTTTCAACAGCTGTAACTTGTAAGCCTGTAAAACAGTATACAAGATGGGAAATGGGGGGCCTAAGTCATCAGGTCAGGTGTTGATGTTTTTACTCCCTGGACTGGACTGGACTGGACTGACTGGACTCCTGGTGAGCAGATGTACGTATTGGTCAACAGCACCAGTGGGGACAGCTAAATTCACTTTTACTGCTTCTCTCTCCTCACATTTGTTCACCGGTAACAATATACAGTACCTGTCACAGCACACGGGTCCCACCTCCACAGGTCTCCCCATCCCAAAGTCAACCCTGTTCAGCCCCAGCCTTGACCACTGCGACAGAATCAACACCCCAACCGAGTCCGGGACGGCCCGGTTCTTCCAGCTCACCGATTCCACCACCTCTCTCACGTACCCTTCGTCCACCCTTTCTTTAGCCCGTTTCACCATCTCCGTCGCGTGGCCCAGCCCGTTTTCCGTCAACTCCTTCACGCTCGTTTCCGCACATCCCAGCACAAATGCGTTCCCGTAGTAACCGTTGGGCAGATTGGGCTTAACTCGGTTGCGAATGTTAATGCTGAACAGCAGCTTTACTATCTGCTTGGACGGTAAGTTCAATGCTTTAGCCCAACTCCTCCATATGTGTGCCGAAAGCACTTCGAATGACGTGCATGTTGTTGACGATGATGACGTGGAAACGGCTGACCGTTTCAACTCGTTCAAGCATTTTCTGTCGAACGTGATTGATGTCGGAACCAGTCGTTCTTCACGGAACCGGTTAAGGAAGCCGCATGTGTCGGGGACTTTCTTGAACTCCGGGTGATGATGACCGGCCGGATATGGCGGCGGCTGTCTGAATGGAGTTGGTGGGTCCATGAGATGGCGAGACCAAATTACCGGTGTAGTTGGCTTTAAGGATATTCTCTTTGAGTAGTTTCCGCTGGCTAACTCGGCGAAGGAGTTGAGAAACTCGCCGCTGCCGATGCCGTCGCAGAGGCAATGACTGAATCCGACGCCTAAGGTGGCGCCGCCGTCTTCTAGCCAGGTGAGCTGAACAACCAGCGGCGGTGCTCCCATCAGCACGTCCTCCACGTGTAACGATAAGAGCTTCCTCCACTCCGTACTGTATTTGGGAGCTCTCTCAAATTCAGGCACCGTACAGTCGGAATTCGCTTCTATGAAAACGGCACCTTGGCCACGACAAACCACCTCGAGACCCGACCCGTCGGCCCGAGCCCGGACTCTTCCGGCGAGGGGATAGTAAGGAACTAGAGACTTAGCTAAGGCGGATTTGAGTCGGGCCAGGGTGTTGGATTTGTCTAAGCCGGCAGGGTGGGGGTTGTAGACTAGCAAATATTCGACGGTGAAGCGGAGGAAGAGTTGGGAGTCTAAGGCGGAGAGGCGGAGGACTTGGGTTGGGGTTGGCTCCGACGGTTTGACCAGAATGGCTTCTTTTACCCGAACGGAGTTGGACGACATGGCGGCGTTGGAGGAGTTTTTGTCTTTTGAGAGTACTTTACACTCGCACTCTCTGCAACGTTGAAGAAGCGGAAATGTATTATATATAATGGGGTCGCTCGTTTAATTTGTGTTGTACTTTAGAGCTAATTCGTTGGTAAACATTTTCAAGGGCCACAAATGACGCCTGCAGTTCTTTTACAATTCAAATCAATATTAATTATTTCTTACACTTTTATTCTACATGCAACCTGTATTTCACAAGCCCATATTTGTCATAGAAATGTATAAATAACGGGGAAAAAATCGCGCCACATATATCGAGGGACCTTTTTTTTTTTTTTTTCTTCCTTGAAACAGATCGAGGAAACTCTAGTTTTAGAGGAATTTATAACAAATAGTTCCAATCATGTCAGTCTCCACAGAGATTTTAATTTCTCAATCCTAATCTAGGTAGCAGTATTCTAGAATTTTCTCTATCCAGTATGGAATTAAGGTTTTCGTGGAAGCAAATTTTGTAGCTCAATCCCATTCTTCATTAGTTCTTCGTATCCATATGATGTGAAAGTTTTAGATAAATTCCCTCTACATTAAGCTTTATTAATTATTACGCCATGATATTATTGGGATTGTGTGCATTCCAAAAAAAACTTTAACATTGAACATGTTTAAAAGAATGTTGTTGTCATCTCATCATACCTCAATTATGGACTTTTAAGGAGCAGAACAAAATGAAGTCCCTTCCAATTATGAGCACCGTTAATAGGGAGTTAATTACTTTTAGTTGTAAATATTTGGTACTCAACACAGTATGTGAACCAATGAATTAAGCATAAGGTTGAATATGTGTAGGGTATATTCTAATTCCTTCTATCACTCGCTCGCGCGCGCACACACACACACATTCTCTCTCTCACTCTCTCTCTCTCTCCACAGTGAAAGATTTGAGAGAGATTCGCCGGGCATCACTTTTGGGGGAAAAAAATTTTGAAATAAGAAAAGAGATAAGAACAGCTTGGCCTAGGTAGCTTTCTGTCTGCTCTTGGGAGTGAAAGACATATCTTTGGCTTTTGTCTATGGTATATGCTTTGGGCTTTTATTGGCAATACAAAAATGGTGAATTTTACCTATCAGTTTGATGGATGTAGTATGGTGATCCCTTTGTCCACCCTTTGTCCCAACACATCATTCTTTTGATCATGATCTCATCTATGTGCGGACATATGTCAAGCTTAGACCATATATTCACTACTTTACTTCCCTATTCACTCACATTCTTCCTAACGATTCTTACCTACTTGTGAATCATTCATTTTATAGGCTAGCTATCCTTAGTGATAAGTGATATCTACACATAAAGTTTAAAATCGTAACCTTTAATCAGAAAATTAAACATAATGTGTTTACAGCCTAGTCGTACAATTAAGGTTGTAAGTGAAAAGTAATTAAAGTTCAATCCTCTTTCGGGTAGGGATGGGATAAATGTTCGTGGTCATTAGTGCAAACTATTTTTATTCTTTTGTTTTGAAAAAAGAAGATGTATAGCCGGAAACTCTTTTTATATTTTTGTTGCCTTAGCTTTTGTCCGTGATGGTGGGTACCAACGTATGTAACATATATAGTACCCTAACCTAACACTTCCATTCGACGAATATCTCCATTAATTGGCTCAATGAAGAAGTGCTCCTATAAGAGAGCACGAGTATTTAAATGTACAAGGATTAGAGACCATTGGTTTTACAACAAAGAAATAGCTCCGCAATGATCTGATTTGGATACTTTTATTAAGAATCTATTTGGTTGGATTGAATCGGACGGCCTCAATTCCAATTCTTGTATTTGGCTGACAAAAATAAGAGTTCCGGAATTAGAATTATAATTCAAGATGAGGTTCAATTTTTTATTTTCAATTCTTTTATGGGAGCAAATAATTACAATTCGAACTCTAGGAACTTAAGGAAAAACGCAGGTCATATGCGAGTCGTTTTCCGGGTTATAACAAAACAGGTCCTTTTAAGTTTAAAGACTTGAATTTATTTTTTTTTCAGCGCTGCAGATGCGCTTCCTTTTTCTTTTTCATTTTTTGCCCCCTTTCTTTTAGCGTTGAATTTTTTATTTTTATTTTTTTTATTTTTTGTTAAATTAACATATGTTTTTATTTATTGTGCAAAAGAGGTGTACATTATATTGATATTATTACTGAGATCTATACATTAAAATTAGTATTGTACTCGTATTGTTTTGACAAAAACTATCAAATGTATAATCATATCAGTAATTTATTTGCAAAATGAAAGGTATTAATTATGGGTTAACAATTTTTTTTATCAAATGTATAAATAATTTTTGAACTGTACTTGAAATTCTTTTACTAAAAATTATGTAAGTTTTCAAGAAGTCGAACTATATATTATTCCATATGTAATTATATACTAAAAATAAAAATAATTAATTAGCACATGGTATTAATGTTAATCTATACATAAATGAATGGTCTTTACTTTCAACTATATAAAAATGTTCCACTAAAACCCAAAAGAAAAACTAAAGATTAAAAATTTATAAAATAATAAAAAGGAGAGGAACAAGGATGTTCTACAAGTTACTTGTGAGAATTCTAATCATCACATTAATATTTCTTACGTAATAATAATAAAAAAAGTTTTCCACAGGTATGTATGTATCTATAAATATAAAATTGATATATATTACTCAGACAACAAAAGTTCTAATATAAATGTACATAATAATTTTTTTTTTTTTTTATCTTATACATGTAAGTAATAAATTGCTTTGATTTATAAAATTAAGTATTTCTTTTATTCAATGAAATAAAGTACTAAATTATAGTTAGATAATAAAAAACTAATTCTAATTCTAGATTTTATAAATTTATAAGGATCCAAACACAAGAATTGGTATTAGAACCTTAATTATAGTCAATTCTTGAGATTTCCCAAACGAAAGAATTAAGATTGCATTGCAATATTAATATCTAATTTTCAATTCAATAATATTGTAATTCTAATTTAATTACAATTCAATCTAACCAAACAGAAACTAAGCAATAATCCTCCGTCTGGCATGGAGTTTGGACTTTTGGTTGCCAAGGGAGAAAACTTTACATTTTCGTGCAAGCATTGACACTCATTTGTATTAATGATTTAATTAATGTCAAATCGAGTGTAATATAAAAGTGTCACAAAATATCTTATCTCACAAATATTATTTGAAATAAATAATTAAACATATGTCAATTATTTAAAGAGTGTCACACCGAATTAATATTAAAGTGTCACAAATATCTTTTACTCATATTTTAGATACTTTAGTTAAAACACTCTGTTTTTATTTTATTTTATTTTTTATTAAAAAATTACATCCACAAAACTCCCATGGTTCTTCCCGAAATATATCGGAGGGTGGATGATGCTTGATCCGAGGAATCACGTTTCATCGGCATCCGTTACTTACATGCATGCAAGTTACCTTTGAGAAGAGGATGTGATATCATCCTAGCTACTAACTACGTACTACGTAGATGAAGGTACCTTTTCAAAAAAAAAAAAAAACTAGTAAGTAGATGAAAGATGCACCGGGAATAGTATTTTGATTTTGACCATATATGACGCAATTGAACTCCGTCAGTGAAATCAAAGGGACCAAAATGGTTACGGGTTTTAAAATTAAAGGACCAACTGGTAATTCCTCACGTGAATAAAGTTCTCCATGTTACAGCAGTCTTCCAGATAAGGGTGAGCTAGCGGGTTCGTCGGAATATCTAATCAATTGACACATTATAAAATCTCCAACTTGCCAAATACACTACTTTGATTTGACTTTGGCCAATTCTTTTTACTTTTTAGGGGTCATCAACCGCAAGTCTTGTTACCTTTCTGAGTAAAAATTGATATGGACACGATCATTCACATTCAAGACGACCCTCGAGGACAAAAGCGGATTCTCTCTTTCTTTTCTTGAGAGATTTTGTGAAGAAAATTTTGTATCAAAATCGAGACGCTTCACGAAAGAAAAGAAAACAAAGGATAGAGCCACAAACAGAGGACGTTTTGATTGGATGATCAAAGAAAGGTTTTGTTTTCTTGCACGAGGAGATTATAATAGGATTACTTTTTCGTGAAACAAAGATTTCTCCGGGCCATAAAATAATTCGGATGTTTGAAAATAATGCTCTTTCTTTTTTTTTTTCAAACATTTGGGAGGAATCATCACGCATAGACCTGGTTTCGCCGGGAAATCTCACGAGACCTTTATTTGTCCCTTTGTAATAATTCTGTATTGCTTGTCAGCCTGCCTTTGTGACCACATGCTTGATGTTACAAAAATCAACCGACACGCAAGGTGAATTTGATTTCCCTAATTGCACTCATGTTTCAGACTTAAAGTTTGCTACCGACTTATAATTAATTGAATAAGGTTTATTGTGCTATATGAGGTCCGCATATCTTATGGTTCTTATTAAAATAAATAAATAAATGTTACGGTTTTATTATAAGAATAATATATGCGTATCATTTATTTTGACATTTATTTTTTTAGCTAATAATATTCAACAAAACCGAGTCCTGGTTTATGAATTATTACTTCCTATATTTTTTTCTCCTAGTACTGTAGAGACTATAACGTCTGAAAATGAGAAGGACGTTGTAGTTCTTAACAGTGAATATAAAAAGATGCCACACACCTACCAAAACAGCACTTTAAGAGATTGCTTTTGCACACCCGTTCTTAATTAATGGATAACGTCGTATAATTATTAATATTAAAGCGGGGAATATAATCCGCGGTAAGTATCACCCGGAATGTGTGTGTGTGTGTGTGTGTTTTCTTTCTAGCATATATACAATGATGAAAACATGTAGAGCCATAGATTCGCAGCCCAACAGTATCCCATTCGCATAATATTAGGTCAAACTTGGTCCCCTTACTTGCGGGACAAAGGTAACAAATTAATAAATTATGGGACAATATGGTACTACATTCGTAGAGTCTTAGACCATTGATCAACCTGAGAATGCCATTCATATATAGCACATTACTACGCAGCTATTTTAATCATGCGATGACTTTCAATGCCACTATTAAAAAAAAAAAAAAACACTCCTTACAAGATAAGACATGGTAGAAATATACACGGAAAAAAGTATCGTGTCCATATAAATAGAAAAATAGTCCAATCATCTTTGCATGTTTTTACTATAGCGTAAAATGTTTCAATTTTTCATTCTTTCACTTTTTGCGAGTTATTACGTACACCCATCCATGGTTCAATCCTTTGCGTCTTTTCACAAAAGGCAAACACAGAAAGTATACAATAGTCGTGATAAAATTTGAGTCGCTGTCTCTTATTAATATTTGTACCGACCGCATGCCTACGAGGCACCAGCTATTCCTTATTATCTAACCATTAACCTTTAAGATCATGGTACATATACTGAAATGTATCTCTGTTTGGTTCGTTTTTCCATTGGTTTTTTTAAAATTTATAATTAATATCTTTCATATTCTAACATATCTTTTTATATTTTTAATGTAATTTTTTACATTTTTAATATATCTTTTTACAATCCCAATACAAAAATACACGTTCAAAAAACGATCCAAACATAGCCGACAAAAAGTAATATTACTTACTGGCAAAGTTGTTTTGGATCCTAAATTTTGTCTTTGTGTTAAGGCTCCATTTATTACTATAACGGACCATTTGTGTCTGGATTTAATGGTGGTACACCTTAATTGTAACATGATGATCGTACTGCCTTTGTCATTAATCGACAGTGACTTGCCATCAAGGACAGTTTCATGTCCACCAAATTAATTGGTGTAACGGGAAATTAAAATTTTGTGTAGTGTACGTAGTTTTCAGAAGGAGCATATATAGAAGGATATTTTGAGGCAATAAATATGGTCGGCATAAGATTCCACGGTAAACCATTAACCCTTCGGTTGCCTGCGAACCGTTCTCAAGTCTTATAACTCTATCGGCCGGTGGCGGCCACATATGTACATATACGATCTGATCTAAGCTGCCGACTCTTTGAAACTTTTGCTAACGTCCAATGATCAAAGTTTGCTATACGCTTTTAATGTTGTTGCATCACTTGACTTTTTGAGTTTGGACATCACAAATTCACAATAGATTTAATTTCAGGGGCTGATCATTTTTCGGAGGTTTGTCCCTCTTCTGGATTTCTTCATCAACTTTATGTGTCCACGATGATGGTCCTTGAACGTACTACATTCACTACATTGAATTTAGGAGACAAACATGTAATAGTCACTTAAAATTACTACTAACATTTATGATCATCAGTACTTATCATGTTAACTACTTATAAATTGACTAATGCACCATCAGTGACTTGTTCGTTTATTGAGTTGTGAAAATCTAAGGGCTTGTTTGGTCAACAATTCATTTGCATTTTCTCTCATTTTACTTCTTAAAATACATCTCAAACACAAAATCCAATATTATCCAAACAACTTTTTAATTTACTTTTTAATTTTTATTTTAAACATTATTTTTACACATTTTTTTACACCACCACCAAACCACCTTTGCCGCTACTGTCCGCCGGCGAACCGCCTACCGTCATCGTCGGACCGCCGCCGGCTGGCGACCGACCGGTCAGTTTATGGCCGAATTCCGGTGACTTGGCCGGAAACCGACCGGCCGATCGCCGACCGAAGGCAGTTTGGCGGCGGTGATGGGCGGTCTGGCTGCAGCGCCGATGGTGGAGATGGTCTAAAAATATTATTATTTTATTTAAAATATTACCCAAACGACTTTTTAAATTTTGGCTCAAACCATATTTTAAATCACAGCTCAAACTCAAATAAAAAACTAAAACAAAATATTGGTCAAACAAACCCTTAATATGTGTGAAACAACTTGCTAGTAGACTAAATTTTAACAATTTGGCCATTAGAATTTATGTAATTTTTTTAGAAGTGGTGATACATGCGGGAAATTTGACAAGAAAATCTACAATGAATGATGCGGCTGAATTTTAACCATCTCCTAACCCTTAAATGAGTAAATCCCTGACGATAAGGTATAAATATGGATAGTTATGATTCAATTCTTATTAATTTTTTTTTTCTTGCACAAATATTTACCTTTTCTTAGTTAGTAAAAATGATAAAAACAATGAAAAATTATCATGACTTTATCATAGTGATGATTGTTGTGCAAGTCACTCAGTCATTACCTAAATTTTTAAGAAGAGTTTGCTATTAAGAATAACACGAACATCCGATACGTGATAAATGCATTAGTTTCTATCGCAAAGTCACTAGCCACTGTGATCTGTTGTTGTCTTCATGATTTTCTAAGCTACACGTTTTGATTATGGGTAATATAGGAATTGAGTAGGAAGCACATGGATCATAAATGGCCCAGCATAAGTAAGGCCTAGAAACTGGAATCTATTTATCGTAACGAGGATAGATCGATCCATTTGCCAATGTATATCGAATGAATCAGGTCAGGTAAAGGTCAATCAAAATTAAATTCAAGATCAATGTGTTCTGACACAAGATGGGTTTAAGCGCTATCCCTTAAACCCTCGGACACCAACACATGATCGCGATGATAACTACTGAAAATTGTGTCTTTTCACCAACATTTTACAACGACTGATTAGGGTTTCAGAATTCGGAACCGGATCCAAGTTAAACGGCCAATGGGCTAAGCTTATAGTACTATGAAATGATTTATGTGAAAATTGTTGGACGGCCCAGATATAATGTGGTATTAGGCCCTATTAAAAGCTGGATGCACTGTTGATGGCCGAATGATTCAATTATGTGGTGCGCGTAGAATTTGTGATGATTCCACTTGAAATAGGTTCCTGTTTACTCTGACTTTGCTTCCGTAGATCAAACTTTTGCTCGTTTTGTTTCCAATATTCATTGGTTACAGTTCAATAGCGCATATAATTGGTGCTAGAATCTCAAAACTTGCAGGGTTTCATAATTGACTTTCTTCCTGATACAACGTGCGAAATATCTAATTCACTTTTCCCTGATCCTTATTCTCCAGTCCAGATTCAGTACCATCTAGTTAAAGAATCATTGAATGATGAAAACATCTGTTGATTACTGATTACGAGTGATGAAAAGGGTGATTTTTTTTTTTTTCCGGCAACAAGATTTCCATACAAGAAACAGAGTAATAGATTTCGAATGTCATAATTAGTTGAAAAACAGAGTACAGATACTAATGCAAAAAGGCTACCGTATATCCATCCGTATGGGGGGATAATATTTTGCACGCCCAAAGCTGCTCAAATTTTGTGAAATGTTTGGGTGTCTGATGGGGTAGAAGCAAGCTAGCAGATGTGTCTCGAATTCAGTGCATTCGACTTTGCCTGAATTCATGGGGTCATTGATTTTGTTTTGTACCAGGTACTAGGCTCTATTAGAAGCTTTGTTTCATGGCTCCGGTAACCATATACTTAGGTTCTGGTGTAGGTCTACCACACAAAATGTGAATAATAATGCGTTTGGTTGCTTGTGGTACAATACTTAATGAGGTACAGGGTACCAGTGTCGTCTGCCCAGTACGTGTCTTGTCATGGAAAATCACTGTGGGAAAATCCCACTGCTCCCCTGATTCGCATTAAAATTTTATGGTCCAAAGTCCAAACCTATCAGACAAGTGCAGGAAAGGGATTGATCTCCACTGTTTTTGCCGCTGTAAATATTCAAATTGTTCGCAGAATCGATCTCACGTTGTTTGGTATACTAGTTGGTACATAAGCTTGTGTGTTTATCATAAAGTAGATTTTTCTCTCTTTTTAAAGTGATTAATAGTTGTTCCCCACTTACCCAGCGTTACTCGAACCCGTGACTTATTAAAAAAAGGGAAGGCGTCTTATCACTAGTACTGCACCTCATTGTCTTGTTATAAACTAGATTGATTATTTATTGGTCTTAAAATAGTAAGTAATTCCTAATACCGGTGGTGCTTTGGATCTTGTACTTATGTTGCTGAAGTTTGATGCTGGAAAAATAAGGAGTTGTAATATACTTGTAATTTACCTCATGGTTTTTTGTTTATTTCTGATAAGGCAAAACAAATTTGTGCAGAGTGAATAGGAAGGAAGGTAGGCCTTCCGAAGCCATCTCTCTGATTACTCAGTCATATCTCGCGAGGTGTGTATAGCTCAATTCTAATCGCTTACCAGTTTTTTGTCCCATAAGGGTCAGTATCAGTCCGATTGATGTATTGGCTTGTTGGGTTTGTCTTTGAGTAAGAATGATGTAGGGGCAGCTACCCCCCACCCCTATGGCCTATAAAACCTTCAACTTTGGTGGGCCAAAGTAAAAGTTTTGGCAAATCACTCATCATTCAGGTTTAAAAAAAAAAACTTTCAAATTCAGCCATTACTTGCAGGATCATGTTCGTTTGTTTCACGCAAAGGACGCATCAAAGTTCCCCGGAAGAGAAAAGGATTGGGTGTTTGGAAGCAGAAGGCTATTCACCTTCTAAATTGGAGAATGGATGCAGCAAAGTCCTTGAAATGCAGAAGATTATGAACAGTTAAGAAAAAAAAAAAAAACTGATGCACTTTCAAGAAGTAAAACCAGGGGAAATTGGAGATGAAACAGGGTTTTTTTGAGCACCATAAACTTAATTGCTTTGTCTTATGTGAAATCGGTCAAAATGATAATGATGTGAAACAACTGTTTTGAGCAAGACTTCACTGATCATGATGTATAATGAAATCTCAAAGCTGCAAATGAAAGGAGGCCCTTTAAACTGTATACACTGTATAGAGCCGCTGCTTAGCTAGCTCCGAAAGAATGAAAGGACATTAGTTGACGAAAGCTGTATTGATGTATTAGTAGTACTTAACTACGTAGGGACCGATCACTACTGGATTGAAGCCAGTCTCATCCCATGTGTACAAATTAACTTATAATCGTACGATTTAGTTTAAACGATACTAACCAATGATAACTGAAGCAGATTCGAGTAAGAGTACTAGATCGAGAAAGCAGAATTATTAACATAATGTTTCTGGTTACAGAATCAGAAATGTTTATTGAAATGGGAATTGGCCTAATTCATTCATCCATTCATTTTGACCCGTCCTGGATGAATTTTGATAGAAAACCTCCTCCAATCCAATACAACTAGGAATTTCATGATTATTATAAGTTGAAAAATCAATGAGGGAAGAAGTCTGATCATCAGATAACACTGAATTGGTAGTGATCAAGGCGGGTCGTGGTGCAGTTGTGACTGTCGTAACAGGGGGAACACAGCAAGCGAGTCGAGCTCTGGCGAGAATGAGATCATGTTGGAGCTCAACCATCTTCTTCTGTAGGGAAGCTATGGCACCAATGCAACCGTAAACCGGGTCCCGGAGCCGTACCTCTGCTTCGTAAACCAGGGAATTCACGGTGTCCTCCCGTTGCTCTTCGGGGACCTCATTCAATATCTTGCTCACATTACTAGCTCCAAACACCTTGTGAACTTTGGCGAATTTGGCCGGCTCGTCCGATCGGAAATACGGCGCGAATTGGCAGTTGGAGGTGCACCGCCTTTTCAGAAACTTGCAAGCTGCACAAGAAGAGCTTGAACGAGGTTCTAGACTCCTCATCGCTGCAATAACCTCTACATATTCTACGCAGTCACTTTGCACTTCCGCAGCGTTTGCAGTGGTGCCTATTTATAAGCCCGTTATTTATAAAGTTAGGAACTTATAAATACCAACCTCTCACAATGGTATCAAGGCCTATTAGCTCAGTTGGTTAGAGCGTCGTGCTAATAACGCGAAGGTCGCAGGTTCGAGACCTGCATGGGCCACTATAACTTAGTTTTTTTACCTTTTTTCTTCCCTTAACCTGAGAACAGGCTAGTAGGCTTTTACTCTATTTTCTTTTGACGCCTTTGGCAAATGGCAACCGAAAGGGGGGTTTACTATTACTTGAGATAATTTCTTTTTAGTGAATCCATCCAACAATTATAAAAAGCGAGCTTGGTGCTGGAAATTATTTGGGCGATGTATCATTGGATATGATAGTTCACAAAGTAGACTAGACAATGTGGTTCAGAGGGTTATAGCTTAGGGACAATGATGATTCATCAACAAAGTATTTATGATATGTTTCAAAAAATGAAAAAAAGGAAGAGCTATATAGCTCCTTTGATTTCACAAGAAAAGAAACCCTCCCTCGAGAAAGTTGGATTGTTCTTCTACAAGGAAACCTACAAAATCCTACATATATATAATAATTTGCTATGAAGATTTGATGAGTGCAAAATAGTCTTTTTACTCGAAAGGTTGCGAGTTGCAATTATAATAGCGATAAGGAGTATCGATCCCACGAGAACGTGTAAATTAAATATGTGTTCCTAATGATATCTTTCTTAGCGCAAGCAACCAAAAAAATAGAAGTGATTTTTAGAAAATAAAATGCAAACAATAAAATGTTCAAATTAAAAGAATTTTTCAATTATGGAGGAGATAGGGTTCAATATCAATTTCCAATCCAATTGCCAATTAGCTATTAAACCTATGGTGACAGAATATTAGCCGGTTCACTTTATTGTCTTAAAACTTCTTCCAAAGTCAGAGAGACATCTCCTTAGTTGCGAACCACCTATATTCCTATGGTAAAACTCAACCATGGAGTCATTATATTCAAGAACTTATAAGACCAACCATGCCATGGCTGTATATTCCTATCCGACATGAAACCTTGAACTTTTACGTACAAGTCATTGCCCAAGTTGACAAACCTAACCAACATAGTCTATTCCTAGATCTATGAAGATTTCATGCACCAACAAGTATGTGATCAAGATATTTGCTGGGAATCAACAAGAACAATCAACTTAGATATTCAACTTTACCACAAAGTTTAATGACTAATTAAACAATCTTCATGTACTTTGAAATTGAACCCCGAAAAGTGTTTAGCTACTTATAGATGAATAAAAAATTAAAGCACAGAGAGAAAACAAGGAGTTCATGTCCACAAAGTCGAGAGAAAGAAAACTCTATGAGAGTGATTCGCCGACGACTTCGATCTTACTTCGGATTGTGTTGTTGAAGTGATCACCGAACTTTCTCTTGTTGTGTCTCTTTCTATGGAACCCTAGTAGCCTCCTCCAAGGTTTGATCCATGTTTTCGGGGCGTACATGGGGTTTTTATTGTGAAAAATCGCGACCCTAGTTCTCGTAAAAACTTGCATAAAAATAGGGCTGCGTCACTCCGTAGAGTGACGTGTCTCACTCTGCAGATTGATTTGAAAAAATCACATATCGTTCTGTGGAGTGCCTCCGTCGCTCTGTAAAGTGGTGCAGGAAGAAAAATGTCAGCTCTCGGTTGCTTTTCATCTCCAAATCACTCCGTGGAGTGGTCTCTTCACTCTGCGTAGTGCTTGGTGACTTCACCAAATTTTCTTCAAGTGCATAAATTGTCCTTTTCATCATCTTTCAAGTATTTTGCTCATATTACTCCTGTAAAAGAAATAACAAATGAACGATATTAGGTAATAGAAAATTCATCTAAAATTATACACTTTGAAGCAATCTCAACACTATTAATGGGATAATTTATATGTAAATTACGCTCTTATCAAGATTAAATTTGAATAAGCAATTTTTCTAAGAAGGTATAGTCAACATATATGAGGGAAAAAAAATTGCTATGAAGAAAAGGGGAGGACATGGTTGAAAAATCTGGATCAAAAAATTCGAACCTCTCGCTAAGTTTCTCTCTCTAAAAATAAGCTCTCAACCCAAATGAATCCCCTCCCCCCCCCTCCCGAAAAACTTTGTTTCGGATGTCGGTGGACCAAATCTGCAGCCAACAAATGCATCGCCAAAGCAAAATGACCCAAAGCCTGCCAGCAATAACCCCATTCCTCCACCTCATGATAGTCGGAACACTAAGAAACCCAGATATGGTACAGACAATGGAGAAACAGCCACACCCACCCCTATGAGCTTCAGAGACAAAATCATGAGGGGGCTGGACTATTCACTTTTTGATGTGGAAGATGAGCTGGATATCCAAGATATGATGTGACCTGGGCAAGGGAAGGGTCCACGGCAAAGGTGATGGTCTTGGGCAGAATAGAAAAGTAGCTGACCGACCAGTGGCAGGATATGGTGGTTCTGAGGCCCATGGGTAAAAGCATCACGCTCCAGACCTTATGCAATAGACTTTCAAACCTATAGCAAATCACTGATTGCATTACAATCATGGACCAAGTACGAGATTTCTTTTTGGTCAAGTTCAAAAGCAAGCAAGATATGTTAAAGGTACTGAGTGATGGGCCATGGGTAATTATTCACACTTATTTGCATGTGGAACTGTGGGATAGTTAGTTTGATGCAGCTACTAAGATAGTGAAGTCAACGCTAGTTTGGGCTAAACTGCCTGGTTGGCTTGTTCCCTACTATAATAATTCCTTCCTCCGGCGAATTGGAAGTGCTCTAGGAAGAGTGGCACGCGTTGATCAACAAAAAGCAACAAGAATCAGGGGGAGATTCACTCGACTAGCGGTGGAGATCGAACTGGATCAACCCATGGTGTCACAAATTGATATCAAAGGCAGAATACAAAAGGTGGAGCACGAAAACATGCCCCCATTATGTGCATCTTGCAATCGGGTTGGCCACCAAGCTGGGAACTGTCCATACGTGACGCCTCAAGTGCCCAGAGAAGCTACTCCGCCGGAGAGTGGTAGTCGGAGTGCGGGAAACCCACCGCCGGTGGCTAGAAACAATAGGCAAAAAGAGAACGGGAAAACACAGGAGGAATGGGTCCTAGTACTTCCAAGGAATAGGCCCAAACACCATACAGAATCTTCCCATGTGGGCGGGGTCTCTAACGGACCTTTTTGGCCAGGCATCGAGATTCGATACATTACAGAGGTTTACAAGAGGAAGATGAGTCTTACCCAATGAATTCTAGCAGAGCTGATGGGAATGTAACAGACAACAGTCATATGATGGAAGGGATGTCTGCTCCAGCACTATCAGTCCTGGGAACACGGAAATCGAGTTCACGTGAAGGGGAGCCTAAGGAGAAGATAAAGAAACCGGTGGAAGCTAATGATCAAAGAAGCAAACACCTGAACCAGAAGAAAGCCAACCCTACAAATAAACCAACTGCTTAGTCAACTCAGCCCAACTCACAGACTAACTCAGGCCCACTAGCTTTGACTCGGCCCAGTAAGCTCCAGTCACAACCCATACAAAGTAAACCTACCAGCCACTAAAATGGACCCTCTAGGACCAACCAAGACCCACAGACCTCCCAGTCAAATATAATAACCAATCTGGGCCCAAATATTTCCTTAGTCCAAACCTCCCTAGACACTACTAAACACCAGGCGGTAATAGTTCAACCCCAAACCTCACTAAATACAAACCCCCCACCAGATATACATCCCAATTCTATGGTGGAAGATCCGAACGAAATCTATATGATGGAGGAGAAGATTCTACCAGACCTGTCCAAGACTGAAACCAGGGCATTGCCTGACCACGCATTACCACAGGGAACCGGACCGCCGGAGGAGAGCTGTCGAATGGAGGAGGATGCTGCCATGGCGGTGGCGGCCTCACTGGAATTCTAAGGCGTGCTCTAATTTCCATGAATAATAATTTAATGATTAACACAGCCATTATATCATGGAATGTGCAAGGAGCACGATCTGAAGCTTTTCAAAAAACTTTTGAGTTTTTGATTAATGTGAATCGACCGGATATTGTCGCCATTTTGGAGCCCCGGATCAGCGGTAAACATGCCGATGATTTCATATGCAAGAGCCGCTTCGATTGATCATTTTGAGTTGAGGCAAATGGCTTTTCGGGGGAATATGGATTTTGTGGAAAGACGGTATAGAGTTGGAGATAGTGAAATGCCAGAAGCAATTTTTTCCACACAAGGGTAAGGTTGGGATTGGAGGTATTTTTGGTTATGTTTGTCTTTGCTAGCCCGACTCAATCCATAAGAAGATTGTTGTGGCCTAAGTTGGGAAGGTTGGCAGCTGAGGTGGGGGAGCCCTGGTTAATTGGTGGGGACCTCAGTTGCATTTTGAGAAATTCTGAACAAAAAGGGGGGGGGGGCATCGACGGCAAGTGGAATTTGCAATCGGTTCTGGGAATGGGTAGAACTAGCAAAAATGATGGAGCTTTCAACGATTGGTACTAAATTTACTTGGAAGAGGGCTAATTTATTGAAGAAATTGGATCGATTTCTCTGTAATGAGAACTGGAATATCAGGTTCCCAGATGTAGTAACAAAACATCTCCCTAGGAGACACTATGATCATTGGCCGTTGATGGTGCGTATTAGAGGAATGGAGGCAGAAACCCTTCAAATTTTTGGCTTCATGGTTATTACATGAAAGTTTTGATGAGCTGGTTAAAGAACAATGAAGACCGGAAACAGACTTTACTAAAGCAGCAGAGAATTTTACTAGAGAAGAAACCAAATGGAACCACACAACTTTTGGGAGCGTCTTTAGACAAAAGAAAAGGGCTCTGGCACGTCTGTGGGGAATTCAGAGGGCCAGAGAACATTATAATTATGAAAAAACTCGACCGTTTGGAGGCTAAATTACAAAGTAAACTTGATGAAATGCTAGCCCAGGAGGAATTGATTTTAATGCAAAAGTCTGACAGAGAGTGGACACTACATGGCGACAAAAACTCTAGATTTTACCCCTCGTACATGAGGCGGTGGAGGAAGCGTAATAGAATATGCAATTTAAAAAACGATGAAGGGAAAATTGTGGAGAGCCAGGAGGAGCTACAGGATTTGGCGACCCAATTTTTCACAAACCTCTATTTGGCGCCAACTGTCCCAGTGGAGGAGTACGGGGTTAAAGGCCGGTTCCCTGCGTTACAGAGTGAGGAGGTGAGCAGATTGCAAACTAGAGTGGAAGAGGATGAAGTTGTAGTTGCACCGAAAGAGATGAATCCCCTAAAGGAACCGGGAATCAATGGGTTACATACCTTGTTATCCAATACAAGTGGTCGATTGGGCAGTCGGTGTGCAGAATGGTTAAGAGAGCAATTAATGAAGGGGCTAGTGTGAAAGAGATCAACCAAACTCTGATCGTTCTAATCCCGAAGATAGAGAACCCGATGTCCATCTGGCAATTCTGGCCCATCAACTTATGGTTTATAAGCTCACAATGAAGGTTGTTGGCCAACCGAATTAAACAAGTTCTGCCTGACCTCATTGATTCATCACAGGTCAGCTTCGTTCCCAGTCGGTTTATAACTGATAATATTATTATTGTGAAGGAAGCCATACATTCGATGGGCATTAAAACAGGAAAAAAAGGATATATAGCGATGAAGATTGTTCTTGAGAAGGCCTATGATATGATCCAATGGGAGTTCGTAAAAGACACTCAAGCAAGCCGGATTTCCAGAACTAATCACGAAGGGGGTGATGAATTCTATCTCATCTGCTTTGATGCGAATCCAGTGGAACAGAAGTGCCTCACAAGAATTTGTCGCGATAAGAGATATTCAGCAAGGCGATCCCATCTCGCCTTACCTCTTTGTTCTTTGTATAGAAAGGTTGGGACACGCCATCCAGGAGAGGGTGTGAGACAGAGAATGGAAGCCTTTGAGTTTTGGCCGATCAAGAATGCCCCTGCCTTACCTTTTGTTTGCCGCCGATATATTATTTCATTTTTGGAGGCGTCATACAAACAGGCTGAGGTGATGACTTCTGTGTTAACAGACTTTTGTAAGGCGTCCGGGATGAAAGTTAGTGAGCCAAGACTCGTGCCTTTTTCTCTAAGAATGTAGATAGACAGAAGAGAGAGTGCCCTGCTAGGCATCTGAGGTTTCAGCAAGTGTCGAATTTAAGGAAATACTTGGGCACTCCCTTGTTCCACGAGAGATTGACCCATAAAACCTTCCAAGAAAGTGTTGAAAAAGTCCGCTCTGCTTTGGGGGGGGGGTTTAATGCTTCTAGTCTGTCCTTTGCGGGTAGGAGGACGTTGGTTAGCTTGGTTTTGTCCACTCTCCCATATTTTAATATGCAGACAGTCATGCTTCCAATGAAGAAAGTTGGTGAGATTGATCGGCTTTGCCGGAGATTTTTTTTTGGGGGAAGGGGGGGAGGGGAGATGATACGAGAAACAGGATGAGTTTGGTGTCATGGAACGATGTCTGTGATGAAAAGAATCTTGGTGGGCTGGGATTAAAAAAATTGAAGTCCATGAACAAGGCCTTTCTGATGAAATTGGTCTGGGCCCCCCTCAACAAGCCTGAAGCCTTATGACTGGCAATTTGGGCTCCCAAGTTTGGGCCGTTAACACCCTCAAATAGCTCAATGGTGTATAGGTTCATCACTAAAGTATGGTCACCACTCATGAAAGGGGTCCAATAGACTATAAACAACAGGGAATCTGTGAGGTTTTAGGAGGACCCATGGATTTTGGGTGCCCAAACCCTAGAGGAGAAGGTGGTGGGGAGTATTCCGACAGAACAAAGGGAGCTTATGGAAGTCAATTTTGTCACGGAGGAGGGAAATTGGGATTAGGATCTATTCCAGGAGCTACTCCCGGCAAGGGATCTAATGAAGGTGGCAGCCACAATGCCACCTAATTCGCTAGCTAGGCCGGATAAATGTTGTTGGCTAGCGTCGGGTTCTGGGGAGTTCACAACCAAGACGGGATATCAGATTGTTGAAAACAGTGTCACCTGAAGGGGATCTCCATCATGGAGAGCAGTTTGGACGTGGGCAGGGCCAGAGAGGGTCAGAACGTGCCTGTGGTTAGCAGCCAGGACAAGATTAATGACCAATTGGAAAAGATTCCGACGTCACGTAGCCCCGTCGGCAACATGCCCCCGGTGTGGTTTGATGGACGAGACGATATTGTACATTCTCAGGGATTGTCCCCAGACACAACAAATCTGGGACTACTTGCTGGTAAACAATGAGGATGGAGAATTCCATAGTGATGATTTTCATGTGTGGATGTTGAAGAATTTGTTGAAAGCAGGGAGTGAGCCAAACGAATTCTGGGTTCGTACTTTTGGAGTCACCATATAGAAATTGTTGGGCTGGAGGAACGAGTTTGTCTTCTCTGGGACGGATCAACCGTGAAGTCAAAAACTGGAGGAGATGAGGAAGAAGGTAGACGGGATTGAGATGGCGGTGAAGACGGAGAATAGGCTTGGAGGGGAACCCAAAATTCGCCGACAAATCTTGATCAGTTGGAAAGTTCCGCCGGAGGGATGGGTCAAACTCAATATAGATGGGGCATATGAACCGGGTAGTGGAGAGGCCAGAGCTGGAGGCCTACTGAGGAATGCTATGGACGAGTGGGTGCAGGGATTTACAATAAATATTGGTGCCACGTCTATTACGGGGGCGGAATTCTGGGGAATATGGCAAGGACTCTGTTTAGCGTGGGAAATTGGCGAGAGAAGGGTGATGGCGGAAACAGATAGCACGGTTGCAATTGCTCTGGTGACTAGCCGGAAGGAGGTGGGTGGAGTCCATGGAAGTCTTATCAGAGCCATTCGCGAGATCATAACCAGAGATTGGATTGTAGAACTGAACCATATTCACTGGGGAGGCAAATTTTGCGGCCGATTGTCTTGCCGGAATGACGGAGCAACAGGAATGGGGAACAGTGACCTTTGATAGTCCTCTCGCGATAGTCTCTCAATGGCTACGCCACGATGTAATGAGAATTTCATATCCTATAAATATAATCGCTTAAAATATGCATTGGCCTACCTTCTATGTACAAAAAAAAAAAAAAAAAGAAAGGGAGGACATGCCTAATAGAATCAATCATAATTGAAAATTTTCTATTCTTTTTACACAAAGTTATATAATGGATCAAATCAAGTACAATCAACATCTATGAATCAAATTTCTCATTTATTTCCCACCACCTATATTGCTTTACATTTTTTGAAACGCCCACAACCACATGCATGATCGATATAGCATCATTGGATGACCAAACTACAGGGTTCAATTCTTCCTTTCATTTATATCTTTCTATTTCTTCATGTATTACCTCATTTCTAGTCAACTTAATTAACGCGACAAATTAGCTAGCCTAACATTTAATAGTTTGTTAGATTAATAATGCAATGGTCAATATAAAGATCAGGAGTGGCGGGTTTAGGTATACGTAACTGGATTTGGTGATCAATAAGATGTACATTTAATTAATTATTACATGGAAAGCTCCCCTTTAATTCTTTCATCTAAAAAGGTGGTGAACATATTTGTCCTGTTGTCCTACTTCTCCACCTTAATTTTCAAAAAAACAAAATAGTTTAAAGTCCCTCTTCTTCAATTATTTGTCGAACTCGTTCCTGTATATCTCCCTCCGTTCATTAGCGCGATGCAATTTCAGTCTTATTTTGGTAATGGACTAACTTATTTGTCTCCTGTACGTATTACTGCAGTCGTACATTTTGATTTTCAAGTCCCATTGAACACCCTATTTATTTTGAGCTTCCTTTGAGCTCTTTTCTTTTTTTATTTATTTTGCTTTTCTTAACTCTTTTTTTTTTCAACCTTAAACCATATATCCACAATGTTACAGCATTAGAAATTGGCGAAAGAAGACTGCCGCTATTTGAACTTTGAATCATTTTTCATAATCATCCTCATTAACTAATTTCTCATGATAAGTTTTATAACATCCTTAGTAATCCCCCTCTCAAAATTATTGTTTAGTATTTTCACTTTAGTTTACTTTATACTAAAAATAAAAATTAAAACTGAATAATAATTTTATAACGAAAGAACAATTATTTTTCTCTGTACCTATTTTTCTCGTTGGACAGGTAATCCACTACCAATTTGAACTGTTTAGTTATTTTTTCACTCGTGATTGGATCAAAGATATAAATGGAGAGAGAGCTCAGGCTGGACGTAAAGCTTGTACATCACTAAAGTAACATCTATGCTAAGAATTGATGGGTCCTAAAAATGGGAGTGATTAAATATCTTGATGTTCCAAAAGAGGCCATAACAATAATGGGATTTTAGTGATATTGCTGTTGAAGTAATAAATAGCAGTGGCTGTTGTGTAATCTTCCAATTTCAAAAAGAAATCCTCTCAATATGCATCCTTGTGGATGCTACATATGACTAGATGAGGGTCAATTTTCGTGGCATCGGTATTGATTAAATTGCATGCGTCTCTTTGAAAAATGAGGAGAAAAAGAAAATCAATTACTAGAGATGCCTCAACATGGTAAGGTTTCATTTGACAATGATGTGCATTTCATAAATGTGATGCGATTCTTTCAACTTTCAACCAATTGTAATGTAACAAATGAGAATCTCATAATCATTGTTTTAGTATGGCGTTTTACTTTTTACGATTGCTAGCTATTTGCTATAAAAAAGTGTACCAATGTGATGATTTATTGAATTCCCAATAATCTTAGTTTTTAGAATGGTATTATATCACAATGAATATGGCCTTCTATATATGAGTTTACATTTACATTTATGAGTTTAAGAAGCCTGCAGTGTGACATATTCTTTAATTCAGGTTAACAACAAAGTGAAACATCTGATATTAAAATAATATAAGAAGCACACACAATGACTCGATTATAAATTCAACGTAAAATATGGTTCATAATCTGATCAGAAGATTTCTCCGCAACTAGTTCAGTAACACAAGAGACTACTTCTAGGGCTATGTGATCGTGGGTGGTAAAATGATACTATTCGCAATCTAGCTATTATAATAAATTTCATGTTTTAATCGTGTTGTTTCTCTAATTTATTGTACAAAATGAAAAGAAAGACATTAAATCTACCAAAAGTTTATGAGATCGGAACAATAGTCCCAATTCCAGCGAAAAATCAAAGAAAACGCACAAAATTTATATCTATGTGGGGCAGTCAAATTTAAAGTTAGCCAAATAAATCACATCTACCAATCCATTGGTTTAATATTGATTATCAGTGTAACAAGGTGTGGCAAAACGTCCATCAAATTTTTTTATTATTGGATTGCTAAATGGCCATATCCAATATCATTCATGATCATCTGCTTGCCCTACATCACTTCTTTCTTCGGCCCTCGTTAAAACTAATTTGACGTTTCGTTTTGTCTCTTTGTGAAAGCAATTTTCCATGGGATTTCAGATTTACTTCAAGATGTATGGCCCAGAGAAATGAAAAGAAAGCATTGTTGCACATGATGATGCCGATTGCAAAATTCCCATTGCCATTTGCCTGTCACATACGGATCAATTAATTGATTAAGTTGCAACTTGCAACTTGCAGACTATCCTTCAATTTTATATAGTTCACAAATTCCTCTCTTTCCAGCAGGTGTTCCTTTTTACTCCATTTGTCTCCAAATATGACAAACATTTTAAAAAATAGGAATTAAAAATTACAGATAGAACACACACTTGTCTAGTTCTACCATCTGAAACCGTAGAGATAAACATACTTTCGACCTTTTGAAATATCTAGTAAATTGATGTTGTAACAATCTACTATATATCTGTTGTTCTTTTGCTCAGTCAATCAAATCATAATACTGTACATATGATATTCAAACTAAATATTGAAATTTTTAGAGATTAATTCATCAGCCTGCCGCATAGGAGGAGTCCTCATGCAATTGATTTCGGCTTATAATGCTTTTGATTCAGGCTAAAGGGAGGAAGGAACGATAAACGATACTCATGATTTATTGTCGCTGTTATTGTAAGGTATGAGTTGTTGTTTTTTTTTTTTTTGGTCGAAAATAATTTCCATTAGAAGGCTAACTGACTTGAACAAAAGACATACAAACATCTACATGGTCCTTGCTCTAAAAGCAAGGTATGAGTTATTATATTTGAATTATAATCCATTATAAAATTCGTCTCTCAAACCTAATATTGGAGCTCAACCTCCCAATCTCTTGTATCTTTCACTGCTCCTGATTTCGAATGACATTAAGTCATTTGACCCAGACACTCCTAAGTTCGCTACTAACTTATACAACTATAAAATTTGAGGACCATTGTGAAGAATCCGAATATATAAAAAAGCATGACTAAAACCTTAACATATCTTTGTGTTGGATTTTAGGGCCCTCCCGATCCCAAAATCTTCTATACACGATTTTCCGAAACGTTGTATAGCAATTCATTGACTTCCACTGTCGCAAATTTGGACTTTTTTACCCGCAAACAAAACAATTCAGAGGCAGAGTGTGCTAAGGCTAACCCTACACAAAATGCTCTGACACATTATAATTGGATCATATCATCATCTCCCAGCATTTATAACCTTTACGGCTAAACCTGTTTGTTTCCTAACGTAATGCTCCCCAAAATCACCAAAAAAGAAAAAAAGAAGTTTAAAATGAATATATCATTAATAATGTTGGACGTGACTGCAGGATAAGTCCAAAAACGATTTTCATATGACCAATTAAAAAATCCTTCTCCATATATCACGCCAAATCACAATCAATTCTCGGAGATCACACAATTCCCTTTCGCTTCATTTCTTCACCTGTGTTGTGTCATGTAAAGAATAGTGACTATCAGAGATTTAGGATAAAAAGCAGTGAGGATTGTTGTATCTGATCATTACAATTTTTTGGGGGGGTTGTTTTGTTGGAAAATGGCAAATTGTTCTTCGTCCAATCTGCAAGAAATTTCAGGCTGGGATCCGTCTGCAACAACAACAGTACTAACAACTATGGACAACATGCAGCCTTATCTGCAGGCTGATGGGGGAAAACTTCATTATCCAGACGAATCTTTTCACCTTAATGGTAACAATTATCCCTTCTCCTTTCAATATCCTCCTCCTTGGTCTTTTCCCTTTGAAGGGTTCGCGGATGGTAGGGCTGCAAGTTCCTCCAGAAGCCACAGTGAAGCCGAGAAAAGGCGTCGGGACCGGATTAATGCGCAGCTTGCTACTCTCAGACGACTTATTCCCAGGTCTGAAAAGGTAACCCACAATTTTGTATGTAATTAGAATTAAATTGTTGTGCAATCAAGAGATGCATAATGATATCGAGATAGATATTTATGATTTGCATATATATTACTCATAATATAACTAGTTAACTACAACATCAAACACTCACTTGTCCGGAGTGTGAAAAGTGTTCTATACATCATGAGAAGTTTTTAGATAACTTGAGAAACAAGGCATGCAGCTAATTAACATGCTAGCGCGCAAGAAGTAATTAACATCCTAAATAATATACTGATGAATGAATGTATACAGATCTTGTGAGCATATTTGAGTGCATGAAATAATTGAGCTTGATAGAATTGACTATAAACATAAATCTATAGAAGAAAAAAAAAAAAGAGGAAAATTTGATTTTAGCTGTCATAATGAATTGCTTTCCGCCGAAGTGTGTTTGATGGAAAAATTTTGTCTTGACATAACAGATGGATAAGGCGGCTCTGTTAGGTAGCGTGGTGGAGAAAGTAAAGGATATGAAGAACAAAGCAAATGAGATAAGCAAAGTGATTCTGATTCCTACTGAGATCGATGAAGTGACAATTGACGAATTCCCGGAAAGCTCCAGTGCTTCTAACCATACCAATATCCAGCTGCTAAAAACTTCCATCTGCTGTGATGATCGTACGGAACTATTTTCCGAGCTGAAAAGAGCCCTGAAAAGCCTCCGGCTAAACGTTATGCATGCTGATATGGTCAGCTTGGGAGGCAGAATTAAATGCGTGTTTATACTTCGCGCCGGTGAGGGAGAAAGGGTTTGCATGGATACGGTGAAACAGTCACTGAGAGTGGCGTTGACTGAAATTCTGAACACATGCAGCAGTAATAGTGGATCAAACTATAGGGTTAAAAGTAGAAGGCAGAGGTTCTTTTTGCCTTCTGATCAAATGATTTGATATTCTTATATGGTAAAAAATAATAAAAGTGAAAAAGTTAATTTATGTGATCATGAAGCAGTAGGCAGTAGCTAACTATAGAGCTAGGGAGCACATTGTGGGGTAGATAATTTAGTGTTGGAGACATGAAATTGCTGTTGAAATTTTGGACTATTTATCAGTATCATTGTCATTGGAGAATTCAATTTGGCGCATTGGGGAGAAATTGGATCACAAAAAATTTAAGGACATTCTTATCACTTGAGAAAATATACCGCAAAAAAAAAAAAATCATATTGAGTTTTAAGACTTGAATTATTAAGTGCAAAATCGGTACACAAATCTCAAAATTTAATGTAGATTTTTTTATTGGGACATATAGAGTAATATTTGTTTCTTATGCACAAAAATATGTTAATTTCTTGTAATGTGGTTTACTTTTTTCCATTTTATTTGTTGGAAGAATAACATTTTTTTAACTTCTAAATGATTACTTTTATTTGTTGCATAAAGTAAGGAGAGAGTATTGCCTATAAACTTTTCGTTGTTAAGCTGAATTCCGAAAAATAAACGGAGAAAGGTCTCCCGGTAATGGATTAAATTGTTCAATTGGACATTTCTTTCCAAACTGTAAAGAAAAAAAAATGTCAGAAAAAAATTGTCACTTCAAAGAGAAGTGGAGGGAAAAAGTTGGACGTAAAAGTGACAAAAAAAAAAAACAAAAAGGATCATAATGGTCGATCGTCTTAAAGACTCAAAAGTCTTCCCCACTTGGGAAGAAAAATGTTCAAATTAATTATAACTGTGGTTCACCCCAACCCCCCCCCCCCCCCCCAACAGCCCCCCCTTCGCAATAGGCACAAGCCACGCCACATTATAACTTAATGCATTCATGCTCCACCTCTTATGATTCTAGTCGTGATCGCGAAATTTATCCAACTAATTAATCAAGTTTTTGAATTCAATTTCGGGTTCTTCTTTTTATCTAGTCCACACCTCATTTCCCTTTCTAACGAAAAATTTTAACAGTCATTTCCATGTTATTCTATTTCTGTGGCTATCCATGCTAAATTTAAGGTCAAATATACATGATAAAATCGCCACTTGTTCTTGTGAAAACTACTAAAAAAATTATTACACAGTATATTATTACACAACATATTCTAGAGATTCTAGCCTTCAAGATTCAAGTAGGGATCAATAGTGATTGTTCATTTGTCCCGCCGTGACTCTGAACTCGTGATTTATTGGTTATCTCATTGTCCCCGAAACAAATGATATATAAAAGTAAAATATGAGAATGTTTGGACACCGGGAAAAAAGCGTGCGCATGAACTTTATTTTCCCCCCTCTCTCCTTTTCTTTTCTTTTTTCTCCATTTTGAGGAAGAACACAAGTACTTAATGATTATGACAGAAATCTTTATCTGGTCAAATTTCTAACACATACGAAAATAACTCCCTATAAAAGGTTACCAAAAAACACCAATGAAATAGAGTCCTACCCAAATTTCCCTTTTTGCGTGCACATGAATCTCTCGCTAGTAACAACATTCTTTTCATGAATCCCCACATGATAATTGTATCTCCTCCCGCATGCATGTGAGCCTCCCCTAATTGTAAACCAAACAGGTAGCTCCTTAAAAAAAAAAAAAAAAATTAGAACTGTAATCAGAAAAAAAAAAAAAGCACCATTTTTCTTGAAAGAGAAAAATGTTTATTTTCTCCTTCCTAATCGTCTACACATTTATATATGATGACTAGACAAATTGGTTGCTTAAAGCCTGAAAGCCGTATACAGTAGTTTTAAGTGATAGGGGCCCATACGCTGAGCCCATTATGTAAAAAGGGGTTAGTTCGTACTGAAATCATCAAGATAGCCCGGCCCACGACAGCTCCATGGATGTACGAGGACAAACTTCTCATTCATGATTGGTCCATAATGCTTGATTCAGTTGATTGTAGTGGTGGCCTGGTGGGCATGGAGTCATTGTTCTTCGTTCTTTCCATCATTTCCAACAACGTTTAATCATGCAGTTTTAAACAAGATAAAACAAAATAAAATTGATATTAAATATTCTAAACTCACTTTAGTGTAGGCTTTAAATATATTCCATTTAGACAGACACCCGACATCCAAACCCGATAACAATTGGTCCGCCATCCTCACCATTCGGCCCCAAAGGGAAAGATACTTTTTCTCTGGGCTGGTAATGGGTGATGTTAAAGTAACTTCTTTCTTTTCCAGAAAAATCTTTCACATTAAATTGAATTTTATAAATTGCAATAAAAATAATATAATTCTTTACAATGTGGAATATTTTTGTAAATTCAGAGAGGCATAATTTAGCGCTTTGATTAGTGATTATTGCTAAATGCTAACAATGGACAATGAAATATGGTAGGAAAAAAAAAAGCCTTTGAAAGTTCCCTCTAAGCATAAATCGTTCATTTGAAAATAAGCAAGAAGAAGAAAAGGAATGATGATCATTCAAGGTCTCAAACGCCGACAATGACCTTGACCTGATTACAATAATTGCTTCTTTTCTTTTGTTTTTCTTTTTTTCTGGGATAAAACTTTAGAAAAAAGATAAAAATCTAGGAAGACAGGTATCTTTTCGACCAAATAGTTCAGAAAGAAAGCCCAAAAAGGTTGCTCAGGCCTAGTCCATCTAGCGTGTTGAAAAAACCAAAATAAAAAGAGTAATATCAGTTAGGTTGACCAAAATTATGAATGCATTACATAGAGGGAATAACCTGTAACCTCTTAACTAATTGATGTTGCCAGTTATTGGTTTGGTTAGTAAAGTAAATGGCATGAAATTGTCAAATGCAAAACGCGGCGCTGACAAATGAAACTCAGCGGTCGCAAATGAAACCTGTTGACTTCGCTCTACCTTCTTGCATGTTAGAAGATGAATAATAGACTTGGTAGAAGATCCAATCACCATCCCCAGAATGACTGCCTTACCGCACTATCTTTTCTCCTACTTTGTTACCGTCTTCGATAATCATCGGGGTTCTATCTGTAATACTCCCTCCGTCTCATAATTATTATCCAGTTTGAATTTTCATTTTTACTTCAAATTGTACTAAAAGTGAAATCTCAAAATAGACTATAATTTTGGGATAGAGGGAGTACTATTTTAGTTTAATAAACATAATTCTTATTTAAGAACGAAGAGAGAGCCTAAAGTATATCAAAATCTGATGATATTCGTGATCATTCATCAAGATCATCCTCTAGGATAGTTCACTAAAATACAAGTTACTACAGTCCAACAGCTTAGACTATTTCAGTCGGGGTGGAAGAATAAGACGAAATCATTGATGAATTTTTTCTTTTTGGTAACGATTTGACAATGACATTCAAAACAAAAAAAAAGATACTACGGCTACCAATCACCAAGCAAAAGCATTGACAAAAACTAGATTGAATATGTCTCCATGCTCGAACTGAAAATAGTAAACTAAGATTTAGATAGGAATTTAACTACCACGGCAGGCCAGTTTTTCCAGCTTCTCCAAGTGGCAGCAATTTGCAGAGGAGACTTTTGCCTGCTTCTCCCGTCTCCCTTCCATTTTTCTTGTTCCCTAACCAATGAGGACAAACAGATAGAGTCAAACAACACCATTTGACGAATTTTATATTGTTTTAAATAATCAAGTGAAGAAAGTTTCGTCTTTTACGTTTTCTAAAGCCACCCCTTGGACTTTGTCGATCATGCAAAAGTGACGATGAACAGAAGTACATTTAAGGGCATTTGGAAGCCATGGATGGAGTTCTGCTTCCACCTCATCTGATGGTTTCTTCAGGGTTTCTCCCTACTGGGGCTCTGTTAGAAGCATTGATCAACATCTCTAATGAGGTTATCTCAATTGAAAAGCTTCCCTTTGTACAGGTAAAGAACATCTCCACAATGATAAGGAGGATTAGGCTTCTTTCTTCGTTGTTCGAGGAAATTCAGGAAACAAGTAAGACCCTCCCTCCATCATCAATCTTGTGTCTTACTGAGCTCTTGTGCGTAATCCGAAGAGTTAAAAACTTGATTGAAAGTTGCAAAGAAGGCAGCTGTTTATGGACTTTAGTTCAAACAGAGGTCATTTCAGCTCAATTTTTTGCTGTAGTCAAGGAGATGGGAAGGGCACTTGACATCTTACCTCTGAGCTTGCTTAGCCTAACTGTGGACACCAGGGAACAAGTTGAGCTGCTTCACAAGCAGGCGAAAAGGTTTGAACTGTCTGTCGATTGCCGGGAGATTCAGAATAGGGATGACCTTCTCCAGCTTATATCCAGCAAGAAGAAAGGTTTCACCGATCATGGAAAAGTCAGGGAGTTTCTAAGCACCATCGGTTTGAGAACGTCTAGAAACTGTGAAGAGGAGATTTCAAAACTGAGGGCAGAAGCTGAGAAACAGGCTGGAACAGGTGGGCTGATCGTAGTTTCTAATATCCATAAACTAATATCCCTGGTTTCATTTTCTAAAGCTGCATTCTTCAGTGATGAAGAAGAAAATCAGAAGATAAATGATGATTTGAAGCAGAGAAGTGGGCAACTTTGCAGTCGGCAGGACCCCTGCTCCTCTTTACAGTCGATGGTTTTCAATGTCCCGGACGAATTCCGTTGCCCAATATCGTTGGACTTGATGAGGGATCCTGTCATAGTTGCATCTGGGCATACGTATGATCGAAGCTCAATTTCTCAGTGGATAAACTCAGGTCATCATACCTGTCCTAAGAGCGGGCAACGCTTGATACACATGGCCCTTATACCCAACTATTCATTGAAGAGTTTGATTCATCAATGGTGCCTGGAGAACAACATCCCAATGGTGGAATCTGCAGCATCCTCTGCCTCGTCATCTTCTGCTGACTTCGAAAGAACAAGCAGTATCAAGAGAAAATTAAAAGCTATTGATCACATTTCTGCGACTAAACATGCAGCAGACGCAGTCAAAATGACTGCAGAATTCTTAGTGGGGAAATTAGCAACAGGTTCACCAGATATCCAGAGACAGGCAGCCTACGAGCTTCGGTTACTGGCAAAAACAGGCATGGACAACCGCAGGATCATTGCAGAGGCGGGTGCCATTCCTTTTCTGGTAACTCTTCTAGATTCTCATGATCCAAGAATCCAGGAAAATGCAGTCACTACTTTGCTGAACCTTTCCATATATGAAAACAACAAAACACTAATCATGTCAGCTGGCGCAATTGACGATATTGTCGCAGTTCTACAATCAGCAAAAACAATGGAGGCAAGGGAAAATGCAGCAGCAACAATCTTTAGTTTGTCCATTGTAGATGATTACAAAATATTCATTGGAGCCCGTCCGCAAGCCGTCCCGGCTTTAGTAGGACTCCTTGGGGAAGGAACAACAGCTGGAAAAAGGGATGCAGCAACAGCCCTATTCAACCTTGCAGTTTACAATGCCAACAAAGTCAGTATAGTCCTTGCAGGAGCAATTCCCTTACTGATTGACCTGTTGCTGGATGACAAAGCTGGGATCACGGACTACGCATTAGCTGTGCTTGCTCTTCTCCTGGGCTGCAGTGAAGGACTAGAAGAGTTAAGGAAAAGTAGGGTATTGATCCCTCTTCTTATTGACCTTCTGAGATTAGGATCATCCAAGGGAAAAGAGAATTCCATCACCTTGTTACTGGGATTATGCAAGGATGGAGGGGAAGAAGTTGCCAGAAAGCTGTTGCTGAATCCACGAAGCATTCCATCACTCCAGAGCCTATCTGTGGATGGATCTCTGAAAGCTCGAAGAAAAGCTGATGCTCTTCTCAGAATACTCAATAGATGCTGCTCTCAATCTCCAACCCCTGTTCCCTAAAAGTACACGTTTAAGTATATTAAAATTCTCCAAAGCCAAACTGTACATTTTGTCGATTCAAACTGCAATGTATACATCTCTTTTTCTCAGTTACCTCTGTTAGCATATAAAACCGTACATAATTAAAAAACAATGAAAAAGAAAATCTTTTATCCTGGCCACAATGATAATAGAGCTTTATGTAAATGTGATTCTCGTAGCACTTAAATGCATAACAGACAGACTGAAGCGATCCAATCAAGATAACTGTCCAGACTGCAAAATGCAGTTTCTTTCTAGTTTCTATCACACAGAAAGAAGTTATCAATTTCTTTTATTGCTAAATAATCTGTACTGTTATGATACATGATTTACTTTCTAAATGTAAGAAAAAAGAGCTATTACAATAAATGTACACTAGTTGAACATGTTAAGGTAAAAACTGATAACATGTTCCATGACTAAGGAAGTAGCTAGAGATCATCAATCTCTTTCTTAATCAGTATTGCTCTCAGAATGGTCAAGGTTCAACTTATGTTTAACCAACCAGCTTGTCGCGACACAAATCAGCACTCAAACAGTTGTCCCATTTAGTGAACAATCATTCACAAAAACTAGGATCCAGAAACCAAGGTAAGGTTCTCCTAACTCCAGCCAATTCAACAGAATAGCAGTGCCCCGAATCACTTAGGTAATAGCTCCAGAACCAGCTTCCAGAATCAGCCTTCAAGTAGTAGCCCCTTATAGTGAAGTGAACAATCATTCACAAAAGTAGGGTCGGCTATTATGGTTAAGGTCTTCTATACTTCCACCAATTTTAACTGAATGTGATTGCCCTGTATCATATAGCTCCAAAACCAGCTTCCACAATCCATCATTTTCTCATCAATTCTGTCTAATTGGACTTCTACACCTGACGTCAGAATATGAGTAGACAAAGGAAATTCAGAGAGCTTTATGAAGATGATATCAACATAAGCAAGCAAATGTAAAGGAAGAGGGTGCTTTAAAGTAATGAGGGTAAATCAGCAGCGGGATTCCACATTTATCGTGAAGTAAACCGAGCATGACGTCAACAGATAATCCCACATAGCGGGATAAAGGTTTGCTTCCGAGCATGACGTCAACAGATAATCCCACATAGCGGGATAAAGGTTTGCTTTTGTTGTTTTATAAAGACATGAAAAACTTTGGATTGAAATGAGTCAAGCAAAATAAGTTACTAACCTGAATTCCCAGATGTAACTTTCATTCGGTAGCCATCAGGAACCTCAAAAAGATGATTACCCTGCACACATACACATGGAGAAGTATGAGAAGAAATGAGTTTCTTGGAAATGCATGTCTACTCAGTTAATAGAATCTACGTGACATACTACTCAGTGTTATGCCCTTTAGTTCCATGGATTCAAAATGTTAATGAACCCTTTTCTACTTCAGATTCAGGAGAGTCATTTAAGGAAAATTTTTAAAAGCACATTTTTTTTTCTCTATTCTCAACCTAAAGTCTTCCTAACCCCACCCCCGGGTAAAAAAGGATAAATGACCAAATTTAATTACCTGTAGGGTCACGTCTGCTGCTTCGAATTCTGCATTCCCATGGAGTAAAATCTTCAGAGCCTCAATCCGATTTACATCATGCTTCCAGTACACGTTTTCTCCAGATTCCCAATCAATTCCTTTATTATGTACTTTGACATTTTCCAACTTACATCTTGCACACCTACACACTCAAATTTAATTTTAGACTATTATATGTGGCTAATATCATTGTTTTAGACTATCATTGTTCGACGAAGAGAAAGCAAAGACATTATGCACCTTTTCCCATATTGTAGAATTTTTTCTCCACTCCCATTAACCACAGTTGATCCCATAACATTCTCAGCCAAAATTATCAGACTCCCATCAAGCTGAATAGAGCAGAAGTATCAGCATAAAATGAAAGATAATAAGACATTATCATCAATGCTTCACCAACAATCTGACCTGCACATCTCTCCACCAGAACTCTGCAACTTCTATTTGTAACTCAGAACCCACTGAGATCGAACCTCCATGGAACTAAAGACACAAAGAAACGATTCATTTTGATCATTACCGTTGACAAGTGTAAAGCAAAATGTTTCTTTCAAAATGCAATCTTGCAGTGTCTTGAAATAGATACGTCATACAGAAGTTTTGCAACTCATAATATTCATCTCAAGGCACTAGGAAGCTTGTGGAACAAAAGGGGAACTGTCACATCATGAAGTAATATATTGTGAAAATCAACAACTGGCAGGTATATTTAATATCAGGAGAAGAGAACAAAACAGATTACTGGTTGAAGTTTAATCTTTTAACTTTTACGGAGAGGCTCACCTTCTGTCTGGTGACTTCCCAAAGTGGGCCCAGGGCAGGATGAAGTAGAATGAGAAATGGGGGCCCAGAATCAACATAATCTTCATTTCTAAGGATCTGGACAATCACAAATCATAGCTTCAGTATTTCTGTATGAGAGAATGTTAGATTAACATCACCTGAGATGACCTAGAATCTAACTGAAAGATGCAGTTCCCACTAACATTTTAAGTCGTTCTTCAAATGCAAATACCTTAGGTATACTTATGTCACAGTGGGAAAGGAGATCATAAGCATTGCGTAAGATATCCAGTAGAGATCCATCAGGAGTCTGCAAGAAAGAGAGAAAGGTTTGTCTATATCTGAGGAAAATAAGAATATTCTCAACATACAAAACCTAAAAAACACACGACTGAAACAATGGCAAGATTTACAAGTCAAACGTGTATGTGCACCTACATCATTTCTCTGCTATGTTGGTACTAAAAGACTTATGAATTGGCTGATGAAACAAAAAAGGCTTTGCTTAAAAAGTTATCAGCATGACTACACCAAACAGGATGGCCATCATTTCTTGATGCCATAGCCAAAATTTTGACGCAAAAAAGGTTTAACATTCAAAGTATTCAATGATAAGAATGAGAATACGAATAATTAGCATACAACAACTCTCAAAATTCCATTATACTGCAGTTCATGATGGACAAAAACTTATTTTACTATCTATCTAAATACCTAAAATGTATTTAAAATTCTGGAGCAAGTGGGTGAAGAATAACACAACGAAAAAGGAAAAACATACGGAAACATGCTGATAAACAAAGCAGAAGAAATCTAATATACAGCCACTGACTGCCAAGGAGCTTAAATCATGACATTAATAGATGTTTCACAAGAACATCATAAAAATAGAATTTTGGATAATAGTGAAATACAACTAGGTTCTACCTGGTGCAACGACTTGACACCATGTAGCCTTTTCTTCTTAGCTGAAGATGTGACCTTCCTTCTTTCGTTATACACAATGAAGGTATCTAGCTCTTCTGCAGTGATGCATCAAATTCCATTCAAATATCCAGAGAAATAGAACCAGGAAGCAAGATTATATACTAAAGATATTTAGCAGAAATCAACATTGACATACCTTCTACACCTTTATAACATCGTGATGAAAATGAGTTACAAAAATTATCCGCAATATTTTGCATTGTACATTCCAGACGGCCGCCAGGGACACTAGCACAATCAATGCCAAACCATTAAAGATAACATCTTTATAAATCCTGCATGATCTGATCTCAATGGATACAAATTAAAAGGCCAGGGAGGGGGAGGCAAGAAAAAAAATAAAATAAAATCAAGAATACAAAAGCTGAAACAATCTGGGAGTACTACCAGCGTGTCATCCCAAACTGGTCAACGTATTTTACTGGCTTCTTCACATTAAGTACCATGCCAGGCAAACTGGCTTCACTATCACTTGATGCAACCATCTCTGCTGACTGCAAATCTACATAAAGAATATTTGTGTTGGCTGGAAAGTCTGCCTCCAAGCTTCACAAATAGGAAAAGATTCAGGTCCAGATAATGCAAGACGATGTATTTTTTGAAACTCTTCCAAGATTTGGTACATTAAATACAAAATAGTATATACGGTCACAATCTAGCCTCTTGACAAATTAGCATCGTGTTAAATATGTCAATAGGATTTAAGTACTTTAGAGAAACAAAATTATTAAGGCATAAATTTTAGCTCAAAAAACCAAACGGTTGTAAGGAGATCATTGAATAGCAAATTGGTGCAAATGAAGGTCACAAAAGTACCTTTTAGATGAAAGAGGGCCCTCGACAATTCCGAATTTATCAAATTCTGTGTACTCAATACATGATATACCATATGACCACTGGTCATCTAGAGTCTTTTTCTCGAGGAGTACATTTATTCCTTCTGTTGCCCCCTTGGCTCTTCTACATGAAGCAAAGCCTAGTTTCTGGAAAGACAACAGTTACGAAAACAAAATAAATATACAAAACAAAAGGCACTCTTGCGAACAGAGCATAGACATCTATAGCATGGTAAGGGAATGAAGACAATAATATTAAGATGAACAGGACCCCGAACCTTCTTTTGCCGAAGACCAATTCCTGCCAAGGCCAAGACTGTCAAATCTGTAGCAGCCACAACATTACTGCAAAATCATCAATGTTAAGCGTGAAGTTTCAATATCTGCAATCTTATAACAACCAAACATAGTAAGGGTAAGTCTAACCTGACTTGTCGAACAGTTGCACCCTTACGTCCATGATCTTGAAACCACTGAAATACGCCCTTATCATATGCAAGTTTCCAGATTACGCCATGACCTCCAGGCTTGCAAACTGGTGCAAATTGTCTACAGACAATCCATTGCCCATCTTCGGCACTAATTGCTGGAACAAGAGGCTAATACAGAAATTGAAATGGGACCAAAAAGAAATCCTTATCAGCAACCATGTAGAATGTTGTTGACAACAAATTTTGGGGGGAATAGTCAAATGAACTTTTTTGTACTAAACCTGTTCAAATAACTTGAAGCTATATCTCCCTCTTCCAAACCATCCAAGTCTTTCGCATAGTGAAACAATGCGCTCGTGATTTTTCTTTGCAGAGCTAGTCATAATAGCTACAGGAGTGATGCATTGTCTTCCATACAACTTGAAAAACAAAAATTCCCGAGCCTTGCAGTGTACAAGAAATTCCATCAGTTTCAAGTTAAATACACTTTATAAATAAGTTAAGGTGAGAATGCTTTTTTGTCAAGCGCCAATATCATAAAAAGTTTTCTATACCTGAAGATCTCTTATTAGACCTTCCAGTAATGTCCTTCCACAATATGGTAGCATGGCAGCAGGAAGACATTCACCAGTGTCAGAGTCCACCAAGCCAAGCCTGTCTGCTGAGCCTCCTAGAGGATAGATTTCTCCCAAGTCTGGCAAGCCCTGGAGATGTATTAAGTTGTGTAACACCAAATGACCTGTGATGAAATTCTACGCTTGGGGAAAAATATAAGAACTAACCTCAATTCCCCATAAAGCAGCTTCAGAAGCATATTCAGTATCTTGAGAAAGATCAAGTACATTAGGAGGATGAATTTCGATAAACTGGCACTGGGATTTTTTAGATTGCTGAGACCAGCTTGTGGCCTGTGCTTCATTAGTTGATTGAGCTAACAGCTCTAGAACCGTAATCTGATATCTGAAACAAGAAATTAAATGGTTTCATTAAAGGATTGAACTTTGCAGAACTGTATGGACATAAATCAACACTAACAGTAGAAGTCATGAATCTAAGGGTTATAGTCAATTTTGAAGTATACAAATACCGGAACTAAGTGCAGTGTACTGGCTTAACGAATATACATTCAACAAATTAACGACCATAGCGCGATTACATGCCACGCCTTCATTAAACGAAACCAATGGAAAAAAGTATAAAAATTATGGCAGTGGCACCCATAAAGGGAAAGGAACCAAAAAGATCAGAATTTAGAGGAAAAAAAGGAATACTGACCCAATGATACCTCCAATGCAATCATAGAAATGCTCGACCTCAGCAAGAGTCTTCAACAATGCTCTCAGTGATCTGATGTCATCATCTCCGTATCCCAATCCATGGCTTTCCACATTGCCGTCCCATTTCTCAATCATCTCCGCCAAAGCATAAAGTGCGCTCTTTAAAGAGCTCCCGGAAGAAGAAGTCTCCTCAAAGGCGAGCCCAAGCACATGCTGTTGCCCAGCCGCAACCAAGCACTTGAGCAAATACACTTGATATTCATCGAACCCCAAAGTCTCCAAAAGCCTCATAAACTGATTCCCACTGGAAATGAAGAAGAATTTGACCCTGGAATCAGTATTCAAGGCTCTAATTTTGTCCGGCAAGGAAGTTAAGTCGGAGAGGTTGGACCTCAGAGCTTTGAGCCTGGCAATTTCTAGGTGGAAGTCGAACTCCGGCGCCGGCGCATACTCTACCGGAGCAGTAGAGACCCGTCGCCGGAGAGTACATGGTTGATGGAGAAGTTGAGTAGAAGAAGAAGAAGAAGAAGAAGAGAAGGAATTAAGGGACTTTGGGGAAGCAAGAAAAGAAGAGGTGGAGAAGAAAGGAGAGGTGGGAGAAGATGATAATTTGGAATCAAGATTGATGAAGAAAAGCTTGCGCTGGTGAAGAAGAGGCGTCACCGCCATGAAAGCGGGGGGAAGGAAATCAAACCAAGGCAACAATCGGAAGTGTCTGTCTGTTTGATTGGCCAATTATCCAAATAGGTGATGATGATATAGAGTGGAGAAGAAAGAGGATGAGCCCGTTGGCAAATTTTTGTATTTCTTGTGTATTTTTTAACAAACAAATTTGGTCCATTTCAAAAAAAAAAAAAACAAATTTGGAGGTTTTCCTTTCTTAATTTTTTTTTTTAAAAAGGTTATTAGTTCTAAATTCCACCAATGTAGGAAGATAATAATCATAAATCATTTTAATGGATTTGAGAGGATGAGCAAAGTGACGTAAATGGATCATAAAACACAGGAAAATGGGGAAGGAGATTCGGGAAGCATATACGGATATACCGACCCATCAATCAGTTCAACCCGGGAGGGTTGAAATGAAAAGAGAATATTTGAAGGCATATTGATGATCTGTTTCATTTTGTTACAGTTTAGTCTGAGTTGTAGGCCGTTGATTGGTGGTTTGTATTTTCTTTAGCTCTTCGTTTCCACTGAGGTTTGGTTTGGATTTTGGATTTTTGCAAAATGAACCTGGGATCGGGTTAATTTGTTGGACCCCATTGTTTTTCATGTCCAGAAGAGCCCCCCTTTTGTTGTGGTTTGTACTACTGTACAGTTTACACTACTACGAAATTACACCGAACCAATTAGGGGGATCTTTCCAAAAAGGTACAAATTTCACTATATGAATTACGAGTGCAGCTATTATCTATAGTTCATTTTACATTAACTTCTATGTTCAGCGTTAATAACAATAAATTTTCGTTAACAATAAACGTTCAAAAAGATTTAAAATTACCTTTGGTGAGAGTAAATAAGGTGTAGGAGCTTCAAAATTACTCTTAAGCTAAAGTGTGATTCAGATACTGACAATCTTTAGTTAATATATGGATGAGTTATAAGCTTTTTCTTTTTCTTTTTTTCTTTACAATAAAAGAGGCAAAGATATTCTAAACACAATTTGACACTCGGAGATGGATCAGAGAGTCATTATATTTCACCCGTTCCTTAAGCTGTCAATATAACCAGATAATCGGTCACAAAATTTACTTTCCAAAAAACATGCCTACGTTCAAACCTTTCAGTCTTGATTCAACAACTCACAAATTTCATTCATGATGCCAGCATTCACTCATATCTCAATCACAATACTAGTTATAAGTTTTTTTCACTCACTCACAATCTGGTCATTTCTTTTCCCCATACGAAGGAAACCGAGACTTTAACTATCTGCGGTGCATCTTTAAGTGAGCAGGATGCTGGTATCTATACTACATCTAGTCTATCTATAATTTTCAATGGAGGCGTTGAAAAAATATGTTTTTTAGTGAGTAAGATAAATCAAATTTCACTATTTTTCATGATTTTCAATGGAGACGTTGACAAAATATGCTTCTCTAGTAGGTAAGATAGATCGGATTTCATTAAATCATCTGCAACATCATTATTGTCTCGTTAGATAGGCCTGATTTAACAATTCTATTATTCAAGATAATATCCCAGAAATCGAGAGTTGTCCCCGTGATTCAAAGGGGAGAGGACATCCAGCATAGTGGTAAAAAAAAGAAAAAATTACAAATCACTATCCTTTCTCACATATCCATTTTGAGCTATGGGTCACCTTCTTGTTCCGCTCGTTTAGGTTCATAGCTTCACTTGCAAATTTTAATGTATATCAGGCCCAAATAAATGACATAAAGGCATGAAGCCTATTTATTCTGCCACCAACTTGGCATCTTCTTAAGGAAGATTGAGCCCAGATTGCAAATTTAGAATCAGGCCTTTTCCAGTTCTCCATCAGTCTTCCATGCAACTGAAAGTCTGAAACGAAGCAGTATGTTAAGTACATTTTTAGGTTTTGTTTATTTTGTTTTTTGGATGATTTTTTTATAATATTAAAATAATAACTGTCACATCCTAATATAATTTTTTACATTTATAATACTTTACATTCTCAATACAAAAAATACCTAAAAACACACATTAAAAAAACGAAACAAATATACCCTTAATTTTTTAAAAAATTCTTTAAAAATGCTTCTTATGCAAGTACAACATTAAACCGTCCGCTGAGAACGGTTGATAATCATCAGGCAAGTGGCAGAGAGGCTCTCAACGTTTTCAAAATAGAACTCTAAAAAGGGCTTTGCTAATTAAATCAGTAGACATATGCGAATGTAGAAGAGTACGAAGAAGCCATGCATATATACATATATTTGGAGGTGACTCTGATCCGACAACAAGCAGGTACGCATTCCACCAATTCATATTAATTTGGACTTTTAAGACGGATGTAGATATTCGATACAATCTCATTTAATTGACTTTGCGCAGGGCCAATTTATCGGATGAAAAAATTAAGATGACTTTTAAGGCCCCGTTCAAATTCCATTCATTCATAATAACTACCTTGACAACTTCATGTGTATCGCGTCGACAAGTACTCGCATCATTTTGTGAAATGAAAATTTCATTCTCCATCCTTTCTTATTATAAGATTATTTGATTTGTCATAGTTTTCATTTAATATTAATAAAACTTTAAAAATATTTTATAATAATTAAATGTGAAAATACATTTTAAGGTTTTAGTTTCAATAAAGAACATGCTAAATAAAATTTAGAACAAACCAAAATGTATATAATCGATTAATTCTACATATTAGAAATCCTTGTAGCATGGACATGCGCATTTTTGTATTACAAGCAAACCAAATTGTCCATAAATTAATAATATATCCATGGTTATTAAAATGCATTATTTTCTTCCCAAATTTCACAGTTGCACGCATACACATTGTAGATTAAGCCATTAATTATTATTCTGCTACTTATATATTATTAATTTAGGAGCCAACTAGCTAGTGTTTCTCGAGTATTTTCGGAAACACATATTGATCATCTCTACTTTGCATTTCTATTTATACGGCGGCATTTATTTATAGGTTTAAATTTCATTTTTATTTTTTTATTTTTATTTTTTGAAAAAAATTGTAAACCTAATGACCACAAATGAGTGATTGCATTATGAATAAAATTGCAAAGCTGAGATAAATTTATAAGCCCGTAAGATGGCTAAATCAGTATAAAATGGCTTAAAACAGACACAGACGATGGACCATATATATTAACTAATTGTAGCTTCCTTTTGTGCTGCTAATTACTTAGGTGCTACACTAACAATTGTTTTCTACTGGTTAGTTAACATCCACATATGTATCTATTATCTTCTCTTTGGAAATATACCAAAAAATAAAATAAAAAAAAAGAGGTACTACGTATATTAGCTTCCCAAATGAAGAAGCATGGGCTTTTTGTCAAGTTATCGGCCGATCCCCGAAGACATGTTTAAGTGTTCAAGTTTTTTTTCCCCATACATGGTTACCCAATATTTGTGCACTCAGTACTCCTAGGGATAGTTTAGGTTCAGTCCTTTCATATATACCCTTGCAAGTTATTTCTTGAGGTTTTTTGGGAATGTGTAGACTCTAACTGGGAGAATAATATCATAAGTCTAGATGCAAGCAACTGTTATACATCCAAATTCCCACATGTGATTAACACTCATCAAAAAGCTTTAGTTTTAATCAGTTACCACTACCTAATTAAGCTTGATCATATGTACTACGTACTTGTAGCACCATTTTTCCCGCATTCATCAATTAATGAACATCTGAAACAAAAGCAGAAAATCTATATATATATATATATATATATATATATATATATATATATATATGCCCAGCATGAGACCAAAAATGCTAGACAATGAGCTTTTCAAGCCAGGCATTTGAAACTGCTGAACGACTAGACTGAAGTATACAATTTCGATTAAATCTATGACAATTTGGTTATCCAATGAATAAATTATTGATCATAAAACACTAAGAATATAATTTTTTTTTTTTTTGTCTCTTCTCAATTTGCACAGATTAGAACCCCCAATGCTAAGTGTTTTTTTGGTCGTATTTATGCAGAGATACAGACAAAAACACAGGGAAAAAAGAAAATAAAAATTTCTCTGGACCTTACCCTTAAGCAAACTCTCTCACACTGTACCCAGTACTACAAGACAAAGATCTGCACATTGGTATTGACAAATGACAAATGAACAAGTACCTCATCAGGATCTCACTTCTGAATTCACTTACTAGTTTGTTGTCTCATTCATAAAGTCAGATCAAGGGTACTCGCCATTAATCTTCCGTGCTTCGATCTATTATTATTCTTATTATTATTACCAAGATCATGAATCTCCTCTATCTTGCTTGTTGCTGCCGAGGTTGAGGAAGAGAACAAGGAAAGCGATAACGTATCATCAATTTCATGATCAAACTTGGACTTTTTGAAAGCCCTCTCCTCCTCCATTTGACATGCTTTTGTTGGCAATGACAAGTTCAAGTCAAGATCAACATCATGGTGATGATCGGATGATGAATTATTAGGGCAGCCTTTCCTTTTCGTTCCTTCTCGAACGGCCACCATCACAGCCTTTTCTGATGATGATCTGAACCCTCCTCGTTGTTCTTGCATTTGTGTGATGAGACTAATTGGTTTGGAAGAACAACTTCTTGAGGTTTGACTTTGCCAATTCAGCCTCCTTTGACTGCTAGTCGGAAACAAATGACTACTCATCGTCTCTTTCCTAGGAAGAATATTCTTATTATGATTGTCAAGGATGTTTCTCCATGATGAAGAGGGTTGCCTAGAAACATGGAAATCCGACCCATAATTAAGATGCTGGCTTCCATAGATCTTCTGATGTTGATGATGATCATGAAAGAATCCATGTCTGGAGAAGTTTGATGTTGGTGCGCCTCCAAAACCATAAGGGCTCTGATGACGACTACCCCATAAAGGGTTACCATATCTTTAAGAAAAAAAAATAAAAAATAAAACGGACTAATGTTAGACTCGATTCGATGACCATTTTTCCAGATGGAAGATGTAAATGGAATTGTACTAGATCTTAGAATTTCCAGCTGTAGAAAATATGTGGGCATTTATATGTATATACATTTGTTATATTTATTCACCTTAAAGAACTGGAACCAGAGAACTGGTCAAAAGCTTGAAGCATCGGAAGTTTGCTGAGATTATAAATATTGTGATCCCCACCATCACCAAGAAGCCTTTGTTCTGATAAAACTGTTTCAAGATTAATGGAAAACCCTTTAATTTGAAAAAAAAAAAAAAAGAAGTAAAAAGTGTCCTAACAAAAAAGGAAAATGAAAACCCTAGCTTTAAATTAGATTGCCGGAGAAGCTTATGTATACCTTGGTTAGGGTCATCAATCTTCTTGCTTCTGTACATCTGATCAATTCACAAAAGATAGATACAAAGGAGAGAAATGAAAATGAGTATTAGCTTTACAACAAGTGCTATAAAAGGTAAATCAATATCGCAGTAAAGCCCCTTTTTGAAGAAGAAGAGAAGAAAGGAAGAATTAAAATTCGATACAAAGAAAAAAAAAAAAAAGGTTTACCTGAAGATGGCTCTTGACATGAGCAATGCTAAGACCTTTAATGTTCATTAATTGAAGAACCAACTTTGGAGTTGCTCCTGCAAATCAATGACCATATTTACACAACGCAACTAAACTCAATCAATCAAAGAGTGGTTGTGTAGGAATTAGGTAGAACCCACCAAAAAGAAAAATGGGGAAAAAAAAGCTGTAATCACAAAAGAAACTCACGATCTTGTCCTCCTAATCTTTCAACGGCATGAACAAAGCAAAGATGAAGTTCCGGCGTCCAACGCAGCCTTGGGGTTTTAGAGCGTATGTATTGCCTAACAGATCCGGAACCTCCGGATTTGCTCTTTGGATTCTCTTCCACTGTGCTGTTGCTTGAGCTGCTTCCATTAGTATTATTATTATTAGGTTTACTGTTGTTGTTGTCTTCCTCCTCCTCCTCCTCATCATCATCATCTATACTTTTGTTGTTGGCTTCATGATGAAGATGATGATGATTATGATGATCTTCATCGTTTTCCTCGAATTGGGTCGTCCGGGAATCCTCCGTGCTACAACTTCTTTCCTTAATCATCTCTACTAATATGGTAGGGAAGAAGTAGTTAATGATGATCTTATAATTCTTGTTACCAATTTTGTGCTGAAGGGGTTGAAGGCCCCCTCCTTCTCACAAAAATGGTAGAATCTCTATCTGCCTTCTGGGGAGGCAAAGAAGAAGATGGAAAGAGGTTTTAATTGAGGAGATAGTAGGTTTACTTGTGGCTGCAAAAGTTGCTAGAATTGGGAATGAAAATTCTTAAATAGGCATATAAAGAACAATTCTCATTCCTTTTCTCCCTCTTCCCTGCTCTCTCTCTCTCTCTCTCTCTCTCTCTCTCTCTCTCTCTTTTTTTTTTTTCTTTGGTTAATTTCTTTTATTTATTATTTTGCCGTATGAATTTCATGTATGATGATGTCTATGTCATGTATCCATTATGTTCATGTGTATGTATATGTGCATATGTTAATATCTGCAAATATGGTCATATATACTTTCTCTAATATGAAGTGTATTATTAATACAATTGAATTAAAGATAGGTGACTCAATAAAACATTCCACATGCCCAACTAGTTGTCATTCTTAATCACAATCATAAATGTCTTGGACAAAATCCCTTACAAAAGTTCATCATTCAAATGCTAAGTGTATATTGTATTGTAGGAGACTAGGAGTAATGCAACTTAATTACCATATGTAACTTTTTTTTAAAAAAAAAAAATGGACCCATATGTAACTTGTTTGTCTTTTCGTCTTGTGTATTACTAATCTATTTCGTTTCATCGAAATGGCACAAGTTGTTTCGATACAATGGTAACTTTTGAGACAATTAGATTAATTTATTCAATGAGTTTCTAGTTATATTCTTTTGAAAGAAAAATTAAATGAAGTGCGTAGTACTAATTAGGAGAATTTTTATTGTTAGCTCTTCCGTACTGCTGCTACAACTACAATGGCGATTAACAGCTTGCACAAAAGTCAATATGGTACTAGTATAAATTTTTGGTCATCAATTTAACCACTTGGTATATAATTAACCGCAGCTACCTATGATAACGTCAACTACCATGCATCGCGGAGGGCATTCCCTAAGTCCAAACCTTACCTAGAAGGTGGAAAAGTGGGAGTATATATATACATATATATATATATATATATATTATTAATGGTAAAAACCTAATTACAGCAGAATACATAAAACTGTTGCAGAAAACAATGTTTATAGACAAAGATATAGAATAGATATAGATAAATGAGAGGTTTGTTGTTGCAGCATTATTGCACAATGATGGATCCAGTTATTTTGGACACTTCAACTCCTAAAATCACACATAAGGACCCAATTGTCAAAAAGGAATGCTTTGTTTTCTACCTAAATGTCTCTAAAAGTAAAGCTGGAAGTACAGTATACCTTTCCTAATGATGACAAAATAACCATCACTGGAGCTTGGAGGTTTAGTGGTAATTGATGGAGTAGCTAATGAACATTTCGTAACTCTCACGCGCCGGTAACAGATTCTTTTCATCTCGATTGTTGCCGCCAACAGCGGATCCATCGCCGGGAAAGCGTGAGAGTGGACGCGCAGGATAAGAGATTGGGGCATTATGGGTTGTTTTAAGGACTCGTAAAGTTTAGGAAATCCCACTTAACTCTTGTCTGATTTCTTCTCTTGCCCACTGCCCGTCGGACCGTCAAAAATCACGCATTTGTCTTCTTCGTTCGTTCTCCGGAGCCCTGTTGCATTTTCAATATCATCATTGTTCAACTAAAATAACTATTTTTCGGTTTTCTAAGCCCTGAGTTGTATTGTATCAATTTCCACTCAAGATTCCATTTTAGTTGATCTTCAAATATAAATGCAAAGGATAAGCAATCAGATGCTAAATGTTCATCCACCATGTCATCATATTTAGTGAACCTTTTATTTTGTAAACAATACATACAAACTTTAAAAGGGTTATGAGGCACCATTTTTTAGTTCTTTTTTTTTTTCTTTCCCTTTTTTCACCTTGTTTTACATATTAATCTAGTAGCTACTAGTACCTATTTATTACTACATCCGTCCCAAAAAAATAGTACAGTTTGAATTTTAAAATTTATATTAATTTTAGTATAAATTTAATAATTCAATATGGACTATTTTTGTGAGACGGAGGGAGTAATTCGCAACAATCTTACATCTTCACAAACTAAACCAAAAAAACACATGCTTTCAAAACTCCCAAGTTTTAGATTTCGAGACCTCGAAATTCTGCGTGCATGTTAAAATGATAGAAGACTGATTGTTTGGTTCTTTTCCTCCATGGAGTACAATACGAAATTACTCAGCATGGTTATTGGACATTAGCGCTAGCTTCAAGTACTGGCATATATACGATCTAAAGGTCAAATTGGCCATTGCCAACACAAATGCAATCCCAAGAATCAAGATTCTAAGAGACTGACCGGCGCATGTTGGACTGTTCCTCTCCCTCTCTCTCTCACACTCACACACCATCTAAAAATTTGAAGCATCTTTGATCACTGCATGTCTTTGAAAATGAGATCGACCAATTGATATATTTTAACATTTTTCATCTGACATTGGTTTCACTAGTGTCAACGTGAGAGGACCAATATTCTAAGTGTAGATCGAATAACATCCAAATGACCAAATTTAACCTTTTGCGAACAATGGTAGGCGAGCATCTTGGAACTATTGTCAGCTCCTTGTCAGTTAAGGGCAGAAAAAAAAAAGAAAAAGAAAAGAAAATACATTCAGTCATCTTCTTCTCTGTCTGTCTTTTAGGGTTTCTTTGGAACTTGTTCATCAAAAAATTCAAATGGGCTGTGTGGCAGATGAGATTCTCAAAGTCATGACCAACTGTAACAAGATTAATTCTAGTACGTAGTAAAAAAAAAGAAATACTATCTTAATTAAATATATATTAGTTAAAAAAATATGACAATGTAAAGCTTATCATAAACGAAGAATTTTTCTTTAACTTGTTAAAATAAGCAAAGCCCTCCATTTCGATGGTTATTTTTTTTGACCAAACTTAGCTGAAAAAGTAGAAAAATTCAAACTTTTTGTTTTTGTGTGTTGGACCAATATCTTATAATTCATTAATTTAATACTATAATTTGAGTGGTTAAATTTGTGTGATGGGAGAAGAGATTTGAGGCAAGCAAAGCTGCGTTGGGTTCACGAGGATCATATCATTGACTCATCTTTTATCTCACCCAAAAAAAGGAAAGAAAAAAAAAAAAACGGATGGCAAGTGGCAAAACAGCAGGCAAAATCAGAAGAAAAAGAGTTGGCAGCTAAGCTAAGCTAGTCCGATCATCATATAAATCATTCATGGAGGATGAAGGTCGTTTTCCCTTTGCATGAAACCCATTATTCTTTGCTCGTGTGGGCTGTCGTTCTTTCTTCAAGAATTGAATATCGCGCCTGAAACTACTGTTCCAGAATGCTGCTTAATTGCTGTCCTATTTGCCTTTTTTTACACATTTGTTTCCAATCCCTTCAAGCTTCACGAGTTTCTTGAGAATTTAGAAGGTTGAATTTTACACCAAATTTCTGCCGTCCACCCTCAAAAGTAGCCCCAATCCTACAATTCTCAACACTAAAATATGGCCTTGCATTCAACTTAATTACTACTGTTCCACTTTTAATTTCCACCAGCAGCTTATTTCTTAAATTTCCTTGGTTAGCATTCCACAGTATACTAAGGGGAAAAAAGCATGTCACGCCCTAAGAAGGAAAAAAAAAAAGAAAAAAAAAGAAGATCTTTTTCCTTTTTTTTTCTTTTTCTTTTTGGAATGGATTCATTAATCTCTATAACAAAATGTGCCAAGACATTTACAAAAACCTAGTTCGTCGAGGCAAATTTAATTCAAAATCTGGTTTTATACTAGCTAGCTAGCCAAATTAATGAATTAACAGAAGCCAAAAAACAGATGAAATTATGGTCAGCTATAGCCCTTGTCTTTTTTTGCATATATATATGTGAGGTACAATTTGTGGTTTTGTGAAGCTATACAGAAATGAAGAGAGATCTGAACCAGAGGAGGAGCTGAGGGTTAAGCTGGAATTTGGTCATTTCATTTGCTTGTGATGGAGTAATAGTACTATTAAATTAAAAGTTTTAGGTCTGCAGAATTCACATATATCTTCAAAACACACAAGCTGTAAAGTCAACCCCCAACAGTACCGATGTTTTCTTCTGGCTAGAAACTAATAATTTTTATTCCTCCCAAATTAATATCAACTTTTTTTTAATCATATGCTTGAAGTTCGTGAAGCAATTAATGCGGATCTGTCATCCCTTTGAGAATGAAGGATGTCTGTCTTTTCCCTTTAAACAAAGTATTTTTCCCTCACCCCTCAAAACTCAAGACATCGTTGGGAAGAAGAATATATACACGTATGCATATGATCATGTTTCATCATACATGCATCATGCATGCATGGATGATGGATGCATGCCCAAAAATTTGTATTATTACTTAAAGGGATTAAAATTGAAGGAGAAGTTTCAAGAAAAAGGGCACAGGGAGAAAGAGAAAAACAGGAGTCACAACTGCTACAATAGTTTAATATATGCCGTTGCTACCGCAAATGGAGAAATCTCTAATATTCCAAAATTATTCTTAGTGTCACATCCGGGCATAAAAATAATAGAACAGTCATTCATCAATCAAAGGAAAAAAATCAATACCAAAAATCAGAATCAGTGATGAATGATGATATACATATATACCTATATAAGGAGTTTGTTGAGAGGAGGGCTCCATGCAAAAACCTAAATATGCTCCAGCGAGCCAGTAGGATAATTTTGTTGACCTGAAGAATTATCGAGGGGTTGAATTGGTGTGTATTTATACTGTTAAAATATACGCATACTGCGAAGACGTATGCATATTAATTGAAGAATTTGCAAGCTGATGAGAGAATATTTATAGAATGATTTTGGAATTAATTTTGATGAATAAACAATTAATCAATAATTGAGACCCTCGAACCAAACCCAAAAAAACCAAAGGTATAAATCGTTCTTTGTCCAGCGTTTTTCTGTGCCCCATGTCAGTGACTCCTCACCCGCTACGATATATGGTTGTTATGTTGATGTGATCCCCGATCCCAGACCAATCAATATTAAGATTAATCTCTATCAAATTGTACGCCATCTATCAATCTAATATATGTATGCTTCAATTTGGGTATTTAAAAAAATGAAAAGATCATTAACACGTTCTCAGTAAATTTGTCTGCATTACGGTAAATTTAAAATTTCAGTAACGGATTTAATTTATTTTACTTTATCTTTCTCAAAATTATTATACTATACTTTATAAGGCAATCGTTTCGGGATTGAGAAAGATTATATAGTTTACGAGAAGAGAGCCAAAAATGATAATACCTCAGATTGGGAATTTTCAAATGAGAGATTTTTGGTGCATACTTACTACCGTTAGTTCTGACATCTAATTCGTTTTTGTGCTCTACAAATTTCTAGGTGATATGGGGTTAATTAAAGCATCCAACCGTTACTCCCCTCAGTAAACTACATAGAGAGATCCTTCATCTCAAATTTGGTTGATTAATGAAATGTTTGATCGGTTCAAATTCGTGTTCATTTGTCAATTAATATGGTACTTCCTCATGTCTTTAGTATAAGTTATGTTGATTTGTTCTAAATTTTATTTAATATATTCTTTTAATTGAAAATAAAATCTTAAAAATATTTTATAATAACTGAGAGAATACAATAAGTATGAAAATACATTTTTAAGATTTTATTTTCTATTGAAAGAACATATACTATATAAAATTTTAAACAAATCAAAATGTCTTATAATAGATACCGGGGAGAATACTTTATCAAATATCATGACATTATCTCACTAATAAAACGCAGTTGATAGAAAAAATGAGGCCCGAACAATAAAAAAAAATGAAAAAGATTGATTCTTTTGGAGTGAGAGGTGGCAAGAACATTTGTAGTTAAGTTAGACAGGATCAAGAATATGGGTTTAGAGTCCAGAAAACTAGGATTCATCCACATGCCCACACGAGAATGTGTGGGTGTTTTTTGGCTGGAATTTTAGTCCAGATGAACTAGAAATGGGAGATCAGTAGCATTTGTGTAGCTTTTTTTCTAAGCTACAAAAATTACTACAACACTATTAATGCATCTATTATTAATCACAACAGCGGTCATTGGTCAGATCTACTGAGCTAATAATAATAAGAAGAAGAAGAAGATGGAGGAGGATTTTGGTACTTATATTAATCCCAAAGTTTCAAACAAGACATTGACCATAGTAAGACTAGCTACCCCTTTCGGACAAGATTTTTCTGGATCTTTGTCGTCATTACCATAAGCATATTAGATTAAGATTTGATTAATAATAACATCGTCCCAAAGTCACCAAATATTCATTAAAATAAATATATACTAGTAATACATTGCATAAGATGCCTCCTTAAGTAAGCCACAGATTCCACGGGTTGCCCGTGGTCAGTATATCTGCTACTTCTCCTCTCTGGACTCTAATTTATATTTTTACTAACATGCAGCATCCCTATATATTTTTAAATTGTTTGTTTTTGTACGTCGAATGCCTAGTCATCCTAACTACCAAAAACGACAAATTCTTTTTGAGATTATACTGCAGTGCTGCTGCTGCTACTACTACTACTAGTAATTCTTTATTTCATTCCACAAGTAATCTTCTCCAGAATGACAACGGTCCCCAATCTCGTCACAAAAACCCAATTCATTGTTGACTTATTCAGTCTGTCTTCTTAGTACATCAATCCTACTCATCCCCTCCCAAACAATAATGACATATATACTCCATCTATTCCCAAAAATTTCTCAGTGACGGATGTGACATATATGAGAAAGACTAATTCCATTTGGCGAGATGTTTCTATGTGCAGAATAAGTGAGACACATGAAAAGACACAAACACGCTCTCTACAACTATATGGCACAGGAATTCACCCCTAAGAAAAATCCAGATGGCTTTTAAATCATCCATAACTGACCTTTCTCTGAATTGCAAACGTTAGTGGACTGTAAATTGCCAGCTTATGGCATTCAGCAGCTCGGTAGGCAGGCAATTCAGTGTCATTTTGGCTACAAACTACTAAAGGATTAGGAAAGAAAAACCCCCATAAGTTCCACACATCTCCACTGCCTGTTCAACTCCATTTATTTGCCAGCTATTTTTAAGAGTCAATATCATTCTAGCTGAAAATGACAGCATTACTGCATCTAGATTACAGTTTCACCAATATTAAGCGTACAAAAGGCTGGGCAGTAAACAATGTAGCCGCAAAATAAATCCTGGGTGTAACCTTGTGTTCCTCGATAAATCTCAAAATTCAATCAAGAAATCAAAAATTAAGTCAGGTTCTATGATGGTGAAGAGAAGCTGAACTGCACACCGGTCCTTCCACGATCATGATCCATTTTCTTCAATATGTGGCAGTAATTGATCTGAAAAATGATATCAATTGATTAGATTTACGCTATATTACATCAAGTCTGACAATAACACAAATAAGGAACCCAAAAGAGATAACATTGTTGCAGTTATAATTACCCCCCACCCCTTTCTGGAAAAGATAAAGAAAAAACTTAATACTGATGCCGTAGAGCAATTTCAAAATGTATGTAGCTCTACATCTGTGCAAGCTCCACTGTGTGACTCGATAAGAAGTGGATCAATTTCAAAAGGTAAAATATAGACAGCACAGCAAAAACCATAAAGTAGAAAGTCAAACCTCCAAGCGAAATAGCTTAGTAGGCACAATTAATCCAACTCCAACAGAGCTTCTGAACGATTCTTTGAATTTACTGAATGAAAAGTTTCGGTAGGAATTCTCAGCAAAACTCGTCAGGCTTCCAGTAGAAGCAAATGCATGACCATGGATGCCCGCATCTCGAAGAATCTTCAATGGAAGATCAAAAGAAAGATCTGCAAAAGCAGTAACAGCAAGATCTCCCCCCAGAAAATCCATTTCTGAAGGAGCATCACCTTCTCCACCTTGCCTTCTAGGCTCAGCAGGTCCCAATCCTCTCGTCTTAAAACCTAATACTGATGCAGGGCCACCCAAAGTGCAAAATGGGGACATGTTACCACCCAAGAAGAACCTCTCAGTTAGAGTTGAAGTCCTATTCAGGGAACCATTTCCCCATGGAAAAACAACGCCACTGGAGATACCAAAGTTCAGAGCCATATTGTAAAACCCCAAGGGCAACGCGTAACGAAAATCAAACTCCTGTACAAAAACCAAAAAATTACTCTGGATTCAAAGCTAAGATGCATCAATAATGACAATAACAGATGATTCGAACAGCGGAGAACATCTTACAACTTCAGAGGCTCTGGGAATAAAAGCAGATTAAAATACAGACTGAATCAAATTGCAACATGATTTACTGCGCCCACAAAATGCAACATGCATAACACTCAACAAGGGCCAGCGAGCGTATGCTTCTCAGCACTCAAAAGTTTAAAAACTTCAAGACTGAACAAACATAAGATCGATTCCAAAATGAACGTAGATCCTGAACAAACGAGCACGATATAATAACCATCCGATCCCTTGTCCCACCAACAAAAATAATTCTTTCCTCCGATAAAAAGACAAAGTTTACGAAAAACAATAATGCAAGGTGATACATGGATACCAAAAGGTCAGGGATAAGGTGTGCTAAACCTGGCGTATAAAACGTAAGCTCCGAGAATCTGGATAAAGCCCACCAAGTTGAGAGGTTGAAACAAAAGCATATCCTTGTGTCGGTCTAAAAGAGGAATTCCTGTGGTCGATCTTGTATGTATACTTCAAAGCTGAGAGTAAACCATGTCCAAGCTGCCTCCTTACTGTGCTGGAAGATAACTGTGATGGATCACTCAAAGTTCGCCAAGAAAGATTGTATGACAGATCATGATTCCTTGTTGATATCAATCCAAGAGAAAAACCTAAAGCTCTCTCCTTATAAGAAGAAAACTTCAACCAATCTTGTGAAAGCAGAGATATCCGAGCTACCACAGGATTCATTAGTCCCTTATTTCTTGGCAAATACAATGCAGCACTGATCTCCGAGCTTTGATCCCAGCCATATGCCAAAGAACCATCCCAGATGTCACCATAACCAAGCAAATTTTTGAGCTTCAATGAACCTTCAAGTGACCAAGATCTAGTCTACAAAAGCATACAAAAACATCAAAAACCTGACTGCAGGTATGCTAAATTAAGTAGGACTAGCAGGTATGCACATATACAACTATTTCCATAACTGCAGTCAACTTCAGCGAAAGCCACCAACAAAAGTCAAACACCAGCGAGTCCATTTTCTAACACTATTAAGCTTTTAATGGATATCCAAGCTAAGATATTCTTTAAGCAAGAAGTACACAATTATGGCAATATGAGATCCCAGCGCAGGATGGATGAATCACTCCATGAAGAATTCATAACAGTTATACTGCCTTTTCACAAGATATTCTGAACACGGTCCCAATAGGAATATTTCACACAGAACAAAGTAAATAGGTTGTTGAAGAACGATCATTAGCTTTCACAGGAGGGCATAAAGGGTAAACAAGTTATAAGCAAAGAAGCCCAAAATTTGAGCATGGTTAGCATATCCTCCACTATTTCAAAACTTCATCCATCAGAAAGCCTTTCACATTTTATACAATAACATAGTTGCTAAGAAACCTGTTGCAGACTATCACCATCACCGCCAATGAAATAAATAGTTTTCCAAATACATTTCTATGAGGTGACTAATTTGTGCAAAAAGGTACAAATTTGAACCAATAAATTTAGTCACAACTATTCTTACTAAGTGAAAATATATTGCGAACATATCTCTATTTCATAAGTTCAGATGATCTGAAAGACTGGAAAAAAACAAATAATGCTTGCAACAACAGAAAAGAGACAGGTAATGATTCAAACAAAACGATCACAACCTACTGAACACCTCTCTCCACCATAGCATATAGCACAGAAGTTGAGCCAATAATAGCCTGTACCACATTTAGTGTCATGGTTTAAAACTCATCTCCTGCTCATTTGGTGCAAAAATGTTTTGCTTGTAAAGTAGAAAGAGACATGTCAGTAAGCTAGTTTATTTTTAACCCGTCCAAAAACTAAGCTTTTATCCCACTAACGAGATTGCCTCCATGGATCATATCTGTGGCAAGGCAAAAGGGAACGAGAAGGCAAGCCTCCCCATCTCCGCATAATGTCATCATGTTTTATCAAATCATAATTCTCCGTCAAGACATCATAGACATTGTCTTCTGGTTCAGGCTTAAAATAGACCTTGTCTTTTGTAAGAGGTTCTTTCAATCCTCTTTTAGCCTTCTCCTCCCTTTCGATTATGAGTTTGTAAACCCTTTTCCTACATGTTCATCAAAAAGTTTCCTTTGGAACGTGTCTAAACCACCATGAATGGTGTGATTAAATTTTTTCACCTGAAGGGACAACTATTTCTTTTATAATATGATCATTATTGATCTCATCTAATCTACTCTGTCAACAGAATCATCTTGGCATTCCCATTTCTTCTTATATCGGTTTTTAGGATGTTTTACAAAACAATTTCAGTATAAGCAATCCCAAACTTCAGGCAAGGTGTTTGAGCCAGTGTAATAATCATAGGTTATGAAATTGTGTCAACACTTTCATCACTCATTGGACCTAATACAACACAACTGCATTTATAAAAGAAGCAAGGGCACCTCCTGGTTAAAGATTTAGGTAGCCAAATTGAAATTCATATCATAATTCTTAAGCCCAATAAATAAAATCAACAGTGGAAGTGCATAGAGTTTAACGAACCTCAGCATTAGTGTAAACCCCACAATCTCCGCCATAAAACCGTTTAGCCTCGACGACCTCGACAATGACATTAGCGGTACCAGGAAGCTCCGGGGGTCCTGAATCGAGGGTTATATTAACCGAATCAAAAATCTCAAGACCTTGAAGCTGAGCATTAGCCACACTAGCGGCTTGAAGCAACTCTTGCATAGTGGTAGCACGTTTCAGGGCTTCGAGTTGGGCTTCAATAATGTAATCCTTAGTCTTTGAATTCCCTTTGATCAACACGTCGTGCACCCGGACGGGGACCCGTTCTCTCGCTAACCGGTGGAAAAGGGTCTCCATTTTGGCCCGTTCCGACTGCATTCGGGACTGACGAGTGACGTGCGGTGGTTCAACTTCATCATCGTCTTCTTCCCCACCGTCGTCTTCATCTTCCACTCCATTGATTTCTTCGTCGTCTATCTCGTCGCCGGGTTTAGTGGGGGTAGGGGTTGAGGGTTCAGGGATATCATCTTTGAGTTGACCAGTCGAATCTTCATCAGATGAAGCCATTAGAGAGAGTGAAGGGGCTTAGGTTAGGGTTGACGGCGGTGCCGGAAAATAGAAGATGGTGTTGCAGATGTGCCGGTTTAAGTAGGGATTTGCTTGCTTTGGGCGCAAGAAGAACCCGACATCCGAGCACCGTTTTCTTCTCCGAATTTCCTAAGGTGAATCTTTTTTTACCCCCAAACAAATCAAAATTTTAATTTTACACCTTCCCTTTTGTGCTCAATTCTGTTGGGCTTTTTTATTTTTACGCCAATGTTTTTCTGATTCCCAAACCCAAACTACATTTTTACTGCCAATGCCCCTAGACTTAATTATAAGAAATAGAAAATATAGAGACTAATTATAATTTTATATTATGTTGGGCTATGAATAGCCATCAGTGGTATGTAAAACGATTATGGATAATTTCAGCATTGAATTCCAAAATTCAAATCTCTCCTTCTCCGACTTTCTCCGATCCCGTAACCCTAATTTTTCCCGACCTCCGTTTGTTTCTCCAATTTCTGCTATCTGGCCATCTTTTCAGTCCTGGGTCGTGACATTTACCCCTCAAGTTTTTGCCATTTAACGAAACCCACCCCGACTTTTGGTTTCGTTAAAGGTTCAATACTTGGAAATGTAGTTTATCCCAAAAAAATGTAATTATTATTTTTAATTCTCAAAGTTACATATGATAAACTGCAAACTTGGGAGAAGAAAAAAACACTGTGTAGTAAAATTATTTTCATAATAAAAGTCATACCACGGTGTAAAAAATTTACATTATTGTGTAGCATGAAAAAAATTTACATATAATAAAAGTCATTATCATTTTTATATATTTTTTAAAATTTGAATACCAGTATAGTATGGGGAAAAAAAAATGTTATCCATACTTTGATTAACACACACTTGTAGGAGGTGGTTGTAATTTTCACTGCGTCATTACCCCAAAATCTAAAAAGTAAAAAGAAAAAAGTAACAGAAAAAACAGAGCTTTTCACCAGTCAGGCTTACGGCGTTAATAGAGTAGAGCGCTTCAATAAATTCAAAATCATTCCCTGTTCGTCATTCCTTCATCTATCTTAGGGGCACTCTCATTTTCTGCGAAAACCCAAACACCAAATCAAAAACCCTCCAAAAAAATCCAGTACAGAATCGATTAAAACAATGTCCAATGACAGCACTGAATTCGACGATTTCTTCTCCTCGTTGATTTCAGACATCAAAAACTACAGCGGAGCAGACCCTCTTCTACCTTGGCTTCGGTAAGCACCCGAAACCAGAAGAGCCCTCAACTTGGACACTTTTTCCTTCTGCATTGATGGCTTACTTCTTGTATTTCTATGGAATTTTTCCTAATGGGGTTGCATTTTTTGCAGCGGGATTCGTAAAATGAAGAACACGTTACCACCTCAGCTACTGAAAGTGAAACTGCCTCGGTTCCTGCAGAAATGTGCCCAGACTTTTCAGACTGATCGACGTTACTCTAACGATTTGCGATACCTTCGTGTTTGGCTTCAATTGGTAACTCAATCTTAACTATCAATTAGGTTTTTTTCCATTGGGTTCCTTAATATGGTCTTGATGTTAGTGTTGCTGAGCCTGTGTGAACGAGGAGGGGGTGGATAAACTTTAAGCTACTGGTTTCAGTAGGGTGTTGGTTGTCTATCGATTTTGTTTTTGAAGGTTTCTTTTACTGCCTTTTTTTCATGGTAACAAGGAAATTATGTCATGGGGTGGCTGACTTGGAATTTTTTTTTTTTTTTTTGTGGGTTGTTCTGTAGATGGACTTTGTGGACGACCCAAAATCTGCATTGAGAACAATGGAGACAAACCGCATTGGTTTGAAGAAGTCACTTTTCTACCAGGCTTATGCACTTTATTTCGAGAAGATGAAGAAATTTGAGGCTGCTGAGAAAATGTATCATTTAGGAGTGCAGAAGTAAGCTTATCGACATGTTTAAAAGTTTCTTTAACTTTTGGTATGATGGAAGCATTGTACATTATTGTCCGCTGCATTTTCTCTGGCAATAAACTTGACGAACCAATAAATCATGAGAGCTAAACATTTTATTTTTATCATGTTTTATCCTGTGTTTGGACAATGACTTGCTTCATATTTGATTCTCTCTCAGTTGTTTCTGTGTATCTTCAACTTGATGTTTCTGCTTAAGCAATGATTGAAATAACTGAGAACAAGAATGCTTGTTTCATTTTCTACTAAATTTGGTTGAAACAGCCTTGCAGAACCTCTTGATGAGTTGCAGAAGTCATATGAACAATTTCTTCAGCGAAAAGAACAGTACAAGAATAAAAAAAATCGGGTGATTAATCTACTAACTTCCTTTTTCTTGTCAATCACTTCTTAGGTATTTAATTAACTAAGAGTGGAATGTTTTCTTGCAGTATCATGGAGGAAAAACTGGAAATTTACAACCTTCTTTTGAGGTTTGTCAAGACTCTGGTGGAGGAAGCAAGGAAAATGAATGCTCAAAACCAACTAGAACATGGCAGGAAGAGTCTTTGCTTGGAATGAATGGCTGTAATGTGAATATGGAGACCTTGAAATCGTCCTTGAAAAACTCTGGCGCTGGTGTTGTTCCCCAAATTTGTTCCAAGGAGACCAAACAAGAATCCAATAAGATTACAAACCATGATAATGAGGATACAGTTTTGGGTAAATTTTTAGATAAGGCAATTGTTGGCAAGTCCGATGCAGAAGATGCAAGGCATCATGGTCTGGTGGAACCAACTATTAACACTAAGGAGGTTATGGATGCCATCAATAGTATGTTTCGGGAGCCTCTAGAACCCTCACATAGAGATCAATCTAAGACAGAAAAGTCCTTGAACAGTGGGCTTGGGATCTTAAATGATGGAAAGTTAGAAGCAAAAGACGTACTATTATGTCAAAAGTCGAGAAAGAATTCCACAACACAAGCTGATAGGTCTACTAATCGTCATCCTTTGCAGGAACCTTTGCAGATATATATAGATGATGAGGAAAACAGGCATACGATGGAGATGGTTGATGCAAAGGTTAATTTAGATGACGACAATGACCAAAATAGGATTGGTGATGGTAAAGTTTGTGGAGAGAATTTCAAGGGCTTTGTGTTTCCACATCCATTGGATGTTCCTTTGAATAGTTCCAAGAGCAATGATGTCGCAAAACCATGCCACCTACCGATTAGAGAAGATACAGCTGTCTACAGGTTTGTAGGTTCCACTATATCCAGTGAGCCTGAGGTGGAAAATGTATGTCATCATGGCCTGGTAGAACCTACCATCAACTTGAAAGAGGCTATGGACGACATTAACAGCATGTTTGGAAAGCCGATAGAATTTGTAAGGCAAACGAGGTCAAAGAGGAAGGAAGAGGCAAATCACAACATGAGCAGTCCCAGTGCATTTCTAATACTTCCCGACGATAAATTGGCACAAGAACATGAGAAATCCTTCCCACATGCATCAACTAAGAATGAAAATGATCTATTTGAGCAAACGGTTTGCACGAGGGAGGCAATGGATGAAATCAACAAGATGTTTGGCATGCCACTTGATTTCTAAATTGCTGGTGAGTGCTGTTATCCTTTGGGATTGTCAATTCGCTAACTACTTTATTTTCAGGCTTATTATGTGAACTGAGTAAAATGCCATTGTTGATGGGATGATGCGGAAATGAGAGTCAAGCAAACAGTGTGGTTTTTCATTTCAATGGCATTTAAATGTAGACACATTTTCTCTCGTCATTGTCCCATCATGAGATGTATAATACACGAAACGTTGATTAGTGTAAAATACAAAACATATCTGGATAAATTATGATGCCCTATCACGTTAAGGGAATAAACAGATGTTTCAATATGAATTGGGAAACTCACAAATCTTGCATCCATATCTGTTAATTGTAGAAAATAGGTGGAAAAACGGGGATAACAGAATAATTGATTCAGCCTCTGGATGAGAATTGCTAGGATCAATAATTTTTTATGCACTGAGCTGGACGGAAAGCAAAGGGGCCTGTAGCGTAAACCACAGCTTCATAACTGCTTCCAACCAATTTTTTGTTTTCATACCGCAGAGATGCCCCATGGAGTCCATAGTTGACATTCGTGAGGACATTGCAACTTTCCAGGGGAGATGAAACAATTTTCACATGGCATGAATGCAGGGGATGGTCTATTAGGGGGTGGACCATCTTGAAGCCTTTCAGCTCTGCGTAGAAATATCCTTTCGCATCTGTTTGAAATGCCTTGTAGAAGATGACTATCTTCCTGTAATTTATGCAGAGAACGCTGATTGTGGCATTTGCAATTGGCGTAGCTCTTGTGAGAGACCATGTTCCATAGTGTTGGCAGCTCTGGCAGTAAACTAGGCCTTCAACCACTGCATCAACTTCTTTTATGATTTTTCCTGGGAGGTTGTGTCCTTTGTCACTCGGAATAGCACAGGCCAATGCAGCCAATGAGAGTAAAAGCATTGAGACCTTGAGTTGGCTGCTGGCCATCTTTTTGGGGGGTTTTGAATTTTCAGGGAACTGGGAAGATAATTGCTTGTTCCTTTGCAATCCAAGAAGTTTAGTTTGAGTTCTTTTTATAGATATTGGTGTTGCAATTCACCTTGTCAGTTGGTTAAGCATATTAGAAGGTGGGATTGACGTGGGAACTACTAAGCAAACATTTTCGACTCCTAATACGCCTGCCTTCCCAATTATTGTATTGCAAAAGGCAAAAGTGATGTGCACGTTTTCAACTTGAACCCTTTTTCTTATTTTGGGGGCTTTAGTCTTCTATGTTGTAGTTGGGTTCCATGATCTTAGTAGAAACGAAGACGAAAATTGTATATCTCGCATGTTGGCACGCGACGCAGGACCAGATTTAGGTGCAAAAATTTCATTATATCGTGGTTGGATTGGATTGTTGTTCAGAACATTCGAATCTGATTTGTCCAAAAAAGGGTTGTTGGAACAACAGAACAATTTATAGAGCCTTGGGCATTGCCAATTTATAGGAAATTACTTTTTCAGTATTCTGGGACGGACGTAATTTTTCCAATGTTATGTTTTTGATTCCGGAACTACACTGATGGAACGATTTCTGCTCTAGTTTCTAACATCTGATACGGGCACAAAAACCTTAAAGAGACTTTAAACAAGTGATCAAATCATCTCCTCCCACCATTTTCCACATTCCTAACTTCATCCTAAAATAATTCCTTCCTTGATCAAAGCAAAAAATTTAAATGAAAAAGGAAAAAAAAAAAAAAGAAAAATCGTGATTTTTGCATCTCGGTTTATGTACAACTGCCATATCCCTACATTAGTTACAAATAGCTATTCTTTGGCAGACTTCTCCCGAGTAGCTTCAAAAACGATAATTTGGCAGGTGAAAATGTCTCACATGCAGCTATAAATCCAGCTTTAGTTGGCTTCTGCAGACAAGATCTCGAGTTCCGCCCACCAAAGAGGTGACAATCTTGGAATTGCTGCATCCGGGCCAATCGCTGTTACTTCTCTTAACCTCGCCGTGATCTCTCTCATTTCAGGTCTTCGTCTAGGATCGGGGTTGACACATGCCTTCATTATTTCGTCAATTCTCTCAAGCTGCTCCTCGTGAACAGAATTAAGAGTGGGATCTACAACATTTCTGAGTGGTTGGCCTCCTCCCATATAGTCCGATGCCCAGTCTTCACACGAGCTTCTATCTACCGTGTAAGGGAGCTGACCCGTCACCATTTCAAAAACTAAAACACCAAAGCTGTAGACATTACTCTGCGGATTCAAGTCCACCTCAGATGCTGCCATCTCATTCCAAAAGGAAAAATCTGAAACTTTAGCTGCATAATCTTCAGTTAGATAAACTGCTGAAGAATTCAGTTTTTTGTGAGTTATTGGAGGGGACAGTTGATGCATGTGCTGAAGGCAATATGCTATGCCCATCAGGATTCTCATTCGTGAAGCCCAATCTAAAGGCTCAGCTTCTTTTACTGCATGACACAGAAGATATGAGAATATTAGGCGTGGCTTGCAGTAGAGAAAAGCCATTGAGGCCAAGTATCAACTAAATGAATGCTATCACACCAAAATGCATGCTGAAATAATCCCAAAATAATGTTGAGTGCAACAGAACAAAACTTATATATTAACACCCATCAGTTCTACAAAGTCTCAAAAACCAACAAAGTGCTAAAGAAAGATCCGCCCACCAAACAACCCACAAACCTAGCTCCAGAGAGATCAAAGTGATGCCTCCACCAGCTAATGCATCCAATATGTATCGTAAAGTTATAGACACTTCATTTTCACAGATAGGTACATCATTAAAGAAAGTAACAATTAGGCAAGCAATAAGTTATATCAATAGCTTAATGAAATGAAAAAATATCTATCAAATTTGAAACCAGTATAGTTGCTTGCTGTCATTCCACATAAGGATCCAATGACATTAATGCATAAGTAGATGAGAACTAAACACTTTAATCCTATCATAGGTATGAGAGGTAATACACTTTTAACTAGTTCCGAGTCTGACATAGAGTTTTAAGGACATAACCACACATGAGAATATAAGACAGTTTCATCCTTAGCTATCACATTTGCGATTTCTATCAAGAAGCATGAAATAGAAATGTACTCACTGTGTAAATGCTCGAATAGTGTGCCGTTAGGAGCATACTCAAATACCATCATTCTCGTGAAAGGTTGTTCTTCCTCGCAATACCCCAGAAGATTCACGAAATTTTTGTGATTTACTTTTGATAAGGTCTCAATCTGGATCGAACACCAAACATTATAAGAACTAATACTCAATGAAAGAATAGGAGTAGACATAGGTATTTTTCTGCATTCATGCATAATTTACCTTCTTCCTGAACAGAATTTCATTAGTCCTTGACCAATCCTTGGGAGATTCCATTGAAAAGGCTAGTGCTGCAATTTCAACCCCACTGGACAGAGTGCCCTTGTATAAAGTCCCAGAAGCTGTGGTTCCTATAACATTACTGAAATCTTCACAAGCTGTTACAAGCTCCAATCTGTTCAGCTTTGGCACACCTGAGAAGGAGATCAGAAAAAATTATTGGTTGGTTCAGCTCCGGAAAACTATTACGGATTGCATTTGTTGATTATTCCAAATGACTGTCTTTTTTTAAAAATATATGAAAAAAAGAAAGGAAGCAAAAGGAAGAAACTAAAACAGCAAATCTTTCATCATCATACAAAACTGCAAAATTTTATACCTGTCACAAAAGCTTTCTGCAGCTGTCCACTCAGTCCCGTAGCCCAAGGTTTGACAACAGCAACTTTACTACTTCTACAGAAAAGTGCGCCAGCCACCAGTAACAGAAGCAGAACAGAAGCTCCAATAGCTGAAGATAATACTATGACATGATGGCGACTAGATTTGTTCTTTCTGACAAAGATAGAAGGACTTTCTGGTTGGGTAGAAAGTGAGGGTTCAGAAGCAGGAGCCACAGGGGAAGGGAAGGATTCTTCTGGGGAAAAAGATGGACCAAAAGAAGGGGATGGGAACGGGGACGGCGATGGGGATGGAGATGGAGATGGATATGGGGAAGGGGATGGGGATGGAGATGGAGTTGGAGAAGGTGTTGGTGCATTTTTGAGCGGAAAAATTTGGGGAGGTTGAAAAATTGCCCGGACATTCCTTGGCACATCAGCTAGCGACTGCAACATTCTCCGCCATGCTATATCTCTAGAGTCTGCGATGTTCCTACACATACAATAATGATGCTCTTAAATTTCAAATTAATGAAAGGAAACCGAGCATGCTACTGATAGGATTTAACAGTAGAAGTGACTGATGTAGCGAGTATTTGTATCAGAGAAGCGAAAAGCAAATAATGCCGACATACCGAGTTTTTTCATAAGATAAAATCTTTGACCCCGGACGTAGCAGATTCTCATCTACTTGAGCTTCAGACAGCATTTGAAGCTCATAAATTTCAGGAGATAAGCAGTTGAACAATCCATTGTTGTCCAGCAGTCTGCATTATATGGATAGACTTATTATACTAGTATACAGAGCATGAAAGAAAGGATATAGCAGAGACTCAGCAAAGCAACTCACAGGATTGTCAGAGACAAATTGTTGCCAAGTTCTGGTGGAAGTGCTCCGCTGAGGTTATTATAGCCCAAATCCAACACTTCCAGCTCTTTTAACTTTGTAATATCTTCAGGTATGGTGCCGTAAAATGAATTATTGCGTAAAATTCTGCCAAAAGAGATGAGTGTTCACAGAGGAACTTTAGATGAAGGAACAAAACACGAAGCAAGGAAGAGATTACTGCATCCTTACATAGATTTTATGTGAATCAGGTTCGCGAGAACAGGAGCTATGCTACCTCTAAGACACAAATCTTTCAAGTTCCTGAGAAGATAAACAAAATAGCTCAAAAAATCAATACTTGAAGTCGAACCATCACTTTTAATATTTATAAAATTTAAAACATACACTTCGGAGTTCCTGCAACAATCGGACCAGCTAGTTTACTATAAATACAACACTTGATCTTAGCCAAAAGGCCGAGAAGGTATTAAAATGTAACACTGGATACAGAAAGTCAACTGAATTTACAAGCGTCCTCCATCAAGTTCTTCCCTATCCGAGGCATTTTGAATATTTTTTCTCACTCTTTATTTCCAAGTACATCAATGGGTAGTTGGGTACTAAAAAGGAAGAGCTACAATTGATCATCACAAGGAAACTGAAGTAGGCCATTTTTTTATTTCCAGAAATAAGAAAAACCAGAAAAATATGTCATACTTGATATGGCTAACAGGAACTTCACCAGAAATCAAAAAGCAAATTTAATGGGGGCAGAAGATATTACTTACAATGAGACAACGTAACCATCAGCACACTCAATCCCACTCCAAGAACATGGAGTCACCACTCCAACCTCATCATTCCAGGTAGAAAGACCCCCAAATGGATCGCTTACCACTCCTTCTCTAAATTTCAGTAAAGCTAAACCTGCAGCCCAGAAACAAAAACCCAGAAAAATAAACAAACAGCCTGCGGCAAACAAGAAGGAAAAATGGGGCACAAAAAAGGTTCAATCTTACCTTCATCGTTCAGTGAAAAACAGCAGTTCAGATTTTGATGCAGCACAAGAACAAGCAGCACCAGAACCACATGAAACCGATCTAACCACTTGGGAAACTCAACCATTTCATCAAAACAAATTTAAATAAAAAAAAAAAAAACAGATGAACTATCAATGAGAAAGAAACGGATTAATGGCGAGTTGACTCAGCAGAGCTCAAAAATCAAAACAAATGGGTAGAATAAACAGGATACATAGAAGAGGAGAGATAGAGAAGAAGAAGAAGAAGAATGGAGGAGCATTGAAAATGATAGAGGTAGTGAATTAAAATTTCCGTGTTATTTGATTGGACTAGTAAAAGATTTTTTAGAAATTTCATTCAACAAAATAAAAATAGAAAAAACGCGTATAACAGAGAGAGTATAGAACCAAAAAAAAAATTAAACTTAAATTTAAGAAATTTAGAAGGAAGCAGTATCTCTAAAAAGGCGTTTTTAATTTCTCTTCCTAGTAATTTAAAGCAACATCAACATGTTAGCTTTGATAGCTGGGAAGCTCCTTTTCGGGGCCGGCGATAAAAGTCAGTGATTCTATCACTAGTCAACGCCATACCCTGTAGTAGTAGTAGTTTTTTAAAAAAAAAAATTAGGATAATGATGATAATTACAAATCTGTTTAATAGTATTTTAGATTTAGTAGTATTTTAGATTCATAATAATAAATAAGTTGCGATTATATTTTTAATACAACTTATTATACCTTAATTAAAAAACTGTCCATTTTTTTTGTACAATTTTGTGACGAAACTTTATACTTAAAAAATAATAATTCATTGACAGCGTAAACTCTCGATCAAAATGCAAATTTTATTAATGTTCAATTTGTAAGGACAACGGGAAAAGGTTGAGATGAAAATCTAAATACGAGTATGTGTCAATTGTCATCATTTGATTAACGCGCAGACTCATTCAAACTCACAAAAAAAAAAAAAAAAGAAATAAGAAAGTAGGTTCTTCTATTTAATTGTTGTTACCAGAATTTTTGTTACGTAAGATGCCGAATTTAACTCACGAAAAAAGTGTGGGGAAAGAATTTCTAAGGGGATTGTGATTGAAGCAATTGTCTGAATTGAATGAATGAACCAACACACAATCGACAATTCATTGGTGGGCCGCCTTCAAAATTCAACATCTCAGACGTGCATCTTAAACTACTAATGATGATTAAAATTAAGTTATTCCCTCCGTTTCAATTTTCAAAATATAGGTCGTTTTACAGATTCTAGACAAATTAACCAACTTTACTCTCAATAAATGATGTTAATCTATTTTTATCTAGTCTTGTTTATAGTTTTAATGTAATTAATGAGGTGTAAAATAAATATTTAACACTTAAATTAATTGTTGGATAATTATCTCTTTAATTTACGTACCATATCTAAAATGATGGAGGGAGTACTAGAGTAATTAGTTTTGTATAAGTACTACCAAGTTGGTTGGACTCTTACCTGGAAACTGCGGTGGGCCAGAGCAGCTGTTAAGGTGGTTCATCGTTTGAGTTTAATACTCTAATCAGCTGCTTATGCTTACTCTTCTTCTTCAACAGCGACCTGCTACTACAAATCTCCCAGATTATTTTTCAAAGGTTTGATGTATTTTGACTTCACCCGAGGTTTTGTTTTCTCAATTTGATACTGCCTTAACACATTATTCAATTTCAGTGACGCCATCTAATTTGAATGTAATAGTTGAACCCTATAATAGTACTATAAGATTTCAAATTTATATATTTGCTCGCCATTTCTCATTGACAGATGAAATTTTAATACGTCAATGTTTAAGTGACACGCATTTAGAATGATGTTGCATTCCGCCCAAATTATGTAAACTCATAGTAAATTTGATAAACGCAATATTTATGTGCGTTGGGCTTTTAGTGTTTTATTGTGTAATAAGGATTTCATTATACTACTAATTAAGAGTGATTGGGATAAACTTAAGAAAATTTAGAAAGAAAATAATCAAAAATAATGTAAAATATATAAATTTGAAAGAGGAGTTATGTATTCATTAGCGACATATGATTCATGTAACTAATTACGCTAATTGGAAAAGAGACTTTTGTTGTTGTATCATACTATTACATTATAGTATTCATCTACTTGATGGTGCGAATTTTTATTTTCCTTGCTCATCATCACAAATTTTTTGAATTAACATTTGAAATAATATTATTCCCTAATATTAATTTGTAAGAGAGGAAGGAGATTATTAATTTGGAAAAAAGAGTGAGGAAAGTAAGCAGGTCTCCGAGTATGACAAATTGACAATGATACATAATCTTTCTGATAAAAAACACTGTTTTAGATAATTTTTTTAAATAAGCGAGTGAATAGTAATGGGGATTATGATATTTGTTGGATGGGGATATAAATAACGCCAACCGACGAATTAGATGCCCAATCAAATGAAGGTGAAACTGACCGACCACCGCTTCACAGGTCCACCATCATCACAAAAAATCATAGGCACCTCCCCAACCGTGGCCAATATATATTTTTTCTTTTTCCCTCTACCATGAAATTATTAATGTTGGTGGATCAAGATTCAGTCTTTCTACGTTTATGACACTCATCTGTTCCAAAAAGTGAAGAGGGCAAAAAAACAGTATTTTATTTTTGTTATTTTTTTTTGGGGGTAAGAAAGATCCAAAATGAATAATCTACTTATTGTAGTACAAGTGATACTATTATTTTGAAACAAAAAAAAAAAGATAAAAATTAAAATACTCATTGGATATTTGAAAAAAAAATCTATGCAAATTAATATGCGCAGAAATAATGATTAGGAAGAATTCACGAGAAAATATTCCATGGTCCGGTACCTTGATTATGGGGCACAGCCCTCCAATATGTGAGGACATGTGGCTCTGTTTCGATCTTAATAACAGCCTTGATTAGAAAAGATGTTAGCAAAATGTATCAACTACAATAGATGTGATAAACGAAAACTTTTGGATAGATATAGTAGTAAATTTATAATTGTCTGGCGAAACTCATGTGCCAAGCCTCGGGAATCATTTACTCAATCTTCTCGACTTTTGTTTAAGCTACATCTCGATGTAAAATTCAACTCTCAATGCAGAGCTGTCAATGAATGGATGGTATTAACTACTTATATATTGATCGAATACAATGATAATAATTTTTGCCACATTCTATTAAAAAAAAAAAAAGAAAAAATTAAAATAATGCATTTTGTCAACATCGTATCAACAAAGGCAAAACTAGTTTTACTTCAAACGGTTGCCCTCAGCTTGTAGGGCGCCAGAAACCTTTCTACCAACAAGGAACTCGTCCTGATGTAATGTGGATGACCATTTAAGGGAACTCAGAATAGGGATCAACTCCTTCATCACTTCAGTGCTATCTTGAACTATAAGAATTCCTCCTGGTCTCACCACCCGGTCTATTTCCACAACTATATCAACTACGTCACACCTGAAAAATGAGACAAATCAGAGAGGATGTCTCTACTGTCAAATAGATGATCACCTACCGTTCAGAATGTTAGTTGGCCAGCCAAAAGAAAGTGATTTACTGAAATGACCATGAACTTTTGGTAGGTATTGAAACAAAGATGAGAGATACTGTAGTGCTTGCTACCTTTGAGATTGTTTTTTGAAGAGGAAACTAGCATGCAACAGATCGTATGTCCGGGGGTAGGTGCTTAATGATTCACACCAGTCGTGGTATGTCCCGATGAGTCCTCTATCAAAGACAACTGATAGAGTATCCGGCTCGTTGACTGGAACCACATTCATAACCCATACGGGTAGATCAATCAGTGCTGCAGCGAACCTGTTACCAAAAGTAGAAGATAATTAAGATTATCGGCACCAGTTAACGAGCATTAGCATATGACATTTGAGTTTAAGCTTGCAGGGAAACTAGATTTCACTTACCCTCCATAGCCTGCATTCATATCCATGACATTTCTTATGCTTGACCAGTTTATAGCAAGGCTTTTGAGATAAACATCTGAGACAAGGGCCGACCAGTGATTTGAGTCCTCTTCATAAGAGGTTGCAGAGCCTGGTTCTACAGAAGATAAACTGGAAGATTTTGTTTTGAGCCTCTCAGGCCAAGCCAGAGGCCAGTTAGAATGGTCTTCTGTGCTCACTGCTGGAATTGGAGGAAGACAGCCATCCAATGGATCATCCCTATGAATGAATGAATACACAAACATCAATAAAGAAATTCGTGAACTAGTGTAAGATATGAAAACAGGAGTGATGCTACGCACTTCTAAAGATTTAGTTCCAGGCATACCATGAAATGTGTACATGTTTACTAGAATCACATAGAGGCGGATTGTCTTCTTGACGTGATTTGTAGCAAGAAGGAGTTGTGGGCTTTTGAAATATAGCCACCCCAACTGATGTTCCATGGACAGAGGTCTTGTTAACTATTTTCCAGCACATTGATTCAGTTAAAGCAACCGTCGCTGCAAGAAAGTACAACACAAGGTTCACCACCATTCACTGAGCACAACAGAATTATGAAGGAATTGCATGTCAGATGAAAGCAAATAACATGGAAGATTGGAAACCTTTCCAGATGTTCTGATGTTCTTCATCCTTCACATAGACTGGAGTAGCTGACCAAACAAAGTATCCACCAGGCCTTAGAATTCGATTGATCTCAATTAAGGGCTTCCCACCTGCATTTTGCATAGTGTTAATATCTTCAGGAGAATGGAAAAGTATACTGGAGAGCTAACATCCATATATTACCATCAGCATCCCACCGAATTCTGCATCTAGCGCAATGAATCATATCATATGCATTGTCTGGAAATGTTAGCTTCTTGGTTGAAATTACAGCAAGAGTTGCAGGAATTCCCCTTTCCAGTGCGAACTGAATTTGAGCATCATGTTCATCCTTCGGAGCGAATGACAATGTAATAACATCCCTATCCAGCAAGTAACCACCAAAGCTAGCAACACCACAGCCAACATCCAAAACCACCCTCGTGTGTTTCCCCCATTCAATTACTGGTAAGATCTAAGGCATAAAGTATGCATCAAGTACTGTTCAAGCAAAACTGAGATGCATAATTAGAAGACTGGAGCTAAATGACTAAGAGGCTATCTCAGAAGAGGCACACATATACTACTATATCATCATTCCTGCACATAAAAGATGGACTCGTTTTTCAGTTTATCTTGTCAGTATCAATAAGTAGAATTTCAAGATGCTTAAGATTCTTTTTTACAAGTTATATTCAATATTACATCTGTGGGAGCTTAAATTACTGATCCAATGCTACGAAAGGCTAGAGCATCAGGAATTAAGTTTTAGACCTTCTCTCTGATCCCAAAACAACAAATATTAAGAGATAATGTTTTTGGTCTAGTGCTCCCTTGTCTTGATATACAAGTTATTACAAGTTTCAAAAAAGAATCACCCCAAATTTCAAATGAGCAACCATGAGCTGATATATATCCACATTCGTATATACTATATACCACATGTGGGCATTGGGCCATTTACATTCATGTGAAAATGGCCACACTAAATGAAACCTTATAAGGCTAATAAATCAAAATGCACTTCCAGCCAGAGGTAAAACAAGAGAATAGTAGATTGAAGAAGCAAATCTACAAGTCTAGTATTGTTAGTCAGTGCTCAGCTCAACTCTACCTCCTTAAAGTTCTCTATGAATTGAAGGCTCACATAAGCCCCTGGATATAGCATAAACTGAACGTGGCTAAGACATTATGGACAATTCAACCTACACCGTTGATTTGACCAAAAATCATCCTGAAGTTGCTTCCACAGTAAAACAGAATTTTTTCAAAGTGCAATGAATGGAGGTAAGTATCTACACCCCACATATAATCAATGTACAGAACAAGATACTAACTGAGACAAAGTAATGAAAAACAAAGATTGTATTACAGGTAAAGAGCACCTTTTCAATGGCTTCAATGTAGTGACCTACACCTTCCTTGAATTGCGTACCCCCACCAGGAAAAATCAGATATTCACCAGATTTCACCACCCAATGCTGATCTTTCTTATATTCGACCAGCTTAGGATGGGGAACGTTATCATACCATATCTGTCATAGCAGTAAATGAATGAATTGAGAACTAACAAAAATTTTCTGAACTGAAAGTCACATTCTCAAAATCAAAACAGGGAAAAGGATCTTGTTATTAATATTCATCTTCGATTAAGTAGTTTGTAAATCTGAGGAAGTATCCAGCACGAAACAGAAAAGGCATTAATGGCAAATGACAGATCATTCCAAAAATGGAAAGAATAGCATTAGCTAATTTGGGTACTAGTAGGTTTAACAGCTCAGCTAACTAACCGAAGTTCATAAATCCGATCAGGACAAACGCACAAAGGAGAAGTGAGCTTCCATAAACAAATCACTCATAAATTTTTTATAAATATTAAAAAAAAAAAAATTGAACTCTTACCACTAAAGAAGAGTAGGGGGTATCAAGCTCACCATGTCCCTGCTCTTAGGCCACGGAATCGGCATCTTGTACCCTGGCGGCAACGGAATCAAACACCTGGAGCTCGGCTCCGTAGGGCAATGCCTCTCTTTACGTTCCAATTTTCTATAGGCTTTCATAGCCTTCCAATTATCCAAACAGGGGATGAAATCAATCATTCCTGGACCCTCACATAATTTCCAAGTAAATGTTGTTTCCGGTGCATCATCGCCGGAAGGACTAGTAGTGGAGTTTTTTAACGAACCGGCGTTTTCTTGCTGAGGCGGAGACTGAGTGATTACATTTACACCGGCGTAAGATCGGAAGGCAGAGGATTGGGAGCTGGAGAAGAGGAGAAAGGCCGCAAAAAGTGAGATGACGAAGACTACGCTAGCAATGAAGGGGTATTTTCGCTCTTTGAATAGCCCAGGTACTTCAACTATCGCCATCAAGAAAAAGCTTTCGATCTTAGAGCTAGGAGCTGTCAAACAAGATCACGAACCGCCGGTACGGTGGCGCGTGGGGATCGAGCGGTGATCGTGTGAGCTGGATGATGATAATACTAATAATGAGGGAATCATGAAAATCCGAAAAATGGTTGGGTCGGATTGGACTATTTTTCGTGAATGTCCGTGTAAGATTAAGATATTACTCCCAGACTCCCAGTAATGATGTTGACATGGATTTAAAAATACTACGTCACTGGGTGGGTCCATTTTACAAGTCTGAAGAAAAATTACCTAAATTAATGTTGACCCCAACATTTCACTCGCCTCGCTGTAATCAGTATTAATTATGCTTAGAACAATTAGTGCTCTCTCTCTCTTTTCTTTTCTTTTTTTTTTTTTGGTTCTTTTTTAGGAAAATATACCAACTAGAAATTGAATAGTGTAATTGTTTCATCAAAGAATAATTGTAGTCAAATTACCTCGAGATTTGATTTTTCTGAAGTTTTGAGCGAATGACATCTTAGTTACTTTTGAATAATTGTAGTTGTGAATTTCTTTTAAACAAGTGAATTATTATTGACTCAGAGGTACATCTTGATATTATCACCAGATAGAGAACTATAAACATTAAAGCCTCACTCATTCATGCGAATTATTTGAGGTAGTAATGATGCTAACATCATCCACAATGGTTCAAATTATCATACTATAATGATATGACATGTCATCATTTTGTAATACTACTTTTAATTAAATTTTTATGTATGTTAGTTTAGACACCATAAAAGTACTCCCTTCATTTCAAAATGCAAGTCATTTTAAATATCTATTTTATCTAACAATTAATTTATGTGTTAAATATCTATTTTATTCCTCGTTAATTACATTAAAGCTATAAACAAAACTTACTAAAAATAGATTGGCATCATTTATTTAGGGCAAAGTTAGAAAAGTAGTCATTAATTTGACTAGAATTTATAAAACGAACTACATTCTGAAAAATCTCTCCAAACCTAAAACGACTTACAAATTGAAATGGAGGGAGTATATTGTAATCAAATCACTAGAGAATGATCATAGAGCCATTATCATATTATTAATTGCATGATAACTCACGAAACCATATAATTAATAGTATAAGAATCCTTACATCGTTACAATTTATTATATTTTGAGTGATGATAAATAAAGTAATAAAATGGTAATTCATCTAATATTTGTCACCATTAAAAATGCTCAAGAATTGAAAAATACATCTCCTCGTAAAACACTCGACGATAGGACCAATCATCACATATATATAGTCACTCATTGTATGTACCTTTTGAGTCCATGTTGAAGACCATCAGTTCTGAAGTTGATCAAGTTCTTGTGACTTTTTTTTTTCCTTCTGTTTTTGCCGAAAGGGCAAATCAATGATAAGTAATATCATCAACAAAAAATAGTGAAAAAGATAGCATTTTCCTTCTTACTCAAGGAAATTTTTTTTGCACGAACCGAGTATACCCCTATTAATGTGGGAACGGTTACCGAATTTACTCCCCACCAAAAAAAAAAAGAAAAAACAAAAAAACTCATCACTATCTCCTAATAGCTCTGCTAATTAGTGGTTAACCGTAACCTCCATTTCCTCCCACGATCTCTCTATCTCTCTCCCCTTTCTTCTCTGTCAATATCTAAGAAGGCTATCCATCAACTACACGCACTCACACACTGAAAATACACAAAGAACAACTGTTAATATAAGTTGGTTAAGACTTTGAGGTGAAAAGGAAAAAAAAATCCCAAAATCTAGTCCATTTCTACATTTGAGTCCACAGCATCTAAAAAACAGATTCACTGGTTTATCTATTTTACCAAAATTAAGACACTGAAAGGAAGTACTTCTTCCTTCTATTATTACTCTTTTCTTTCAGTGTAATCTTCTGAGGTGTTTTTTTGCGCACTCATTTACACTCGGACAGTTTTCAGTTTTCGCTATCATTTGGTCTTTTAAGCTTCCTTTTATCTTTTTCACTCTTTTAACTGTTAGGCCTATTTCCCTTTCTACTTGTTGGGCATATTTTTTTACGTTTTTTCAGTTTATAAAACATGGCATTGAGCTACTATTCATCATCATCAAACTGGCCGGGAGAGCTCGAGCACCTGAATTCAGAGATTAACATGTTTTCTGCTGCTGATCAACTTGATGAAGCAGAGTATTTAACTGACATCCTTGGCCTGAATGATAATAACTGCCACCATCACAACTCGATTACTCTCCCTGATTCTTACAACATTGATCCTTTCTTTCTTGCTTCTTCCCATGACTCGTTTTATGCAGAGAATTACACTAACATCGACAATACCCTTTATTCCATTTTCCCTGAAAACGATTATTCCGAGCCTTACTCTGACACGAAACGCCAAAAGCTGTACGACGACGGATGCTACCTTAACAGTAGCAGCTCTGAGATTGATGATAACGGATTGTTGCAGAGTTTATGCAACGGTATCGGGTTTTTCCCGGACCCGCCAAGTCTGCTTTCTCCTGAAATTCTGTCTCCAGCGCCGTTGGGTTCCAGTTTTGGGTGTGATAATCCGCCTGTTTTCAGCATCGGAAGCAGGGAGATGATGAATGAGAAGAAGGGCGGGAGTGGAAGTAGCAATATTAGTAATGGAGGTGGGGGAGGGTTAAAGGTGTCTGCTCAGAGCATGGCTGCGAGGCAGAGGAGGAGGAAGATTACAGAGAAAACTCAGGAGCTGGGGAAGCTTATTCCTGGGGGACAAAAGATGAACACTGCTGAAATGTTTCAAGCTGCTTCCAAGTACATCAAGTTCTTGCAAGCTCAAGTTGGAGTTCTTGAATCCTTTGCTTCTTTAGTTGACAATCAGGTAATGAATGAATCAACGAATGGGAATCCTTCACGGGGTCAATTGAATTTCTCTGAGAGTTTCGTTATTTATGTTATTGATGATAGTAAATCTGGACACTTGATTTTCAGGGCAATGGGGAAGAAATTCAGTATGAAGAGCTTAATCCTCTGCTTAGGTCTTCTCTGATTCAAGAAAAACTCTACTCAATGGACAAGTGTTTGGTCCCTGAAAAATTTGTTCAAGCCATTGCTAACGACAGTCGCATTCAACCAATCATTGGTGCCTTCTTCAACGACTTCAAAGAACTGATCGGTGGTGGCTAACTAATTTTGATCCATCCAGCAATTTCTTAGGGTTGTAAATTTCAATTCTTAGTCACTAATTAGTACTAGGCTAATTTCTAGGTTACTAGTTTCTTTTCCTTCAATTTTATCATGAGAAGATGCATCTGTAACTTTTTTTTTTTTTTTGGGGTTAAAATTGCTCATATCATCATTCAATCACCGGGACACTGAATTCCCGAATTTGTATGAATTGAACTCTGCAGTAAAAATCATTTCCTCCTAAATCACCAACTTGAAAAAACAGAACACACTTTTCCGAGGACAAATTTCTTCAACATCGCGGCGCTCTACAATGTGCATAAAATAACGAATATAATTGCAATATATAACGATGATACACAAAATCCAATTAATTCCAAAAACAAAGCATCACGTAACATCACACTTACTAAAACATCAGATTTCATTCGTACTTTCAGGGTTACTCATAGTACTATCTCTTTTTCTTGGGACACGGAAGGCCTAAGTAAGTGTTGTAAGGATCATGTTTGCAAAGCCAATCATTAAGTGCAGATGGATCTTTCTTGAATTTCGGAACTTTTTTCAAGGCTTCAATGTAGTCATTAGGCAACCTCGCACCCTTTCCTTTAAGCCGCCAACGTCTGGTTGATACACAAAAGTAGTCCCGACAACGTAAAAAGTCATGACTTGTGTCCCAATTCGGCGGTCTCGATGGTGGATCGAAGGCCATCATAACACACGTGTCTACCAATTTATAGCCATCATCAGCTTCTTCAGCTTCCTTTTGCCTCGCCAGCAAACTTGTTCCAACCGTGTATGGGATGAAGAACGTCCACAAAAAAATAATGATTGCTGCTGCCTTTGCCATTGATTGGATTGGAAGGACGGAATTGATCAGTCAAGGTTAATCACTCGTTTAATTTTGATGATAGTAACCACCAATGTAAGTAGAGATAGTCAGGGCATCCGTATCAAACTGTATTTATACAATAAGTACGGTTACAAGGCAATTGCGTAACCCTAAATCGGATTATAGCAAGGCCCATTAACCCTCTCTTCCTTTTTGTCCCGTGTCTAAAAATAATCGATATCAATTTATTTTCTTTCCTAACAAGCGAGAAAATATCTTATGTAGTATCATGATCAGCCTATCAGATCTTAATCTTAATACTGATCCCTCATCTAAAATACCATGAATATTTCAAGACAATATATACAGATAAGATCTTTAAAAATTTAAGGACTTTCCGTATTGATTTAGTATACTCTCATATTTTAATCTTCTTATCAGGGCGCCAAAAGCCTTTCTCCCCAACAAGAAACTGTTCTTGATAAATAGACACTGACCAATGAAGTGATTCCAAAATTGAAAAGAGCTTATTCATCATCTCTGTGTTGTCCTGGACGAAAAGTATACCCCCCGGTCTTAATACTCGGTCGATCTCCACAACGACATCCACAATGTCACATCTGAATGAAATCAAGAACATGAAACTCAGTATAGATCCTGAGACATTGCAGATTTTAGTTCTAAAATTGAACAGGAGTAACATACCTCTGAGTTAAGTTTTTGAAGAGGAAACTAGAATGCAAAAGATCATACGTTCTAGGATATGTGTTGAATGACTCGCACCAATCATGGTATACTCCTATTAGCCCCCTATCAAAGATTACAGAGAGCGTATCTGGCCCGTCGATTGGGACAACATTCATTACCCACAAGGGTTTATCAATGAGAGCTGCAGCAAACCTATAACCAGTTTTTGTGAGGATTAGAATAATGGAAAGCTGGGAACCAAAAAGGACTGACTACGGAAAATAACTTTCCAAGAATATATGCATTTCTTACCCTCCGTAACCAGCATTCATGTCCATTACATTTCTCACCCTCGACCAGTTAAATGGAAGACCACCAAGGTAAATTTCCGAGACAAGGCCAGACCAATGCTTTGTGTCCTCATTGAAGATTTCCAAAGCATCTCCTTCACTGGATAAGCTTGTTGGTTTATTGTTCAACCTTTTAGGCCAGGGTGCCGGCCAGTTGGAACCATCATTGCCCGTTGGTGGAAGAGAGGGTAGGCATCCCTCCAGAGGCACATACCTGCGGCGAAAAGTTAGTTCACAAAAAATTTCAAGGAAAATGCAGTGATCAGAATGAAATACATCAAAAGGGGTCTAAATATACCATGAACTGTTAGGTCTATTGTGCTGCTCACACAAAGGCGGATTATTTTCCTTCCGATTTTGATAGCAAGAAGATGAAATAGGCTTTTGATATATAACAAGACCAACCCCTGCTGAATCAAAAAAGGTTTTGGTCACCGTCTTCCAGCACAATGCTTCAGTAAGTGCAACCATCGCTGTCAAAAAAGGGCCAGAACTAAATATTGTGAATTGTAAGATAATAAAAGTTTTCCAAAAATATAAATAAAACTGTAAGGTAACCGCTTCAAAGAATATCAACATTTAAAAAATAATTGTACTTCTTCCTATTTTGTGAATTTAGATCTTGTGATGCTTTTCACCAAACCCTAGGGGTAGTCATCACAATGATAATAACGAGAAAACAAAATGTTACAGTGATTACCTTTCCAAACATTTTGATCTCTTTCCTCAGGGCGATAAACTGGTGTAGCAGACCAAATAAAGTATCCTCCAGGCCTGAGAATCCTGTTCAGCTCCATTAAAGGTTTTCCACCTGCGGATGCAAAAATCAAAAGCCCGAAAGAGGAATTGGTTCTTCAGACAAATTACAGAACCAGGATTGACGAAAAGTATATAATGTGCTACCATCTGCATCCCAGTGAACCCTGCATCTCGCACAATGGATCAGATCATACACATTATCAGGAAACGGCAACCTTTGGGTCCCAATAACTGACAGAGTAGCAGGGATTCCTCTTTCGAGAGCAAATTGTATTTGAGCTTCATGTTCATCCTTCGGGGCAAATGACATGGTTAGTACATCTTTTTTCAGCAGGTAACCTCCAAAGCTAGCAACACCGCAGCCTACATCTAAAACAACCCGAGTGTGCTTTCCCCAACCAATACTTGGTAAAGTCTGAAAGTAGGTAAGCAAAAATTTGTGATTTAGAGAGAAACAAATTTGATAACATTATAGAAGTAAAGCATTAAAGTGATGATTGATATAATGGATTTCTAGACTCCAACTTTTCAACCATCATAACAGAAAGGAAAGTAATTCCTCCATTCATGCCTCATTCTGATCTCATTTCACCTTTTCCCACTTTGTAAAACACTTATGCACCACATCAACACTAGCAAACATATCTGTAATGCATGGCCTTCCACCAATAAGGCTTTTCCTCATCGGGTATATTTTAAAGTTTTCAAGAACCTTCACACAAGCAAGTTCTAGGGTCAATTGCACTATGATGTATTGACTTGGGGGGTAAGGATACCATTGGTTCCAACAAGACGAGTAATTATATAACATTATTCTATCTGGAACCATCCACTAGGCACAAACATGGCTTATGAACTTGCTAATTTATAAGCTTGATGTAATAACTAGAGGAAATGATTTGCAAGATAGAGGATATACGTTTGTTTGCTAAATGGATACCTTCTTGATGGCCTCAACGTAATGATCAACTCCATTCTTAAATTGGGTGCCACCACCAGGAAAAATAAAATAATCACCGGATTTGACCACCCAATGTTGGACCTTCTTGTACTCAACCAGCTTTGGGTGTGGAACATTGTTATACCATATCTGTTCAAAACACAATCTACAACAATCAGCAAAAAAAAATGTGCAAAACAGAACAACACTTCATCGAGTAGTGTTTCTGAACTAAGTACCATTAGCATGTAATGATGGTGAATAATTATCATAGAAAATATGCCCCAGTCTAGTTTAGATGATGATTATCATTATACACAAAACTAACAAATCATAAAAATTGAGTAAAAGTGAAAACGTGAATGGACCATTCAAATTGGCCATCCATCAAAAAGACAAATAACAGAAACGAAAATTTCAGTTTTCTCATCAGTTACTGGTGGAAAGTTTCGGGAATAGTATAAGAAATGGCAGCATCCATGCAAAGCTAGACCATTCATTCAAATTAGACCATCATCATGGATACCTCTACACCGACAATATCTCAAACTCCCAAAAATCACAGTAGAAATGTCTTTAATAAATTAGTACGAAGGCAGAATCATGAAACAGAGAAAAAAAAGCCATGAAATGTTGCCAAAAACGAAGACCACAAAGTCTTACCGACAGAGTGGTAGTATCGATATCTCACCGTGTCCCTGCTCTTAGGCCAAGGAACTGGAAGCTTATAACCTGGAGGCAAAGGGACCAAACACCTTGGAGCTGGGTCGGGGCAATGTCTTTCTCTGTGTTCCATGTGCCTCCTCGATTTCAAGGCCTTTATGGCGTTCCAGTTATCAAGACAGGGTATATAGTCCACAGCCCCAGCAACGCCACAGAGCTTCCACTCGAAATCAACACCCGCACCAGAGGGAGAACTAGCGATCGAATCATTGATCGGAACCCTTGCATCATCGCGCGGCGGAGGCGGAGGAGGAGGCGGAAGCGGCGGCGGCGGTGGTGGGGCAGCAGTCACCACCGTGTCAGTCCATGTCGGCGGCGGGGAGCTGGGAGTGGTAGTATTGGGAGGGGGTTGTAAAATGAGTGAATCGGACTCTGATTTAAGGGAATCAGAAGGGATGTCATTGGAGGAAGGGATGTAGATTGGGGATTGAGAGTTGGAAATGAGGAAAAAAGTAACGGCGATGAGCAAGATGAAGAAAGCTAAGATGAAGGGGTATTTCCTCTCCTTGACCAGGTCCTGCATTGATGGTACTGCCATTCTTCTTCTTCTTCTTCTTCTTGTTGACCCGTAAAAGAAAAAGGGCTCGGGAATGCTACAGAATCATCATCTCGTGGGAATGGGGCTAGTAATTTGACTAAGAAGCAAAGTTGTTGGAATACAAAATTACAACAGGGAGGTAGAAATGGGAGAAGAGAAGAAATGGGGATGGAGGTGGGAAAAAATCAAAAAAGAGTATGGGAGTGGGGGAGGAAGATTAGTAGTAATGTTAATGTCATCGTCATTGGCGACAACGTGGGGACGCTTATCAGCAATAAAATCTATGATTGGTTTATGGAATTTCTTTCTGTTTTTCTGGGAATTAATGAGGGCTATGTGACATGTGCATCGGGGTTACCCCTCGTTCGTGCAAATGGCTGAGGGGAGAATCCAATTTTAAAAGTCAACAAATTTCGGGGGATTTCGCAGTTACGTTTACATTGCTATTGGTGGTTAGATGACGTTAACGTGTAAAGTGAAAACCTCGTCGGTGCTGGGAAGAAGAAAAAGGGAAGGCGGCGGGGCTGTGCCTAAAAGAGAGATCCGGCAGTGCGAATTGGCTGCCCGTGTTTCCTTCCCCTACCTTCTTCAGTGATTGTTGCTTCACGGTTCATCAAACCCCACCGCTTTGTTAGTAATTACCAAAATTAACTATTGCAAAACATAAACATCTAACGTAGAATTCAGGATTCACAGAGCAACACTGGTACGCAATATTAGTTGCAGAACAAAACTTTGCTGTATTTCATACCCAATTTCTTGCAGTATGAGAAAGAGAGCTGCATGCTAATAAATAACTGCTGAATGCGTTGCAAAACTACTCAAAACTTTAGGTTGTTTTTGTACATCTCTTTCGAATGCTCAAATCAGTGAGGAACAAAATCAACAATGGTCAACATGCAGGCGATGATGTTTTCATTCTGTGATGCCCTGCCCGTTATCCAGATCAATCTCTCCCATTCCTGTATCTTCTTCCTCTTCACTATCCTCATCCCCGCTTATCTCCTCGTTGTCGCGACTTAGCTTAGCCATATGTTCAGCAAGCAATTTATCCTCACGTTCACTCACCTGGAGCAATGAACAATGATTATGAACAAAGTTGAGATAACAAAACACAACTAGTAAACATGGGGGTGAAAGCAACACAATACAGTAAAACAGTCGTACAGAAAAGGCTACAACACATTTAAACAGAAAATGAAAGAGCAAATGACTTATACTCACCGCTCTAGGTGCTTCCTTAACAAGAAGTTTTCCCTTGTGGCGTTCTATTTCTTCAGCGCAAGCTTTGATTGCTTCGTTCAGAACAGCTATTCCTTGCTCCTGCATTACGATTCAGAATAATTACGAATTATACAAATAGTCACATACCATTAGTCACTGTTGGAAAATGCATATTTAATTTTGTATTGAGAGTGGATGAGATGATTCCACCATCCATTTTCAGCCTCCTGTCTAATAAGCATATAAATATAAAAAAGCTCCGATGTTAAAGTATACTTCATAAATTCTTTTCCTACATCATGCCAGGTTTCACCATCTCTTCAGACATGTGGCAATAATAATCAAGTATGTCCTCTGAACTTGTCAAGGACATAAATTATGCGATAAACAGAATCGGCTGCGGAGCCACTCATAAAAGTTTAACAAAATATACTGAAAAACGCAGAAACTAAAAAGGAGCTGTAAGTATCAGCGACAACGCCAAAAAAATACTCACGTCTTATTAGCAATAAAAAGGCAAAGGTTGCGCGCTATCTTTTAATAATGTGCATAATGATCATATCAGCAACAGCAGAAATATCTTTACCTTGTCGAGAGTCTGGGTGTTGAGCACATAGGCTGGAGGAGCAACAAGTTTAATTTTGACAGGGCAATCCTTGTTACCCGCAGCTTCAGCTTTACGCATTGCTTCCTTCAGAATAAGAGACAGGTTTTCAGATCATCACTCAAGATTAAAAATAAACATTCTAAAAGCTGCAAAAAGTCACTTATCAAGCTGAATTTTAAAATAACCTTAATGTGAAGAACGCCATCAAACTGGAAACATTTCATTTCAATATCTGCACGAATCTTCAATGGTTGAGGTGTCATTCTTCTACGGATGTTTTTCACCAAGGAATCCTTGACTTCCTCAGTAACAGCAGGAACCACCTTAGTCACCTTCATGATAATAAAAAAGTTTGAATTCATCAGCAATCATCACAGAAAAGGGAAATGAACAACTTTGAATAATATGCAGAGACTACCTCTTGGCCATCAGGACCAATTTCTTTAACTTCACGAGTGAGAGAATTAAGAACTGAATCAGGATCATTGACAATCAATTTGAATGCCTGCAAATCAAATCAGAGATGGTCATAAATTTATTTCAGTGACAAACTAAGAAGCAAAACTTGAGCTTTCCATAAGGTTTCAATGTCTCACCTCAAAAGCATGGCCATATTTTCTGTATAAAGGCCAGCCAATATGGATATACAGATCCTGCCACATATAATTCATTTTGTTAAGCATTAGCCTCAACGAATTTCATAAAAAAAATTGGTGCCAAATCATAACATTTGTACATAACATAGCAATTTAAACTCTACATATACCATTTATTTTGAGAAATCAGGACCAAAATTCTCAATTTAAACCCTTAACAGACTGCATACTTCAATAATTGATAACAAAGCCTTTATATTTTAGTAGCTAGATACTCTGTCTGGCTAAACTTGCACCATTTATCATTGTTAGAAATGTATAGCATAGCATTCCAGAAGGACTCCAAATTGGTCCATCCCCCCTTCCAAAAAAAAAAAAAAAAGCCCAACCCTTACACAAATTACCCATCCAAAAATCTCATAACATGCTCAAATCAGTATCAAAATCAATGGCGTAACCACGGAGAAAAATATCATATACCAGAAGCTGCTAATATAATTCCACAAAAGCAATAAAAGCGGTAATTATTGCAAGTAAAATACCTCAAGGTCAATCTTCAGAGTCTCGGCAACATGACGCATAATGGAGTGAACAAGCTTGCTCTTATTGTACCTCTCTTCACAAGCCGCGATATCCTCTTCAGAAACCCTTCTTTTGCTGAGATCGATGTAGCCTTTCTCCTTATCAACCCTAAGAACCATAACCGGCTCAATCCGACCAACCTTAATCAGACTGCTGATACTCCGAATCCGACGGCGAGAGAGCTCGGAAAACAAGATCATTCCCTCAATGTTATTGTACTCCAGTAGGGAAACGTACGCCCCGCTGTCGGCCATGCTCTTCACCTGTATCATGACCGCCTGGTCCACCTCCGGGTACCTGGCTTCATACATCCGGCACTCCAGATTCGGTGAATTGGTCGCCATGTTCTTCGATTTGGGATGGTGGGCTGAGTGAGGTGATAGAAATGATTAGGGTTTGTGTGCAACGGGGTTTTGCAGTGAAGAGAGAGTGGGGTTATTTTTGGGAGAGACGGAAGGAGGAATTTTTGGTTTTGTGGAGATTTCGTCTACACACAAAAGCGTTACGTTACCTTTGCGTTTTTCGCTGAACTCTTCGCCTGGTTCTTACTTCTTTCTTTTATTCTTTTGTTGCACATAAATCGTTTTTCTGGGAATTTAAATTAAAAAAAAAAAAAAAGCTTTAGTTTTGAAATTTTGTTTTATACAAAGTTTATTATCTACTTCCTTTGTACCCAAGAAAAATAGTTCATATTATATTTGTACGAAACTGAACAATAATTTCAGAATTGAAAGAATACAATCTCTAAACTCAATTGGGACTATTTTTTTTATAAAAAAAAAATTTCTATCCCTTTCTCTTTCTTTTCTCTACCATCTCGGGATGTTCATGGATTGGTTCATACCGATTAAATCGGTTTGCAGTTTGGCTTTACGGGTGGTTTAAAAATTTAATATAAATCCGACAGTTTTGAAAATTATAAATAGGGAATTTTGGTTATATATATTTTCTTGTGCACTAATTTTAAACAAGTTGATGGCTTAGAAAGTTGATGTTACATCTTCTATCTAGTGAAGGAAGATTGAAGTTGCCTCAGGTTCCGTTCCCCGCTAGCAAACTTTTACCATTTTCCAATCATTTTTCCAAGAAAAGGCCAATTTATGGTTTGGTATGGTTTCTAATGTCCACAACCCTATTGTTACTGGTTTGGTTCACATTTTGGCCCAAAAACCAGACTACTTGAATCGTGAACACCCTACTATCATACACGAAATACTCTTTGTTCCTTCTCATTTGTTTGCTATTAAAAGGCTAGTTTATAATTTAATGTGGTTTATAATTTTTAAAATCGTTTTTACTGGCTTAGTTCACGGTTTGGCCAAAAAATCAGACCACCCGAACCGTGAACACCCTACTATCATTCACGAAATACTCTTAGTCTCTTCTCCCCATTCACTATTAAAGGGCCAATTTACAGTTTGGTGAGGTTTCTAATTTTCAAAAACCGTTATTACTAGTTTGGTTCATAGTTTGGCCCTAAAAACGGATTACCCAAACAATGAATATCACTACTATTATCAACAGAATACTCTTTGTTCCTTCTTCCCCATAAAATGTCCAAATGATCCCTTACATTTGGCCTACTTTAATTTACGTTTCTAACATTAACATTTCAATATCGTAGTCCCAAACATTATTTTTTTAAAACTTTTTTGGTGTCATTTCACTGTTTCCTGCCGTTGACATGCCGGAATTAACGTTATTTTTGTCTTTTAATTTAATTTGAACTTTCATTAAAATTTAAATCGTAAAAAATATTTTAAATTCACATTTCATTATTTAATTATTAAAATATTATTTATTAATTTAAAATATTATTATAAAATTTAAAATTGACATTATTTTCAAAATTACTTTTTTCATTTATCATTTACCTTAGATACATAATAAATAGTAATTATGTTACAATTTTAACTTTGGGCCCATTGTAACTTAAAAAATTTACCGAGTTACAGTAAATAATTCAAAATTCAAAAAGTTTTTTTTTCAAAAAAGAAAAAGTAAAACCAAGATTTTTTTTTTACTTTAACCGCTACAGTAAACCTTAAATAGTAATTATGTTACACTTTTAACCTTTGACCCACTATAACTTAAAACACTTACCGAGTTACAGTAAATAATTCAAAATTCAAAAAAAAATTTTAAAAAAAAAGCAAACCCAAGATTTTATTTACTTTGACCACTATAGTAAACCTTAAATAGTATTATGCTGAAATTTTAACCATGGGTCCACTATAACATAAAAAAATTACTGAGTTACAATAAATAATTAAAAATTCAAAAATAAAAAATTAAAAAAAAACAAGAAGAAAAAGCAATCCCAAGATTTTTCTTTTACCTTTGACCGTTATAATAAACTCTAAATAGTAATTATGTTGTACTTTTAACCTTGGCCCACTGTAACTTAAAAAATTTACCGAATTAATTCAATTTTTTTTATAAAAACAGCCAAAAAAAAAGATTTTTGACGTTTGTAACTCGATAATTTTAAATTTTGAATATTTACTGTAACTCAGTACATTTTTTAAGTTACAGTGGGCCCAAGATTAAAAGTGCAATATAATTATTATTTACTTTTTACCTAAGGTAAATGTTAAATAAAAAAGTAATTTTGAAAATAATGTAAATTTTAAAATTTTATAATAATATTTTAACAATTAAATAATGAAATGTGAATTTTAAAATATTTTTAATGATTTAAATTTTAATGAAAGTTCAAATTAAATTAAAAGATAAAAATACCCCTCATTCCGGCATGTGAACAGCCAGAAATATGAAATGGGACCAAAAAAAATTTAAAATATAATATTTAGGACTATGATATTGAAATATTAATGTTGGAGACGTAAATTCAAGTAGGCGCAAATGTAATGTGCCATTTGGACATTTTAGTCTTCGATATTAACAGTGGATGGGAAAGCTTAAATTTTCTTTGTTTTTGGTAGTTACTCCACCTTTTGGATTACCATCCCATATGGAAGTTAATCATTCTCATTTTTTAGAGTTTTCTCTGAGTAGAGATCCCGACTTCAATTGGGCTTTTTAAGTGTCTCCCCGTACCCCCCCCCCCTCTTCATTTTGTAGGGTGTTTCTTTAATAAAACTGTGAAAGAGACGTAGATCCGGGGAATACTAAACAAAAAGAAGATAAATGCGAGGTCAAAATTAAAGAATATGAGGAAAACAGTAGATCCAGAATATCAAGGTCTATCTAACACCAATTGTTAGATCATTCATTTTTTGTTAGTAGATTTTGCTGCTAGATCTTCATATGTACAATGGTTTTTCTTTACATTTTTTGTTTCTCTTATATTTGTGGTGTATTTATTGGTTCTGTAATTAGTGAAGTTGTCACGATCTTGCCAATTTAGCCGATTCAAAATTGTATACATATGTCTTGGATATGTCTATGGTTTGACAAGGAGTTTCGAGCTGACTGTATTAGTTCAATCGTTTAGTTGATTAGCTCGATTATTTTGGTTGGTTAGTTTAACTGTATGGTCGTAATTATTTTTATTTTATACATATATATATATATATTTTCCACTTTTGACAAAAAAAATAGGACTATTTTTCCTTTTTACTTTCATTTTATCGTAAGATGTTTACTCCATTAGCTCCTATTTATAACGTGTACTTTTAAACAATAAGCATTACCGGATCTATAGTATTATACTAAGAAAAAAATCAGAGAGAAAAAACAAATCAAAATTTCTAAAGTACTAAGTAAACAAAAAACCTACATGTCAATTTCTCAAAATTTTGGGAAAAAATAATTTCAGAATTTATGCTAATAATCCTTAAAGTATATTAATAATATCAAATCACCCTAATAACCATGATTATTCAAATTAATTAATTTTAGTATTAAATGCTCTTATTTTGTTTAAAGAAAAATCACCTTAATTTGGTTACAATATTTTTATTTAATGCACGAACTAAAAGCCAAATCATGACTACATTCACGATTTATTCAAACCTAATTAATTAAAAATTTGTACTCTTAAATAATAAAAAAAATTATTTAATGATTTTAAACTAAAATCAATCCAAATTTATACATGACTTCCCAAGAATCCACATAATGGGGGATCCAAAAAAACCCTACAAAAGATAGCATACTTCACTGTTATAGTAACCTGACAAATTTTCTGCAGTCATCACAAAAACTTTCAAGCAGTTCTCATATTTTAAAGAAAAACCAACAAAAGACTTGACGTCAATTAGTCCAATCTAAATTTAACAAAAATTGCATCGAAATTCATTGAGCTTGAAACACTATTTTGCCTAAGCTTATATTATGCATCCCCCAATTAAGAATTCTAAATTCAATTTTAAGATATAATTGGATATCATCAATCTTACAATCAATTAGCAATAAATACAGTATCAATTCAAATCAATGGATGATGATCATATCATCTTTACACCCTCAATTATTGCTAAATTAAGTTTGAATTACCGATAACATATGGTGATGACCTAACGTCGAGTATAACTATTCCCTTTGGACGATCAGGATAGCCTCAATCACTGAACACCATATACTTCTACAATGTTCACAGTATTCTCTCATGTCCATCCTTCTCTTATCATCTATCACTTGACTTGCGTCTTATTCCAGAAGAAATCTAATTGTGCAGTGCACGATTCGTATTTAACAAGAAGTTGTGTGATGTCCTACAAAGAAAGAAGCCCACTTAGATTTACACAAAAAAGTGGCTTTCTAGATTTAGCAAAATTTAGCCTTTTATGAGGTTAGATTTTTTATTTTTATTTTTTCATTCCAAATTGATATGTATGATTTTCAATTATAAAAGAAATACTAAAGGAAAAGTTTTTTAAAAATTTTATTATTCAAAAAGATAGTAAAACATCTGGAGTATGATTTTTTTCAGGACGTAACACATAAAATCTGCTTCAGGTCTGAAGAAGATCGCATAATAGAAGCAACGGAGTTCTGGTTTTTTTTTTTACATTTTTTTAGTAACACCGAGAATCCCACCAGAGATGGGTAAATCCACACCCACTGCAATAGTCTACAAACCATAATGGGAGGTAAACCACTCTAGGTAAGTCCGGGGTGATAAGCTCGGATGCGAAATCGGGAGTTCATGATTGGGTTTGTCACAACAAACCTTCTAGAGGAGTCATTCAGCCAGATTAGAGCCACACCCTCACTCTTGTTGGAGTGAGAGTTTGAACTCATGACCTCTTCTTGAGAGCAATGGTAGTTTTACCGCTGAACCATTACCTCATTCGCACAAAGTTCTGATTTTGATAGAACGTTATGTTCTTTATCTGGATCCTAAGCTATTTATCATCTGTCCAAGACAAATAATACACCTTAAAATTTATGAATTTTATTGTTCTAGTTTACTTTATGATGTAGTGTGTTTTTTCTTTTTGTTTTTATTCCCAGCTAGGTTGAATGGGAAAAGGTGACAAACCATTTAAATTAAATAATTGTAATGCAGCAAAGTTGAATGTTTCAATTTAGTACTACTTTGATAAGTGCACATTTGGCTTGAGATGTATACAAACTGAACCTAATGGCTTTGGCCTTTATGTATTGAAAACACTCACAAGAAAAATCAAATGTATGAGTCATAGTGATTGAAAGATTGAAAGTTTTTGTTGGAAAGAACATATTTACACCTCACATAATTATTTACAATAGTGTATGCCGTCTTTAGAATAGAGATTGGCTCGAAATTTATGTTGCTCAATTTATTTAATTTTGTAAATACTCCCTCCGTCCCATAATTATTGTCCAATTTGAGTTTTCATTTTTAGTTTAAATTGTACTAAAAGTGAAATCTCAAAGTGGACAATAATTTTGGGACAGAGGGTGTATTTAATTAAAGAGGTTTAAAGAAGCATAATATTTCAATAAAAATTGTCTTTTACTACTTTTGAACACTAAATAGGGATGGCATCTTTTCTACTACCATCCATTGCTTCACAATGTTATTTAAGAAGTAATATAGATAATCGGCGCATCAAACGGTGTCAAACCAACAAAAATAGATATAACCTACTCCTAACAGATTTGATAGTACAGCAGTGAGTAAGGTCGTCTCCTTAGGGAACAAGTAAATAAATTTATATCTAATTAAAAGTCAAGTAACAGAAGGAAAGTGGTTTTGATTTTTAAATAAGTATAGGACAACTAAAATAAGTAAAACTAGGATGACAAATAAGAGAAAAAGATTTTAGTCAAAGGAATTAGTTCCACCTTAATTCAATTTGATCCTTGATGCAAAGATAAATTCATATAATTCACAAATAAATTGGTTATAGTTGTTGGCACGGCCTAACAACCAGTTTCTCTTTACTTTATCGGTAGTCAAGATACGATCGTTAACTACTTCTCTAATCAAAAGACAACCTTAGAGACGCTCTTAGGATTTAGTGTTCCAACAGCACTAAGACCTAGAGAAACCCAATTCTAATTAACAAACACACAGTCGAAATCATTTAAATTGGATTATTTATTTCCACAACACGCATCGGCTGCTTACTCAGGCAGTATGAGTTGTTGATCTCTACTTTATTAAAACAAAACAAACAATTCCGGATTTGCCGTTTTAAATAGCTATAGATCAATTCGAAATAATCAAATGCTACGCACATATTCAATCAAACCAAATCAATCATAAACCCTAAAATCAGGAAATAAACAAATACTCATGAATATATGAAAAAGATACGTTCAATTAGATCTCACAATTGTCATGAATCAAGGTTTCAATAATTCTTCAACTAGAAAAACGTTTAGCTACTAATCTTAATAGAATCATTAGCGAAAGAGTATATGATTAACGTTACAGAACAATTAGTGACGAAAATTGAGAGAAATCTGCTCGTCTGGAGTTTCAGTTGTGCGTCGACTGCTCTCCCTTTCCTTGGTCTTGTGTTGGCCGAATTTTCTCCACTATTTATAGGGGAGAATGGATGAAAACTCTCCTAATAAGTAGGAGAAGAAATAGGATATAATATATTTTTCCTATTTTTACAAGCTAATTTCCAAATTTGGCTCTTTTGACAACTCATCTCTTAACTAGCAAGAAAACGAATCTAGATCCTTTAAAAGACTCAATACATTAATTCTATTTAAGGAATAGAAGTAGCCTCCAAGTAAAAGATTACTTCTTTGAAAAGAATCGCCTTTTTGAGTGTGAACACAATTTCTTATGGAAAACCTTTCTTCCTTGAGTGTGAAAAGGTTTGCTTGACTTCTTCATAAAGAATAGGAATTTATAACTCAAAAAACTTGGGAAATAAGCAATTAATTCGTCTAAATCCGCAGCTGCCCTCCAAGATTTCCGAAATTATAGTTTGGTCCGTAAAGTTTGCTAAAATTATATTTTGGCCCCAAAACTTTCCTAATTTTGTATTTTAGTCCCTAGTCGAAATTTACATTTTGTTCTTCAACATGATCACGTGCTATATCAACTCCGCTTCTGCCCATGAGCATAAATCTCTTAAACAAAAGCTATGAAAATCTCCAAAATCAACACTTTTCCATCCTTTTCGTCCAAAGCACATCCTATAACAAAATTAAGCATAAACACCAATATTAGCATAGATATTACTCAAAATAACACATAAATCACCATAAATATTACGCTAATATCGACTTTATCAGAAAACCTTGATCAAACCCCCTCTCCCCCACCCCCCCAAAAAAAAAAGTCTTTTTTACTTGAAAATATTAAATTTAGATCATATAATAATGAAACAATTGACAATAGAATTTCATTAAAAAAAATTAATGAGGCTACATGTCATAATACTGTATATTTTTGCATTCAAATTTAATATTTTGTATTCTTACGATAATAAGATTGCTGTGTTTTTAACCGCGTAGACATAAAATGCTTCGATTTATATGACATGGAACATCTAATTTATTATTTGGTGGTCTTATTTACTTTTATCTGTATATAATCCTTATACATATTGCATTATTAATTAATTTTTTTGATGTGCAATTTATAAAATACTGTGATTCCAAAGTACATACGTAATAATTTTATTTATCATGATCTAATTTATTTTTAATCATATAATATTTACTATTACAAAATACAAACCAATTACTTTATTTGTATTAATAACATTTAAAAATTTAAAATACTCTTTCATAGATGCATATGTATAAACCCCGCACATCGTGCGGGTTTAACATCTCGTAATAAAATATAAACAGTTGTTTCTCCATTCATTTGGACAAAGAAGAAAAAAAAAAAATTTGGGGAGCTTGCAATGTGGACTGTAGAGACAAATGATCATGGTCTGAAAAATGAAAAAACAAAATTATCATCGTCGACAGCAGGATTCGAACCTGCGCAGGCAAAGCCCAACAGATTTCGAGTCTGTCTCCTTAACCACTCGGACATATCGACGATTTGTTTAAGTAGATTGCAAAAATTTTAAATATTCAATTAAAAATCAATGTTGGTGAAAGAAATAGGACGCCCACCGTGGGGCTCGAACCCACGACCACAAGGTTAAGAGCCTTGCGCTCTACCGACTGAGCTAGACGGGCTTGTTGAACTGGTGCCTGAGTTTAAAGTAAAAATACGATAACTACTAAGCATATTTGCCATGTCCTTTTACCAGAGCATTTGCAGTATATCTTAACGCTTGATGAACCTCATCTTATAGTGTTTTTGTTCCGAGCCATCCTTGATCAGCTACTGTCTAGACGTAAATCATCTTCTCCCCGCTGTCTCCATAAGGAATTTAGGATTCAACTTATAATTCATTAAACTGACGAGGGTGTAGAACGAAAGCCGTTTTGAACCTAATTTGATAGTGTTTCGACTCTGACCCATGCTTCATTTCCAAACTCCAGTCTCCAGCGTCTCTCATTTAATAGAACTTATATAGTCCATTAATGATTAAACTGAAATTTTAAGGATGTTGATGCGATGTCATATGAAAGACATGCATGTAAGACTGCCCCATTGGAACATTCATAAACGTGCTTACTGATGTTGCTGGAATACTAATGGGTTCCATATTTCTACGAAATCACGATTCTTAAATGGGTAACAGGTTGGCTGAGAGAATTCCATTGCTCTCAGAACAGTCCCTGCACCTGTTCTGATGCAAATCTCACCATCCTCAAAGCAGGCCGCATATGTATTCCTTCCCAAGCCTAAAGAGTAGAAGGACACAGTTGGCTCCGTCTGCACCCAAAAAAAAAAAAAGAAAGGAAAGAAAAACGCTCTAAAAGGAACGATATCAAATTCTATTTCAATTCTCTTTTCCACCCTGAAAATAGTGGCGGAAGAGGTGCAGTATCTATCCAGGAAGACAAACGGCCCTTAATCCTCATTTAGATACAACAACATTATCAATATTCCTCAGCTAGTCAACTGTCATAAGTGACCGACCCTACCCTACTTGGCTTTTCAACTTTCACAGCAAGAACTTGCAAAAGCTGGTAACTGGAAATAAGGTACTCCCTCCTGGCCAAAACAAGCTTCTTGTTTCTTGAAACCCAGGTACAACAAATAGAGCCCTTATTTTGGGACAGAGAGAGTAGCATTTATCCCAACTCAACAAGGGTTGCTGGGAAAAACTGAACGCCTGGCACTAAGCATACATGTTAAGCTTGCTACTTTACCTAGAAGTTAGAGTTCAGAATAGGCAGGAACGTCAACTTTCTTCCAACTGCAAAGCCATGCAAAAACACTTGATAACCAGCTTCTTGGTGTGGTTGTAAGTTTTTCCTCTGACTTCTCATTTGCATTGCACAGGGTCTCATAGTTATGCTTCAAATGTGGTGCGGCAATTACTTGCTGAAAGAACCAAGGAAAAGTTTTTCAGTAGAGTTCATTAAAACAGAGTTTGACTTATGAAGTGTGCAAGAAATGATACCTTGAATACTTCAAATGGACAGAAATCCGAATTATTACAACCCTGTATACAAGAACGAATTACCAAATTACCATGTAAAAATTTCAAAGGCACCAGATTCGAAAAGAAAAGGGAAAAATCGTATCAAAACATAAAGCAAGGCTTTTGAAATGCTGAAGAAGGTAAAATAGAAATGACCAGGCACTGGAAGATTTTAAAACATTGACAAAATGATAGAGAAGCAAAGTAGATACGTCAATTGGTAGAAATGTATTAGGGCCTAGATGAAAAGTTAATCACAATTCACATATAACACTAAGAAGAAAGAAGGTCTAAGAAAGTTTAGAATTGGAGGCATCACTTATGAAGACACATTTTCTGAAATATCGAAAAATAAAGGTGGCAGCTTACCGGAAGTGGAACTGGGTGTTCATTATGCAGTACGTGTACAAAATATCTCGTAGATTTGTCATTTTGGCAGCCATAAAGCACTAATATGTTATTTCCAGCAAATGGTGCCACAACATTGCTCCGCCAATTCCTCCTTTGTGAAGGCTTTGGAGGGAGTTGTAAAGATTCTTCTCTTAAGATTTGCTCGAATTCTGAAATTCAGTAAAATATGCCTTAAGAACTAATCTTCTAAGAGGTTTACTGAAAACACTCAGATGGTAGATCCATTTACCAGGTCCTTCAAGAAACAGGCCGAGCAAACATGAAAAGGGAACCAAAGTTTCTGCATGCGCAACACGCATCCGTGCCTTCTCAAAACTTCCAGTAACATATCCTTCTACAAGGAACATTCAGAAATAAATGATTAGAAAAAAGGTAAAAGAAACTTTGATTTCTCATGCCCATTGTGACTGCAAAATTTAACTTTCTGTTTTTGGAGCTATTAGTACGCAACAAACGCACTATGAACCTACAGTCAAAATGGTTATTATGCATGACTAACAAGTCAATTTCCTCATGTACAGAAGGAAGTTGGTTAAGCTGAGACAAACCAATTTCTCATTCGAATAATCACTACTCTTTTATCTCCTCTGCTCTTACAAGATCCAATACGAATGATTTCCTAGCATTTATAATCAACCATGCTGTAGGATTACATTTTAATGCTAACACAGTCTGAAAAGGTCAATTCCTAAACAGATAAAAGTCATCCGAGTATGTGCTTATCTTGGAAAGTTAAGACGATTGTACTGGAAGTTGAGGGTATAAGTAAGAGTTACCTTCCTTGGCATTAATTGCTTGCTCCATTGACTGGATAACATCTTGCAGCAAAGGCACTCCCATTCTATAGTTTAATGAATTACCATAGCCTTTCAGTATGAATGTCTCAAGGTCATCAGTCCACTCCAACAAGGCGACCTAAAAGATGTTTTACTGATCAGTCAGAATCAAATATAAAGACATGCCTGGCTAATTAAGGGAAGTGCTCCTTTGTGCAATCATAATCAAAGCCTGTGGTGGAGTGGTTTTATCAAATAAACACATTACAAGAGTCCAGGGACATTGGATCAAACCTCTGAAGGAGTAAATAATGCACAAGCTTGGTTGGTAATCTCCAGCAAAGAAGCTTCCTGGCATAAAAACAAAAGTTAGCTTCTGGTAAGATTAAAAAAAAAAAATTAGACGGGGGCTTCCGGGGTAAAAATTTTGATTCAACACAAAACCTGTTTGCACAGAGACCACAACGACGATGTATCCTTTCTTGTGAAATTGAGCCCATAACGGCGAACTAATTCACCTGTTATTTCGTCCAAGACAGGTTCCTTGAGTTTATCAACAGCAGGTGCCTGACTTTTCCTAAAACCCTGCATCCAAAAATTGAAGGGTCTTTCTCTCAAAAGTTTGTTCCACCAAATTACAGAAGTTGGGTTTCAGAAGGAAAAAAAAAAAAAAAAAAACCTTGTAATTCTGACAACAATCATGAAACCTCAACATTGTATCACTAGCACGGCTTTCACTTATCACAGAAAATGCACGATGACGTCCGGGACCTAGATTTCCTTTTCCACTGAAGAGTCCCATGCCAAACGCCACGGCACTAGCAGAGGCCCGAGGAACCTATTCAATCAATTAAAAGAAACATTTTTAAGCAAAAATGTGAAAATGAAACAGAATGTGCAATCTTTCTGTACTCATCAAGATCTATCATGCCACATTATTGTGAATGTGCTGCACTCATCATGATCTATCATGCCAAATTATTAGAAAAAGAAAACAGAATGCAATCTTGGGTGGTAGAGATGAGAGGATACTTTGTCACACGAATTCCCCGTAGTCATTAAAAAGAAAAACAGGATCAAATTTGAAGAGTAATGAGAAACTTGTATTAACTCTATACCCTCTCTCTAAAAGCAAGATAAGTCTTAAAGGAATTTTTTGTTAAAGCAAAGCCAGCACAAATGGATACAATCCCAGGGTGAGAAAAAAAAAATCTTAGACGGACAGGTACAAAACTTCAGCATTCACAGACAGCACATGCGATGGGCAGCAGTTGTGATACTTCAGTTTTTCATCCGAGGAGCAAAGTAGTGGTACAATTGATCCAAAAAAATCACTCACTGATGAACCCAAAATGATAAGTACCATAAGAAAAAGATTTGAGCAAACAAAATCATCACTAGAGACCGAGCTAAGAGACCTTCCAGAACGCTATTTGCAGAAGAGCCTCAAATACGCAGAAGTAGAAGCCAAGTGGGAGGATCTCATGATGAAGCTCAAGTCAGTCAAAAGTGGAAAGAGATGGTTTAGTTAGCAACATAACAGATTCTTTCAGCCCCCAAACAGCTTTTTTCAAAACATTATACTCTTCAATTTTCCAAGAAAATGAGAGAGATTGGATGTTCAGATATAGTATCTTGTAGAATAGATGACTGACAATTGGGAGGTGAATAAACAGTTGAAAAACAGGCAATGAGGTGATCAGAGAGGGAAAAAATCATATTGTATACATACATGTACAGTTAATCCACCATATACTACAACTCAAACACAACAATAGCTTATTACTTCCAATATCAGAATTCAGAGTTGGCCAAATTTCTTTCTGCTCCTGGAGTTGTTGGCGAGTTCGGGATGCTTTTATTATGGATGCAGCAATTGAGACTTTCTCGTTCCAAAATGATTACCATATTGTTGTATAGTACCATCACCGACAAGATTCAAAATTTCAATTATGAAACGCTCAAGCCCCATAGGTGACTTCTCTAAGCAGTCTTAATTACGTTATAGGAAAATTTTCCTCAATTACAAAGTGCAAGTCATTTAATGAAATGCATAATCCCCAATCTTCAACTAGACTGTTCCAAAGACTAGACTAGCACATGGAGGTGCTTGAGTTATCAAATTCCTGATTAAATGTCAACTTTTCAGGCTCTAAAACAGTAAACACATAATTTAGCTATATGTGTCAAGGTTGATCAGTTCTAAATCAGTTTTACAAGACAAATATTAATGTTCATTAGATTGATTCTCTCTTAGCCTTCAAGAGTCAGTAACCGGTTCTCAAATAAATAACGAGTGCACTCAGACTCCGGCATAAGAACCCACGGAAGGGCCGTACCATTGATGTCTGATGCATAGAGGTCTCACCTTAAACCTTAAAAGACCGTTTCTGTGACTCAAACAAATTACCCCAAGACATATGATAACAACTAAGCCAATAAGAGCATGAGCTACAAATGAAAAATTAATTAGATGACAAACCTGTGTGGCTTTTATAGGATATATGTCAGGATGATAGTCCTCATCAAACAATTGCGGGAACTTTTCTCTGATTCTAATACCGAGATGGTACAGGTCATCTTCCCCTTGACGAATCAACTCTCCACCAGTGCGCTTCCCTTTCCAAGGAGATTTCCATTCCCATAACCAGGCGGGGATCTTGTTTAAAGACTCCTTTTGCTCTTTCAGTTCTTGCAAGAGGTATTCCATGCGGGATTCTAAGGCATCAAACTCCTTCATCTTTTTTTTGGTTGGAGCTCGAGTCCCATGCCTTGCCTGTCCAAGAAAACAATTCGCTTAGTTTCATAAAAAATCTCTTGAGGTTCCTTTGTTATATCTCTTGAATTTTAAAGTGCTTATGTATTGCAAAAGGAAAGTTTGTAAACATCATAAAAAGAACATGAAGCATTACAAAATTTCAAAAGCAAACTAAATGCTGTAAGAGATAACTAATGATAGTAACATATCACAGAAGATCGACAATACGATTTCACAGCTGACAAAGTAAGTGAGCGGGTGAGAACCAAGAAACGTAAGTTATACTCAAGAATAAAGAATCGTAATCTTTAGTTTGGGGCAGACAAGGAGAATTCATTTCTTTAAAGATCTCTTTTCCATGATCAACAGAATCGCTAGAGATGAGGACCATAAATGAAACTCCAAATAGAAAAGGCATCGCCTTTGTGCATTTGAATAACAAAATATTAACCAACACACTTAAAAGAAAAATTGAGAGGAACTCCAAACCATTATGTCATAAACAAATCCAAATCAATACTCTCAAGTCAGAGGGTAACTAAAAAGATGTGACATGAGAATTACCACAAGATTTAAATGTATCGGCGTACACTCATCTGGTATTTGTGATGGTACGAATGAATCGCTTGCCATCTCCTGAATAACACCATATCTGAAACCCAATAAGAAAATGTAACATTTAGTTTAGAGGAAGTCATAATCAATGGTTACTGTTCTAAAACAATACTATCACCTTGTTATTTTAACACGTGATCCCCGGAACTATAAACAAATAAAATTTCACAGATTTTGTTGAGCTCATGGCAAAGGCGAGAATGTCAGTCTCAGTTATACCAAACTATTTTTGCAGCAAGGAGTCCAAACTATTTCAAATACAAAAAAAAAAAAAGAGAGAGAGAAAAGGCGCTAGTTCTACTTATCAATCAACCAGACACACCACAATAACAAACGAGACAATAGTAAAATCTCAATCTCTTCTTAACAATGATGATGCGATCGGCCTTCCAAAAGGCAATGAAACAATGCAATTACTCGCCAAGTAAAAAATACCGTAAATTTTATCTCACTCTGGACAAAGTGTTCAAATTAAAATTACCAAGAAAATAACCTCACTATATGAAATCGAACATTTATGCATATAATCATATCACACAGCATTATGAGAATTTATGCATATCGAGAGAATGGAATAGGAGAGACTAACCGCGAGACAGTGGCAAGATGACGCCGGACATCGAAAGTTTCATCGGCGCCGGAAAGAATCGAGAAACAAATGAGTAGAATGGTGAAAATTAGCGCTAATCGGATCATTATCTCTCTCGGTTTTGCGTGCTCTGAGGATATCTTTCAAAAGCTAAAATAGGTCGGTCTTTCAAACAGTAGTATCCAGCATTTTATGACTGACTGCTAGAACTTCAGGGACGACGTCGTTAACCGACCATTCGAGCTTTTCCTTCACGCCAAGTACACTAAAAAAATAACTAGAAAGTAAATTCGAAACTTCAAGGAAACTTCTTCAATGAGTTCTAGAGTTTACCGAAAGAAAAAATAAAAATGGAAATTTTACATTTTTTTTGAGTAAAAAGAATAAAATAAAATAAAATTATGTGTAAGACATGTCTCTAATATAATGTGTTCTTTTTTTTTAGGTAAGGCACTACTTCTTCCTGAGTCTTGTTCTGTCTTTGTCATAAATTTATTGTGATTTTTCTAATTATTAAAAATAAAATCTTAAAAATATATTTCTTATATTTATTGAATTCTCCCAATCAATATAAATTATATATTCAAAATATTATTTTAATTTAAAAAACACAATACGTGAAGCTTAGCTCCAGTCTCCGAACCTAAACTCATAATTCTGTCCCCAAAGTCAAGTGGGACTAATTTTAGGAACAGAGGATTACCATTATTTTTTTGGGGACAGAAAGGTACCAAATTAATTCTTTTGGGCACAAATTCGACCACCTTTGAATCTTTGAGTAGTACTAATTGACATTACTGATGAGTTTTTGACTTAAATATATTTGCACATTAAGGATCTGGACAAAAATAAAAACCTTTCAGAAATTAGGTGGACAAAACTGTGTGCCACGTATTTCAGAAATCTGAAGATGGATAAGAGTCGGAATTCGAAAATCCAGATGTAGCCAAACACGGAATTATGAAATCCGATTTTGTGTAATGTTAATCAGAAATTAAATTAATGAAAAAATTTAGGGTAATTAATATAAACACGGATTCCCTAAATCTAAATTTACTAATAAAATATTAATTTCTAGTAAGATGAAAATATAAGTGTTAGAAAATCCGAAAAATATCTTTGTGTGCAATCGGATTCCGTAAATCCGGATTACTTCTTCTGTGGAAGAAGGATGACGTAAATCTGAAATTATATAATTTCGGATTATGAAAATCCGGATCTCCTCTTTGGAAAAAGACGAATTACCAAATTCCGATTCACGTAAATTCGGATTTCTGAAATCCGGATCTCCTTTGTTTCTCTGAGAAACAGGAACCCCCACTTAGCCATGGATTCGGACTTTCAAAATCCGAGTGTTTTACAAAAAGAATAGAGTCGGATTTTGAAAATCCGATTCTATGTCAGAATTGAAAAAAAAAAATCGATTGGTTATAACCAGTCCAAAACCCGTTTACAGCACCAACAACACTGAAACTTAGAAAAACAGAAATTTAATGGCAACAAAATAATAAACTTCATTCGACTAACAACAAAACATAACAAGTTTAAATCCAAAATCAATCCAAAATCAACGGACTCATTTTTTTCCTTTTTCTTTCCTAGGCGCACTCAGAGTGTATTTATGTGGCCCCTGGTGGTTTCTTTCTTCTCTCAGAAGATACGTGAGTATTGAACCCTGTTGTTGACGCAGTTGAGGTTGGGGTTGGGATTGAGACTCTCCCATAGTGAGAAGTAGGACTCCCGACTGTAGTTGCGACTCTCCACCAATGTCTTTAAATTGCAGCTCAAATCCGCCAAGGTCTTCAAATTGAGTATCAACCTGGATGTGTGAGCCTCTTAAAGAAGCCACCTCGTGCTCTTGTTGTTGATTACCTGAACTGTCACCCTCAGTTTGTTCTTGCGATGACCGAGGGGGATCACTATTTTTTGCTTTCTTCCTCCAATCTTCTCTCTCGGTCACAGTTTCGTTTTTTTACCCGGAGCATGTTGTGAGGGCAGAGATGTTTCGTCATCAACTAGGATTTGGGTATCGTCCATGTCAATCTCATCATTTGGGCCCAGGGTTAAAGTAACATATGATTGATCGATGATTTCACTCAAATGCTCATCGAGTTCATTGTCTAGGAGATTTTTCTTATCTCTATTATCTCTAAACTGCTCGGAACTCACGCGAATGATGTTCAATGCTTCACCCTAAAAAAAATTAGAACATTAATTAAAAGAGTAAAATACAAAAATTATAAAAAGATAAAAAAAAATAAAAGAAAAATATAAGAAATAAAAAACCAAAAATATAGAATGAACTCACATATAATTTCACTCGATTCGAAGAAGTCTCATATCCTTTAGCTTCATAATTTTTGGGATTGGATATAAGCGTGACAGTATTCATTATGAACCATTCATAGTACCCCTCATATGTTTGGTTATGGAATCCAATCTCCAAATCTTTTGGAAAGTACTTTTCTCTCTTTCTCTATTGAAGAAGTACTGCGAAATGGTGATCTACCAAATTGTTGCTAGGTAGGCCAGACATGTTGTGGGCATGATCAAGAAGAAATACTGCGCGATCTTTAATCATAGGGTCACGGGAAACACCCTGTATGTATCCAAATTGTCTCACAATCTTGAGCGATTCGTGGGGTTCCCTAACAGCCCAACAGAACATCCAACATCTGGTCGTCCAAATAACTTGTCCTTGTTCACAGAAATCAGGGAGTTTAGGAAGGACGCTTGCATATGGTTGCAACAGAAACTACACGAAATGAATTTATTTAAATGGTATAACTGGAAAAAAAATTCAAAATAAATATAAATACCAAATTAAGTACTTACATCTCCAAGACGCAGGCTTGTTAATTGATCTCTAAAAGGTGCCAAACTGCTCTTTGGGACTTCTCCGTAGGTGTACGAACATTGCCACCTTAATGAACAAACACGAAGAGGTTACATTTTAATTAGTAAAAAAAATGAATAAGAAACAAATAGAAATAAACATCGAGTTATTTTGAAATGAAAATACGCACCGCTGAGCTAATGTAACGGTCTTATCCAGTATATAATCTAGTAATACTCTATGTGGCGTGATTTTCTCGATCCACTCATACGCCCATACCTAGTAAATTTCAATAATAATGTTAACACTTCAAATTATAATGTCAAAAACAAAAACAATTATAACACCTAATGAAAACTAATACGTACCCATAACAAATATACACAGCCAGTGATGTTGTGCATTGTGTACTGGGTTGCCTCGCACAGGCCAGAGTACAAACAAGCCAGCAGACCGATCCCCAACCATATCGACTACACTGCTCTAAATCCTCAACCTGGGCTAACAACTGCAGATTGACAGTATTTTAAGTCTTAGTAGGAAACATGAAATTGTTCATAAAATGCAGGATTATTGTCCGGGCCCTTTGCTCGAGTCACTCGACTGGGGAATCCTCAGGGAATGCACATTTCATCTCATCTTCGAAAACACCAATCTTGACAAATTGGCCATTTCACTGTGGCTGGCCGGAATCCCAAATAAGTCTCACATCTCTCCCGCCATTCCTCTGCACTCTGGCTAACTGTCATCCCGTACACCGGCCCACTATCCATCCGAATACCAAATGGGACCTCGACATCCTGTAGTATCACAGTCGCCTCTCCGAAATTGAAATGGAAAGTGTGGGTTTCTGGTCTCCACCGTTCCACCAATGCGGTAATGAGACCGAGATCCACTCTTTTGTAGCCTACTTTCATTATCCCATGAAAAACCGGCTCTCTTAATGATTTTCTTAACCTCTGGTGCCAAACGATCATTGTATATCTCCCAAAATGAGCTGTCGTATCTACGGCCCTTGAGTCGGAATGTTTTAATGTTATGGATCTTGTTCTCAAATATAGCTTGGGACCTGTGGTTTTGTTGAAGGTATATTACTTTTTCTTGTACTGGTCCCAGTTGAAAATGTTTAGGGTTATAGTGCAAGCTAGATGAGCTAGCCATCGCAATCCTACATTTGGATTTCACAAACAATTCAATTCGGCTAAAAAAAAATCAACATAAAAAAAAACTAATTCTTCGGCATATATATAAGGTAGAATTTTTTTAGGGCAAAAATTAAATTTCCTCAACATTGCAATTAACAATTCAGAAAAAAAAAATCAACACAAAACAATGTATTAACGAAACTTCGGATTTCACAATTTCAATAGAGGGTGAAAAAAAAACTAATCAATTCACAATTACCAAAACAAATTACAATTCACGACGACTGAAAAAAAAAATTAATGGACTGAAACAAATTACCGAATTCAACACAAACCATAAACCAAATTCACAATTCACGCCGGATTGAAAAAAATTAATGAGCAAAACTTACGGGAATGGAGTCGCCAGACTGTATACGGTGGAGGGAGTCGCCGGGAACGTCGCCGGTAGTGTAGGGAGTGTCCAGGGGAGGGGTCGCCGGCAGTGTAGAGTGTTGCCGGAGGGGGAGATAGATTTGGGACTTGCCAGATTGAGTAGATTTCAGACCGCCTGACAGAGGGGGGGTGGGTCACTGGACGGAGGAGAGCTTGATTTGGGTGGTGGATTGAGTCGCCGGACGGTTGGGGGAGGGGCGGTGGAACGACGAAGTTCATCGCTGGTCGGGGCTAGGGGTGGTTTTAGGATTTTTAAAATCGGAATATTAGGAAAAATGAATGGGGAAAGAGTTGACCGGCTTTATATAGTCCCGCCAAATTTGGATTTTGGAAATCCGAAGTAGCAAAATTCGGATTACAGGATTCCGAATCTCCCCTGGTTCTCCAAAAATTACACACTTTTGGATGGATTATCTGAGTACGGATTTTCGAAATCTGAATACAGTACAAATCGGGATCCTTTGGATTTCTGAAATCCGAATTATTTGGTGCAGAAAATCGGGCTTATTTTGGATTTCGGAACTCCGGACTCAATAGAAAATGCCTACATTTGGATTTTGGAAATCCGATCCCAATACAAAAACACAAAATCCCCAGTTTTATTTTTGCACAATCACAACACTAACAATTCAAGGTTAATATTACAATCCGAATTTATCAATACAAACAGTTATAGGACATCTAATTAAAAAGTTGTAATCCCAAATAACAAGAAAACTAAATGTCTTTCAATTCCAGCTGTCATTCACAGGTCTTCTATCTACTCCTGGGTGCGAATAAGGACAAGAATTAGCATCGTGACCTTGTTGTCCGCATCTCCAACATTCCCCCTGGCTCCGGCGTCCCCTGTAATCCATCTGCATTCTATGTCTCTTTTTTTGTTTTCGTCTCGATCCTGCATTTAAAACAAGACGCTCATAATTCGGAATGATATTCCAATCGATCGTCGACCATTGTTGCTCATCGGGAACGAGAACAATACCCTCGGGTCAAGGCATTTTGATTTGTCATAGGTTTGTCCTAAATTTAACCTAGGATGTCTTTTTAATTGAAATAAAAACCTTAAAAACATTTTCTAATATTTAGGAGAATACGACGAATGTAAAAATGTATTTTTAAGGTTTTTTTTCCAATTAAAAACGCATCTAAGGTGAAACCTAAGACAGAATCAAAATGTCTTATAAATTTAGGACCGGAGGGAGTTTTTCGAAAGCTAAAATAGGTCTTTTAAACAGTACCAACATCCAGTATTGTATGTCTTACTGCTAAGAACTTCAGAGAACGAAGTCGTACCATTCGACTCGAGCCATCCCGTACATAGTATTTTACTAGGTTGTGTGGCCGCACCTTGTGCGGCAAATGGTGATTGATAGCCCAGCCGCAGGACTTTGAATCCACCAAACGGCAGGTTCCAATTTTATTAGTTTTTTTTCTTTTTTTTTTTTCGAGCAATAATTTTGAACATTTCAACAAAGTTTTTGGAACATCAAAGTTACAGTGAAAACATAAAAACCCTCTGGTTTTCGATAGAATATCAACCTTTCCGAAATGGAAAGGAAGCATAATTGGTACACAATAATAGATGTAACAGGAAATTCATAAATGGAAGTCAGATGCACTTCCCAACCAACACTTCTACCTTATGGTTGCATATTATGCAAAAGGATTCATATAATTTTATTTTTATTTTTATTTTTATTTTTTTAAAAATGAAAGATCTGCAAAAGGTCAAAGTAAACAATATCTGAGCATATCTAACAAGCAGTAAACTTTCCATCATTCGCAGTATAACAACATTGCATTGATCAACTAAGTTATCCTTTACAGCAAAGACGTAAAACATTAATAAAACAAATCCAAAGTATAAAGTGTACATAAGAAATCATTTGTAAACTCTTTAAAAACAGCAACACTAATCTCCCAGCATTGGCTCCAAATTTTTTAAGCTTGTTGTCGAAATTCATCAAAAATTTCCTACAGTGTATCTGGTGAGTCAGAGGTAATGGAAATTTATATGAGAAGTTTACAATTATATTCATTTCTCCTACAAAATGAAGCTCAAAAAGAGCAACAGGCTACCAGCAAGAAACTAATGACACTACAGCTACGCTATTACCACAAAATAGGTGTCAATGTCAGAGTTCTCCAAAGCAAATATCTTAGCATGTTGATCTTCAACCAACAATTTTTTCCAGCTCAAAATTTTTATGATTTCTTCGTTCAGTGCGGCCAAAATATTTTCACTTAAATACACTCTGAACAACTCGTGTATCCTTGTACTCTTGTTTTGTGGTAGAACAGTTTGGGCTCAATTTGGCATCAAAATTTTCCAGTTTGTGCTGCCAAAAAAAAAAGATATTGTCATTCTTATTTCGCATCTGACAACCTAATTCTCTCAGACAAGAAACAAGCACTTCACATACAACTTCTTTGTTTTCGAAACAGAATCCAAGAATATTTGAATTTGAGACAAAATGTTTCTTTGAAATTGATTTAATGAATGATTGATTCTTTAAAGCCAGATTCATTCCACTAACACGTCCAGCTAACAAAAAGGCTATTCACTGATACACTTTTCATACGTAAATTACACTGTATGATATAACTAATTAGATCCTTGGAGAGGAATCACTGTCTCTAGCATATTCTTGAGGGTCTCAAACTTAGATTGACATTACGAGGTCAAACTTCAATTTATGTAAAAATTTGATGAAAAGATAATTATAATTGCAACAGATAGGTCGATAGAATGGAGCATACATCAACGGGTCAGAGAAGACTTACTGCATAACATCTAGAATGTTACCTTTATGGGCAACACAAAACATATAGTGTACCTTAAATAAATGTTACTTAATTATTTAGAATTCCTCCAATTGGCTTTTGTTTAAATATTTTTGCTCACTTAATCCTCCCTACTGTAGAATTTCACAACAAGGAATGGTTCTATTAATTGGCCAACCAAAAATTAACTCAGTAATCATGAGGCAACTCCATTGTCAGTTCAAGAAAGAGAGAATAAATTATAAAAAACAGTCCCTTTTCCTGAGTACTCTCTACATTCCCAAAAGAAGATTATTCCGAATAACATAATGACAAGTCACAAAGGCATCACTGTAATTGTTGATAGATGAATGTTTAAGTTAGACATTTATAAATCCGGAACATTTAATCCAAACGAAACATAAAATGACTTTCGCTTTTGCTTGCCAAATCATAAGAGTTCGAGAACAAAACCAATTCAAAGTAGTAAAATTTGCTAAAGGACTTGAAAGCCAATTTTTTTTTATTAAACCAACTTAAACAATAGTTTCTAAAACTTTACCTTGAAATTCTTCACTTTTGCTTATCTTCAATAAAGTTGCAGCCTTCGGCTCACTGTCAAATATTGCTCCCAGGAAATTGTAGAATTTAAGAATAAAAGGCTCGTGCTCAAGGGAATAGATAGGAGTGATCCTCAAATTCATTTTCTCTATGATACAATTATAGTTTTTACATATTCACATCTCATTGGTTCAAAGAAAAATGTGTTTAGCTTTAAAAAGTTATAAGCATATGCTTACCTGATGATATAGTGAAACATTTAAAATTGAGGCAAATGTTGCTCTTAAATGGGTTCTGAGTGATATAGATTCTTTTCAAATAACAACACTTAACTGCAACGCATATCTTCGGTATGTTAATTCTATACACTGTCGTTGCCAAAAAAAAAAGAGAGAGACTAAATAACAACTAAGATCTCACAAGTTTATTATCAGGAACAAAACGAATCATTCAAATTAACTTTGCACGATTGCTAATGAGCTGACTAAAGATTATCAGGAACTAATTAACAAAAGATGTCCTACTAACAAACCTAAAGTTCCCATATTTCATGGGTCAAATTTAATTTAGTGTAAAATTTTTCTATAAATCCTGAATCAAACAAATCTTTCTACACTGGAAAAGAAAATAATTATTTGGATTTAAAAGCAAGCGAAAATCAAAAGACTATCGACAGCATGTTCTAGCTGACAAACTAAGATAGGTACTGGATGTTATACCTTGCCTTGCGACCGCTCGGTAACTCCGCCGCCGCCGCCAGCAGTAAAACCAAGAATTCCCCATGCCCCAACTATACCCATGAGAGCATTTGTGCCAGAGACATGATGTACATGATCTCGATTAAAGCCATTAATCGGGAAAGTTGAGGAGAAAGATGAGTGATTGAGGTCCTAATTTTGAGACCTTTGATTCAAAGCTTTTTTTAGCACGGATGTTTAGTTCGTGGAATGACTGAAGGAGGAGATTTCAGATTTTGAGAGAAATCCTTTTTGTGTACAAAGAGTGAAGACTTATCGGCCCTTTGGTTTCATGAATTTCGCGATTGTTTGAGATGAGCCGTTAGTGGTGGAGGGGAGGGGGAGGGGGAGGGGGAGGGGGAGGGGAAGGGGAACAGAGAAAACACGCCCAAAGTAGTGGAAGGGCCCAATCAGCAGACGACAGGTGTGGTTTAACCGACCGATTACGGTGCCAAAATTGGTGCTGACCCGGTGAACTCCCCTTTATAATATGAGTATTACTCAGACTTAGATTTACTACTAGAAAGTAAATTCGAAACTTAAAAACTTCTTCAATCGAGAGTTCACCGAAAGAAGAGATAAGACGGGCCTCGCCTGTGTGTGTGGCTGAAATGCTTTCCATCATAATTCATGGCTTCCAAGCTCTGCAACTTCCCTCTGATCACCGACCTTCCAATTCCCACTAAATTCTTCCCAAAACAATCTCAGAAAATCCCAATTCTCTTCCCTATCCATCATCCCCTTCATTCCTGTTCACCTTTTAGCCCTGTACAATTATGCTCCACAAGAAAAGTAGCAGCTTCATCCTCATCACTGTCTTCTCCGGCACCCTCCTCAGTTTCTGATTCCTTGAATGAACAAGTGGTTGAACAGTTAACTTCAGATTCCTCCAGGGATGCTTTACCATCGTCTTCTAAGCTTGTTCTTGTGGTTGGTGGTTCCGGTGGAGTTGGGCAGCTGGTTGTAGCATCCTTGCTCAGCCGGAATATCAAAGCACGCCTTATACTTCGAGACCCTGAGAAGGCTACTTCTTTATTTGGAGAACAAGACGAAGAAAAATTGCAGATTGTCAAAGGAGACACAAGAAATCCACTGGATCTAGATCCTTGTGTTTTCCAGGGTGTCACACACGTCATCTGCTGTACTGGAACAACCGCCTTTCCGTCTAGACGATGGGACGGAGACAACACACCGGAAAAAGTAGATTGGGAAGGCGTGAGGAATCTGGTTTCCGCATTGCCTCCGTCGGTTGAAAGAATCATTCTGGTTTCATCTATCGGAGTTACTAAATTCAATGAGCTTCCATGGAGTATTATGAACCTTTTTGGTGTTCTCAAGTATAAAAAGTTGGGGGAGGACTTTGTTCGAAACTCTGGTTTTCCATTCACCATAATTAGAGCTGGTAGACTCACTGATGGACCGTACACATCTTATGATCTCAATACCCTACTCAAAGCTACAGCTGGGGAGCGACGAGCTGTCGTCGTAGGCCAAGGAGATAAGCTTGTTGGTGAGGTTAGCAGGCTTGTGGTTGCCGAAGCCTGCATTCAGGCAATGGACTTAGATATAACGATAAATCAGATTTTCGAAATCAATTCCATCGTGGGTGATGGACCGGGAAATGATTCTGAAGAGTGGCGGAAGCTCTTCGAAGCAGCACAAGCCGGGAATTCACGAACACAGAGTTGATACCGTTTGAACTTTGATGGACATTGTTGCATTGCGGGCTTAATTGCAAAGGAGAAATAGAACTGTATAGGATTTGTATACTGTAAATACTATTCATATCATCAGTTCTATGGTTTGAAGAGCATGGAATTTTATTTTAAATTTTTTTTTTTTTAGAAGAAATCAAAATATTTTATAATAAGAACAAGAGTAAGACATTTTGAGAAACAGATTACGGTACTAGTTTAATTCTTTGGGAACGAATTCAACCACCTTTGAATCTTTGAGTAGTACTAATTGACATTACTGATGATCTCTGATGTGGAAATGGAATAATGGAACCATTTTAAGCACGGAATACTGTTCCATTTTTCGATTCAAATTTCAACATCGAACAGAGCTTCAACATATGCTGCAGAGTTTAATGAGTATTTAGATTAAAGGAACTTGTTGAATTCCGATAGTTTGCTTATCACTCTTGCATTCTTTTGATGTGGCTATCGAAACCATCACTTCTGGTTAGAGACACTGATGTGGTTAGTGACTAAAACATGAGCCAAAAAGACCTAAAAATTTGCAGCAAAATAAGTTTGGAAAAAGACTAGATAAAAAAACCGTTTATATACCATGAAAATATAGAATCACCATGGTTTAGTAACTTATTACTACTAATGAACTAACTACTGAAGATTCATAAACGGTTCATTTCATCCACTTCCTACAGAAAAGCTAGTAAAGAACTTCTGGAAAACGCCAACTTCATCAGCAAAAACCTCTATAGGCATCATCTTCAACAAGCACCGACCATCAAATTCCACAGGCCAAGCCAGGTTAGGTCAATTTGCAACTTTATTTTAGTTCCATCAAGCGGCGTGCTCATGAAGGAGCATTTGGTCAAAGTGCCAGACACCTGCAAAGCATAAGGAAATAAATGCCTCAAGCCAAGTTCTAACACAGAAAACGAGAACATCACAAACAAGTTTCTGGCAAGCCATCCACCACCTAAGTAAATTGTAATCAAAAGGAATAAATTCAGCAGGGTAATTACCGTGTCCCTTCCCCACTCTTCTCAGTTGAGCAACATACTCAGAGATCTTCTTGATTGCTTCAACCTAGTAGTAAGACACAAATCTTAGTCTGAATCCCATATGAGAATAATAGCACGTCACATAAACTGATCAATGTATACAGTGGTAAAAGCTAGCAGAGATGTTAACCTGCTCAGTTAAGAATTCACTTTCAACAAAGTCAGCCAAATGTGGGTCATTATTACGACCTGCCACCTGTTGAATGAAATCCATCAAACAAAGGTCAAATATAATTTTAGCTTTTCACGAAGTTTCAGAATATTATCAACTTTTAAATAACTACTATGTTGGTTTGAAACCTAAGTGGTGAAATTATAAGTTCAATATTGCCACTAACAAATTACAAAGTCAACCTAAAAAATCGTTCCTCGAGTTAAATTTGCAGCCATGGAAAAAAAATAAAAAGGTTCACAAACTACTTACAGCAAGCAGATTAAGGAGCTTCTCATTAGTCAACTTCTCCAAAGACAGTGCCAATTCCATTGCTGCAGGACAAATTAAATGGCATTTTTAGGATACAAGAGCTTAACATGCAACCACACAAAATATTTCCAGGGGAAGTAATAAATAAATAAATCTACCACAAAAACATAAAAGACAAAGGCATCAATTAGACATTCTCTATCTAAAAATTTAATGGCACTTCTGGAGTGGGCAACCATCAGCTAAAGAAATTATTTTCCGCATTAGTCACTGTAGTCAACCTGTTCGATGTCAACATCTTCCAAATGGCACTAAGGCACACGTTTATTTCCGTTACCTACACTAGCATACAAGATAAATTTAACAACTGGACATCAATACCAAATTTGTGGTCATCCACCCTAATTTTTATGCTAGTGATCGGCAAGATGTGATGACCTAAGGCCATATCAAAACCAGGTCCCCCATAAATGAATGTCAAACATATACAGAAATGGCCAAAGATCGCGCCAATTAATTTATTGCAAATACAATAACAACGAATCATAAGGATAAGCTTCATGATAATAACCACATATTAAAAGCAAAAACTCCTAAAAATTGAAGGAAGCAGAACTATTGCATACCATACAATGCGTCCCCCTTTTCAACATGGTCGAACTCTGAAAGCGGCATCACAATTGACTGCAGTTTCACTTTCCCACCTCTTTTGTTCTGCAAATTAGGTCATATTTATCAACCACGGTTATGCGAATCTAGTAATTCAAGCATTCATACGGAACCATAAAGGTGTAAACATAAACAGTACCTGATACTCCATAAATTTTTCAGCATGCTCTCTTTCCTCCTCACTAGATTCCTTGAAAAATCTTCAAGATAACAAGTCACGAGTTCAGTCAGTATTTATTAATTTACAGCATATTTTCAAATAATATTCACAGATTTCATAAGGTTTTGGTAATATTACTGGGCAAGACCCTTGAGAGCAACGTTGTCTCTGTCAAAATAGGCGTACATAGCATGGTAGACGTAGGAGACATTGTACTCCACGCTGCAAAACAATTTAAGTCCACCAATTTCGGTGATTTAAGTAAAAAAAATATAATCAAACGAAAATCTAAGCCAAACAAGATCAGAGCAGAATGAAAACTACATAAACAAACGGACAACAAAGAGATATGGGATACCCACTTGATCTGTTCATTGATGGCGGCTTCAGACTCGTCAGTAAATTTCTGGCGTGCAAGGGACTGTTGAGGAGCAGCAGGGACGAGATTAAGCTCTTTCTTAACCTCTTCAAAGGGCTCAAAAATAACCCCAGTCAAGGGCTTACTGTTGGAGCTCTTCGCAGAACAGACGAGAGCACCATTTCTCTTGGCCGGAAAAACTTTCAAGGACGCAGGCCCATTGGATTGTGAAGGAAATTGGGTAGAGCCGGAAGAAAACAGGGGACTCAGATTCTCCCCTTTCAACAGAGAAACGGCCGGCGCAACCTCGAGAATCATATCGACAAATTGAAAAATGGATTTGGGAGGAGAATTGAGAACTACAGAGGCGGAGAGAGAGGAATGAATGTGTTGGCTAGTGTTGGTGGTGAGTGGTGACTGAATGATATTGATCAGGGTTGCGGATTGATATTTAATGGGTGAGGAGGTCGCGAAGTCCGTCGGATGAAGAACACGTGTAGGGATGAGATTTAGTAGTAGGGAGAGGCGCGTGTTGGACTCGTGCTTGTGTCACAGATATGCCAGATTTAATGAGAAATGTTCTGGCAGGTCTTGTGGAGCCCCGAAAGATAATCTGGTCCAATCCAACTGATCCTAAATCAAATGGGTCCATCTGCACAAAAGAAAACTTTTCAAAATTCCGGGTTTAACTATTTATTTACACTACTTTTTTTTGAGGTAATTTTTTTTTTCCATTAAAAATAAAAGAAGTAAAAAGTCATGGATCTTATGGTGTAAAGATTTTTGGGCACTATTATGGAGTCAATTTTTAATTTTTTTAGAAATGGAAAAAAAAATGAGGAGAGATTGGTGGATTGTATTCTCGTGAATTAGATTCGATTTTTGGTTTTGTTTGTGCGCTTGCTTTTGTGGATTAGGTATGAAGGTGATAGGGGGCCATCAAATGCATGATTTAAGTACGGCTTGAAGCCTTGAACCAAACAATAATCGTTAAAGGGTTGTAACATTAGTGCAATGTACTCTTTATTAATAATCAGACTATTAGTGTAATTTTTTATTAATAATAACCCAGCGTCATCTTCACCATCTTTATTCTTTCAGCCATCTCACCATAAATTACTAGTATTAAAGTATTGATTACGTATACTACTCCCTCCATTCTAAAATAAGTGTCTTTCTACACTTTGCACATACAGTAAAACTTTCATAAATTAATAGTATTGGGACTACCAAATTTTATTAATTTAGCTAATTATTAAATAATCAATAAATTAATAAATTATTAATTTAAATATTTTTTTCTTTATAAATTCTACTATAATACGTAATTTTCCATCGTTTTTTTGATAATCCTAAACAAGTAAGGAATGTAACTCTTTTTAATAATAAACTCAAATTTAATAAGATGAATGTCAATCAGTTAATGGATCATTCAGATAAAAATGATGAATTTACAAAGGTCAAATCATTTGAGTATTTTGTGGCTAGTTTCCTTGAAGGTAATTCAATTGAGGATAAAGGTGATGATGATTCAGTGTTTTTGGAACCAATCACAAGAAAAGAAGTATTCAAATCAGCAATAACTTTTCAGAATTTTTTATTGCAATTTGAGAATACAACACCAGAGTTCTCAAAGAGAATGAGACAAATCAACAATGAAATTTCATTGGATTTGAATTTCATGAAAAAAACAAGTATCAATAAGCTCATATTTTACAAATCTTCCTAGATATTCCTTTTCTTTTGGCATTTAAGATATTTATTAATTTACATTATTGTTGGGACCTATAGATATATAGGGGAATTTCTGAAACATTATTATTTTATAATTTTGTCGATTTTTGTCGATTTTTGTCATTTTTTGTACTGGTCTCAAGTTGGGACCGGAGAAAATTATTAATTTTAGAGTAATTAATTTATCGATTATTAATTTACCGACGTTTTACTGTAGTTTAAGAAACTCTAAAATAGACTGATAAAATTACCTGAATATCCTCAACCAATCTCATTATAAAAATGTCCACCAATAACATTAATTCTTTTGAGGGTAATTTTAAAAAATTTGGCCAAAAAATGCATTAAAATGTGATAACGATTCTTATTTTGAAATTTATCAATTTTGTTAAAACGGCACTTATTTTGAAACGGATAGAGTTCTATTCTGCTGTAACGTTAATCAATCATATAGGTAATGATGACGTGAAATAACTGTGTGGGGAATTTAACTATTCTTAGGTAGACCTGCCCAACCCATTAATCGCATCGACTTATGAGTATAATTGACTTTTTCTTTTCTTTTCTTTTTTTCCGTTTTTAAATGTAGGTTATAATTGACTTCTTGAAACAAAGCAAAAATTAGATCATATGTCATGAGGTTACATTATCAATTTCCAAAGTATTCTTTTTTGATATTTTTCTTTTACTTGTTTAGAGTTTAACCCCCATCCCATTGTGCTATGGTCGTATTACCATCATATTAGAAGTGAGTTGGGAACTTAGCATCTTCTGTATGTTATTAGTGTAGTTAGAATTATAATATAATCATTAATTGACGATCAACGGATCTAATAGAGAGCGGTTGTTGATCGGAATGGATTAACCTGATCAGAACATAGCTATGTGTAAATGACATTTGCCAAATATATATACATACACAGCTCAGATAACGTGAGATACCGAGTTAATGTTGACAGAAGACAGTTAGTATCGATATATAAATTAAAACAACTTAAACATAATGGTGGCAATGCTTTCCATGATTGAAATATGCGGTGGTTGATCGGAACGGATTAACCCGATAAGAACACAGTGATGTGTAAATGACATTTGCTATATATATATATATACATATATATATATATATATATGAATGACGCTCATATAACGTGAGTTACCGAGTTAATATTGACTGAAGACAGTTAGTATCTATATATAACTTAAAACAACTTAAACATAATGGTGGCAATACTTTCCGTGATTGAAATATGCGGTGGTTGATCGGAATGGATTAATTTGATAAGAACAAAGTGACGTATAAATGGCATTTGCCATATACATACATATGACGCTCATATAACGTGAGACACCGAATTAATGTTGACATAAGACAGTTAGAATCAATAAATAATTTAAACCAACTTAAACATAATGGTGGCAATAATTTCTGTGATTGAAATATGATAAGGCAACTGATGATATTAAAAATTAACTCATGATAATATGTCTAAAACCTACTCACATTTTCAGAAAATGACTCGTGAATGACAGACAAAGTATTATTAATTTTATTGCCCGGTTTATAATAGTAGGTAACATGATTCAGTCAGTTTCTTTGTTGAGTACAGTCCTTTAACTATGCAATTTGAAAATGAACTCTTGAGATGTTGAATTGTTGATAAGGAAAGATCGTAAACGTTAGTTAGTTAATACTCCTTTTAATTCTAATAATAAGGGTACACATTTGAACTAATTTTAGCTATTTCAAAAAAATATTCTCTCTGGTCCTTAATAAAAGGCATTTTGATTTTGTTTTAGATTTCACCTAATATGTATATTTACTTGATGAAAAAATCGTAAAAATATATTTTTACATTAGTCGTATTCTCTTGATCGTTATGAAATATTTTTAAGGGTTTTTCGTTATTTAAAAATGCATACTGGGTTAAATTTAGGATAAATCAAAATGTCTTCTATTAAGGATTGGAGGAAGTAGTACAAATTTCAATGTGAAATACATATCAAAATTAATATGGAATATTTTTTTCAGAATGGAAGAAATATTAATTTGTGTCTTTTAATACCAGAGGGGGTATCCGAAACTGAGAGGTTGAGATGCAAAATGTGCAGATTTGAATTTGAAATAAAAAGATAGGCAAAAAATACCAAAACTAGTACAGTTCATCCGTTCGATGAGTACACTTACTGGCTAATAATTTCCATTTAGCTGGAAAGGGCCAATACAAATTGCAGGCCCATTATTAGATTTGGATGGACCACTCATGACACTGTCCAGAACCCAGATCGCGATATTTTTTAAATAGAGGGAGAAGGATGGATGATGGATGAACACGGCAGCACGGGCCTCTTCCCGCCAAAATTTCTATTTTTGAGATCGAGATCAATACTCTTTTACTAGTTACGTTCTTCGTTTTTCGTGGATGACAATGATTCGACACTGTACAAGTTGAGATGTTCTGTACTAATCTTCAAGTTTTTGGATGTTAGGCATAGAAATCAAAGAAAAGATGCAGCCATTTATTAAGAGATTATTTCCCTCTGGTTGTGCCTCTTAAGCTTTGAAACTTGTCAATTTCCTTAAGTTTCTGCCTAACTGTATAAGTACTAGAACATGCCATTTTCGTTAGTTGCACTTGCAACCATAATGGATTTTTCGAAGACCAGGGCGGCTGCGTCTTTAGGGCGATCAGCACATTTACGATTATGGGGTTTCGACTTTCGATACTGGTTTGTAACTAAAGGTCCCTTTCAATGTTTGAACTTGCTTGAAAGCAAAAGACGACGCAGGAAAAACAACTTCGCGTTTGGGACAACAACTTGTTGTCTCTTCTTTATTTCGCTGCAGAGATTTTCTTCATATTACACAGTTGTTTGTGATCAGATCAGCAAATATAAGTACGTGAAGTCACGAACTAGCAAAATGTGAGGTCGGATCAATTTGGTTTGATTAAGACAACAGGAAAAAAGAAAAAATTAAAAAATTAGAAAGTTGAAATCACGTGACTAGCAGCAGCAAGTAAATGAAGGGGAAAGTTTTCCAATAAAATACTTAAAAATCTATTACTAAATGCTTGGGCTTAAGGGGTTCACGGGAATGCTATATAGCCGCCTGCCCGGAGGCTGAAAGCTACAAAACTCCATAATTGAAGTCTACTGATGTATTCGGGTTTCTGTTATTGTGTTTTAACGACGGGGTTAATTTATAATCTTCCAACTTCGAAAAGAGTCTTTATGCCGGTCTTCCTTCCTTCAAGTCTTCAACATTAGAGAGTTCAATAGAGTCAACAGAAGAACGTGCGGACCAAAAACAAAAAAAAACAAACCAATCACAAGTGTTGGCGGCGGTCAACGTAGTATTACCCCATCCCATTAAACTTCTTGTTGACCTACATGTCCCCCTGCTAGTAGTGTCATCGATCTGGGCGCTTCTACATCACTATATCCCCCTTCTAATGTTGTATTGGGTCTCTAATCCAGAAAGTGTTTTCATTTTTTTATTTTTTTTTTGTTACAAAGAGATAGCCTTAAAGCCTGATTATCAATTAGTACTAGTATGAGGATATACTACTCCCAATACATCATGATAAATTTATGATTCAGCAACCCATTCTCTTTTCAGAAGATCTCAGAAAGCGTTTTAATTCAGTTACTATTTGCTCTACGAGTGGATTCCTTTTTAATCACCATGATCTAAGTCGAACTATTGTAATTTGCTATGAAAAAAGTTTAAATTACATTGGAGTTAGAAGTGTCCACAACTTTAAATGAAAATGCCAAATTACAGAATGAACTATTCAATTATCTTAATGAACACAAATTTACAATCCTTAAAAGAAATATTTAACCATATAGATATTGGTGGACTGTTGTCCAGTTATAAAACTAGAGAAATCTTACCAAGCAATAACAGTCTTTTTCAGCTAATTGTGCGGACTTGTAGATTCTAGCAAAATTTGCATCAACCACTGTATACAATAATAATATCACCACCAAGGAATGGAATGGACTGCAGACAGCAGACTGCAGAGCGGACTAGAAGATAAAAAAAACCACTTGAACCAAACTCATTCCATACATACATTAAATGACTTGATAAAATTATTGAATAAAGACTTGTACGAGTTTTGTATTTGTGAAAATCCTGACACACGACTACACGACTTGAGGGACTTTATCAGAACTCAATGATCGATAAGAAGCGCAGAAAGTTCTTTTGTATTTAAAAAACATAAAAAACAAAAGAACGAAAGGAAGGAAAAATTATTCTTTTCTCTTCTTGGAAGAAATGGTATAATATTTTTTACCCTGACGCGCACGATAGCTTTTTCTAGATTAATCAAAATTAAATGCTTTGATCAGATGACGACGCCGGGGTTCACACGATCACAAAACCATTGCCCCCTTCCTCCTCACATATATTGACTCTTCAACATGTATATATACATGCATCCAATCTACTTCTCACAAGATCAAAAAACTACTCTAATAACTAAAGACAACTCCATTTCTCTCCCTCAAAGTCTCGAGTAAAACCAAACCTTATAATTTCCACCAAAAATCAACCTCAAAAAATATGGGCGGACATTCCCCATGCGCTTCGTGCAAATTGCTCCGCAGACGATGCGCCAAAGATTGCCCTTTTGCACCTTATTTCCCAGCCGATGATCCTCATAAGTTCGCCATTGTTCACAAGGTCTTCGGTGCCAGCAACATTGCCAAAATGTTACAGGTTCCCTCTTCTTTTTTTCTTTTTTTTTTTTCCTTCTCTTAACTTTTATCTTTAGCTTCAGAAATTAATGTTCTTGCTAACTAATATGCAGGATCTTCCGGTGGATCAAAGGGGCGATGCAGTGAGCAGTTTAGTATACGAAGCAAACGCAAGAATCAGAGACCCGGTGTACGGCTGCGTGGGAGCAATATCTTACTTGCAAAATCAGGTTGCCCAACTCCAAATGCAGCTTGCCAGGGCTCAAGCAGAGATCCTCTGCATTCAGATGACGATGCAATCGGATTCTAATCATCTCCGGCTGCCGTTGCCGGACAGCCCGGACGTACCAACTACTCCGTTGCCGCAGTTATTAAACGACGATGACATCTGTTTCTTGTTGGAAAACAACCTCCCTCATCACTACCTTAACTTTACATCTTCATCTAGTACTAGTACTGTAACGACGACAATTCAGGAATCTCTCAACAAAGAGTCCTTGTTTGGACACGACTACATTTTCTCTTAATAATCAATCAATCAGTCAATCAATATAATTACATTTGTTCTCTTTAGATGTTTGTTGTTTTACAACTATTGTTTACATTATTCGCACCAGTTATCAGTTGCATATTCCTAATTACAACATCTGTTCTACTATAAATTAAGGTTTGATTATTAATTAGCGAGTAATTGGATCGTTAGAGATGGATAGTAAGAAAAATCAAAAGTTCACCAGTTCATCAGAAACAATGCATGTGTATCTGAAAACAGAGGATAAGCTCAAGAGTCAACCGTAGCATGTGACCATATGTGACAAACCTCCGAGTCCGGACAATTGCGTTTTAACATCTGAAACATCCTCTGTCCTTATTTTATGTGTTCCACACTTTATTGTTTAAACTTTAAATAAAGCAGTAATCCGATTCAAACTAATTATGATTAGGTAATCAACTCTCTTAGAGCAACTCAAAAAAGTTGGGTTCAATCACCTATGCAAAACAACATTTACTTTTTGTCTTTATCTTTCTTTTTGGGGGATTAGAAACAGACAGATGATTCTTCACATTTCTATTAACTGTGGAAGCACTTTTTTTAAAAAAAGTCAATATTGGGTAGTAATAATTCACAGATCGAATTGGTCTGGATTGATAGTAATTCGAAATTAAACCGTTCACTACGGTTTTAAAATTAAACCGTAATCTGACCGATTTAATGTCTAAACCGGACCAATCCAATCCGTTATGAATGGATTGGTTTGGGCGGATTGGCGGTTTGGGCTTCTAATTGGACTTTTTCGTTTTGGACCAAAAATTGAATATTTTTTTGTTATTGGACATTTTTTGGGAAAAAAATAGGAGGAAAAAAGAAATAGTAATGGGAGGGACTCAAACTCGCGACCTCAACCAAATTTAAAAGTAGGGGGAACAACGAGGCCAATCAGACAACTTAACTATTTCGCTATAAGTCATCATCCGCAGCTTTCTATACAAAATTATTATATTATTATTTAATTATATATATATATATATATACACGGTACGGTCCGGTTTGACAAATGGTTTGATAATGCCAAACTGTAATCCGGACCGGTTTTCAAATTTCAAATCCACTAAATTAAAAATTCACTTATAATTCGCTAGCTAATCCAAACGGATGACCGGTTTAGACGGTTCCATGGAATTGAGTCAAACCGTGAACACTCCTAGTAAGTACTTCTTTCCATTCCCCATCAGGAGGTTTGAACAGTTGAATTCCCGCCCCTTTTAAGCAGAGTTTGAGATTTATTAGCTTGCTGTGTGGGAGGTTCTCTTTATTTGCCTTTTTGGCATATAGTGAATTGTCATATACTAGCAGAAAACAGAGTTCAGCTCCTTCTAGCAAGTGAACGTGCTCCTATCCATTCGTGAGATTGCTCAAGATATTCTTGTTTGACAATCTTTACCCCTTTGGAGTTTCAAGTCGTCGGGCCCCCCCAGGTGGAACTTATTAATTTCTAGCACTAATAAGGGCATTACTTTTTGGGCATGTTCTCACGTTTTTTAATCAAAATCATGTCCTGCTGCTGTAGCTCTTTAATTAGATTTCTCATCAAAACTCTCAGGTTCTTCCAGTTATCTAAATCAGATGGAAATCAGATATTTTAACACAGTGATGTGCATTATTATCTGCATTCTTCACAAAGGTATGTGTGTAGCCACTCTGCTTGATCTTTCTGGGGTGTACCTCTCATATGTCAGATTTTTAATATCTAATCAAACTGTTATTCAGAAGAAACAAGTCCGAGAATTAAAGAGGCGCCTTTCCGCATTCTTCTACGATGGATACCTTTGTGATTCGTCAAATGCGGTTCACGGCTTTTGTTAAGAATGCATTCTTCGAGAAAATCCAAGGAATTGATGTGACTTGCCATTGTTAAAATTCATGGAATTTTAGAGTACTGTGTGCTTTGACACTAGGAGAAGCTTTATGATATTGTCAAAACTCCATAGTCCATTCTCTTAACTCTAATATGCAAGGACAAAACCCGCCTCAAAAGATAAACAAAAATCGAACTGATCGAAGCATGGCTAGATACAATCCAAAACTTCACTGTCAATGTCAAGTGAGTGGAACTAGTTTCTTTCTGTTTTGAGGGCTCGAGAAGCCGTATAGTGCTTCCAAAATGGAGCCAAGGGACTTGGTGTTTTTTTTTTTTTTAATCCTCCATGTCAAGTCTATGTATGTTTATTTCTATTCAGACCGATGCTCAACTATAGTCTTTCATCCTTGCTCACATCTAAAAATTATAAAACGTATAAAAACAATTACAATCATCATAATGTACATTTTTTTGTCCTTTGAAACTAGGAGATGAATGAATTTCATCATTATGTACACTATCATTGTCTTTGAATTTTGAATCACTTATAACTTTTCCCCATGTAAGCTAAAATATCCATACGGGGGGAATAAGATTAAGAGTCTTGAACCTGTATTACTAAAAAAGGAGAATCTTCCAGCTTTTGGCTTGCACCATCATGATTGCATATTTGAATGATAAACTTGATGGCATGAGAACCAGAAGAGAGAACAAGATCGGATATGTAATAAGCTTCCACTTCTGCCGATCCTATGTATTCAATCTCTTCCTTTAAAAATCCGTTAGATACTTTGGAATCCATTAGTTTCTGAACATAAATATTAAAGCTGGGGAACATGTCACCGTTCCCGCTTTTCAATTGCCATAGTAGCTTGGTACTGAGTTTCTTCATCTTTTCAGAATTCCAACTCCAATTTATATACTTGCTTACAATGCTCCATGACGTTGATGGTGGAAAATCCGTAAATACCGCATAACTTGGAGGGAGATTTGGATTCTGTGAACAAGTACGGATGTTCAGATGGCCAAGAACTGCAGAATATTTTGATTCATTCTGAACCTCATGTGCAATTTGAGATCCTTCCACATTTGGATTTGCCAGGTAGCAAACAGCATGTATTGCTATCAAAGTGTAACCATCCATCACAACACTACTTTCTTGCATAATCCATCCGGATAGTGTGTCCATATTGGTAACCAAATGTGGCATAATCACTATATTGAAATGGCTAGAGAAACGGTTCAACGCAAGCAAAGCGTTTCTCTGAGACGCAAGGAGTACGGATCTTTTTTCCCCTGTGGCAGATAAAAACTCGAGAGAAAGTCCTATGACGGAGTTTCCTTCTGATTTCATCTGCAATGCTAAAGGTCAACTACTGCACACGTTAACAGGATAAATACTAAAGCAAGTATATAAACGGAATAATCAATCGACAATGTCATCCAACCATTCAACCATATTAAAAACAAAAGGTTTCCAAATCAACTTGACTTCCTCCACAAAGTTTGTGATACCCTATAAGAGAGTTAGTACTTACCGAATATGCGAAGTAAACAGGTGAATCTCCAAAGTCAAGCTCTCCTACAAAAAGCCTCGAAGTGAAATAAGCATCATCACCAAGAGTGCCTTTAAATGTGATGTTTCCTCCTCCATTATAAGATGTTTCCTCAAAACTAACAGAACCAAATAGAATCATATTCTTAGGATTTGGAATGACCACATATCATGTTTTACGAGTAAGCCAGAAATATCTAAGTGAAGAAGAGAGTCAAATGAGTCATGTGGTAAAATTTCGTGTAAGTTAGAAAATTCCTAAAAGTTGTTATGTTGGGGAAACTTACTCAACATATACTCGAATTTTATCTTCCGGTGCATCTCCGGAGAACTTTAGAAATGGCTGCAATAAAATAAAAATGAGTTGGAATGAAGGTAAAAGCAACACGAAAGTACATGTACTCTATGAACAGGGAATTTTTTTTCTATTATTATTATTATTATTATGCATAAAATGCAAAATGATCACTTGTTGTAGGGTAGAGTAGATAACTTGCCAAGGACATTGATGGCACAATCAAAGGGTTGGTAGAAATTCAGAGAGTGTTCTCTTTCTTTCATAATTAGGTCTTCCCTACACTTCCTAGCACAAACTCACAAAATGTCCAACCAAAATCCAACAATCATGATCTCTCAAACACAAATCTAGAATCATAGTTGCTTGGTTTCATGTAATAAAGATCATCTTGCATCTGATTTGCATGTAAGGACAATCTAGCTTAGACTCTATTAAATTTCTCCATATACATGGATGGATATATAGGAACCGTAATGGCAACTCTATTATTCACTGGTATCAAGATCATAGAACACTCAATGAGTACAAAATTTTGGGAATGATAAAGAAGTAAAAGTACAACAAAGGCCTACTTGACAGCTTTGAGAAGAAATGTTATTCCAAGGAGTCTCTAGAATCTGCACTCCGTCAATTGAGATGTGATAACCACGACCCTATTAAAAGGACAACAAATTTATCACACAGAATAAAACTTTAAAAACACATAAGGAGAGACAATGATGCATACGAAATTACTACCTGATCAAAATCTGAGTAGAAAGGGAGTAATTTGGGATATTTCTGCGAAATTCCCCATGATTGCTCAACAAGACTCCACCACCTGCATTTCCAAGTCAACAAGTGATAAGTGACAAAGAAACTTGCGGCTATACAAATGCATGCAAACCCCCATATGAGGAGTTCATTCCCAAACTTCTTCAAGACCAGTAAACTGAGAAATTTTAACACCAAACCTATGCAAGGCTGCAAGCCTGGAAACTTTCATTAGCATAACATGTTCTTTGTTGACCTAGCGTAGTTAACATACTGTCAATTCACATTTAGCATTAACTCTACACTATAATTTAGGTGTTACGTATACAATTTCAAACATTCTTTACTATGTGAGTATTGCAACTGTATTAAGATATTAACTATAGTCGCATGAATCAGTTACAAATGTAGTGGGATGCTAAATGGAGAAGCAACAACTTACCGGTTTTGAGCCGTTTCAAAATTAGGTGGCTGTCTGGTCTCATAGACCCACCCAGGGGCAAAGAGTGCTGCGGACACATCACTTTTCTTCAGTACATCAAGGGCAACATTTGTCTGCTGGAACAAACACTAATAAGATACATGCTCGTGCTGTTGAAACTCAGCAGCACAGAAAATAAAGAATAGAACATTTCTTCATATGTTGACATAAAGTAAGATTATACCGTCCATTGACCACCACCAAATGTGCCTCTACCGAACACATCAATCCCCATATAAACATCAAACTTTCTATCACCAGCCACTAAAGCAGAATCATGGGGATAACTTTCCTGCTCAATTCAAAGAACACAATCAGTGAAATGATCAAAGAATGAGATCAAATTAAGGAATTCTTGAGATAACATACTACCTTCCATGTATAGTTCATAAATATACCATCACAAAGGTCAAAAAAAGGCTTGTTATCGCCGTTCAACTGATTCTGCCAGCTAAGACTACCATCAATGCAAACACTATCATACCTGGAAAAGTTAATAGATATTAAGGAAAAGAAAATACTAAAATTGTAGAGGAAACATAAACATTTTTTGAGAAATACAAATACTATAATACCTACCATATGACCAAAGATGAAGGCAACGACGAGTGCATTGTTAGAGTTAAATGACGAACAAATTCTTTTAGATTTGGGATTTGTCCAACATCCAAGCTAATCTCAAAATTCAGCTGCCAGAATATAATAACTAAATGAATTGCTGCTTGGAAGTAATTAAGTTCAAGAAGGCATTTATTAAGAAAATGTTACGGTACTTACTAGCCATCCATCGAAGCCTAAAGCAACAGCAAGCTCACTCAAACGCTCAGCATACATATGTGCTGATTCTTTTGTCGCCAGAAGCTTGTTGGCCATGATTCTCCCTTCATCCCACTCAAAGATGAATGTTCCCAGAACCTTAATTAGCAGCAAGAGACCATCATTTGTAGTACAAAGATAAACCAAACAAATAGCAAAGCTGTTCATATCAACAATTACCTCAATCCAATCAAACAAGTCAAACAACATTACTTAAAATTGCCAAGGAAATCCTTAAAACTTTCTTACTGTTAACTCAATTATATTCCATATTTCAACCGAATATATCGGCATGTGCATTTAATTACGAGAATTTAATATTAATTTGTACACATAAATTCTCTAACTGAAAACAGTATGATCCACACTTGACTGAGAAACCCCACAGAACCCTCAAAAGTAACCTTGATGACTTCTTTTCACTTGACAATAATTTGAAAACTAAAGGAATCCAATGATAATCATCGTGAAAAACAGGGAAGGGAAAATTAAAAGCTAGCACGGACCAGAATAAAAGGAAAAGAAAAAGATGAAATGATTTTACCTTAACACCATGCTTGTGAGCAGTATTAGTCCAGCAGGGAGGAGGCAAAGTGACCAGACTATGAGAAAAGTAGACAAAAACATCAATCAAATACCAATGCCAAATCGAATAAGCATCAGCATTACTTCCGCCCTGTATCCACTTGTCATCAACATAACCTCCCTGCATATCATGGCAAACCAGAATCCTTGGCCGCTGCGGCATCAACGGCGAACCGTCGCTTTTTGCAGATTGCAATTTGACCCGGGACTTATTAAAAGGGTAGTGGAAAGAGTCAAAGTAGGACCTTGACTCAAGCTCTTCCAAGGTTTTAAGAGGATAAGAGATGGGAACTCCGGGTTGTTTGGGATCAAAAGGTGGAGGATCTGAACTGGGTTCCGGTTGAACATGGCTCGGTGAAACGACGACACCCTCCATGATTGCAGAGAGGAAGAAATGGAGTAATAGTTTAAGGAAACGGAAAGTGGGACGGTGACGATGGCGATCGTAGGTTCGTCTTATATAGGCGCGAAAACGATCGAGCATTGGAGGAATTCACAATACACTCTGGTAAGAAGACATGTGATCCACCTCATCTTCCATTCATGGAGGGAAAATTTTCTTTCTTTTCTTTTTTTTTTTTACACTACAGAAGAACGAGTAAACTAACCGATGATGATTGGCGGGCTCGAACGATGAGGATTATTGACTGAGAGTGGGACTTGAAGGTGATTCAGCTTGGGAATGCGGTTTGGCTTTGGCAGAGGAAAATATTCAGCACGTGTGCCACATCACTAACCAAAAAAAAAACACACTCAACTTAATTATAAACTAGATGTTTGGTTCAGGCAGATGTCCGGACGCCCCTTCTAAATTATTATTTTATTAAAATTTAATTGAATTACTATTTTTTGAGGAATTAAGTTAGCATATATATCATTTATGCTATGGTTTGGAGCTTAAAAAAATATATCTATAAATCTGAGGTTATAAGGGAATAATAAATAATTAATTTATAAGGCATTATTCTTAATTACTGGATTTAGGTTTTTTTATTTTTTATTTATATTAAGCCTGCAAAACTGTACGATTGGATATTTGAATTTGAATTAATATATCCATTCATTTGAAATGTAATTGATTCTTATTTGTAGAATTTTTTCATTGGATAAGTGTCACATCTAAAACATGTGTTTTTTTTTTAAAAAAAATAATATAACTTCTAATTAAAAGAGACTTACACGTAACAAAAAGACTCATGAAATCTGAAATATGGTGCATTGGAGCCAAAACAGATGCATACATAGTTGCCACATAAGTTTCATGTCTTTTGCTTTAATAGGGTAAAAGGGATATGTTTTTAGATGATTTACTGAATTTTTTTAAAAAAAAATCATTAAAAATTGAGAAATTGAAAATACACACAAATACTAGTAACCAGGTTCATATTATTTCTTTGAAAACAGTTGGTTAGCTGTGCTCTTATATGTATCTCACTTAATTTTTGGACGGAACCATTATTTTATTTTTCTATTAACAAAACAAGTTTTAGCCATCAAAAGCAAAGAATTTTGCCATACAAAAGTGTCAAGAAAATCATATAAATCCTACAGATTTAGGATACTCGTTTTTTTTTAAAAAAAAAACTGAAAAAAATTCATAATAAGTTAGTCTCTTTCAACGTGTCTATCCCAAAATTATTGTCTAGTTTAAATTTTTATTTTTAGTACAAGTTGTACTAAAAATGAAATCTCAATAATTTCGAAATAGAGAGAATAACATTTTAAAACATACCTCTATGCATTGATATTTAATATAAATCTTTTATTGCTTTCTATTTTTAGAAAGAGAACAGAGAACTGTGCAGTATGGGAGCATTTCAGAAAAAAAAAAAAGACTAAATCAAGCTTCCAAAAATTCAGAAAGCCGTTAGGGGAGGAGCAAACAACGTTTCGAAATTCCTTAAGTCACGAGCATCACGACGGAATTTCATAAGCTAATGACTGGACCTTCATCATGGGCAAACCTCACTCCTTGTAACCGATTCTTCTTTTTAAACACTCCATGACAAATTCCCCATACTTCTGATTATCCTTCTCTAACAAACGAAAGCCGAATTGAATATTTTATTGGTTTATACTAAGCCCAACTTTCATTTTTAACAGATTAAATGAGTCATGATACTGAGTTATGGACTCTATAAACTATAAAACAAAGTTGTGTTGTACAAGTATTCTCCTACATTGACACCAGATGCACAAATAAATATTTCAGCAGCGCGCAGAGTCGACCCCAAACAGAATCAGGTTTTCTGTCTGCGTGAGTTTTTGTTTAGGCTGCTATTTGCACAGAAACAATTTACCAGGCAAATGCAAAACCTCTGATATTTCGGAGTACTACAGCAATTTAAAGGTTTAAATGGACCTGCATTATAGCAGGGATTTAAAACAGTAGCCGACTAACCAAATATGCTAAAGAGAACAATTAGTCAAAAACGGTTTGAGGAATAATTACTGGACTGCATATCAAAAGAATCTCAAAAATGAAACCAGCCCTGGCGACAACTGGTGAAAAATGCACTTGTGAATCATATTTCCTCCATTATCGGGACCAAATACATGTACAAACAGGGATTTTAGAGTAAGGACGCTTGCATTTTTTCATTACTACCTATCTGGCGTGATAAATAAACAGAAGCAATTAACCTTCATCTCATTTAATCCTGAAATAATTTACCTTCCTAGTGGCAGACATCGATTCCCCAGCAAGTACCGCAAGCAGTTGAAAAAGATTGCACCCCTTTTCTCGTATAGAGTTTACAATTTACCCTTCTGTTACGATTGCAAGGCATGCCGAGTTCTCTGATTCACATCTCTGGCAATTTTCTTCCAATATAATGCTATATTTATAGTAAATCTTCAGTTCCAGTCATTTTTGCGAACTCACTTTCATTAATAGCTCCTTTTTTCAGCTTTTTCAGTAATCGGTACTCCTGTGCCATCTCCTCATCATCTTCAACTGATTGAACAGCCCGTCTTTGCTTAGCTGTTTTTTTCTTCATTAAATTAGGTGCAGCTTTTGAGGCTACTTTTTGCTTCTGAGACTTTTGTTCCTGGGCAGCCTCTTTCTTGGCCTGCAAATTTTTCTTTCGTTGTTTTTCACGAGCCTTGTCCCTGCACGGTAGATGGCCAAAAAGTGAATGCCAACATACAATAATGTTCTTATTCTATAAATTGGCAGTTAAAAAACCCACAAGAACTAAAGTCATTATCCCACCGGCCTGTGTGGTACCTTGGCTACTTCATGATGTTATGGGGATTGCATACCCCAGAAATGTTGTTGTATGATTTAGGCTATTAGCCTCCTTTGTACCCAAAAAAAAAAAGTCTTTATCCCATAATGCAAGGTCCCTAGTGGATTATATTTGCCCCAACATTTTATCAAAACACACAGGTCCAGTTTATATTTAGAAGATAAGATATCATGTCAAAAAGCCATGTCAAGTTTGGAACACAATCTCATTCTACAAGTTGGCAAACCTTTAAACTTCTACAAAAGATATGCGGCATCAAACAAGTAATCAACACATACGAATTCGGATCACCACGCTAAAACAAAAAATTCCAATGATATATGTTATGTTTAAAACTAGTCATGTAAAGATTTGACAAACCAAAGTCCAATTTATATAATGTATATATTATGTAATCATGCAAAACCAATTTGAAGCACATGAGTACATGGATATAGTCAGTCTCGGAAAGAAAATAATAAATCATTCCCATCAGAATCATTTAAAATCCTACATCTATTGTGGCTCTGAGATTTCCATTACTTTATCTTACTCTCATGTTATAACAATATGCAATTCTACATTATTTGATTGGACAACGCAGCTAATTTGAAAAATTCTTACTTAAATCTGATTTCCTCGAGATTTATATTTTCAACAGCAGTAAAACCCTCAGTAGAAAGATTGTGATGCTTCACTTCGGGCATTGCAGGGAGCTGCAGTAAACCAAAACCCATGCCCAATTTCCCAATCTCAAGTTCTTTCCACCTGCAAATAGGACCCAATTAACTAACACACATGTTTTGAACATTTTTAAATACACATCGTGAACCACGCTAACCTGAATATAAAAGAACAATGATGCTCTTTATAAGCACGGACGTAAGAAACAAAAGCTCTAAGCCCTTTTTCCATGACATCACGATCTTTTAATGCCACAGACCGTATCTGTAGGAGACATTTTAAGTATTTAAAGGGGGAAAACAGAATTCACAAATAAAGCGTCTCAAGTAGTTTACCTGAGGAATAATATCACATAAATTATCCGCTGCTTTTCTCTCTTCCAGAGGAACCCTTCTGACCCGAAGAAACTCAACATATGCTTCCTCCTGCGCATATAATAAAGATGACACTCGTCTAATTAAAACAAACCAAAATAATGTGATGCAGTGTCATGTTAAGAAATTAAATTTAAATGAAACAAACCTTTGGTAACAGGAAGACAATAGCACTTCCTTGCCGGCCCAACCTGGCTGTTCGTCCGACTCTGTGTATGAACATGTTCGGGTCTTGTGGGGGGTCATACTGTATGTGGAAATATAAGAGTTAATTAACCAAAAAAAAAAGGAATTAAAACTACTTATATCTTCACTGGTTTTCAAAATTGGGATCAGTTTTATAAAGACAACATCATTCACTTCTAAGATTCTATCATCGCTGGCATATATTGTACACTTGTACACTCACTCCTTGTTAATTTCAAGGATCTTAAAACACTCAAATAAGCTTAACATGATTCAAATAAAAAAATAATTCAAATTCAGGCCATACAGACTCTCCTAAGAAGCAATCACTTCATTGTCAAGATAGTTTTATGCATGTAAATTTGATGATAAGAAAAACTTATCAATTGCAAGAAAGGAAAAAAGAATCAGGCGTATTGGTTACAAAGAGTTTACCTGTACAATACTGTCAACTCCTGGAATATCCAGACCTCGTGCTGCTACATCAGTGCACAAAAGGATGCCACTTGACAGAGAGGTAAATGAAGCTAGTGCCTTTTCTCTGGCACTCTGGCAAGCATCCCCATGCACAAACAGAACATGCGTATTATTCTAAATTTTAAGATGGTAGAACCATATCCCAAATAGATAAAAAGGTCCAAACAGTTACCTGCTTCATCTTTCCATGAAGGGAAATTATAGAGAAACTCTTCAAAGGGGCAAGCAGCGGAAGAACAGTTCCCCAGTAATCTACGCATGCACAGGTCATGAAATAACTGCAAGACAACATTTACATCATCTTCTACTTGTAATTCCAAATAAATGATAAAACAAGCTCCCGCAGTTTACAAACAATCAAACTCCAAGCTTACATTATAACTTTTTGGGACGCGTTTTTTGTGAGAACCTCTACAAGCTGGGAGGGTTTCTTATCTGCTTCGCACTCAAGATACTATCAGCCAGGAAAAAAGTCAGCAATTTCCCAAAAAAGTCACCAGATATTTATAAATAGGAAAACTTATGCAAGAACGAATTTCAGCAAGTAATGGATTTAATAATACCTCAATGTGAAGGCCAGAAGGCGTTTTTGATGGCAACAATTGCTGGGAGGATGTTGAATTCTCCAGGGATTTAATCTCTGCTCGGACCTCAACCCTGACAGGATTTCTTAACCCTGCCTTAGCAAGCTCTTCTACAGCCTCAGTTTGTGTAGCCGAGAAAAGACCAGTTCTTCGAAGCTTAGGCAACCTAGATATGATAGAATTAATCTGCTTCTGGAATCCCATATCCAAAAGTCTATCGGCCTCATCTAAAATCAAAATCTGAAGAGAGAAATATACCTTAATTAACAGACAAGTTGCAAAGCACCTAAATGTTCAACACAAAGTTTAAACTATCATCACTCTAGCTCTCAAACTTTACACCTTAAAAAATCTAAGTCGCAAAATGGACGATATGGAGCAAACAAATTTCTTGGCCTACCTAATAAGAAAGCTATCCCTAAACAAAAAGTATCTAGAATATCAAATCATAAGAATTTCAAACGTTACAACTTTGTTTCTAAAACTGATCTTAAACCAGCAAAATCTAATTCCAGTTGGATTATACTCCAGAAAGTGAAAACTCTGGCATGGTTCTTTGAAATTCGTTAAAAACAAGCTTCTTTTTGAGCTACCTTAGTAGCATCTTCTCCTGAATCTACTTAAGAAACAAGTATAAAGGAAGCAACTATGAACCTCAACACTCCTGAAATCCAACATATCCATGCGTTCCATTATGTCATTGAGACGCCCAGGCGTACCGATCAGTAAATTCGCTCCATCCTCTTCAATTTTCCTCATGTCTGACTTTACCTCCACCCCTCCAACAAGAAGCATGGACTTAACATTTGACAATGTCGAGATGAAAGGTTGTGCAACATGATATATTTGTGATGACAATTCCCTTGTGGGTGATATAATTAGTCCCACTACCTGTTAAATTCGAAAAGTTTAGAACATGAATACAAAGCAACATTTCATGAATAAACCAGATTACCAAAGTGGACTCAGATTATTCATGAATGACCAAACCAATAAACCAAAAGCATAAACCGGAACAGGAAAAGAAAAAGCTCTAAAGGTTCAATCCCTAATTTTGCTACCTCCAGAAACTATCTATTTCAAGTGATAAACACATTCAAACAACCAGTTTCATCCAACGGAAAACGATGCACTTTGTTAAACCTCCGGGAATTACAAACTTCAAGAACTTACAAGCTTTCTAAACAATGTTAATAATAATACTAGCTAGGACTAGAGAGGGTGGAGGATACAAGAAAAAACAATGCAAGCATTTTATACTAGACTAGAAAAGGACAACCTGATGAGGTTTGGGAGAAGGGGAACGGCGGAGGATCTCAACCAAAGGAATCACGAAAGCCAGGGTCTTGCCGGAACCTGTGGCGGCGTCCACGGCGACGTCTTTGTAGCTGCATAGCAGAGGTATAGTGGCAGCCTGAACTGGCGTACAAAAATCGAACCCAGACAAGGCTAAAGCTTCAAGGACCGGTTCGGAGAGTGGCGGTTTGAGGTCGGAGAAGCGAGTACTGGTCAGCGCTCTGTTCGGGTCGGAACTTTCTGCCGGTGCCGCCATTTTCATGTAGAGAGGTTTTAGTCTACACTGGTTTTCCGCTTCTCAAATTTGCTGCAAACCGTTTTTATTAGGTGGGCTCATTACACATGGACCGTTATGGCATTAGCAAAAACCCGTTTTCGCCTGGGCCAGTAGGCCTGCTTCTGATGAGAAGGTTTTTACGGGCTTTTTACTGGGCTAAAATGGTGGGCCCTTTGCACACTCCTAATTTTCACGTGTGAAGTGCAGTGTTCGGACGAAAGATTCCGGGACAAGTTTTGTTCAAACGGTCTGAACGAAGTACGTCGTCGTTCACCGGAGTTCTCCTGTAAATCCATTCTTCCGACTGCTTTTATTTGTTGACGACTGCTCCAATCAATTCTTCTCCAATTTAATCCAAACTACTTCTCGCGCCTATTCGCTAATTTGCGCTGCCAGTTTCCATTTTCAGAGGAAGGTTTTCAAGATGATTCTCTATGATTGACTAATCATTCACTGAGGTTACGCCTTTATCAATTGGGTCTAATATTCGTCGGAAAGCAATGGCAATTTCTGCCAGTTTTCCTCATAGGCCCCCATCCTTCATTGCTCTGCTTTTGGTGGCAACAATTGTACACATAATCGGCGTCAAGTCGGTGAATGCAGTTTGTGAGCTCAGTTACAGGGACCACAACAAGCTTTATAATTATAGCTTAGCGTCCCCACTTCGTAAATTCCCCCATGGCGTCCTCAGCGAAGATGGGTATTGATTTTATTCCTTCCAGTAGATGATTTCCGTATTTCGTAGATATTTGCTCTTCCAGTAAATGGTTTTTATATTGTGATTTATTGGTTTGTCATTTGCATTGAGATTGTATGACTTGAAAGCAGTTTGGTTTTCATCTTTGTTGCTGTAATTTTGTTTGTTCTTCCTGGTTCATTTGAACCATAATTGTATTTGGATGAAGTCTCTAGATGATTTATAATGCTTATATGATCAGTTACAGCCAGGAGAACTTGAATCAACTATTTAAGGATACAGTGTTGAATTTTTTTCTCATACTATAGGCGATTGAGATTAATGAGTGGACTGGTAGCTGTGAAAATGGAAAGTTTGCATTCTGCTACTGATTAATGAGTTTTGACTTTCGGATGGCAAAGTGTAGCCAATAGAATACGAAATTATTAACTTAACCTGATTTTTGAGTAATTATACTTTCTGAAACTTAGAATATAGTAGTTTCAAGTGAAGAAACTTCGAATTTGATCTGTTTGGTTCTGATGGAAATCCTCATTTGGCATCTTTGGTGGTAGGTTCTACAAGGTAGCAGTTAATGAGACCGTTGTCTGGTTTCAGGTTGGCTCTGTCAGGTTGCCTTATGATTCAATAATTTTTCCTTTTATAAGCAACTCCTTTATTGAAGGCTTGAAGCATACTTAAAGGCGTGGCATTATGAGAGAAGATCAAGAGACTACATATTTTTATGATTTTCATGATATATTTTCTTGACTATGTTTTTCCTCTGTTTCTGGTGCAGCTTTGTGACTCAATGCTATTTAACCATGATCCTCCTGCCTGCATTGACTGTGGGGTGAGTTACTCTCAAATCTGGCATGAAAACGAAGTGTATTATGTTTTTTTATCTAGCTTTCCATTATTTTATTTATTGAAGCCTTGACTATTCTAGTATGAGTTTAAGCTGTTAATTTTTTCGCATTGCCCCTAACATGCCAAACAAAGTAACTCTGTATCATGATCATTGATTATCTTTCTAATTTTGTAGGATTGTGGTGGTTCATCTCGGTGCGGGATGGGTTGTAGTGCATTGGCATCAAATATGATTGGAGGTGAATTTTTCATCAGCGTGTTGCTTTACTATGTTTTGCATTTATTGGTACTTTAGCATGTTGATTCTTTTTTTAATGCCCCCTGAAAAGCTTTTACTGCAGCGATAGGAGACATGTATTCGTTGGCTATGGTTTCGATAGCACTTTTGTATGTGGATTTAGCTGGAGCTTTTGTAGTGCATTTCTGATTCATCATGTGTGGCGCATGTAGGTTACCCTGTTTGCAATTCTATTGGACACCTAGCAAGCACAACTGTCTATCCAATGGGTAAGTCTGCCCTTTGATTTCTAGTGAGTTTTCCAATGTTATGTATTGTAGGCAGCTTCCATGAGACGAAATTATGCTTCATGTCTTTTTTTGGTTAACTTTTGTGCCAGATACTAAACAGCCACACATGGGGGTCATTGTTAAGATGTCAAACATTCAGCCAAGACTCAACTGCTCTCTATCTGTGACGGTTGTCTGTGATTATAATAATCTTCAAGTGAGTGCTGGGCTTTAAATTTATGTCTTTTGGTGCTTCATTACAATTCTAAATATTTTCCCTTCTTTCACAGGGTTGTCTGACAATATATATTCTGTTGTCCAGGGTCCACATACACTCGAGAAATCTGGAACTTGTGATTATGTGAGTTCTTACATAGTTGAACGTTTATCAGTTTCACTGTGTAAAGATGCTGAATAAATTTCTTTATTTTTAACAGTTTCCTTATATAAGAAAAAGGTGGCAAATTTTATTGCTACCATATGAAGCTTGTGCTGCATATTCTTGACTTTGATTATTTGACAATTACTGGCAGTGTTTGTGATTTCTACTGAGCCACTTCCTTTTTCCCTGGTTTTTTTAGTTTTAGGAGAAATCCCTTGTCATTTAATGAAACATAAGTTGGATTCTTTTATGTTCCTGGAGGTGTATCTGAATAGGTGAAATACTGGCACAGTTGGAAGTCAAAAGTGTTTTTGTTTATCCTTGCTTTAGTTGCCTCTCTCACCATTTAGAGTTCTGAGCTGAAGAAATGGTTTGAAAGTTCACAATCTTCTGATTTCTTGCTCATCACTATTTCTATTGTCAGGCTACACAACTAAGGCATCCAGCTGGCTGCGCAAAGGTGATATCCACACAGGGAAGTGGATGGGGATGGTTCGGTACTTTATTATTTATGTAAGTTTTGGGAGCTCAGGATTAGACTTCCATGTAGTCTGGTTTTCTTTGGGTTTGCTTTTGTTTCATGTGGTTGTGAACTTTCACGAACAGAATTGCTCATTAGCTGTTTTTTTTTTACCCTGCAGACTGTTGTGCTTCTTTGCTGCTTACATGCTGGCTGGCATTATTTATCGACATTTTTTCTTAAATATCCATGGAATTGATGTGAGTGACACACAGTTGCTTCTGTAGTTGATTTCCCCAAAAATTTCTCTTTTTTCTGCTCAACACACACTCTTTTGTAACTGTTTCTCTCCTGCATTTTTCAGATGATTCCAAACTTGGAATTTTGGGCAAGCCTACCGCATAAAGTTCAGGTAGTCTCTAAATGTTGAAACAAATGTAGTTTCTGGATCATATTTAGCATTGACTAAGGACTGATAATTCTGAACTGTTATTTTTTCTGCTGTACCTTGACAAAAATGGACATCCAGTCCCCTACCTTAGTTTGTTTGACCAATAACATGTGACTCTCTTTTGTTGTTGTTCTCAGTTTTGTTGGGTTGTTTACAATCGATATGCCTAGCTTGAAATAGGGACAGTAGTTCAACCTTTAATAATGTGTAGTTAAGATGGCCTCCAATTGTATTGATATTTGGTTTTTTTGACATGAATTTTCTTGCTTTCTGGGAAGCATCCTATTTCTTTTAATCCCTATCTGGCCACCCATAAGTTCATCCTTTGGAGTTTTTCTTCAATGGTAAAGTTCTAAAACATTCACTCTAAAACATTGCTTTGCAGAGTTTGATAATGTCCTTGGTACGGAGATTTAGGGGACCTTCTGCAGGTTATCGTAGCTCCTATTCTCCAGTTAATTTTTGAAGGAGGAAGGAAATTTCTGGAGTTCCTCTGCAAGTTATCATCAGATGTCATCATTAGCTCTTTCATGAATTTTAATTTTCCGGCCAGAACAAAATCTGGGTTTCTTTGAGGTGCAGTTAACAGGTGGAGAGAATTTTGACATCATACAGATAACAGTGTTTCAAGATCCATCCATTATTGCTACTCGGAAGAGGCTATGATTAGTTTGCGAGTTGATATTCTTTTGAGGATCATGTAGACGGTTTCCACTAAATTAAGGTTGGTTCTTGAACAGTGGATAAGGCAATTGCTGATAAGATGGTACTTCTTATTGATCATGATTATCAGTCAGTACTTTGCATGTTTACTTCAGGGTTAAGTCCTTAGTAGGTTGTTTATGTGTAATTTGATAGTGAACTAATATTTAATCTTATGGAAGGCCATGGGATCTTGTTAGATGATGACAGTGATGATGGCTGGGAAATGTATGTACACTTATATTCTTTGGATTACCAGTGGCCGTGTACGGTACAATTCATTTAGTTAAGAGTATGTGTCCCTTTTATCATTACCCATTAGGATACAGAATCTAGAATTGAGGCCATAAAACAATTAGTAGTTAGTAAAACAGCTCCATCAATGATTGGATCAAAGCAAGAAAATGGTTTCCTTTGGTCAGTTTTGAATAATTTGTCCCTGCTTGTATCAGATTAGGTTTCTGGAATCTGGACAGATGAAAATTGCTAACTGCTCCATTATATCTAATTCCAACCAATTGAAGTTGAGACTCTAACGAAAGCCACTAGGATTTTGTTCTCCTTGAGACCCAAAAGAAAATTGGAAAGGTTGTAGTATCATCTGGGAGCCTTTTCGAAACGTAAACAATGATGGAAGATAAAGAAGTGAAGGAATTGATTTGCCATCTTTTCCCAACTACATTCTTGTCTTAGAAGCAAAGCAAAAATCATACAGACCCTTTTCCCCCAGTCATCATGAGGTCACACGAAACATCATACTTGGTTGAGTAAAAACTAGAAACTACAGAACTAGTATTTCCATTTTTAAAGCAAGGACGGCTTAGATTATTTGCACATACGGTCACACAATAAAAATAAACATTCATATTTGTTGAACTTTACAATGATAAAAAATGGAACCGGACTGACTTACAATAGGGAACATCAGGCAATGATATACGGCCAATTGGATTACCTGTAAACTTGTTTCATTAATTTAAACATATATTGGTCATCATCAGTGTCCTAATCATTTTAAAAATGGGAGGAACAAACAGGTAATCAAAAACTTCAAAGCAAGTTACAATGTGCCTTAAAAGTTCAGGCCTCTGTAAATTTTCATCTACCAGCTGACTGACTGACTTTCACTGCAACAAAAATATATATGATCACAACTGTGATTATAACACCAACTTTCTTCAAACCAAATACCAATCTAAATTATAAGCTATTAGAAGGGATTTAGGTCAAGGAGGGGGGCGTCATCAAAAAAAGCAAATACATTATACATGACATGAAGTCCCCTCCTTCATCTTCTGCTTCCTCTGCTGCTGTTGCTGCTTCCAGCTTCCTGTTGAGAAAGGCCAGATTCTCTCCTATTCTTTTAACCTTTGTAGCCTTCATTATCTTTGTCACCATCCTCTACAGCGAAGATTTCCGTTGCCTCTTCGGACAGTTTGATCCCCAACAACCTAAAAACTACTACTCATCTCATAATACAGTACTCTCAAGCACCAGTATGTAATAATAACATTTTTTTTTCTATACATATCCGCGGTTCATCGTGTTAGATGGTTTAGCAGATAGGATAATCATTTTGGGAAGAACATATGGATATGATCCGGTGTTAAATTATATTTGTTGTTTTTTTTGGTGGTAGAGAAGAATGGAGAAAAGTTGCCGTTTGCAATCGGAGAAACCAAGGAAGGATGTGATGTGTTCAGTGGGAAATGGGTTCGGGACGAGGTGAACCGGCCGTTGTATGAGGAATCGGAATGTCCGTACATACAACCACAGCTGACATGTCAAGATCGAGGCCGCCCTGATAAGGATTATCAACACTGGAGATGGCAACCTCATGGCTGTTCTCTTCCCAGGTCATTTATTAGCTTTCTTTTCTTTCCTTTTTTCTCCTCATTTTTTTGTTTTTTAATCTTCACTACTTCTTGTTATGATCGATCCTCCAGTACGTCCACCATGAATCATGTTCATATAGTACAATTCTTGAGTTATAAATGTTTAGAGTGTCTGAAGAAATATGTGACATGAAAGATCAGGACGAACAGTTTTGAATTTGTGTATTTTCGTTTTATTTTTATTTTTTTTTTGTGAACTCTTTTTATTATCTTTGTTCATACATCAGCCGGGAAGATGACAAGTTAGGTAAAGAAAACTTCAAAATGCATGACAACCAAAAAAAAAAAAAAAGTTAAATAAATAATTGGCACTGGGTTTATTATCTGATATCAGTAAATTATTTAACGAGGATCCCATAATTAATCATCGAAAAGCAGGAGCTTCCAATCAAACAATGTTTTTATTCTTGAAAATTGCAGTTTCAATGCGACATTGATGCTGGAAACGCTTAGAGGAAAGAGGATGATGTTCGTGGGGGACTCCCTAAACAGGGGCCAGTTCACATCCATGGTTTGCCTGCTTCAGAAAGAAATCCCTGAACATGCCAAATCCATGAAGACTAAAGGTTCCCTCACCGTTTTCACAGCAAAGAATTACAATGCAACAATTGAATTCTACTGGGCACCATTCCTTCTGGAATCAAATTCAGACGATGCAATTGTTCACAGGATATCCGACAGAGTCGTTCGGAAAGGTTCCATCATCAAACACGGAAAACATTGGAAAGGAATAGACATCATGGTTTTCAACACCTACGTTTGGTGGATGACCGGCAAAACCTTCAACATTCTGTAAATTCCCCTCGTCTCGCATTTGATCATCTGTAGCACTTTCTCCGTCCCAAGATTATTGTCTTGTTTGGATTTTTCACTTTTAATACAATTTGAACTAAAAATGAAAATTCAAACTGAACAATAATTTCATGACGGAGGGAGTAGTACTTTTTCTCGTAACATGAACTTGTGGATCTGAGAAATTGAATAAATGCTTGGTTTACCAACAGGCAAGGATCGTTTGATGATGAAGTGAAAGACATTGTAGAAGCATCCACAGCGGATGCTTATCGAATGGGAATCAAAACGATGCTTAGATGGACTAAAAGGAATATGGATCCCAAGAAAACCAGAACTTTCTTCACCAGCATGTCACCTTCTCATAGCAAGTAAGCTCTTCTTATTAACTGATAAAAAAAAAATACTACCTCCGTCCCACAAATATTGATGGATTCGTGTCAATTGTGTAAACGGGTTCAAATACTGATGGAATCACGAATCCGAATAATGCTGGTGAACAGGAGTATAGATTGGGGAGGTGAACCAGGGGGAAATTGCTACAATGAAACCAAGATGATAGAGGATCCACATTACTGGGGATCGGATACCAGAAAAAGCATAATGCAAGTTCTGGGAGAAGAGTTCAGAAAAACCAAGGTGCCAATCATACTACTCAACATTACGCAGCTTTCAAGTTATAGAAAAGATGCACATACTTCCATTTACAAGAAACAATGGAGCCCTTTGACTCCTGAGCAGTTAGCAAATCCTGTCAGCTATGCAGATTGTACCCATTGGTGTTTGCCAGGCCTACAAGATACCTGGAACGAGCTCTTGTTTGCTAAACTTTTCTACCCTTAGCTCTTGATTAATTTTTTTTCCCCTCAAATGGGCTTTGTTAGCTTGTGGTGATCAAAATCAAATATGAAATGATCGATGACGAATTAGCATCTCCCACATTTGACTTGGGGTTTCGGCTGCTGATGAAGATCAGTGTGGATGATCATAATTGACCTTTTTCATTGTTGTCAGTATGGAGAAAGATCAAATTTCTTCTTCTTTTTTTATTTTTCATTCTTTTGATCAACGCATTTTTTAAAGTTGAATTTTGGGGTCAAGCTTTTGAAACTTTCTTCTTGGGATTAGGTGAAATGGGATATTTTTGCTACTAAAATGGACTGTTTCGATATTGTTCAGGCAGAAAGGTTTTCTATTTTGGGCTATGTTGGTTCACTTTGAGTTGTGATAGATTAGGGCCTGTATCGGCAGTCTTTTAGATCCAAAAAAGTCTTGGAATTTCATTTTGAGCCCCGAAAACAATTTCTGTCAATACTCAATCGCTGAAAAGCATTCTTTTGAGTCAAAACTGTGTGTCAGACGAACATATGAAGTCGCCGCAAAATTTGGCTTTGTCATGCATGTCCATTGAATACTTGGTTAATACTCTCACCTCAAGAAAACAGTCGATAAATTAACATGCGATACAACTGTAAACTGTCTCACTAGTCACTCCCCAACTCAAAGGAGTAAAATGTAACTTAGCCCTTGGTTTCTTCAGTCTCAAAAAGGAAAAATATATATAAATTTATATTATATACTGATGAAGTTTATCGCTTTGATTACATTACAACACTATGAGTATGTTGATCTGTCAAAATCTAGCTTATCTAGCAAACTATTTGGGGTCGTCTGCAAAATATGTAACCCTTGTGGAGCTGATAATCCTAACTTGCATAAGAAATCCGCTGCCTCATTACTATTTCGTTTGATAAAGTGTCACGGGCTAATTCTTTTATAAGTTAAAATCGCGCGGCCCTAGCACTCTACAGTCTAGACCACTAACAATGAATGCTAACTCAGCCTAACCCTTAAAACCTTCAAAATTCTTGAAAATAATCAAGTAGGAAAGTTGAACGGTTAAAGAAATGAAGGAGGAAAAGATAAGGGCTTAAAGAGAGCTTGAGAGAACTTATGAACTAGAATTTAAACCTTAAACTCTTCATAGTTTACAAAGGGAGGAGTTGAGGTATTTATAGTTGCCAACCTAAGCCCTCAAGGTTCTAGATAATTTTAAATCTAAACTATTCTAGAACAATATCTCTTATTCTAATCAATTCTACAAACTTCTATTTAATTCTAAACTATTCTAGAGCCTCCTACACATTTCTACATTGATCTACACAATTTTAATCTAATTTCACAAGACTCTAGAAAATTCTAAGATATTCTAGAATCTTTCGGAACTGAGCTTGACTCAAAAAGTCTAATTGAGCCTAGATTCATCAAAATTATTAGGCCAAATTACTTACTTTGATTTGATAATATTTAGGCCGTGTCACTCTCCCCCACCTGAATGGGGCATCCTCCCTGATGCCCTACGTCCCAGCTCCTCATTTTCACATAAATTTTGAGCTATGGTGGCTAGTTTACTACGAGATGGACAGTCACGAACCAAACGAGATCCTTTCCATAGAAAACAACCCTCAAATTTTTGTTTGTTTTTCTGCTTTTGACTTCTCTTTGTTGAAGGCGCTATTTGCTTCTTCAAATGTTTTCTGATAGGAGGTCATGTCGTTTTCTCCACCTGTATCACTGAAAAATTTCTTACATGTGCCTTTATGGCTATTATTATTCTGAAACTCCACAAGAGATTCTGCAACTCGCATAACTTGTTGAACATCTTGAACATCACTCCGTTGTAGGTCTAATTTAGCCCAACGATTAAGACCGTCTATAAACATAAACAAAGCTTTTTTGGGTGAGAAATCAGAAATTTCAAGCATAAGATCAAAGAACTCCTGCACATATTCCCTGATATAGCCCTCCTTGTGGTGTAAGCGGCGAAGTTTAGCTCGAGCTTCGTTTTCACAATCAGCCGGAAGGAATTGTTTTTTAAATTCCTCCTTAAATCCTTCCCAAGTGGTGAAGACCGGTCTTCCTTCTCTAACCGGTTTCATCATACGTTTCCACCAAGATAGAGCACCATTTTTAAAATAATAAGAGGCTTGATAGAGTCTTACCGAATCGTCCGTCAAGCCCACAGCGCCAAAGTACCTCTCAAGTCCGTAGAGAAAATTCTCTACATCCCTTGCCTTGCGGCTACCAGCATAAACATCTGGTTTTGGTGCATCGACCATTGGAGCTGGCCCTCCAACTCCGGCCATCCCTTGAGTACATAGAGCATTCACTCGTACCTTGAGTTACTCTGTTTGCGTCCGATAAGTCTCAAACTCACTCCTGAGTTTGAGCACATCACCTTGGAGCATGGTGACCTTGGCTGCATTTTCGCCGCAAGCCTTAATGACCCTCTCAAACACCTTGTTGAGTGCCCCAAGCATCTCTTCACACATTTGTTGCATGATCTCTTGCAATTCACCCTTGAATTGTTCCATGCATTTCTTACCGATAACTTCCACTGTAGAAGCATGCTCTTCCCAATGATCACAATGGTCGGCCACGACCAACTAACAATAAATGCTAGCTCAGTCTAACCCTTAAAACCTTCAAAACTCTTGAAAAGAACCAAATCGGAAAGTTGAACGATTAAAGAAATGAAGGTGGAAAGAATAAGGGCTTAAAGAGAGTTTAAGAGAACTTATGAATTAGAATTCAAACCTTAAACTTTTCATGGTTTACAAAAGGGGCTTGGGGTATTTATAGTTGCCAACCTAAACCCTCAAGGTTCTTGATAATTCTAAGTCTAAATTATTCTAGGACAATATTTCTTATTCTCTACAAACTTCTATTTAATTCTAAACTATTCTAGAGACTCCTAGACATTTCTACATTGATCTACACAATTTTAATCTGATTCCACAAGACTCTAGAAAATTTCAAGATATTATAGAATATTTTGAAACTGGGCTTGACCCAAAACGTCTAATTGAGCCTAGATCCATCGAAATTATTGGGCTAAATTACTTAAAGTAAATTACTTACTTTAATTTGATAATATTTGGGTCGTGTAAGAAGAGTCTTTATGTAGGAGTTTACGAATTCCGCTGAGTAAGTTACTCTGTTGATCTAGATTTGTATCGGCTGCCAAACTTTTTGACAGCATTGGAGTTGTCCATCTGCAATTGGACCTTAGTGAAGCCCAACTGCCAGGCCATTTGTAAAATTACTTTTCATATTTTGAATGAATGAAAAACAAAATCTTCTTTTTTAAAAAAAGAAAAAAAGAAAAAACAAAATCTAAAAAGTGTCCTGGAGTTTGAGCCTTGGGCCGAATAGTTGAAGCCCATCACAATTCGGTCCAGCTTGAAGCGAGTGCACAAATATTCTCTTTCAAAATATTCTTCCCGCGCCAAATGAAACGTGGATGAAGAAGTCACATATTACTCTCTTTACTAACACCACTTATGTAATTATGTAGCTTAATTTTAAAATTGAATACGGGGACATGAATTAATTGAATATAAATGTGTAAATAGCTTGTTCGTGTCATAGGCTTTATTATTATGTTTTCTTCTTCTTTTTAATTGAACATACTATACATTAATAAGATATCCGGAAATAAAGAATAATTAAGTGACTCGTCCACAAAATGTATACCGGTAATCCAAACTCACCATACTGAAGAAAGCAAGAAGAGATCGATGTTGTGTTAAATAAATGAATTTTCAAACTTTTGAAATGAACGCATAAATCAAGAGCTTCTTTCGACATGGATCCTTATATTTTGTGTATCTTGATATGGTTTTTTGGGTTTATTGCCTAGAGGCCTAACTCTCTCACATGTAAGCAATTAGGAGTTACGACCTTCCCCACGTATCCTCTCGGTCCACATGCACTGTTTTAACCAAAGCCATCCACACAATCCATATTGGATGCGTTTGACTGAAGAATAGAGATTGCTCCTTCCCGACAGTTTCGATCAACTAGCTAGTTTTAAGATGATGCACGTTTGGAGTTGATCCATAGAGAGAAAAAAAATACTAGTATTATTTACATAATTAATGTAAATTGAAATACTTAAATTCAGACAGAGGTTGGTAGCAGAGAGAATAAAAACACTTCATGCAACTTGCAAAGGTTGACAAAATTATTCCAAAGGAAAATGAGATATGGTCATAGTACGAACTCTTTTTTATTGGTAAAACTTCTTTTTTTTCTCTCCTGCTTCCTTAATAGCACTAATCAAAAGAGGTTTACTACTGTGCATTATGAGAATGACAAGCCATCCACTTACCACCATAGCAACTAAATTGACTTCTCTCCTAAAGTAAAACTTGATAAATTTAAGGTACGAGAGAGATAGAGATGGTCATTATCTCTCAAATTTACAAGACGATGCATTATTTATTAATTAATGTTAACCATATTCACACATCAAATTTATATTTAAGGGCACGTACGACTTAAAAATCGATACTGAAATGTTGCAACTATCAAGCATCTAAATCACTACAAGAGAATGCTTTTCTTTCTGTTCAATTTGCATAGTAACTTTTATATCATTTGAACTAAGTGTTTGTTGGTCAATAAAAATTTATTTAAATTCTATGAATTTAATGTAATATTAATCATAACATCGACTTCAAAATTCGATACATCAAATGAACATTTGTATATCTCATGACTTTTCTTAGAGCAAAGGGCTAAAACGAAACTCGGCCCTTAGAAACTAACTTTGGCCATCTTTTGCCAAACGGTTAAACCCGAAACTGCAGATACCAGCACGTATTAAAAAGAATTCCTAAACTACAAATTTTGTTTACTCGTATGTTTCGGAAGGTTTTTTTTTTTTTTTTTTTTTCTCCCTTCGCAATAGCACCTGAACAATGCTCCAGCTGTATAATTTTCAATAAAATTACAAGAATGTGCGTGCAAATATATCTGCCACATACTAGTTCTGATCAGATGTAACACATAAAGAGATGCAGGTCGATCGTGGCATATTTTGATTTCTTTAGTTACAAAAGTACAATATGGAGAGCGTTAAATTTAACCTCGCAAACTGTAGGAGGAAAAACAGAATGCCTATCCCTTTCCCCAATCACGGAGATAATGTGCATGGTGGCTTCAAAAAGAACGAAAATCAAAAGCCACCACCAACAACAACAACATGCGCTTTTTTAAAAATAGATAGCTAGAAATCAACGAAGTAAATAAAGGCAGTAGTCAGTCGTATGAAAATTTGGATATGACTTGGCGGGGATATCATTGGGATGTTAAGCTGGGGGGGCGTTGGCCCTCCTCGTGATTCTGGGATCAGAATCGCAAAAAGACAGAGGAAAACCCATTGGGATGGCATATGACCAGCACGCAAATGTTTTCAGTACGTACTACCAAATTGGGAAGAAAAAAAGATGATAAATAATATTGGCCTTGTTGCCCACTTGCATCTTCAACTTGCAAAAATTCCAAACATCTTGTCCTTCCAGAAACGCTTCATAAAATATACCATTAATTCTTAATAGTACTACTACTACGACAACTAGCTCTATAGTTTTAGAGGCAAACCCAACAAAAATTTTAAAAAAGAAAAAAGAGCAACTTGCGCTTTTAATTTTTTGTTTGGAGAGCAAGTTGGTTTGGTGTCATCTCTCATCAGAAAACGTCAACTTGGGAGGGGTATAAGTTACAACCATACGCAGAGCAATCTGTGTGTGTGACTGTGTGTTTTTTTGATTCTTCAACCAACTAGGGGGGTTCTATTTTAATATTACTTACGTCCCACAAAAATAGTCCACGTCGAGTTTTGAGTTTCGTACCATTTCTCCTCTTTTGCATCTCTGGCATGTGCCTCTTCAAACGGAAAATACCTCACAAAATCCTCCTCATTTATGTACTACCTTTTCTTCTTTTTTTATATTTTTTTTTAAAAAATAACAAAGTACTAAAATCCCACCCCATATCATCATCAGTTCCTCACCTTCCTAGAATCGCTCTTCGGATAAAACCATATGCATAAAACTCTATTAATATCACCGGCGTCCAATCCCGACCGCTATAACGACTTGATTATGCCTGCATTATTAACTTAATTATTTGGAACACACGCACACTTGTATTATTAAAACATTATTCATTCCGCGAGGGGGTATAGTTATGTAAGTTAATCAACCAAGGCAAATTATTACTATATTCGATTAATGTTTGATGATTACCTGAATACACCGGCCGGCGAGTATGTTGAATAATATATTCATCGTGTTTCATGAATAAAGATTACTTGGAACATTAACAATCGTAACAGATCATATATGATGTATCAGATAAATTTTGTGTATTTGCAAGTTTGGAAACTGTTACGGGGGCACTCGTCTAGAACTTATAGAAATTTGCAAACCAGACCAATCTAGTATAAATAGCATCTTTTCCTTTTTTTTTTCCTTTTCTTTTTATTTATTTTTAAAACTAGTTATAGGAGTGGAAGGAATTGTTTGGACTTACAAGGATTAATGCTGCCTCCATGTAAATTTGGAAATGACTATAAAAAGTGTGCATTTGCAGTGTGGAAGAGTTTTATCAATCTTTTTGTGGATGTCCAAAGTTGGACTGAGTTTTATCAATTTTTAAGTGACTGAAAAATTGATTCCCTACTTTGAATTGTTAGGTCCATAATGTCTAATTGAAGAATTAGACCAGACATTGCACCTTGACCGAAGTATAAACAATAATCGATATCACAAGAATAAGATTAAATTAATTAATTAGAAGAAGACGTCACAGCGCAAGAATTACATTTCAATGTACATATTCCTCTCAATTTGAGATTGGAAGAAATAGTACAACGTTTGCCAACGTATGCAAGAGCACCATTTATAGGCCAACTACATTAATGCATTAACATTATTAATCTTCAATATTCACAACTTACAAGTTTGATGAGAAAGGCATTTCAGATTAAAGAAAAGTTTTTCTAAATTAATTACGTGGACTTCACACACATTGAAGATATTTTAGATGTAGTTGAAGAGTGACTCAAAATAGAAAGAAAGACGAATAAATATACATATATATGGTTGAAAGAAAGCCAGAGCCTATATTTATATCAGAAAAAAAAAAAAATCGAATGATCGTCAAACTGGAAAAGAAAACAAGACAACGATGATATTAAAGGGATGAAGTAATTAAGAATATCTGTACAGAAATGGTGACCGACCAAAATATGGGATAATTAGTACAAGCAATGAAAAAACCAATGATGATGATGATGGTACTGATCAAGAACATGAATTCATTGGATTTGGTATAATGAAATCACCTTCAACAGCTTTTGAGATCAGAATCCATGCATGCACTAGCTACTATGATTATCATTCCTACCGCTTTTTTCTTTTTTTTTTTTTCCTCCAAAGTACGCTTCTTCTGGGATTTGGATTTCCTTCCAATTCCATTGATCTACAAAGTTGTCCAAAGAACTAAACTCATCATATCTGTCTGTTCACCCATCAACAAAATTACAAAAAACCCCTCCACAACAACCAAGCCAAAAAAAAAAAGAAACATTTTCAAATTTCAGGATGATGATTTACTGATTTTCCTATCAAGTTTCTGAGCGATCTGAGCCAAGGACTGCAAGTTGCACCGTACGATTGTGTCGACAAAGGTGCAGGTTTCTTCCTCGGTGTTCCCTTGTGGCACATCGACGACGTAGGACTCCACCACCACCGTGCCGCTGCCGTCGGCGGTGGCGTGCAGTGTGGTGACCGACCTGTAATTGTTGAGCCTGTGTTCGCCGCCGACCACCCGGAAGCTCATCACGTGCCTCTCGTCGTCGAGGATCTCCAGCCTCTCCCTGCTGGTGGCGGCGGGGAGCCCGGAGATCACCTCGACCTCCCGGAGTGTGCCGACGTCCCCGTCGCCGACGATGACGTGGCAGCTCTTGAGGAAGTGCTTGTACGCCTGTGGGTTGTCGAACCGCCTGACCACCGACCAAACCGTGTCCACGGGGGCCGCGATGGTCTGGATGACGGCGGAGCAGCACTGGTCGGGGCCCACGGCGTGGGTGTGGCAGTGCATCACGTTCTCCGGCACGGAAATCGGCACCGGGATCACCCACGTGGGCTTGCTCTGGTAGCTGTTCACCGCCGCCGTACCGGTGGTTGGAGGGTTGATTCGGTGGATTTGAAGGGATGAAGGCATAGGCATTTTTGCTCCACTATGATTAACTCTTCACAGATAATTAAAAAGTTCCTCTCAAAAACTCGATAATTAACTCCAAAACCTTCCGTATTTCTTGCTTTCTTGAATTTCCAGCCCAGGTGAAGGAGAAGAAGAAGAAGAAGATGATGTGATCGATGAGGAATGGAACAAAGGAGGAGTACGAGAAAAAAGAGAAGAATAAATAAAAATGGGGGGGAAAGATGGGGGAAATGGATAGATGGGGTTGGTTGGATTATATAGGGGGGTCTTAATGAAGAAGGAAAACAAAGAGACAAGAGAGAGAAAATGGGGGAGTTGCATTAGTTTGATCTTTCCTCGGAGAAACTTTTATGACTAAAAAAAAGGGGAAGGTGGTGGTGGTGGGGGTCTGGTTAATAAAAATTGAAGGGGGAAAAAGGGGCGGAAAAATTGAACAAAATTGGAATTGAATAAAAACGCAGAGCTTACGCCGGACAATGAGAGCAAGTGGGCTGAGCAAGTTGCACAACTTTTGTTTGTTGGTTTCTGTGTGACTGTGTGAGAGAGAATGAGAAGAGAGAGATTTGTTAGTATTTCCGGACGCGGACAGAGTCCTCTTTCAATTTGGTTATACTAAAATCTTGGAAACGCCCATCTCTTTTCCTCCTATTTACCATATTTGCCGCTTTCTGTCATTTCTCTTCTTCTGTATATATATATACGTTTGTGTGTTCGTTATCCCTAGGTTCATTTTTGTTTGAACTTGATAACTGACCACCACCTTTATATTTCGCTTCAACTCGAAGACATACTGTATTATGACGGGATAAAATCTTGTCTTTTATTTCGAAGTTATATGGAGTTTAATCTGAAAATACGTTTTCTAGCTACAAATAGGTTAAAAACTAGATGCAATTTAGATTGATTTCTAGTATGTGAATTGTGTTGACACTGTACATGATGAAATGTTCCAAATATAGCAACGATATTTAGGGGTTACAAGTTTGTGTCAAATATTTTGATTTGTCATAAGTTTTGCATATTAAGTTTTTTTGATTGAAAATTTTTTAAAAAAAATATTTTCTAATACTTAGGCGATCACAATGAATGTCAAAATGTAGTTTTAGGGAGGTTTTTTTTTTCAATCAGAAAAATATAATATTCGACAAATCAAAATGCATTATAATCATACCTGGAGCGAGTATTATTTTCGGTTTATTAAGAAAAACTTATTATGAAGAGATATTCATTTAATCGGTATAATGATTGAGTGAAATATGATATGTTGTCATGATGTTTGTCATTATAAAAATATCTTGAACTCAAATAATAGGATAAACTCCTCCCATACGTTCATGTAAGACAAACATATTTGAACCGGATTTAGCCTAAACTTATGCGTTATTAATTGAAATAACGTGTGCAGTGTTCTTTGTTCTCCAAAAACTTATTAGTTACATAAGTGTGCGTGTGTGTGTGTGTTTTTTTTTAATCTCGTTACGATTATATTCACGTACATTGTTGTCACAATTTCAAATTTTCGAAATGCGAACGAGACATGAAATGACTTCCTTAATAAACACACCAATTACAAATAAGAGAGCTGAGCGTTAACTGTTTTTTTTTTTTTTTACCCTCTTTCTTCTTCCTTTGACAACAGTCTTAAGTGGACGTTAAGGGGTGCGTGACGTAAAAGATTGCCGACGCATCTCGTGAATGCTCTCATTCGACTTACTCTCTCCATACAAGTGGCTAACGTCGTCGGGGCAAATTTCATCAATTTGAATTTTATAATTTATTGTCTAAAAAATTAATATCGCAGAAAGAAAAAGTCCCTCATCAACATGACAACAACTTGGATTATTTTCCTACTGAGCATTTTGGCGTATATAGAGGGATTCTCTGAAAACCAAAATGATTTGTGATTTTATTTACTTAAAGATAGAATGTTAGTACTCCCTATGTCCCAAAATTATTGTCCATTTTGAAATTTCACTTTTAGTACAATTTGTATTAGAAATGAAAATCCAAACTAAACAATAATTATAGGACGGAGGGAATACATAATTATAATTTGTCTACTCTAAAATAATTATTCTAATTGTTGTATTGTTTAATCATATTGGTAAAACATATTATATGTGGAAGATTGTATACATTAGAAATGAGTATACAGTTGTTAGTAGTATATATATGTGTATATATTTTTTTCTCAAAAAAAAAATGTATGAGATAATTATAACTGGAAATACATTGACAAATAAAGCGTATTTAAACATCCATGCATGTTCATTTTGCTATTCGCTGCAGTCCAGTCTCTTGATACAACTGGTATGGGAGAGGGCCCTAAGGATTTGACTAGATGTGAATTATTATTCCCCAAAAAAAATTTCTGGGGGGATATGGCAATATTATGGCCAATAAATGTTTCCATGCGTATAGTGCTCCATGATCCAAATTGCAACTTGGCCTGATCAGAACTTCGATCAGAGTCGTTATTTTAGTAGTATTAATTATTGTTATTTCTCATGTAAACAATAAAGCAGACGTGCAAGTGTGTACATATCTATCTATCTATTCATTATTTCATATTCACAGACTCAGACATTAAAATCCTTCATGCATGTTGCATCACTCTTAAAATGACACTGAAATAAATTTGTACGTACGACGACAACCCTCAAATTCAATATGTGTGGGCCTTGCTAACTGGTCTTTCATAAATTTAACCATAAATCATTTGAATTCTAAATTATATACATACGTGAGGGTGTATATATATATATATATATGTATGTATATCACGTAGAATGCTAAGATCGTATGTGATTCGTTTTCAAAAGAGATACATAAATCATATTGCATGGATAAACGTAAACTTACTGTATGACAGAATACAAAGTCAAAAAGGAGTTGTCGCACATCGTGGACAAACCCAAAATTTTTTAAAACGTATTTGATTGGTATGGAGAGAAAAATTTGTATGATAATTGATTATAATTAAGTCCCGTTTTCTTATTCTCAAATTAAAAGTCGTGTTTACTGAAATGAAAATTATAACGTAACAACAATCAAATGTAGTAGTTTCCAACGTTTTAATTCCTTTTCAATGCTTATATAAGTAAAAGAAACATGTATGGTTACTTTCTTGTTCTCTGCAGCAAAATTTGTTTCATTATCTAACTAACTAGTGATATTGCGTCGGCAGAATGGAGAAAACTATGGGCGATGATACGAAAATACGTACATATATATATATATATATAGGCTAGTTTAGTAATGCCCACTAGGTTTTATTTTACTCACATTTCGTACGTAAATTTCTTTTCTTTTCCTCCCTGTTTTTCCTCCCAGTATCGATCTGTCTGCCCATTCCCAACCAATGCCTTCAGTTTTATTAAGCTAATAGCTACTTGCGTTTTTACTATTGAAAGTTACTACTTTGTCGTACAACTTTATGTTCAACATGCATTATAATTTTTTTCGATTCCAGTTCTGCATCATTTTTTCTTCCTCCCCCGTCCCCTCCTTTTGTCCTTTCTCCTTCCTCTTTATCCTCAGCCTTTTTCCACCACTCTCATGATATCATTCAACTTGTAATCTCTCTTTATCCTTTTTCCCCCCTCCTCCTTTGGGTTCATTTTTTCCACTCTTTATATCATTTTTATTTCAAAATGTTAGCTTTTGGTTCTTCATGCACTCTATGATGCTGAGAGTGGTATAGTGTACCGCTGCTGGTTTTATTCTTGAAACTAAACCCTAAAAACAAACATACACACACACACACACACGCACGCACCCACACCCGACTGCAAACATTACCATCAGTCTACTAATTAACCTCGCACTAGCTCCGTCCACGTCACTTTTCTTTCCTTATATATCATTATATTTCTATATATATCAAGTTAATTATTAAACCTCTTGTGCAAATTGAGAACATATAAGTCTAGTGTAATAAGTACGTATGCCAAACTGATAGTTATAATGTCTGTTAGCGGTGCTGTATTATTTGGTGATATTGTTAAGAATTAATAGTTGCATGCGAACGGATTAATCAAAGCTTTAGTTGCAAGAAGAAGTTATACATAAATGTACGTAATGTAACAATAATTGAATCGAAGTCATCATGCCGATCAGTAGTGATACTTTTAAGTTTTATAAATACTGCTTGTTAGGTTGTCATTAGTTCTGTGGGGTGACTTTATGTAATCTAATGCACACAGTGATTATCATATATCTCTTTCTTCAGCTCTTTTTCTTTTTCTTTTTTCTAAAAATTGTATTTGTATTTTTTTTTAAAAAAAGGGACGATGAGAGTACTATTTAGTCATAGGAAAAGCTATTTAAATGTAGCTATGGAAATTGGTAATATTAGGTAATCATATATAGCTGAGATGGAGGTGGTCATGAAAATTAATATTGCTGGGGTGGTTCTTCTTGTCCTAAAGTCGTGAGCCTCGTTGATCAAGCGGTTTCTTTAGTCCTAGTTGCACTGTACTTCATGAAAACTTAATTGATGCATAATGTATAAAAAAAAAAGTTTGTATATAGAAAAATCCAACTTGAAGAAAAGATAAGAAACATCAACTTGGATTTAATAATCGCCATATCAATTAACATTTATGCAAACTGCAGATTAAAGAATTTTCAACTTATACTTTGTCGAATTTTGAAGTGCATTGAATATGTAGCTCCCGAAACTTCCGATCGTTTACCCACATATAATTCATGAGTTTTAACTTAATTAAATACTAATCCAGTAACCCAATCAAATTAACGAATGTACTAGTAAATTAACACAAGTAACTTTTTTGACTCGTTCACTATATCGTACCCCATAGTGAAATGAATCTGGTCCATGCCAACGAGGTGGTGTTAGCGAATTGAACAAACCTAAGATGGATCGATATTGTGGAAAAATGCATTTCTTTATGGAAAGATTCTAATGCTTAATAAAAATAGATAAACAAGACGTATTTTGCTAATCGGACAAGATACTGCGATGTACTAGGTACATATGTACTACTTTCTATTAGGAATCCAATTAATTAATTAAGGTTTTAGAAAATGGTAACTAGCTGTTACATATACATATAGTTGCATGTTCAATAATTGTTTGTTTATTCATTCTGTTTTGGGTCCTTTTGAAGCTTATCAGAATGTGCGTTGCAGGGATGCCGGGATAACTGTGTACATTGAACCTGGGTTTGAGTTAATCAGGATTAGGAGTACTTTATAAGTATTCTTAGTATAGTTTTGGGGCAAGAAAAATTCTGAGAAATCAATCTTGTTAATCTAAACTTTGGACTTTTTTGGCTCCGAAGCAGTCCACTATCAAAGTGCAATCTGCAAATAGCGTTTATCATATCGGCCACTTGCAAGTTTATACATTTGCTTTCACCAATTGCAATTATGAATGACTAAAGTTTGATACTTTCATGGTTTGAAAGTTTCTTCTGATCATCATAGCGGAAATTAGTTTATATGACCAATCTTTTCTTCTTCTTTTTTTTCCCACCCTTTTTTTGGTATAATATGTCGGGAGATTAAAGATAATTTAGCAGCAACTAGTAATTAACTCACTACATTCTAAGCACATCGACGAATGCAAAACTGATTTTAAAAAAAAAAATTAAGACGCATTCTTTTGGCCTTTTTGATCAAACTCTAGTACTTTTACATGGTCATTTTGTGAGGACAATTTTCTTTCTTTTTTTTTCCTTTTCAAAATAACAAATTAGTGTGACTATTTATGCCGGCCTCTTTCAAGGGTAACATAATAGTTATAGTTCAAAAAATTACTCCAACTATGAAATGTTCCAGCCAAAAAAAAGAAAAAAAAGAAAAAAGTCGAACGGCTAAGCTCAATAAAAGAGCAATCAATAGTATTTCGCTTGCTCAAGGCGTATCTCCTCTCATTTTACACGTAGAATTACTCGAATTTCGTACCCAAAAAAAAAAAAAGAAAAAGAAAAATGACTGAAACTCACTTTGATCCATTTATTATGGTGGAAATGTCTACGACTTTGGGCTGTTTATTAGAATTACAATGTGGGCATTTCCACGAAATTTGGCTGGGGAGTGGGCACTGAATGTGCATATGTATGGTCCATTCATCAATGGGCCGTTGGGAACTGAATGGTAGGGAAAAGTGGCCTCGTTGAGAAATGCTAATGCTGTATGTATTAACACATTTGACATCAGGAATGATAGGTTATCTATGTCCTCGCAATCTTAAGGACTTCTGTAATTAAGCCAATGGCTTCCCCATTATATAACCAAAAAAAAACACATTTGACATCAGGAATGATAAGTTACAATTTAAATTAGTACATTACAAAGAAGTAAACAGTCCATCTTAATTGAACACATTCTCTATTTATTTACTCCTTCCGTTGCAAAATAAGAGTACTATTCATTGTACTAAATAGCACAACTAAAACTTTTAGTACATCATATAGGACTCTTATTTTGAAATGGATGGTAAATTTTATTTTAAAAGCACAACCTGTTATAGAAATACAATACATACATGCACATATAGGCATCGTCCTTATTCTGCAGCTGCTCGTTCAGATGATGATGGGTTATTTTTCACCTCTGGTTCTCTGATCACGCTTGAAGCCTTTTCAATTTTCATGATCCTGTGGAACAATGCAGCTCGATCTTCCTCCACAATCTCCCTCAACATTTCATCTTCAATCTTTGGTGCTTGCCAATGAGAAGGATCCTCAACCAGTTCTTCACTGAAAATCATGCTCGAAACCCATTCTTTCCATGTAGTTCTACTGTATTTCTCTTCTTCCAATGTCCCAGCAGCCAAAAGCTGATACACGTACACAACTTTGTCCTGACCTGGTCGAAAAGCTCGAGCGATCGCTTGCTTGCTCTTCGATGGATTCCATTCCGAATCCAGTAAGATCACTCGTGATGCTGCAGTTAAGCTAATGCCTTCAGCACAAGCTGTGATTGATGCCAGCATGATCTTCGACGGTCCTCCAGGCTCTTCAAACTTGTCCATGACACGTCCGCGTTCAAACAGCTCGATGTCACCTTGAAGCACAAGCACTTCCCGCCCCTTTCGCCAGTTGAAAATGTTGGAGAATAGCTCAAGTAAAAGGTTAATTGGAGCAATGTTGTGACAGAATATCAGAATCTTCTCCCTTCTGAGGATGCACTTGGGTACAAGGCTCATGATGAATCGGACCTTTGCACCAAATTTGACATCAAATTTGGTTTTTTCGAGATCCTCCAGCTCTTCAGGACTGAAGTATTGATTTGAACAAGAAGTGGTTCTTATTAACCAAGGGTGGATTGCTGCAAGGGTGATCAAAAGTTCCAGCTCCAGTGGAAAACCTTTGAACACAGGCCTCTGATTTTGAAGCTTGTCCAGAAGTGACTGTTGGAGGGAAGTTGATTTCGTCATCAATGTGTAGCACTGCAAACCGGGAAGATTGTCAGCACTGCCACCTTCATATACATCTATGAATTTACCAGTCAGGTTCTTCAAAATATTTAAACCCTCCAACCTTTCCTCAGCTTCATTTGAGTCGATCATCCTTGACATTTTGTCGATGAAAATTTTCCTTGATCGGTTTTCCCGTGAGAAGCTACTTTTACCACTTTTATTCCACTTGGGATCCAGTTCTTTCAACACCTCCTTCACAAAAGTTGGCCTTGCCAAGCAAAGAGTGTTGAAATACTCCCCAAAATTGTTCTGAAACAAAGTACCAGAAAGTAAGACTCTGAGTTTGGTGTCAACTTTCATCAAGGCTTTTCTGAGCCTTGATTTCGTGCTCCTTGGATTATGTCCCTCATCAAGTATCAAAATTCCTGGACATTGCCGCAAAACTTGGGCCATGTATTTCCTGTGTGCATAATTAGAACCTTCTCTTGTCAATGTCAGGAAGGAGGTATAGCCCATAAGCAGGACACTGGGATGTGAAAGCCACTTTTGCATCTTTTCGAGGCAGTCCAAGACATGCATAAAATCTTGGTTTCGAGGAAGACCTGGAGATGACCGCATTCTTTGCCTCAAAACCTCACCTTTGTATGTTTGACCTCCATGAATCTGATAAACTGGTATAGGAATTTTCCACTTGATAATTTCTTTGTACCAAGTATAAAGCGTTGTCTTTGGAGCAAGCACCAATGGCCGAGATCCAGGAAAGAGTTTCAAGTAGCTCACGAGGAAAGTAATAATCAGCAAGGTTTTTCCAGCACCAGGGGTATGAGAAATTACACAACCACCTCTCTTCTTCTGGTTCTCCTCCATTTGGGCTGGTACCAATGATCCAGCAATGTTCCTCCAGAGAAATTCAAAAGCTCTCTTTTGGTGAACACGTAACTTACTCCCCAGCTCAGGTATTAGGGCCCATACATTCTCCTCTCCTTCGCTAGCAGCGGAAGGCAAGTTAGAGGTAGCTGGAACATGAAAATTATCAAGGTCAGCAGGTGCTTTTGGTTTCTTCTCTGAATCTTCTTCGTTCTTCTGCTCCTTATTTACATATGAATTGGCTGAGTTGGTTGATGACCACTGCAAAGTGGAACAGAGATACAGATGATCACAATGCATGAGAAAACATCAAATTAACTAAAATGCTGCCAGAAATATGAAGGGCACGTTTAAGCACAAAAATAAAGACTTCAATCCAGCATGCCAAAACTTAAACAGTTCAAGATTTATATTAAGGATAACTCCTGAAAAAATCCAGTTCTAATCGTCCACTGGCAATCATAAGTGATCCTAGTTAAAAGATAGTCATCTTGGTTTCTTTGGTTGAGTTTAATGGTTTTGGAAATAAATATATTAATGCAATCTCAAAATTCACTTACAACTGGAGGTGAGACATCCTTTATTTCTGTCAACACAAAACCACATAGTCGGCATATGACACCAATTTCTTCATTGAGTCTGTAATCATGTTGACACCCATTTCTAACATGCTCATCAGACAGGTTCACATTTGCCATAAATGCTTGAGAATCCTGTAAAGCATGAGAAAATTATAGTATCTCCATGGTTGTTACTCAAAAGACACTGCATTACTGAAATTACAGTTTTGCAATATGATCTTGACAAATGTTTTTGAATAATTATGCGCTTCAAGGATAATCAGTATCCTCAGGAAAGTTCACTTGATTGGCCAATAAGCTGGTTTTAGAAATCACATACCTCATTATCATCAAGGAAGTAAAAGGATGCCAAGGCAAGTTCCATTTCATTCCACAACATATCAATTTCTGAGATTTCCTCTTTAGCACTCTCAGTAGCTTTCTCATTATCTTCGTTACGATCCTGAAAATTCATTGACTTAAACTCTTTCCACTGGTCAATAATTGGTGGCTGTTCCACGTTGATGGTTGCATCTATGTTCTGCATGCATCTTTCCAATAATTCCCGGCAAGCAGCAGCAGTAATGGATTTCTTTCCCGAAGGCTTCATGTTATAAATGCTTTCCCACTCTGAGCGAACGCAGAATGCCTTTCTTTTATATATTTTCCTATAACGAGGTACCAATAGCCCGCGTTCATTCTTCATGAAGATAGGCTGAGCAATCTTCTTTTTGTATGCCCTTTTCGAACCAGCTTCATAAAGATACTTGGAAATGAGGTCCACATTTCCAAGATGGTCTTCAGGAGCATCCAGTTCACGGAGAATCGACTTTCCCTCAGAAGAAATTGACTGGGGCACCAGAGAAAGTTGGGAGGGATGAGACTGTTTCTTCTCCCGAATTGATTGGCTTGGGCCTGGCCTCGCACTCTCAGCCTTTTCAGAAGCAGATGATTCGACATGTTTACTTGATACATTCTTCGACTTTCTTTCACCTGAGGGTTTACTGCTTCCAACTTTTTCATTTTTCTGATGCTCATGGTCAGCCTGAATGGATAATGCAAGAGGTAGCTCTTTGTATTCCTCATCAGAATCACATTTGTACATCTTTCGCTCCCCTAGCTGAGTAATTTCAACTTCAAATTCTGGCATATCACAACCTAGATAGCGCTCAGGCTGCATAAACCGGCGTTTGGATCGGCGAAGTGAAAGGGGTTCATTCACGGCTGACAGATCATGGCCATGCATCTCCATACCAGGTTGCATCTCCGGAACAAATTTGACTACCATGGAAGACAATATGTCATTGTCTACTTTGAAATTTACGGAATAAGAGAAACCACTTGAGTCGCTGGTCCCATCAATATTAGCGATCTCATAAACCAGCTGATTTTGGATGGACCTCACATCAAAGATTGTTTGCTTGAGAACAGATGTAGCAACTAGCCACGAAATATCAGAACAAAATTTCCCTGTAAAATGTTTGAACTTCAAAAGTGATGAGCAATCCTCACACGTGCTCCAACGGTAATGCTGATCCACACAAGGGATTGATTCAAGTTTCTGAAGAATGAAAATCTGATCCAAATGCACCAAGGTTCTCTCTTTACTAAGCTTTTTCTTCACTGTCAGAGAAGAACCTTCCCTAACGTAGAAGCTGACATAAAACTCGCAAGCACATGTTGGATCATGAGGCTTTCTTTCAACTGATCGTACCCTTGCGTCAGTCCAGATCTTCACCACAACAGCGCATCAGTTAGTATAATCTATCGGAAAGATAAAATTAACTGGAGCAGGGAGAATATTTTATAGCTAGCTACGAGAAAGCAAATAAAGAAAAGGTAAAATCAAAACAACAGCTGGTAACATTTAATTGACTTGGTTAAAAAATGACTAAGGAATTTATGTTTGTAGGAAGTTCAAAGAGGTTTTTTTCACTGGATTGAACACATTTCCTCCTTCACGATACCCTATTTCAAGGAGAATCGACCATCAAATAAGCATCCATTGGTCTTACGTTATACTTATTGGGGAGATGGTCGGTGTGGAGATGTTTGCTGAATGCATTTCAGAATGTAAGAACATCAGAGTATATATTAACTCCCAGTTTCCAAGGAGAATCTTTTTGGTATTAGGGGGGAAAGAAGAGTAAACAGCAGAGACTAAGACATAGCTGAATGATCAAACATTTTTAACAGAATTTGAGATTCAGGATCTCTCATTCTCTCACTCTACTCCATTATTCAAAATGAAAAGATTACTAATGAAAAGAAACTCCATGGATACATGATTCGAACTCAGAAGTAATGAAAAAGTAGTACTCACAGGTGATTTATCGTCTTCATCAGATGAAGTCTCAAGAACACAAACATCAAGCCCGGGTCGCAAAATGCAGGTACAGTCATTGAGAGTGGTTTTTCTAGACCTCATTCGGAGATTAGACATAGGAATCATTTCCTCAATTAACTCTCCATCTCCAACTACCACAAGCACAGCTATGCGTCCATCCTTAATTCTCAATCGCTCAACCGGATGCCATGCCTCCCACCAATATGCCTCAAAAGCTGTCAGTCAAACAATTTTATATCAATAACCTCAAAACCTTATCTATGAATTTCCAAAACAGAACAAGTAAACATAGAGACTGTATAACTCAGTAGCTAGTAGAGTAGAGGTTCTTACGGTATGGATCAATTGGGTTTGAGCATTCATCTAATCTCTTCCTCTTCATGAGTGCCCAAAAAACCTACAGCAAGAATCATAAGAGCAGCAGATTGACTAAATGAACTGGAAAAACTCCATTCTTATGGCCAAAAAAGGGCGGATTTTGAGGTAAACAGAATTTTCGAGTTAATATTTCAATCAATTAGAGAAAGTTTATATTTTGATTCTATATTGGGGTTCAATGCAACCAATCGTCTATCAGGCAGCCAGATATCTTGCAATCCTGTTTCTTTTGATTATTTTTTTTTTTCATTTTTTATTTTTTGGGGCGATTCTGTGTAGATAGCTAGTAATTCCAAATTCACATTGTGTAACTGGCGTATCTAAACAAATTAGGACGTTATTGAAGGACCAATTAATCACAGTTCCTTTCAGTAAGAGGAACTTGATTCTGCAATATAAAATTGTTATGATTGAAAAATGTTGGTTAATAACATGTGAGAGGCCATGGCCGTTCCTTTAGTACACTCTTCCTCTGAGGGTGTCCAAATTCAAAAACTGATAAAAATGTTATCCAAATCAAGAGTAAAAATTTAAACTCCAAATTTCGTAATCACTCAAAAAGGCATGCATGTGAAAACCGGGAGCAAAAATTACAAGGTATATGTATAGGAAACAAAGGCTGAATCTTTTTACCAACGGCAATGGAGAAACTGTCTCCCGATCAATTCGCTTTTAATGAAACAGAATATAACCAACTCAGAGCTCCATCTGTAGAATCATTTTTCCTGCTAAAATCAAAAAAAAAAAAAAAAAGAGGCAGCCCAGAATTCTCCTTATCACAGAAAAATAGAGAAGTACCAGCTTTCTGGAATTGAATTGCTGGATAGACGAATTTGAGAGTGCTTGAATTAAGCAATCGAACAAGCCATTTTCCAGTCAATGATTTGAGTTTTGAGGAGCAAGCTATTTACAGCTTTACTAGAGGCCGCCTAGAAAAGGCTAGAGCTACTGAGCTATATGATGAATGATGAAGCGATGATGATGAAGAATCCCATCAACATCGAAATTAATGGGGGGGTAGAGAGAAAAAAAGCTGAGACCAGTGGGCTGCAAAATCTAATACTACTACCTGCCACTACTGAATCATATAAGTCAGAAATGACTGAGGGAGAGAGATATTCTTGAAGTTTGTGCATCGTGGAAACTGGGCTTTTCTTCCTTTTTATTTTTAACTGGTTTCTCTGCATGAAAACCGGAATGAACGGTGAATACGACACTCTAGCCTGCTCCACTGGTCGTTTCGTCTGGGGTAAACGACAGCCATATCGTGGTAAACTGGTAATTTTGAGCTACGAGACTACGAGAGCCGAGTTAATGTTGGTAATTGTGGTTAAACCAACAGCTAGGATCGTAAGAGAGTGTGGAAATAGTGATCGATCTACGGTTACAAATGGGAATCAAAATTGGGCTTTTCGGGCAAATGGGGTGATGGGGATTGTAGCGTTTGGTTTGCTCATCTGTGGAAAAGCTTCGGGAAAGGGAGCACCACTTTGCTTGGGCCCGAGATTCTCAAGACTTCAATGTGAAGACTTTTTGGGTGGTCCACTCTCCATATAGTAAGTAGTACTAGTATTAATTTTTGCATTTTGTATGACTTTATGGAGTACTACTACCCTACTAGTGTTACTTTGTTGGTGGTAGATGGCGGTAATGATCATTGCTCACGTTAATCACACACATTAGGGCATGAATATGATCACGATTCGACGGTAATTGTAATGTTCACGACTAACGCTAAACTAACCTATTTGCTGTTGTATAGACATTGACCTTGGGTCCTTGGTAGTCCCTTTCGTTTGTAGTAAAAAATATCAAGAACAAGGGAAATAGAAGTAAGCGGAGGGAAAACAGAACCTAAAAGGAAACACACATAGAAGGAAGCAGAGGGAAAACTGAACCTAAAAGTAAACACACAAAAAACGCGCATATGTACAGAATGACATTCCTCTCAGAAGCGCAAAAAGCTCCATATGTACATCAAAGAATTTTTTCCTACAGCCTACACCATTGGCACAATCCTCCTACTGAAAACTTAAAGAGAATTGTCTGCAGCTAGTTGGTTAAAGAAATGTTAGCAAATAACATAACCACCATGGTTTCAACTTCCATGTCTTCCATAAGATATCTAAACTGAAAGTATTTAACTCAAACCCTTCCCTTCAAAGATCACTACAAAACTAATAGCTATTTCCCGTCATCCAACCACACATCAGACCAGGGCGTCTCAGAAGCCAAAGTCGGTATCCATACCAATAAAACCAAAATCATTCAAAGCAAACCCCGCATCATCCTGAGCGCCAGGGTCCAAGAAATTTAGACCATTATCCTCCCCTTGAGGTGCTTGATCAATAGCCTGCACTCTTCCAGGATCTCCAGCATCCAAGCTTACTTGGTACGGCAAGCTAGCCATATCAGTATTTACGGACTGAATGCCATCATTACCAAGCACTTCATCCGAACCATTGGTAGGCTCCTCTAAAAGGCGCATCATTTCATCCACATCAAAAAATTCATCCATACCAAAATAGTCTGAAAGATCTTGTCCACACTCAGATATTTCATTCTTAATAGCTGGCTCCTCAGGCCTGGTGGCCGGAGACAATCCTTCCTTTTGCTCATTCTTTGGTTCGTTCCTAACAGCAGTATCAAACTGCAGTAACAATTCTTCCATTGGCTGATTCTTTGGTCTGTCCATTCCATCTGACACACCAGTATCCAACTGTGGGAAGAATTTTTCCATTTGCTGATCTGTTGACTGGTCTGTGGCAGCTGGAGGACAAAAATCCAGACGTGACGCATCTACTGACTGCCTTTCCCCATCCTCTGCCTTCAGATTGAGAACAGGTTCGATCTCTCTATCTGCAGGCGTAGGCTGACAAACCTCTGAGAGGCTGGAAGTTGCAGACTCACATGCTGATGTAGTAGGCAAAGAGGACGATTCAACAGAGGATGATCTATAGTCGGGGAGATTGAGACGAGCAGATGGCCCATACATTGATCTGGCAGCTTCATCATATGCAAGAGCAGCTTCAAGAGCTGTCCCAAAAGTACCCAACCAGAGCCTGTTACCTCTATTTGGCTCCCGAATTTCGGCAACCCATTTACCCCAAGTCCTTTGCCTAACACCTCTGTAATTGCAACGACCATTTTCAGGACCTCCTTTTCCTTTCATACATCCCTTCTTAGATCCCTTTGCAGGAGCTTTACGACGGGGTTTGCCATCTACAGAATTAAGTTTTTCATTATACTGCTTCCACTTTGCCAATGTCTCTGCTACACTCTCAGAGGCGTTCCTCCTCCTAAACTTCCTTTTCCTGGATGAATCGTCCATAGAATCCACAGTCGGAAATAGATCCATGAATGCCATTTAACGTATTTCTGCAAATTAGAAGAGAATATTGTCAAAACACCAGACAGTAAAGACGAAAAAGCTTGAAAATAAACAGCAAATAGCTGGTCTTTATTTCTTGGCTCCCAAGGAAACTTAAGCGAGCGGGTTTAATGATCAATTAATATACGTGCTCAAAAGAGGTCAACTAATCAAGTTCACACACGGAAAAAAGATTGGCCGTTACGAAATAAATGGATATAATTTCATACAGACTCCCAGCTTCATACTAGGAAGAGAACCTACCGAAGAATCCAAAACCTCAAGTTGAAGGAGCAAAATCTTGATTCCCAATTCATATCACCACTAACATTCATACCCCATCCCACCCCAAACAACAAAGGAACAACTCCTACCCAGCGGAACGGGAAAAACCCCAAAGTGAAAAGTAAACCTAAGCAAATAAAATTTGCCAATAGGCACAAAACAGAACCCAAAAAGAGACTACCGAGCCTTAGTAGTAATCACCGGCGAAACGATATCCGTGAAATCAAGCGGCCAAATTGACCATGGACCAGAAAACCGAAACCCCCCAAAATACACCAGATACTCATCATTATAACCGGTGGAAACCTAAAATTTGCTATTAAACAACAATTACTCCAGCGAAATCACATGCCCATGAAAAAAACAAAAAATGAAAATTCTCAATTTGGCACCATGAAAATAAACCCCAATAACGAAACCCAGAAGCATAAATTGAATATAAAAATCTCAATTCGAAGAAAAAAGAAGGGAACTGTAGACCAAACCTGTCTCGATCGACCTGCGAGGACGAGAACGAACTGTGAACTTTCTGCCGCAAAATTGAAAAACTTGAGTGTGCGCTTCGCCGGTTGCGGAACCCTAATCGCCTTTTTCCTTTTCCTTGTTGGTATAGAGATTTCAACTTTACTTTGCGAGGAAGTAATTATATGCGGTACGCCGTTGTACAGAGCGTTATAAATAAAGAAGAAATAGAGAGATTGTTGTTTGGTAACCACAGAGATAATAGAATCCGAGAAATCCTTACTTTGAGACCCGTCTTCGGATATTTATAGCCTTCTCTAGATTTTTTCGGCTATTATTTTTTAATTTCCTTTTTTTTTTGTAAAGTATTTTTTTAATCAACTAAAGGTCATAAGATATTTTCCTTATTTCTGTTGACTGTGATGACGTGGCAGTTTCTTAGTCGCGTCGTGGCCTTTCGTTATCCAAGCGCTGCGGCACGTGTGACGCGAAAGTTCCCGAGCCACTAGTTTTTTGCAAAGGGGGAGCACACTGCTGGTTTTTTGCTGTTTTTCCTTGGGGCCTAAGTTTTCAACTAAATTTGGCCCTGCCTTTAGCTGGAAACTTCCTTACTGCCACTGAAGTTTTAAAGCCAAGTTGACCCTTCTACTGTTTCGAATGATAAGGATGATTTCGGTATTTACATAAGGTTCGAGACTAGTCTAGTGCGTCCTCCACTACGTCACTGCTAAGGTGATACTAACCCAAAAGCTTTGCTACTATAGTAGTTTTGCAAGTTGCATAATCCTTATATTAAAAAATCAATTAATTAACATAAGCAGATTGATTAAATTTTATTTGATGACATCATATTGAAGTCACCACTGACTATCACTCTCAAACTGTATAGTGTATACTCCAAGCATTACTGTAGGTTTTGATGTGATTATGGTCAATGAGAAAACAGCTTTGTTAAAAATCCATTATTTCCAAAGCTAAAAAGCCTAAAATGACAATTTAGTCTCGATGTTTAGCTTATAATGATGATTTTATCCTACAAGACTACTAGACTAGTTTGTTGATCTAGTCCCTCCACGTATCTTAAGTGTTCGATTTAGTCAATTTAACGAGAAAACGAACCAACAAAACACCCATATTATTCGATTTAATTGCATGAGAAAGAAAAAACATACACACAAAATTGCCAAAGAAAAAAAAATATTTGTTTTGTGATTAATCGATGGAGAACTTTATATTCCGGTAAATTTCATGTCCTCCAAGTTTTTTTAATTTATTTTCATCACCTACTCTATGTATAGGGTGAATTCTTATGTAGGGCATTATTTTCTTCATAATTATTGATTAGGGATAGAACTCTCAAAATTACTGTAAAGGGTGTAATTACATTTTTATGTCCCAAAAAAATTTCACATTAATTTTGAATTTGTATTATTTATTATCCTTCCCATAAAACATCTCTTCTCCTTGTTTCACAATCCCATTTTTGTGATTAAAGTATGCTCCACAGTAGACTGCAGAGTGTAGGGAATAAGTAGAACAGGATCAGTTGCAAATCACCAATGATTTCCTCGGCCCAAAGTTTATTAACCAATGTGAGCATTACACGTAGAACTGACGAGGACACTAACAAAGTTATCTTCCACTCAAATACTAGTCTCTAAATTCGACACGTGGTGCATCAAGGTTAGCGAAGGCAAATTTAAAAGTGTACGGATATGGAGGCCACGCAGTCACTGCTATTTTTAGAAAATTTGCTACGTGTCTCGTTTTGCTGTTGCAATCGAGCCACTCTGGCGCTGTCGGATGCGCTGACGTGTCTCTAAAAATGTCATCAATGCCGTCAAAAGCAACAACCATTGACCAAAAACCGCGAGGAAAAACACAACAGGTCTTGGGGGGTATAGATGTCATTTCGAATCACAGGCGAATTGAAGAAGCTCGATATGATATGATAACATACATACGACGTAGTATCAAGACCGAGTTTGATATTGTAGGACCAATAACATCAGTCGGATCCTTCCGGTTTTCGTCTTTACCCGACTCCGGTGAGGCAGCCTCCGGTATCTGGATAGACCACCGTGTTAAATTCTCCAGGAATGAAAGGTCTCTTAATTCGTACCACTTTTTATTCTGATTTAATTTCAGTCAAGTATCGAAGAGTTCGTGTTTTGTTGATTTGCTTGCTTGTAGTTTGTACTTGTGTTGTTGAGCCGGACATTGACTTATCTTCTCGGGTAGTTGTGTTTGTCTTTACCTCAAATTTATGCTTTTTATAAGAAAATTTACGTAGTGGTTGGTGTTTGTTAGGTTAATGATTTAGGTATGAATTTTAAGCATGTGATATCTTCGTTCCTTGTCGATCCCCCTTTCTGTTAAGTAGTAAGGAGAAAGGATTTTCACAGTAACTTGCAAATTGCAATTGAGAGAGAGAGAATGAAATTGAGGACCGGAAAGATTGATGAATTGATTTAGGATCAATTTTTTTAGCAAAGTACCTGATGACTATTAATTTATTACTGAAGTATGAAAATTTTGTGGCTTATAGATACCTCCAGAGGAACTAGTTAAGTTTTATTCATCGATTATGTCTGATTTTTGCATCGATTTTCAAATTATGTTTTTCCTTTATGTAATTGCTTCATCGTGTAAGTTTTGCAACCTTGAGATTTTATTCAGAAATTAAAAGAATTTTCTATAATTGTTGCTCTAGAAACCATACAGAAAACAGAAAAAAAAACATTAAAAAAAACCATGCTGGGATAGGCTTTGAATGGATGGTGCTTCTTTTGTAATATGACACCATCTATTCTCATCCCAGATTTCTACAGCAAAAATACAATCAAAACCAGGAGCTAGCTCCAATTCGGTACAACAACAGGTTATACTCTCATAATGACACTAGGAAAAAATGATGACCCTATTGCTTGGCCTATGAGAATTTCTTTTTTCTAGAGCGATTAATAGTTTTAACACACTGGAAAATCTGCTGGAACTTCCTCCAAGGATTCCAATTCTCCAACCCCATCTTCAACTAGGAATGCTGTTGCTAAACCCCAGCCGATGTGAACATCCAAGTGACAATGCATGATCCAGACACCTGTTATTAGGAAGATAAATAAGAGAGAGATAAGATATCATGTTAAGGATGATCGTTGCTAACTATCATTGAGAAACTTAGTAGATTGCTGTGATATATTTTTCTCACCTGGATTATCTGCAACAAATCTGATTACTGTCCATCCATTGACTGGAACACTAGCCGTATTTCTTAGTGGAGGATCGACAAGGTTGAATTTTGCTGTATCTGTTTTAGGGTTGAAATTTCCAAAGCCTTCGGCTAGGATGTAAAAGTCATATCCGTGAAGATGGATTGGGTGGTTTTCTCCTGTGACGATGCTTGTTCCCTGTAATACTATTTGCACTCTAGCACCATACTTCAGTGGATAGACCCTTGTTCCACGTTCAGGTTGCCAAAGAGACCGGCTTACATTTCCGGTGTAATCAAATTTAACTGGAGGGGCCACTGGAAAGTCTTTTGTGAAGACTCCAGGTATACCCTGTTTATGGGCCTGCAGTATGGAAACAGTAGATGGGAGTACAAATGATGCATTGTTCATGCTGGCAGTGAAACGTGTACCATTTGGACCTTGACAGTTTTGGGCTTTATTAGCGTTAGGGGGGCAGTTTTGAAGTCCTAGGCCAACTGTGATGAAGAGGTTTTCATCAACATCAGTAGGCAATGATACCTTCTTGGCACTTCTGAAGCTGCGAGTGAATGCTGTGGCAGTGACGGTGTCATTGTATGCAGGCAGAGTAGCTTGAAGTGTTTTAACAGGGGCACCCTTTGCAGGGCAAGGAGCTGTCTTGTATTCAAGGATGGCTGTGGTTGTAGTATTGTCAAATTGTGCACCTTGAGCACTAGCATATGCGCGTGCTGCTATGTAGTAACGGGCTGGAGGCTGATCGCCTGTAATCAAAACATCGGTCGTCTGGCCAGGTCCCAACATTAGGACCGAGGTGGTGAAAGGTTTGACGTAGGAGGCATCTGCTCCAACAACTGTGAACTTGTGGTTGGCAATGGTGAAGAAAAGTTGCTGGTTTAGGGCAGCGTTGACGACTCTAATGAGGTTAGTCTCACCTGAGTCGATTGGAACCACAGTGGTATCTGCACCATAAATTGTAGTGTAAACTGAATTAGATGATGATGGCTAAAAGTTAAGTTTTACGATTTGTCCTATCTTTAACATTGTCATTTCTTTATGATTGTGGAATTATTTGTTGGTTAAGCTTCAAAATATTTTGTACTGGAAAGAGTTTAGTAGTGTGGAGACTCGTGAGACTTGGAAGAATAAGAATTGCAAATCAAAATCAAACCTTTGCTGGAGCACTTTTGGAAATCGCCTGGTTGACCATTGATTGTAAATGTATCCGATACGTTAGGAGCTCCTCCAGTTCTAGTTGCTTCTTTGATGACATCCATTGGATTTGCATTCCACCATTCACCTGATCCATCATAATTGTCAAGCAAGTTTTCTAGATGAAGGTTAGTGGAAAACATGGATTGATCTTAGCAGAGTCCTCGTTACCTAGAAGGAGAAGTGACTCGCGCTTTGGCTTGGTGAATGGATATGGAGTTCCTTCTCTTGGGCGAATAACTAAACCACCATAGACTGTGGCCCTGAGCCATGAGCTATGGGCGTGCCACCACAAAGTCCCTTCCTGTCCTTGAATGGTGAATCGGTAGGTGTAACTTGCTCCAGGCTTAAGAGGGCACTGAGTGATGAACTCAGGGCCATCTGACCATGCTGTGCGAATTTGTCTGACACCATGCCTGTCAAGAGATCATCAGTCAGGTTAAAATTTTTGTTGCATACAAATTTTATTGCTACAATGTCTGGTTGTTAGGCAGTGATGCATGCAGAAGAAATTCTCATTAATTTCCATGGCTTAGTTATGAGCCAAATAAACCTCACCAGTGGATTGTGAGGTTGTATTGAGCTTTGTTAGTGACTTTGATTTCCAATGTGTCACCCTCGTTCACTTCTATAGTTGGTCCAGGATATTGACCATTTACAGTAATTATGTTGTGAGTGTTGCACAGCCTCTTCACTGGTGTTTCTTGAACCTATTTATGACAAAGACTTCAGTGCATAAGAGAATAATACGAAGATGACTGAGTTGAAGGAAGAGGACAGAAAGAGATAGATAATGACATACAACAAATTCGTGAGATTGAACTTTGGCATTCGCAAATAGTAAGAAGTTTGCAAGTAGAAACAAGAGCCCGAAAAAGAACAATGTGCTGAAGCTCTTTGAAGCTGCATTGTTAAAGGCCTCCATTGTCGTTGTTTAGCTAATTAGCTTTGTGTTGATGAGTTGATAAAAAATGGCAAAAGATGATCAATGGTTTGATTGCTTGTGGAAGAGTTGGAAAGAATAACTGGTTTTATAGGGGGAGAACAAGAGAGAGAGGGTTGTTTGAGGTAGGCGAATCGAGGCTGGTTAAGTCAAATTAATGAACAAAACTTAGTTCAACCTAGCAAAAAGTAGTTGCACCCACTGGGTAAATACAACTGAAAAGATTTCATTAATTCTTCCTTCATAAGCTAGTCTTCTAAGTTCTAACCTCTCAGCCACAGATTCCACACTTACCCTCCCCAAAAAGAAAAAAAGAACAATGCCCTAAAGTCTTCTAAGCAATCTCCTGAAAGTCAAGAAGTTTTGGCTCATTTTCTAGAAAAATTGAATTTAATATGCGTGTCTAGCTATTTGCATAAAATTAACGGATAATTTTTTTCTTGGTTAGGACTCCATGTATGGTTGTTTACTTCATCATATTTACTTGAATCTCCGCCTCCGGCAGGCTCAATGGCAATGTGCTTAACTATCATTTCAAATGCAATAATTTTCCCGCATTACTTTGGCCATTAGGGATAGCTCACATGATTTTCTAGGCACTATCCCACTACTAAAAGGGGTATCTAGAGTTGTTACATTAAAAACTTTGGTAACATTTGCATAATTTTGATCATATTGTTCATAACAATACATATAATAAGGATATAATAAAATCATGAAAAGTGAGACAGATAATTCGATATCATTTTACTACTTCATAGGTTACTAGTATATATATTGTAGTTTGATTGGAGCTATATATCTTCGACGCGCAAAACAAATTGAGTGTAAAGGCATAATATTCCCCCTCCATAGTTGGCAAACAGGTACAGCCAAGGCTGAAAAGTTACCAATTGATTTTTGCCTCTTAAAGAAAAGGAATGCCATGAAATGTGGGGTGGTTAATATTAATTTTTTTCATAGTAGTTTAGGTTGAATACAAACAATTTACCATCTCAAATGAATTGACCAAGTCACATCGTAAAGTTAGATGTTAGAACAAGAAAAACAAAAGTCTACCTTCATTAGGTGCAAAACCATCAATAATAAACTAAGTAATCTGGAAGAGAACTCATTGGGGTGCAACGAAATTCCGTTAAGAGAGAAACCAAGTGAAATTGACAATTGAAGTTATGTTTATTCTAGGTAAACTGTCCTTGGACATTCACCAGTTCCCCTCCTCACCCTGGGTACCAATTTTTCCTGTATCAACAAAAAAGGAAACTTTATTTATTGTAGGCTCAACAAATAAAGGTACCAGAATTAGTCAGGTTGGATTGACAATTTTGAAGCAGCGTTTAAAGAAATGCATGTTATGCTATGATGGTATCGACCAAGTCTTAATTAGTGATCATGGTGATTAATTTAGTGGGTAAATTGGAAAAAAGGGAGACCTAGAAGGAATCTTCATGGGAAACTAGCAGAGCTAGCTAGCTGAAACGCACAAAATTAAAACAAAGCACATCATTAGTCCCTTTGAAATGAAGCTTTAAGGGGGGAGCTCTATGATTAGATTGTTGAACTAGAAGCAGAAAGGTTTTTTTTTTTTTTTTTTTTACATTTTTGGATTCTAATTATGTGAAAATTTAAACCGCGTGAAGTAAAACAGTGGAATTGTGCAATGCATATAATTACTTAAAGGAAAAGATAAAACCCCATCGTGTAACACTTGTGTTGGCTCCTTGTTATTTCATTCTTTTTTTCTTTACTGCTTATTTGATTTACAAACAGTTTAGTCAAAAGTGGGTTTGGATTTACTGGCTCGAGAGTTTATAATGGTGTGTTTTTGAGTTTTTCCCCTTCTAATAGCATAGCAAGTTACGTTATTTCAAAATATTGTGATTTGCCTGTTGATATGGAATTAATGTCAAAGCAATGACTGTTTCTTACACACAAAATGTGTTTGTTGATATATTTATTAGACTAATTATGCCTTTTTTTTTCAAATAGAAAGAAGAAAAAGAAAAAAGCAAGGCTCCTGCCTCCATTAGTATAAGTGTATAACGCAAAGAAGTAACAGCGTTCAGGCTTACCAATTCGAAGTTTCCTTGATAGCAAAAAAAGGTTACTTTCAACAGCTTTTACAAGGATTGAAATATGACTTTTATTTTTGACATTTTAATTTTGACTTGTACGTTCAAAGGTATTTTTTAGTTTGGGAAGCATCTGAAATGACAAAAAGTACTTCTGATTCGTGTTATATAGTCTTCATCTATTGGATAATCTGTACAGCATATACCATAAAGTATTATCTATCCTCTTTGTACCAACTAAAAACTTCAGACTTTCTCTAGAAGTTTTTTCCTTTCACACGATGATATTCCTCCTTAGAATGAGAATGAGAAAGCCAAAGAAGGATGTGTCAATGGTAAACTCCTTAGGAAGATGGGATAAGTATGGTAAACTAGAAATGGTAATATTTCAATAGTAATATGGAAATAGTACACATTTCAGTCACTTAAATACGGATTAATATTTCCTAATGTCTAGTTGGTGGTTTTATTTTTTTTTTTCCATATATTCTAATTTTTTTAAAAGTAAGTAAGTTTCTTGCTTTCGCATGAATCGCCGTCTAAATTCCTTTTCCAAAACCTTGTATTTATATGTGCCATACAAGACATTTTACAATAGTTAAATTAATATCATTTCTTTAGAAAAAGGTTAACTTAATATCATATATTTTATATTAGTGAAAATTTTAAGATTTAATAATATCAAAACATATCATGTTTAAGTTTTTTTTAGTCAATAATAACTTCAATATTCTTATCTTAGTCAAGCTTACAGAAAAATAATTTAATAAACTTCTGAAGTAATTAAATTGATGTAAATAGGTTCTTTTTGAATAGTTAAAGTCATTTGCATCTTTTTTAAAAACACGAGGAAAGCATGAGGCTTGGATACAAAACATGCCCTAAGGTAGGATGATGAATTACTATCTACTGCTAGCTGTTCGACTATGTTTGATGGGAGCATTGACAAAATGTTTAACTCCGACAAGAAAAGTCTGATTTGGCTAATGAATCCGCCGTCTTATTTATTGTTCTATGAATGATGCGAAAATTTATTATCCATCTCTGATCAAGTGATGCCACGATGTGCCTTAGGACGTTGCTAGTTGGTATATCTTTGTCAACAAGTCTGAGAATTTAGCGCCTTCGCTGAACCCATCTTCAAAATAACCTTTTTAAAGGCAAGGTTCCAAGCAAAGTTTTTATGCTGTTATATCCTTTTTTTTAAAAATTTTTTGGGTACAATTGTCTCATTTCTCTATAATTCTGCTTCCAGAGCTAAACCGAACCTTTTAAAGCTGTTATATCCTTTTTTAAATTTTTTGGGTACAAATGTCTCGTGTTTGTATAATTCTGCTTCCAGAGCTAAACCAGATTACTTTGCTATAACTATGCTTCCAGAGCTAAAACAGATTGCTTTGCTTTCTTCTGATATGGGCCAATTCTTTAATGATTAGTGTGCTAATATATCTTTGAGGCTTCTCGATCATTGAGTTATTTGGTCAAGATGATTTGTGGGGGTATACTTTGATTGGATGATAAATTAATTGGCGGGAAACGGATAGATTCCACAGTTGCAATTCCATCACCTGATGCCATTCAGAAGAAGACTGACGCAGAATTAACCAACCGCGAGCTGAGATCAAAATCGGGTTATCCTTGAGCTCCGGTATGGATTTTAGGAACTTTGTGGCTCTGCCTGACATCGAGATTTTTTTGTATATTGCATGGTATCTTGAATTTTTTTGGCATATTATAGGGTGTCTATTGTCCACAACAGTGATTGCTCTCCATTGCTTATGGTAGGCATCTCGATGAGCGGGAGGAATTAACTAAAAAATTTAAGATTACCCCACGCTTATGGTAAGATCTGTATTATCGACCTATAATTAAGAGTAGAGAAGTTCTTACCACCCTACCATAACTCTTTTGGTTGCCTGATGTTGAAATTAAAACATTACAACATTTCGGTATCCCCGAAGATTCAAACCCAAGTTCACCATCTTATTGGGCTATTTCTAGATAAATTGGGTCTAAAACATTCGTTCCTACTGTAATTGATCCATTTACATAGCTTTGCATTTTTTATTTTTTGTTTTATTTTTTGTGTATCTTAATTAAACTAGTGGCATACTGACATTTATTTTTCAGGGAGAATATGTAAAACTTAAATAGATATACTTGAAGAATTGTATATCAAAAGCTCTATCAACTGTAACTAATAACTTGAATAAAAAGAAAAAACTCATTGGAAAGCACTATTGTTAAGGAGAGCCTAAACTTTCATTTCTAGGCTACCGTTGGATGAGACATTGTATCATCTTGATTATTGACTTACATGTTGAATTGCAGCAACCAAAACAACATATAATATCATCTTTTGAGGCAATAAAAAGACCTAACAAAGAAGTGAATAAGCGACAAAGAAGATGTTAAGAATTGCAATTGGACTATTCCGACAATTGTTGATTTCTACCATCCACCTCTTTACATTGGCTGATTAGGTGACCTTAAATTGACTGCAGCAAGGATGGGTTCCTCAAAAGGGAGAAAAATAGATATCAGTTGCAAATCTTAAGTTAGAGACTGAACTCTTCGTCGTATTTGGTTCCGATTCTTTCCCGAGAATGCAAGACATATATACTTGTTTCGGTCTAGAAAAATAAAATTTATTTTATTAAATTAAAACAACACGAAAAATTAAATTTATTTTATTGAAATATTTTATTGAAAAAATTTGTTTAATTTATTTTATTGAATTAAATTGAGACGGAAAGAATAATGAAAATTTAGTTGGTCCATATGCTTTGTCCTTAACATCTAGGAGGACCCAATAGGGTATATATAAAAGATAATAAACGATGAAGAAAAGCCACCCCAAAAACATGAAATGAAGAACAAACGGGGAAAAGATGCGGAAATTTTCCGCTGGAACATATCAGAAAAATGCTAAAGATAGCAAAATAAAAAAACTGTTATAAAATTATTGCTAGACTATTAATATGAAACTAAGCATTAGAACAAGAGAGACATAAGAGAGTAGATAGCGATAAGAGACTTGTATTCATATGTATTTTGCAGCATGAATGAGCTCCTTATTTATACAATGAATAGGGGATCAAACATTGGGAAATTTATCACCTATCATTAATGCTAAATATTACAGAATCATATTTCCTTGATTGTGAATAGAATATTACATATTAATTGTGGACATTCAATCAAATATTTCATAACACTCCCCCTTTAAATGTCTATCTTTACGTAATAATGCCTCTTTAAAACCTTACTAGGAAAAATCATTTGGAATAAAACCCTAGTGAATGAAAAAAGAGTACACTTCCGAATGTGATGCTGTCGTTAAAAACCTTGTCAGGCAAATCCATTGGGTCAAAACCTCGATCAAGAATAGACAGATTAGTTCGACTTCTCATATAGACGGTTGTCTTCATATACCTGTATAATTTTTGAGTGTTTTATAATAATGGAGATGCATGACCATCATACCTTGAAGGTATCAATATTTAACATCCAAGTCTTGACTAATTGATTAGATAAACCGAAACTTTATATGGTACTTCATGACGAAATCGGTCTACATCATTAATAGAAAGTCAAGAAGAAGGATCTATATGCACATCAAGATTTTAATCAAGTGCGCTCAACGGATGTTGAATATACAAAGGTCAAACTATTTAGACCGAGATTCTACTCAAGATTTTTCTTTATCCTTGCTTCAAGCAACTAGCAACAACTTTCTTAGAAGTGTTCATAACTATGATATAACTCTTCAGGAGTTTTATTCATATTCAGGCTATTCGAACTTCATGATAAGTTTCGATAATATTCAACTTTTTGAAACTCTACAAGAGTTCGGTGCTAACAAAATTGTAAATGCACATATAGCTTATAAATACTCACTCTAGTATTAGTTATCATCCTATCAATTCAAATATAATCATAAAAACAGACAGAAAATTATGTTACAAACAAATATAACATATCTATATAAAAACAAATATCACATATCTATTATATTCAAAAATATAAACCTAAATATATAAACACATGAAGACATTATAACTTGCGCAAGTCTTTTGAACTAATTTCTCGAGAATTGGGAATCATGTCCCTTTTCCCTTTTTTTTAATCTTTCGAGGATTTCATGTAGACGTTATTATTAAATATCAAGTGTCACGTATTAAGTGATCACTATGTTCAGGAGACGCATTTCTAATCTTCATATGCTACCAGATTAGCAAATAATGGAAGATTTTCCTTTTCATCCACCACAAGATAATCCGGACTTTGGGAAAAACTTGTGCAACAAAAAGATTGCTCGATAATCTTTTGCACAATCACCTGCCAAGATCTAGCCGGTGTATTACTTGCCAAACTTCTAGTTCGTAAGCAATTTCAATTCTAGGAGCACATCGTTAAGTGTGTATTGCGTCTTGGCCAATAAATTTAATGTCCGTACTCATAACAGACTTTCATAATCCTCATTCATTTCCCTAACTGCTGCAGTATATGCAAACTTCATGTCTACATTTTATTGCTGATCGATTAAATATTCTTTGGTAATGAGATCTCACAATCATTAAATTTCCCAAATATTCATATACTTCTTCTGGAAGTTAATTCACCGTCGGGGGAAACTATTCCATCTATAAATTCTTATGAAACAATCACTCGTATTTGCCATCTCTATAAATTTAAACCTTGTCATTTACGAGAATTTTTATTATTAGAACCGATTGTTCTACCATTCATCACATGGACATTCAATAATTGTGGTTGATGATCCTACACGAACATTATTCAAGATTTGGAACTTGACAGCCTTTCGTATGTAACTCAGTCACATGTTTTGGTCAGTTAAACATTTGGTTTTAAAAAGTATCTCTTGAATTTCAAGTTCATGTTATCGAGAATCGTCGTGAGATAATTACATTGTCCACCTGATTTATAAATAGATTGTTTTAACTTCTCCCCCTGATGTTGGAATAACTAACTCGCTAAAATGACAATTAAGCAACTAAGCAGTTAATAATTTCCCTTTTGAGAGTAACTAACTCGTCAAATTAATACGATCAGTGTAGTTAATTCAACATCAATAATCTCAAAAATTGGAGAATCAATATTCAACATATATTTATGACCTCTTCTGGAGATTCCATCATTGTGTTCATTGTGGTGAAATAATTATAATATATAAACTGCACGTCTAATATTTAAAGATGGATATGTATGATTTCTGACCGAAAAACCACTATTGGGAGAATATCTGCAATGACCTGTTTGGTCTTATGCATATAATTGGTACATTTTGTGTTTCAACACTTCTTCAATTATACACCATGTAATTACTTTAATTGAACACAAACAATAAACGATTCTACTAGACTGTTTCATTATTGCTCTTATAGGCACTCAATGTTCAACTTCTATCATTTTGGTATTGAGTCATATACTCACCAGAAGTGTCATATCAAAATTCTCGTAAGAGCATAACATGAAAATCGACAAGTTACCATATTAACTCTATAATTAAGTTTCTGCAAACTTCAGGTTGCAAATTAGCGAGAATTATATATGTGGCTATCTCATCGACATATCGATTGATATTCTAATTTGTTGGAAGAAACTCTTGGTTCTCCAAATTTAAAGTGTATAAACTTTCTTATTTCGTCTTGAAACCAGAATGTCTTAAGTAGTTATGCCAAATTTTATAATTTTTCTTCTGAAGAAAACAGTGAATTAATTATCCACATATACTAGAACAATTTCGCTCCATATGAGCGTTTACTCTGATAGAGTATTTATTATTTAGTTATTTTCATTCCACCACAGTGTTCTTGCTCTTTTAAAAATAAAGTGTCGCTACCCTACTAGAGACAACAATGAATTTTTAAATTCAAAATAGTTGTGTTGATAGAGCAATTTATATCCTTCTTTGATACATTGGAGAATATAATATATCTCAAAACACTTTCTCCCTTTAACATTCTCTTGCTCTTTTTGGAGCAGAGTTTGTTTGCTATTGCTCTTTCAGAGGCAATGATAAATTCACTATACTTTCTCTTCATGAGCATTTGTTTGTTTTCACTTTCCGGAGAATATAATATATCTCAATATACTTTTTTCCTTTAACATTCTCTTGTTCATTTAGGAGCAAAGTTTGTTTGCTATTGCTCTTCCAAAGCAATGATGAATTTATTATATTTTCTCTTCAGGAGCATTTATTTATTTTTACTTTCCGGAGTAATTATACTCTACTGAAGTTTTCATCTATCTTTACAAAATAATTCAATGGCATATGCTCTACTGAAACATCTAACTGTTTCGTATTTATCATTGACTAGCATCACCTTCAGGGCGATTAATAAAAATCGAATTATGATTTGTTAATTCGTTGTCGACAGAACTAATGAAATCATCTACTTTCAACAATTTATTGAAGATATCAATAAAGTAATCGTGAGTATACATAACATGTGAACCCAATGGTTTCTTTGCCACAATGATAGCATTTGCAATATATTACTTTTCAACTTCAGATCGACAGTAGTGTTTTCAGTATTTTCCAACTTTAGGTGGTTAACAGTGTATTTGTTAGAATCACCACTATCATTATTGTATGATCATTACATTTACTTCAGGAAATGGACCATGTCTAAATTGAACATATCTTCAAATTAATCATCGTTAACTTTCCAACTTCAAGAGAAGAATTATATATTTACTGTCTACAATTTGACTCGAAATAATTTACTTCCCAGTCACTTCAGGGAATGGAAAGAAATCAATTCATAAGATTTCACCAAATATTTTCTATAATGCTACTACTGGAGCAATTTAATATGGTAAATATATTATCGTAACATTGCTATTTCATGAGCAACTTTGTTTTTGTTATCATTAATCTTTCATTTCAGGTGAAAAATGTATCTATATAGTAATAGTTCACTTACTTCAGGAAGTGAAAAATCTCAAAGTAAGGGTGACATCTTTTTACGAAACAATAATATTATATACAACAAAAATAAAAAAAATAAAAAAACTAAAACATTTATTCTTGTCAACGTACCAAGCAAATCACTACAACATAGCGACAATTTGCTTTTCAAATAATTTTCTTTTATAGGAAAAAGAAAACCTACAAATATAATTATGCTACATAACCTTAATAACACCAACAATAAATAAACATGTATTGAACCAATCGGTTATAATTACTTTAAAAGGTTTAGATTGAACCAAAATAAAGAAACAAAAATCCATGATTAATTTCCCCTATTTTCCTTTTATTTTTCCCAGAGCATAATATAAATAATATGCATCATAACATAATCATCGAATAAGGCGTTGATATTAATGAGATTAGATCAAAACAAAAGCAAAATAATGAAAAACTATGGGTGGATTTTTGTATAATAACTTGTTGACTAATTAAATCACATGTCACTCAGACATCTCAATACAAAATCAAATAGTATGATTCCAACGAGCCGAATTCGCTTTCTTAATTTTGAATTGATAATCCTAAACCGAGATCTCGAAGTGACTTGAGGTCACGACGCTTCGGGCGCTTCAGGTCACAAAAAACCTTTTAGAATATTCACCGAGACTTCATGCCTTTAGAATCAATACGCACCAACTTCAGGCGGTGGTAGGATTAAAATATTCATTTCAGGATTTAGACCTTCAGAATCAATACACACCAACTTCAGGTGGTGGTAGAAGCTCTTTGGCTAGAATCTCGTGCTGATAACGTGTTATAAAATTATTACTAGACTAGTAATATGAAATTAAGCATTAGAACAAGAAAGTCATAAGAGAATAGAGAAATAACAGACTTGTATTCAGATGTATTTTGAAGCATGAATGAGCTCCCTATTTATACGAGGAGTAGGGTATTAAACTGTGACAAATACATCACATATCATTAATGCTAAATATTACAGAATCATATTACCTTGATTATGAATAAAATATACACATTAATTGTGGACATTCAGTCAAATATTTCATAACAAAAACAGGGATAAATAAATTATCTTATATCGAGGTTTTATTAGCACGTGCCAATCACGTGGACAAGATTTGTAGGCACTCCTCCTCTGTTCTCCCACTCAAAATTGACTTGCCGTGGAATTCCCGAAACCATGTGTTGCGCCACCCATCCCCTCCGTCTTCCGCCATTATCTTATTTCTCTTTTGCCTAAACTGACCATCACTGGTTCTACTTTTTAATTACCGGCGTTCATTTGTATTTCAATCGAATCAATTTGTTGAGAGTATGATGAGCGAAGAGAATAAGGGCTTTCAAGAGCCCAACGATGAAATGGAATCCATAGCCCTCCGCGACGCCGCCGCCGCCGCGGCGGACTCCTTGCCGCCGCTCTCTTCGTCGCCTCCATTCTTCGAGATCCCCACCCACGAAGACGACATCAACGGTCATGATCCCCTTTACTCACCGCCTAATCCTCTCACTGACCCGCTCCAACCAAAAAGTCAAAGTCCAAACCCCGACCCTCATTCCTTCCTCCTGGAACCTCCGTCTTACGCCGACGCCGTCTTCCGATCTTTCGACGCCTCTTCTGAAGTTAACGATCACGATCTATCCACTTCATCGTCATCTCCTTCCTCTTCTTCCTCCTCATCCGATTACCTCGTAATCTCCGTCACCGCTCCTCGAAAGGAGCCTGAACTCTCCACGTCGCTTGTTCCTGGCGGTAGCTATTACTATTCTTACTTAATTTCCACGCGAACCAACCTACCGGAGTATGACGGTGCTGAATTTAATGTTCGCCGGAGGTTTCGCGACGTGGTGACATTGTCGGACCGGTTATCTGAGTCGTACCGAGGATACTTGATACCAATAAGACCGGATAAAAGTGTGGTGGAGAGTCAAGTGATGCAGCAGCAGGAATTCCTGGAGCAGAGGAGAGCGGCACTGGAGAAGTACTTGAGGAAGCTTGCCAAGCATCCAGTTATACGAAGGAGCGAGGAATTAAGATTGTTTTTGAAGGAGAATGGGAATCTTCCGCTGGTGAGGACTACGGATGTGGCTTCCAGGATGTTGGATGGGGCGGTGAAGCTGCCGAAGCAGTTGTTTGGGGCTGAGGCAACTGCAGGAGTAGTGGATGCGAATGAAGTGTCCCAACCGGCGAAAGGTGGGAGGGACTTGCTAAGAATTTTTAAGGAGTTGAAGCAGAGCATGTCCAATGATTGGGGTGCAGCAAAGCCACCTGTGGTGGAGGAGGATTCAGAATTCATGGATAGGAAGCGCAAGTTACAGGACTTAGAGGTGCAGCTCAGCAACGTGTCTCTTCAGGTTGAATTTCTTGCACTTTTTGCGGCCCTGGTGATCGATTCGTATGTCTTAACTAATTCAGGAGATGTGTTTGTCTTTTCTTTGGGTTTCAGAAAGACGATCTTATTACTTTGATTTGGGATGGATTCTACTAATATCTCCAATTTATTTTTAGTATTTTTACTAGTTAGCATTTCTAAATGTCATCTCTTTGGTGGTTGTTGTAGTCTGTGGATGGAAATTGGAAATGGATATGGAACTCACTTAAGTTTTCAGAATAGGAATTAAGATTTTAGGGTCGTTAGGCTCTGTCCTCACTCCATATTTATCTTATATTGCTAATAACACATTGATTTCTTTCGTGATTGTTTTAGGCAGAAGAACTGGTGAAGGCACAGCAGGATATTGGAGAAACAGTTGGCCAACTGGGCCTGGCTTTAGTGAAGTTAACTAAGTTTGAAACTGAAGAAGCTCTCTATGATTCACAAAGAACGCGTGCAACAGACATGAAGAATGTTGCAACTGCTGCTGTAAAGGCTAGTAGACTGTACCGAGAGTTGAATGCGCAAACTGTCAAACATTTGGTGGGCCACTAGTCTACTTTATTGAGCTAAGATGACCTGTGATGCAGACTTTTTCATGTCGCTAATCTGTTTCATGATTGATTAATACAGGACAAGCTCCATGATTACCTTGGAATGATGCTGGCTGTGAATAATGCCTTTTCAGATCGATCGAATGCTTTGTTGACTCTACAGACGCTTCTATCTGAGTTGTCTTCATTAAACTCGAGAATTGAAAAGCTTGAAATTGCTTCCTCCAAAATATTTGGTGGAGATAGGTCTAGAATGCAGAAGATAGAGGAGTTAAAGGAAACTGTAAGAGTTACAGAGAATGCCAAGACTTGTGCTATTTCAGAGTATGAACGAATAAAGGTAACAAACAATTACTTGAGCAGAGCCTTATTAGTGGGTCTTTATGTATTCTGTTATAGAAGTTCTCCATGAGATAAATGCTATCACTTGGTGGTATTGCTGAAAACAATGGAATGAGGAACTGAGCAGGTTAAAATAAATTGAGAATTTTAGTGTACCAGACATCAATAAAATGTGAGAAAACACTGCTTGATTTTATGATGTCGGTCTGAGGATTGCATGTTTGTATCTTTCCGGACAATGATTTTTGTGCTTACTTATAGTCCTTCTTTCCATAATGAGCTGACTGAATTATGAGGTGCTCATTCTCTTAATCATGAACATTATCTTGTTGCCATATATCACTTGCGAATGAAATAAACCAGAGCAACCCTAATTATTATCTTTCTTACTTAATTCTGTGGTGGGCACCTGGGCGGTGAATGGCTCTTAAATATGCAACATGGTGTAATTTATGCAGGAAAACAACAAAAATGAGCTTGACAGACTAGACAGAGAGAGGCACGAGGACTTCTTGAGCATGTTGAGAGGATTTGTCGTTAATCAGGTATTTGCTTGGTTCTTTTTCTCTTACTTGAAGATTGTTTGATGCCTTTGAAGTTACAAAATATGTATGTGCTTCTATCGATGCTTAAAGAAAACAAACAAGGCTGAATACTTCTATTCTAATCCTTTTCACATTTGACCCGCTACCATGTCTACCATTTGGTAAATCAGGCTGGATATGCGGAGAAGATCGCCAATGTATGGGAGACTGTTGCTGAAGAAACAAGTAGATACGCCAAAAGTGTTGGCTAAGGAGAGCCCGTAAATATAGCCTTTTTGACTTTTATACTTAGTCATGTATGCTAATTGATGCCAGGACATCGTCGTGTGGTTTAGGGTAGATATATTAGTCTGCCTCTCTTTCTTTTTCTTTTTTTTTCCCCCCTTTTTTAAAATTTTCCTTTCCTGGTTATTGAAGCTTTCTAAGCTCAATTGACATTTCCATTGTGCTGTCCGATACACATTAGTTATTTGTCATGAGATTTAGGAAACACATCTTGTCATTAAACTAAATTGGCCTTCATATAGAAGAAACCCTGTTTACAGGAGTCTGATTTTTACATTTTTCCTCTGGTATTGGGGTAATTGAGGGTTACTGGCTTTTATCGCAAAGTTGTTTGGTTCTTAGGTTTTGGTCACCATTTTTATCCCCAGAATTTAGTTTTTTATTTTTGTTTTCACTTTGTTTGCCAGAAATTATGAGCAGTGAGACGTTCTTGCTTCCTTGGCCAAATGGGAAATGTCATATAGCATCTATGGCTTGTCGTTTTTACCCTGTTATATGTGCTCATGAGCAAAATGACATTTGCAAGAGGAACTTCCTCCCAATATCGTATGCTGCTTGCCAAATACATCATCCTAGATAACTGCAACTCCTTGTTGCCATTGAGCTGTGTCTCCTCATTTGATAAAAACTGCAATGATGGAAGTTTGATTCGATGTAAGCGGCTAGTAATTATATTGGGTTACTAAGTTTGAGCAGGCTTGTAGAAATGGAGGTATGTGCTAATCTCCTTTAGTCAAGTCGAGCGAGTGATTCGTTACCGTCTAGCCCCAGATTGTGAAACAGGAACTATTGCAACATTACCAGAACATCCATGTTATTGCTGTTCATCACTACCTACCTTGTATGGTTAAGACTGAAACTGTTTGAACCTTTTGATAGTTGATGGTGATCTAGTAAGAAGAGTACAAGATGAAGAAATGTGTCGCAAACACAAAGGACTTTGACATTACCAAAATTTCTTCCAACAAGAAATGGGGATTGGAAGTTAGAAGCATTCCAAGTCAGTGTAAGTTGCAGCTGATTTGCACAAAATTAATGCCCTGTTTCCCTCCCCAACTAGCAAACACCAAATCTCTATTTACAGTGATAAATAGACAGATAAGAAATACTGATAACACAACTGGATTGACTACCCGATCCCCACAGCAAAACTAAGAATCAATGAAAGAATCGCGAACCCCAAAAAAAAATATTTTTGATCCAACTCCCAAGTCCTAAACCAGCCTTCCCTACTCGCTAGTTGAAGAGGGGGCAGCAGCCTCTTCACTTGGGCTGGCGGCAGGAGTGTCTGGCCTGATTTCTTCCAACTGCTGTAACACCTGCTGGACTTCCGGTCGGGCGGATGGAGATGGATCAACACAATGCAAAGCCAATTTCAATGTATTCAACAATTCATCACCAATTGTGGAAGCATCCCTCATCAATTCCAAGTCAAACACTTCGTTTGTCCATTCTTCTTTCACAATGGAGGCAACCCATTGAGGCAAATCGACACCGTTCATCGCCTCTCCCGGTGATTTTCCAGTGAGAAGTTCCAGCATGATGACACCAAGACTGTAAACATCAGTCTTTGTATTGGCTTTCTTCAATTTGGACAGTTCTGGAGCTCTATAGCCAAGCGCTCCAGCAGTTGCAATCACATTTGCATTAGCAGCAGGAGTCATTAGTCGTGAAAGGCCATAATCTGAGATTTTCGCATTTGCATTTTCATCCAGCAATACATTGCTAGATGTCAGATTTCCATGAATAAGATTAGCTTGAGTATGAAGATACAGCAATCCTCTAGACATGCCCTGCGCAATTTTCATCCTCGTTGGCCAATCAATCGGCGTATCAGGTCCACGTGCTGCAACAAAACAAGATAATGAGTAAATAATGATCACTTCACCGTTTCTACAGATTCACAAAATATCTAGGATAAGATAGAGCTTTTACCATGAAGGAAGGTAGCCAAACTGCCTTTTGGCATGTAATCAAAGACAAGAAGCTTTTCTCCTTTGGGGCCTAAATAATAAGCTCTCATGGCTAAGAGGTTAGGATGTCTGATTTTTCCAAGTACATTAACTTCAGTTTCGAATTCCCTTTGACCTTTAGTAATCTTTTCCCTCAATCTCTTCACTGCAACAACGCTGCCATCTTCCAATGTTGCTTTGTACACTGTTCCATAAGTACTTTTACCCATAATCTCTGCAGTAGCACACAAAAGATCATCTGCTGTGAAAACCATGGGCCCATCGAAATGGACGAGTTTTCCACCCCCTTCTCCGCCGGCTTCAACTTCCCCTGCAGTTGGAGGCGCCCCTTTTTGGCCAGCCTTAGCCCCGGCGGCGCCGGCAGCCGCCGCCTTTCCTGCGGCCTGAGCATCCTTTGATTTTGCTTCAGACCTTCTCCTGCACAGCAAGCATAATAAAATGATGCAGATGATGACTAGAATAACCAGGAGAGTGCCTGCTGCAATGATGATAATGTCTTTGGTGCTTAGTTTATGATGATGTTTCCTTGCCGGAGTTTCTGGAGGAGCTGATGGGGCAGGAGACGGTGGGAGTGGACATGGGGTTGATGCACTGTATCCACATAACTGAATGTTACCCAAGAAGGAACTTTCATTGAATTTTTGGGCAAGATTAGCTGGAACAGGGCCAGAGAGATTGTTATAAGACACATTGAATGAACTAAGACTTGGTAAATCACCAAGGGATGGTGGGATTTCTCCACTGAGGTTGTTAAATGATACATCAAGTTGTGTAAGCGTGGAAATGTTCCCTATTGATGCTGGAATAGAACCAGAAAATTGGTTATTCCTGAGGTTGAGAACTGAGAGATTATGTAGTTGGTTTATATCCTCGGGGATTTGGTTATCAAGATGGTTGCTTTCTAAGTTCAAAGTCACTAGGTAAGACGAATTGAAAAGAGAAGGAGGTAAGCTCCCATTAAGAGCATTGAAAGAGAAATCAAGTGTTGTAAGCCTAGATAGCTTCCCAATTTCATTTGGTATCACACCAGCAATATTGTTATGACTGAGTGAAATTTCTCGGAGCTCCCTCAAATTGGAGAAAGAAGCTGGAATTGTACCAGAGAATGAGTTATGATCAAGTAAGAGGGACTGGAGTTGATAGATGGCTTTAACAGGTCCACCCCAAGAATCTGGAATTTGGCCGGAAAGATTGTTATGGTGGAGAGAAACATAAACAAGAGATTGGGATTGAGCTAAACTTGTGGGGATTGAACCAGACACAGAATTATGGCTCAAATCGAGCCTAAAGAGCCTAGTTGAGTTGGCAAGACTGGCGGGAATGGTTCCAGTAAGTGAATTGTTACTGAAATCAAGTGTTTGAAGAAGGGGACATAAACCAAATGTAAGAGGGATTGATCCAGAAAACCGATTATTGAACAATTGAAGACCCCTGAGGTTAGGCAAGAACCCCAATGAAGGTGGTATTTGCCCACCAATCACATTGTCATGGAGACTAAGCTTTCTGAGGGCTTGAAGCTGCCCAATCTTTTCAGTTAATCTTCCACCTAGACCTTTCCATGGAAGCTGGATTACAATGACTTGGCCTTTAGCACATTTGATTCCAGCCCAAGCACCCGCACAAGCTCCAACACCACTGTCATTCCAGCTTCGTAAGAACCCCTTTGGATCAACCAACTCGCGTTTGAATGCTTGCAATGCCTGATAATCTGCTTCTGTGATGATAATGCCATCCCAGCCCCTGCTGGAATCTGCTGGCTGAATCGTATGGCACAGAAGCAAAGCTATCAGAAACATTATAGGGAAACAATGAATCTTCCATCTTTCCATCTTTTTGTCTTCAGCTGGAAACTTAAAAATTGTTAATGGGTTCATTTGAAAAAGACCAACCATTACTTAACACTACAAATTAGGACATCAAAGTGGGAAAGAAGGCAGTTTAAAAGATTCCTATGAGCCTATATAATTTGAGTAGTGGTAGATGGTAATGGAAAGTTTCCTATTTCCCTCCTCTCCCGCTCTCACCTTTCCCTGTAAAGTTTCTCTCTTTTGGAAGCTCAGACCCAAGAGAGAGAGAGAAAGTGTGAAACAAAGAAATGAAACAGTTGAAAACACAAGTGTTTGTAGTGTAAGATTTTTAAGATAGGGGGAATGGGTGGTTTTTGTTCCTGTAATGAGGCACGTGAAGAACCGTACAGAAAGAAGAGCCGAATCTACTAAATGAGCAAAAATAAAGAAAATGGAAATCAACAGTCATATTTTTTTGGGAAGACATGAAAAATTGTCAGGTGGAATCAATAAGATGGAAGATAGATTTCAGGGAAATGGCGCTTCTTTCATGGTGGCTAACGGCTAGTTTTCATGCTTTTTTTTTTTTTGTTTTACGAGTGCCGGTGTGTTTATTTAATCGGGCCGCTCCTACACACATTCTGTGACCTGACGAGATTTAACGGCTATCTTTTTCATATGGGCTCAATAATGGCTGCCTTTATAACTCTCTTTACTGGATTTTAATTAAGATGGGCCAACGCTCTTGTACTTGGTCACTGTCCTTTCTGGTGTTTTGTCCACTTAAGCTTTTGTTTAAATTGACCATATGATCCCCGGAATGTGAAGCTTTGCTTCAGGACATTTCAGTCATTACATAACTTCCGTCGGTTAAAAAACAATATTCTATTCAGTTCTTTTGGTTACTATGGTGTCATACTTACGAGGTTTTTGCAACGGTGTAGGACTTGTCATCTTCCTAGGTTTGACCAAACTGGTAACTCAAAGGCTTCTAAAAGTGTTTAAAATTATAAAAAAAAAAAAAAAAAAAATTGCTGGGTTTTTGCGTACTGGTATATAAAACCAGGAGAATAATAATCATACGTATTAATCTAAACAAAGTTATCACGGTGTCTGTGCATGAAATGGAATCCAGAAAAAAGTGTGATTTAAATGCAGCAATAATGATATTGAAATTCGAACTGATAGAGCCACCCAGATATTCATTCTGCAGCTGACTATTTTGGAGCTTTCGCCAGGCTTTTCCCATCAACTTTTTTTTAGGGTAGAAGACTGCTTTATTTTGCTCAGCAATTTGTTTTTCCTTCTTCAGTCCTTTGTGCTTATTTACACACATAGAAACATAAACGTTGTGAAATCTCCTTTAAAAACAATTCAGGGTTGCCTTCGAGAAAGTTGATTGGTTTCTGAGTGTTACTTTTTAATATTTATTTTTCCCTAATTGTGAGGAAGCAAGCTAATAGTTTGATTACATAATAATTCCATTCCATATTGTGAGGATGCAAGCTAATAGTTTGATTACATAATAATTCCAGAGATTGAATTGAATTAAGTCAGACAAATCCTAAACACTTTTTCTGAATATTCTGCTCGGAGGAATTAATATTTTTCTAACGTGTGTTTTTAAAATTTTTTAATGAAAAACGAAAAGAAACTATTTGAAATGTAATTAAAAGATATGCTCGCACCAAACATTATTTATAAGAAATTGTGAAGAATTCACGAGAAAAACCAACTAAACAAAAACATTTGCTTGATTAGCTTGATGCCTTGATGTCTAACAAAAGAGAATGCCATTGGATTGGGCTTAGAGCCCATTACGGGGGTCATTATTCTTTGATTTGATTTACTGGGCCAAGAAGGCTCGCTTTGTTTTAGGAATTCTGAACTGGGAGCCCCCTCCATGGAACTGAATCCGGCTAAATGTCGACGGAGCGGTAGAAACGGCGACATCTAGAGCTGCAGCCGTGGATTGCTGAGGAATTGCGAAGGAAAATGGATCATAGGCTTCTCTGCGAAAGTAGGAATATGTTCGAGCCTGGAGCTGAATTATGGACCGCCTTTTTCGGGCTTAAGATTGCATGGGACCTGGGCTTCAAAAGGGTCCAGCTGCAAATGGACTCCATCCAAGCGGTAGCCCAAATCAACGACGAACTCAACGCTCCCATGGCCAGCAATATTTTGCCTAGAATCCGCAAATTAACGTATGAAAATCCATGGGAGATAGAAACAAGTTCATCGAGCAGGCGGATTCTTTAGCCAAATCGGGGTTAACTCGCAGCCCTGGCTTGTATATTTTGTCGTCTCCGGCCTAGTCTGACTTTTGAGAAAATGGCTCTAGATTGGCCTCAGTCAACTCAATCTTGAGAGTTCGCTTTTATATACTAAGCTTAAGCTATCCTCGGTGTGTGTGTGTGTCTATATATATATATCTTATTATATTAGAAACAAAAACCACAATTAAGAGAAAGCAACACTATTTGCCATGTGGTATTTCCACATCATATTTTTAAAATAAATTTTTATTTACACATCTTATAGACTTAAAAGGCAAATGTAGTCCAAATCCACATTCACCTCCTACTTTCGCCAAAACAAAAAAAAAAAAAAAAACACGGGTTCATAAAAAATCCAAATCCTCATCCCCATTTCCACACCAATCGACTCCCTAATCAATCTCTTCTTCACAATAAAAAAAAATTCCTCATCAATCATCAATTGAGAATATGTGGTGAAATATACTCCTTTCCTATTAGCATGTTCAATTTTTTCATTAGTGATGATCAACTGCATCCTAATCGGATAAAATTTCGACTTCAAAAAATATTATCTTTACATGTCTATATAAACACAAAGGAAAAAAAAAATTCTCATTGATCTTGCTTCGGCTGTTGTGGTGGTGCAATTACAGGTATTAAAAATTTAAATGATTTTATTTACACAGATCATTTATTTGGCTTTTATTATTTCTTGTTTTTTCCCATTCAAGAATAGTGTTATTACTATTATTTTTATGCGTCCATCCGTTACAGCTACCGTAGCCGTTGTCAAGTAATATGATGTAATTTCTTATCTGGTTAGTTAGCCTATAATTTTTGTATGATTTTAGTTCTGTTGGAATGAATTGATTAATTGAATTTTTATTACAAAGTGTAGTTTTTTAAATTTCTTTTTTATGTTTCATTCAATTAGAGTGGTTTTCTTTTTTTAATTATGGAGTCCCGGTTTTTTTTTCATATATGGTCAGTTGTGAAGTGTGGTTTTTCTTTGTTTAATTGCTTTTGATTTTGTTTCATACTCCCAGTTGTCCAATTATTATTATTATTATTATTTTATTTTATTTGCAAATGAAGCACTTTTTTTTCTTTTTTTTTATGTTGGGGCTTTTAAGAATATATTTTTTTAGATTTGGTTTTTGGACTTTTTTTAGTTCCTCGTCATATAAATAGTTCATGTCGCTTCTTCTAACTAATTTGTGGGGAAGCCTTTTATGAATTTGAGATAGAGAGGGAAGGAATGATGTTTCTATATTTATTTGTGTTTTTATACATCATTTTTACCTACAGAAAAAAATAAATTCCTCAATTTTTAATGGGCTATCTTTTACTTTCTTTTTTTTTTATTTGCCATGGTGAAGCGAGTTCTTTTTTGCTATAACTTGAAACCTATGCAAATTTACATTATTTTCATTCTCATATTTGTGATCAACCAGTTTCAATAATTAATTACCAATTTCAAAATCATATGTTTGATATTTTACTACCTATAAACTTTTGGAAGAAATAGTTCCAACAATTAAGCGTATACCCTTTGGAGGAAGCTTACTACGAAGCTATTATATAAATCTACAAAACCAAGTATTGATTTGACATAACCACTGGAGAACATCAATAAATCATTTTACTAATATTTAAATTTATTAAGATGCTTTTATATTTTGTCTAGCATTTATTTCAAGACAAATATTTTGATCAAGTTTATTTATATTTAAGAAGTAACAGTTATAAAACATTTCTAAAATCTTCAAACATTTCTAAAACGTACCGGGCCAAATATAATTTCTTTTTATGCCAAATATAAATATTTCTATGATCACACTTATAAAACATTTCTAAATTCTTCAAACATTTCTAAAATATGTCGGGCCAAATACAAATTTTTTTTCCAGATTCAAACGTTTATAACATCTACAGATATAATGCGCGACCAGACATCACTAGTGTGTGTGTGTATATATATATATATATATACATATACTAGATGCTTGGCTCGGACAGATGCCCGGGCGCCCCCTCTAAATTACTATTTTATTAAAATCTAATTGAATTACTATTTGTTGAGGAATTAATTTGGCGTATATATCATTTATGCTATGGTTTGGGGCTTAAAAAAATATACCTATAAATATGAGATTATAAGGGAATAATAAATAATTAGTTTATAAGGCATTATTCTTAATTGTTGGATTTAGGTATTTTTATTTTTTGTTTATATTAAACTTGCAAAACTATACGATTGGACATTTGAATTTGAATTAATATATCCATTCGTTTGATTAAAAGAGACTTACATGTGGCAAAAAGACTTCTAAAATATGAAATATGGTGCATTGGAGCCAAAACAGATGCATACGTAATTGCTACATAAGCTTCATGTCTTCTGATGAGTTTGAGTTCTACCAGCCGTCATTAGCTGTTTAAAAATATCATGTTAATCATTTTTCACCATTGATGAACCCTTGATGTCCACATTCCCTATTACATGCTATACTTACTACTGCATTGTTTGTGTCAAAACAGTGGAAAGACTTTCTTAGTGCAACCAACTAACGAGAAATAATTTTTTGGACCCCATGGTCTGTGCTCCCTCCCATCATAGTAGTACTACCCTTCCTTCAATTGAATCAGGATGTGCAACCGCTGTATTGAAGATTTACTCCAAAACGACCTGCTATTCACCGTTCTTCTCGGTATAGTTCCAATTTTATACGATGTTCCAAACTCCCAAGGCAAAGCTATTCAGTATTCACTATTTATCATCTTCCTTTCTCCAGCCGACATTGAGTTGAATCTAACAGGCTGTAGAAAAGCCAGACAGCTGCCGCAAGGCGAAAAGGGAATTCCCGTTTTTAAACACCACAATATGCTTCCCTGTCCCTCCTCAATGTAGAGGTTATTATAGTGCGGTCTCTTCCTACTATACTCAAATAGGCATTTGCCAGCTAAAAGGACATGTTTTTCAGATGCAACCACAAACTGAGTACAAAGAAATAAATGCATTTTGATAATGCATCCTGGTACCGTCAATGGAAAGAAAATTCATCCTCTAGTTGATGACGCTACCAACAACATATTTAGCACGGTACCAATTCTACGCTGCCTACATAAGCAACTGCCAAACCCTACATATAGATGCCCAATCCGAAACAATGATGATGCCATCAACAATGTTACGTTGCAATTCAAGAAAAATAGAGCAAACCAAAACCGGAAAAAAAGAAACACAAAGCAGCTCCCAAGTGTACATTCAGCTATTCAGGTCAGATTCCAAGTTGAATCGGAACTGATCAGCAACATCAATCAAAGTATCAAACAGAATTTTCCTCTGATTAGTGAAAATATCTAAGTGACAAATGTTTAATCAACAAAGAATGAATCCAAAAGAGAAAGTACTACTACAACTACATCAAAATTTAAGGAAATTTAAATCGAAAAGTAGAATTACAGGTTGCAGATCCATTCTAAGGTACAAGAAAACTAAAACAAGTATCTGCAAAATGCCAGCCTCCCCCATAATAATTTTTATAAAAATTAAAAGAAAAAAAAGAAGAGAAAAATATTACAAATCATTAACCCCAGCCAAAATAATAATCAAAATATAGATCCCAACCTTGCGTGTCAGGCAGAAGCAAAATTACTCGGAGATTCCGTCAGATCGGAACAGATCCAACTAGACACGAGCAGCCACGGTAGGAGCGGCGGCGGCGGCAGCGGAGGAGGCGGCTCCGCCTAAGAAGGACAAGAAACCAACGTTAGCAGGTTCTTGATCGTCCAAGAACAGATCCTCGGGAATCCTGAAAGCGCCGTGGGCACAAACAATAGCCAGCCCAACTAATGAAGCGGAGATGAGAAGCGATCCAACGGATGTGAGGAACACCACAACTATGGTGGAAACGACCAACATCAAGAGGGTTTCCCGGTCAGAAAAAGTGCGACCCAAAATCACGAGAGGCTGATCCGAAGCCCTAAACAGGTAAAGGAAGCACCAGGATGCCAGCAGGGCGAACAGGACGAGGAGAGACCAAGGGTGAGAGAGAAGGGAGACGGCGAGTACGAGAGCGAGTAGGGAAATGTAATTGACGCGGAAATAGTTGAAGTTTTTGCGGATGCGGGAGGCGGCTTCCGTGAGAGTATCTGGGCGGGCGAAGGCGGAGCGATCTAGAAGTTCCAGCCATGGGCGGCGTTGGGAGAAGCCTTGGCGGACGGAGGAGGTAAGGCGGTTGATGAAGGAGCGGAAGGCTGGGGTTGCGATGGGAGGCTGGGATTGGCTGCCGGTGGCGGAGGAATTGGTGGATTGACTTGAGATCGGAAGTGTTGCTTGCGACGACATTTTTTTGTTTGTTTTTTGAATTCCTCTTTTTCTTGCCCCTCTTCCTCTCTCTTTTGTGGTGATTATTGTGAGGAATAGAATCAGAAGAATAAGAAAACAGAGAGACCGTATGTTAAATGGAAAGATAGCCCTTTTTTCTTGTTTTAGACCCTTTTTATGTAAATTCCAAAGTCCTGTGTGATTAATGTATGCTCTTCTGTCTCTCCCGTGTATTTGCGAATTCCCTATTGGTGCATTTCTCACCGACTTAATTACTTACCTATAATAACACGGATTTGATTAGTTACGGCGCTGCCCTACTGCATGCCTATTGCCATTCCCTTCCCTTGCTACAAAGGTCGTAAATTACTATATTTTATTTTATTTTTTTAAACAGACCTTGTTGCATAATGTTACGCACATGAAAAATTAAAATCCAATAAAAATCATACCCCTCCAATTCTTATTATAGGACACAAATTTAAATTAATTCAATTATAAAAATTTATACCACCTTATAATTAAGACTAAAAGAGAGAGAAAAAAAAACACACACACACCACACACCACATTACACTACCAACGACGTCGTCAGGCCCACATGTATATCCTCTGGTATCTCAAATTACAAACGACACAGTTGCATCCCGGATGAAGTGTGTATGTGTATCCTAGGATGAAAATTTATGACAGCGTCACAAATTCAAACTTAAAACAATGCCGCCCCCAAAAAAAAAAACCATTAGATGATAGAAATTGAACATTACTCGTCATTAGAATAGAACGAAAATATGTAAACAAAATCTGATCTCTTCTTTTCTGTTTTAAATGGCAATGCTTCTCTTCCCAACAAGTTGGCTGGTCTACAACAAATTGAGCTCAAAGCAACATATGAATTTAGAAAGCATAGTCCATTGTATGTGCATCTATCACCCAACTGATAAAAACATTGACCTTAACTAGACACGCCTGTACTCTCAATTTTCTAGAGGGAAAGGAGATAAAGAATTGATGAAACTTAAAAAAACAAACAACCGCTTTAATCCTCCCCACAATGCACTCGAGAATGAACTTTCTGCGGGTGAGGTTCACTTGATGCCATGAAAAGAAGGCAGTACAGCAATGAGAGGATCACCATAACCAACCGCTTCTGTATATGCATGAAAGTCCCAGATTAAGCAATGTCATTGTAAGCAAAACCCAAAAAGGGCATCATACATTGATAGCAAGGTCAAGCAAGGATTCTGCATGGAGTTCACAGGCCGAATATTTGCCGGACGATGAATATAAGAAACATAAAAAAAACATATAGCGACTCCTTGTAAGTTGTAACTTCTCACGGATGCCACACAGAGGGACGAATAAATGATCACATAAGCACCAACATTTCGTTATAGGTAACTTGCACCAAGACAGTCTCTTTCCTGGTTTCCATCACTTGGAAATGAGCATTGAGGACTGTTATCACCTAACTATACTCGTGTTAAACTATATACAGAACTGAAATACTCTTAGAAGACAGACAGTTTAGTTGAACAGTAGTGGGCTGTCTCAACTCTCAAGTGGAGCAAATCCAATATCTAATGCAGTTAAGAACATTATGTGCTTCCTTGTTTCAGACCATAAATAGTACAAATTGGTAGAATCTAAAAGCCAATAGGAAGATATTATTCAAAATATATTGGATACAGAGAAAACAATAAATGTTTATAAAGGCAAACAGTATCATACCTCCGTCATTGTACAGGAACTTCAGGACTTCTCCAGCTGCATCTGACTGTAGTCCCATGATAAATATGGGAGGAAGGAAGGGGAAATGATTAGAAACCAGTAGTAGTTATGAACAAGAATTTGTACATTAAAAAAAATAATAATAAAAAAATAATTAGCAAATGTATTGTAAGAGATGGACCAAGGACTTACTTTAACAGGAAGTTCAGTACCGAACTGATCTAGGTAGCCAATGGTTTGGCCTTCCTTGATAACGTCGCCCTGCACATGAAAGCAATTACAAATCATACTTTAAGCAACAGCCCAGAAGTTCTTTTGTGAAATTAGCAACTCTAAGTAGGGTCGACAGATTTTTTTTTTATTTTATTTTTTTACTTTTAGGGTTGACAGATATAATCAGAATAGTTAGTAGACAAATCAATGAAGTATAACCCACTTGCAAACAACAACAAAATGCAAATTTGAAAATCTCACAAGCACCTAATCCTTCCCAACTTGGACTATCTAGTACCCGTAGTACAGGTTGCACTTTACTAAAGGTAAACAACTATTGAGACTACATTTTTTTCAACAGTTGCTTAAGTTGTGGCATATGAACTGCAAACTGCAATTTCATATTTCCACTTGGAAGACTCTCTACATCCTTCACAGGGTAAGATAATCAACTTGGATCAGACTCGAGAGATATGACTCCTAAAGCACGCAATAGGAATAACAAGAAAACGAGACTAGTAGAGTACACACTGTTTTTTCCACCCTGGGGGACAATAAAAGAAACAGCGTATGCAAGTTTTACCTCCTTGACAATAGGAGGTTGCTTCTTTCCTTTAAAAGTCCTTCCCCTTCGAAATGAACCAACCTAATCAAGACAGTAAACACAAATTACAATTATTTCCAACTAAAATTAGACATACTTCACCACATAATTAAGGCAGTAGCAGATCAGTATTACACACCGTTGGAGATGATACAAGAACATAGCCACTGGATCCTGAAGCCTCCAGGGCCGCTAATTTGGCAGACCTCTCTGCAGGAATATTTGTAAATGGGCTGACTTTCTCCGTGGGTTTTGGTGGAGCTGGTGGTGGAGCAGCAACAGGAGCCAATTCATTCATAGGTTCACTAGGAATTGGAGGAGCTACGGTAGGAGATTCAACATGTGCTGGAGCTTTGGGAAGTTCAACATTTCGCTTCATATGCATTTCAAAGTCTCCAATCTAAAACGGAAATCAAAACCCAGGTTACACACCCACGAACAAGCATCTTCTGAAGAAAAACTTGGGACAGTTAACAGTGCATAAACCCGATGACTTCATTTGACTCAAGTCCCACTGGCATAATGCTTGGAATTTCACTAAAAGATCTACCGCTACCAATGAATGCATGAAGGGATAAATTAGAGCTATTTCCAGTCACACATTTACCCCCTCCACCCATGTTTTACAGCGTAATATTAAGATGTATACACTAACTTGTCCAGATTGAAACACCCGGAGCGGCAAACGTGTGCATCTAGCATGAAAGAGAGCCGCTCCAGTTGGCAGTTATGCAAGAAGATCATGTAACAAGAATTTTTTTTTTCTGTTCATGGAATAAGAATATTATCTACTACAAATTGGAAGAAAGCTTTGTCAAATGATTACCTTAACTTTCAGCTCAACAATTTCAGTGTCATCACAGACATCAGTCACCAGTTCCTGAAATTCATAAAAGATTATCCTTGTTATGCCTAATTGCCTATGAATAATAAATGTTGACAGTAGGGGAACAATGGGAGCTTGGAGAAGAGGAAATATCCAAGGGAATAAACTTTCTTGCACACCTAGAGTTCTCATATAAAATAAGACTAAGATAAATGTACATTCCACTATAAACAATCTGAGAACAACTAAACCTTCAAGCTAACTAAATCCGTAAAAGAGTTCTGAACTTTATTCCCATAATTTTGCTCTGAAATCTATATGAGGAAGGCAACTATACTCATAAAAGGACTAGTAGGATGGAGTGACATTTTAGGGACTCTGTACCTCAAATCCATTTGGAAACGTTGTTCTCCGGGGTGAACTGTTCTGACCTGACACTTTCTGGGAGCTATCCGGCTTAACAGCTCCATTAGAGTCACCTAAATCTACAATTAAATCGAAACAATAAGCTGAAGAGTGGCAATTTTTGTAAATATTTGAGAAGCTGAAAAGAGAACATGTGGTATATTCTTCTATTGCTAGTTGCATGAGAGAAACATGAAGAAGTTCAGACTATTATTGAGAGCTACAAAATAACACAATTTAAGTTAATAAGCTATATTAAGTCTGCTTGCGCAAATCAGCATGGCATACAGCATGTACTCAAGAGAATTTTAGGCAGAAGGACCAACTAAGCCACAAGTAATCAACTGACCATTAGATTTAGCAGTCAATGTGACTTCTGAAGACTTTGCAGATAATACTATTGCTCCTCCCAGCTTATTCGGGGAAGATATTAACTTCGCACCATATGACAATCCTTGTAATGTGTGCTTACCAAAGCCAGAGAAGCTGGCACTGTTCATGAGGAACACCCCTGGTTTGTCGCTAATGGATCTCAACGGAGATGTCATACCTACAATATTCAGAACATATTGATCACACGGGCATCCAGATAAGTCATATGCACGACTAACACTTTTGCAGTAAAAGTTGAAGAATCATTCAAAATGGGACAAATGAATAGTGATATGAGTTAAACAGACTAAAGTAGGAAGGAAATAAGCCCAACTTTGTCTTGAGGGGAACTAATTGAATCTTATCTGTAATTTATTTACTAGTGTGGTACGAAAAGAAGAATAAACAAGGGACAGGAACCACAGCTCAATTGATTCCCATTTTTCAGAAGGCCCTAATTAACAATATCAAGTAGTCCTTTCATGTTCCTAGTTTGCAAGAAAACTCAATTGATTCTCGGAAATACTACCGACTGATACATTGTCTGGCCTTTCAGATTCCTAATATGCATAGATCAGACTTTATCAGTTTGGCCAACAAAATCATCCGGCAATTTATGCACTTCGGCAGAGGGAATATACTACAGCATAACAGACCTCCAAATGTTCTAATGCAAACAGATTGCAGTGATTGAATGCTCTAGCAACTGTGAACACCAACTAGGAAAAACACCAAGCACAAAAGGTCAAGCTATCTAGAGCTTAAACCCAAGGCCTTAATACCTACGGAAGCTTGGCCAACAACTTTAAGGCAGAAAATAAGTATTTGATCCAACTGATCCACGAGGTAATAGTACCAAAATCACCATGTCTAGATAATAATCCCTTTTGACTGCTTTAGCCACAAATTCAGAGGAGAAACAAAGGCGCTATGTGAATATGAGAAAACTAGTTCGTACATTCCAGATTCCACACAGGCGAGGCCGAGCGCAGACGTAAAGTGCTCTGGTGTAAGCAAATAATAAGCATATATAATAAGAACGAGCTAGGAATATTCAGGTTTAACGGATCTACAAGCTAAAAGAAGTAAGATAACTTTTTCAAACACAACATCACAAGCTTATAAGCATAGAATCGATAACTCTCGGGAGCTAAATCTAGGCATAAATTTGAGCTCATTAATTGCAGGAACCCAACATTTTTTAAAACAAAATCAGTATGCGATACAGAGACAAATTTAGGACAAGAACAGGAATTAAAAGGAGAGGAAGAAATGAAGGGAGTAAGGGATCATTACAATTGAATGAACGAAGAACAGCGGCGGACTCCATTGAAGCTCGACAGATGAGAATGCGCGGAGATTTCTGAGAAATCCAAAGCCAAGTCTACCTCAGCAATGGCTCGGGAGGATAGAAAATGGTTGGGAATTTATATTCAGAGTATAAATAAATGGGAGATTATGAAGAGTGAATGTCAATTAGGAGTGGGTGTGTGTGTGTGTGTGTGTGTTTAGCTTTGAAATGTCCGCCCCTTTGGCATCAGTTTCTTCACCCACTGTACTAGGTGTAAATATGTCCAGGCGTCCTCTCTTCCTTCTTTGTACTTGCTAACCTGCGCCTCTTACCATTTTTGTTATCTGTTTATTCTCGCTATCTTGCACTCCCTGTAATATTACTATCCCTCCCAGATAAAAAAGAAAAAGCACCTTATAGATCCTACTATTATCATTGCTATTGCTAATATTCTCCTAAAAATAAATATTTTTCTCACAAATCTTAAAATCTAGATCTGGGCAATTGTTTTTTGGAAGGAAACCAGTATCAAAATCCTCCTATTGTCTCAAAAAAGAAAAAAAACCAACATTAAATTTTGAAACAATTAACCTAGTTGTTTAAATTAATTATTGTTTAAATTAATTATTGTTTAAATTGGATGTGGGAGATATTAGATGGATAAAGTGATATAATCAATACAATTTGTATATTAATGATCAATTATACTATCTTTGTCCTAAATAATTGTCATGTATATAATTTCAATTTTATTTGTGATAAAAATGAAAATTCAAAATGGAGGGAGTAAGAAATTTTGTGAGTTACTAAATTTTGTTGCATAATACCACATTATCAATTTTGTACTCCCTCCGTCCTAAAATTATTGTCCAGTTTGACATTTTAATTTTAGTACATTTTGAGCTAATAAAAAAAATTCAAACTGAACAATAATTTTGGGATGGAATAGTACATTTTCTATACAACATAAAAGTTGCAAAACATGAGCCATAATATTTTTTCGATATAATAAAGGAAACATAATCTAAAAAATGAAACAATTACACTGCGTAGATAAAAAAAAAATCCGACTAAGGCTCTGTTTGATAATCACTTAATATAGTGACTTAATTTATTTAAGTAATTAATAAAATTAAGTGTGTTTGATAATCGCTACTAAAAAGTCTTAATGAATTAAATTATGAACTAATTAAGTACTTATAAATTAAGTGTGTTTGATAACTAAAATTTCACTGTCTGAATTAATTAAGTGCGTCTGAATGACCAGTTCAATTATGAGCCAGAAAATAAGTGATAGGCCTAACACTTGTCACTTATACTTAATTTCTGTGATGACTCTTTTTTTTTTCTCTTTTTTCCCCTCGTCTTTATTTTGTCGCTTATTTTTACATTGTTTTTAAAATTTTTATTTTCTTAAGATAAATTAATTAAGAGTGCTTAAAGTTGAATTTATATTATGTGTATAAAAGATCTCAAACTTTCAAACTCAAATTAAACTAATTTTAATACATGATATTTGCTAGATAACAAGGTATACACATATATGTAATAATCTAAATTTAATTATATATTTATTATTTACCAAGTGTAACATCTACTTTCATTATATGTACAAAAATTTATTTTAAGATTATTATTTTATTATTTAGAACAAAATATTAGTTAATTTTCTATTTAAAAGAATTTTGTTTATAATTCAATTTTAATGATATTAAAATTTTAAATAACTTTCAGACATGAGTATTCAAATTCAGTCATCAGACATCATATTCAGACGTTTTTATCAAACAATGTAAATTCAGTTTTCAGACTTCATAGTTCAATGTTAAGTGTTAAGTGTTCATATTCAGACTTCAGTGATTATCAACCAGACCTTAAGTAGTGTTTCACTGTTAACGTCCCAATTTAATTAGATGTAGAAACTTCGACCTTCATCGCCTACATAAGTACATCAGTCACCGTCACTTCACATGAATTTCACTTTTTTATGTTGGATTTCACTGGAAAAGGGGAAAAAAAAAAGAAAAAGAAAAAAAAGGTAGCATGTATTCGCAAATCAACTAAGATACTCAAATAAACCACATATAGAGTACTATTTTACACTTCATCAAATTCTGAGAAAAAGTTTATGAGACCTATCATTTCTACACCAACAATCAGCCATCAACATTTCATAATAATGCCCTGAATCAAGCAAGTGTAAGATGAAGAACTTCTCTAAACTCAGCTCTTCTAGTCTCTGAATAAAGCGTCCTGTGTTTATTAGGCCAATAAGTCAAGTAAATCCATCCTCTAATCTCCCATTCCATCACTTTCCCCAGGGACCTTTTGTCCACTTTCCAGCACACCGAATCTCCATATTCATCCCCAGCAAAAATGACTCCTCCTTCTTTATTGAAAGGCCTGTGTGCATTTGTACTACGGTTCCTGAACCAAGCTTTTGGTTGGAGTAAAGCCAGTTTGGAAGGCTTTGATGAAACAACTTCTTTACCATCTACGGTGCTCGTGTCGTGTAGAAACCAGTTCAGGATTGCGCTGTTTCCGTATGCGGATTGCTCGAATTTCCAGGGCTTCAAGCTCGTGGTCATGGATTCCCCTGCTGAAATATTGATTCCAACAAATGGACTTGTGGGTTCCAATGAAGCTTCAATGGTCTTTTCCAGGCCAATCTCGCTTATGGGATTTTGAGATGATTTGCTGACAGAAATGCTCAAGACGTTTGTATGCAGCAATGGAGTTACGTGCAGAGATATACGGGAGGGGAAATGTTTTTCGCCTGATCCGGCTCCCCTTTCGTTCATTAATGTCTCCTTGATCAGCCTGATAACCTCACATCTTATGTTGTCCGTGTTCATCATCACTTCGATCCAATTCTCGCGGATTACGACTTTGTAATTAAGCTGGATCACGCCTTCCAGTTGATGGTAGTTTAGGGAGAACAATAAGCGATCATCCGGTGAGTTGCTGGAATTTTGGATATTCATTGCAATAACAGGGCAATACAGCTGAACTTTCCACAACCCGAATGCTGAAATCGCGTAAGAGTACAGGGGAGAAGGCGATTTGAGGTTGTGGCGCGATCCTTGGAGTTCACTGATCCAATTGGTGAGAGCCAGATTTATTGAACGCATCCATTGCTCTTCAATATTTGATCCTAACACCCTCATAAGCATCAGCGAAGTTTCTCGCGATCGAGGGCACGCGAATTGATTCTGCAGGATGTTCAGACATCCTGTGCGGATCTCAGAAGGAGCTTCATAGATGCAAATGAGGAATACAAGGGACAGAAAAGTGAAATTGAACATTTTCCTGAATTCGGGACTTGAATCAATGTTAGGGAATTTTGGGGAATGCGGGCATCCATTTGGAGAAAAGCTAAGGATGTCAACAACAATGTTGAGCCAGAGATTGGACATGTTCTTCTTGTCCTGCAACGCATAAGAAGGATCTAAGGGCTTAGAGGTCCAGAGATTGAAAGGGATATTGTAATCAGCCTGGATTGAGAAATTGAAAGAAGACTGATGATATTTGGTTATGGATAATTTGAGACTAGGCTGAGAAGCACAAGAACAAATGCATAGGGACATGGAATTTGATTTCCATTGAGTCATTGGTGGAAGGTTCTGAATCCAGGTCCATACATCAGGGAAGCTGGGAGAAGAAGAGGCCATTTGGGCAAAAGGGAGTTAAACTTAAAGCTTCTAAAAGCTCCTTGTTCTTTTATCAATATGAATCAAACCAAACAGATAGGCCTGCTATTTAAAGACTAGATCGTGAATGGATGGTTTGAAGAATTAAATAATTGTGATGAACAGATGGGTCAAAAGATATTCTCGGATTTGATCTTCTTATATTGTTTTTGGTACAATGCATCAGTACTTTCGTTTCGTTAGTCTTTGATTCCGGATCCTAATTAAAGCACTCAAAAGAGTTCCTCCGAAGAAGTTAATAACCCACTGTTTATGCCTAACTAAAGCAATCTGAGAAGCACTTGTCAAAAGCCTTAAGCTACTAGGTTCTCGCTATCTATAACTAGTTAGTAGTTTTCATTCTCTTGCTATCAAAAGGGTATTCCCAAATTGGTTAACAAGATTGAGATGAGTTTACTTGGTGATGTTGAAGTTTCAACGTGACCAATATGGCCATTGGCCACTTTACGACGTTAACATTATTAAATTATTCAATATTTTTTTTTAAACATGATTTTATTTGTTGAACTAAAATAAAACTTTTTACACGATTCTCTTTTCTTGAGACGATGAAAGTATGTCGATCGACGTAGCTTCCAAGCCTCGTGATTAATGAAATTAAACAACTTGCCTATTTGCTTTATGTTTCACGACACAGTTCTTGGATAGAATCTGATTCTCCATAATGTATTTCAATGGGTGAAGCATCTAAATAGGCCATACCCTTTTGACAAAATGAACACTACGATGAAAAGTTATTATTCCTTTGGCCATTGGAATTGCAAAACTTCAAAGGATGTTTCGGAGCTTTACGTATGATGTATTGACTACAGAACCTCTCCTGCACGTTTGCTGCAAGCAAACTCACTCCTGAACGTAACTATAGTTAACTACAGTACTCCAATATGATCAATAACAGAAGTTCTTCCCTTATCCTAATTTTTACACTTGTAATTTCCTCTATTTCTCGTCAGGATGAAACTTTAGAAGATTTGGCAAAGCACAATAACTGATCGTGTGGGAAGTTTTCCACGTTGAGGTTATCCGCAAGATGTATGCATAGGAGCACTTTCATGGAACGCGTTTATACATAATGGGATTAGGATACCATAAATTGTTTCCTTGGTCAAGAGATGATGAATTTAGCCGTATCCACCAAACGGATTGCGATTGCCACTTAGTCTTAAAAAGGTAATAAATAAAATATTAGGCAAACACACACAAGTTTGATACATTTTGGCTAGTATATAGTACCTCCGGTCCTTAATATAAGACATTTTGATTTGTCATAAATTTCACCTAATACATATTTTTAATTAACAAAATAACTTTAAAAAAATATTTTCTCTTGATTGTTATGAAATATTTTAAAGATTTTTTTGTCAATTAAAAATGCATACTAAGTAAAACATAGAACAAATCAAAATGTCTTATATTAAATATTGGATGAAGTACTACACAAACTCAACAACAAAGCTGTATGGGGTATTGGGGTATAATATCTTAGTATTAAACAAAAAATCACGACGACTGTCTGAGTTTGACAAAAAAAAGTTAAAAAAATACTTACATTATTATTCGATCGAATGAATATTAGTCTGGGTGTTACAATTTGTGTGTCAGCTTTGGACAACTCAAAATTTAGGGAAAAAAAAGAAAGCCACCATTACCATTTAGGAAATCCATAAACTAATAATGTAGTATTTATTTATTTATTGTTATAAGAAAATCTTTACTTGTTAGCCTAAGAGGAGAAGAACTAATATGAAAACAAAAAAGAGAATAATACTCCTTATTTGGAATCATTCTATTTTCTGATGCTCAAAACAATCATAAGCTGACGGGCGGATATACTAGTACCGCTTATTTATATTTTGTTTTTTAAAGATATACACCTACCGATGTTTTTTCGGAAACTACTCCGACGATATGATTTAATTTTATTTTTGAAGGAGAATGAGAAAATAAACAAAGCAACGTGCAAAATCGCTGGCCAATCACCAAATTGTGCAAATCTGACACGTACAAACAAAATTAAAAGAAAATTTGGGAAATGAAAAATCAACCCAGAGAAAATTCACGGATGATGATGCCCATAGCCCACCCAGATTAATTAATTACTTTTTCTGTCCCAAAATTATTGCCCAGTTTGAGATTTCACTTTTAGTATAATTTAAATTAAAAAAAATTTAAACTGGACAATAATTATTGGAGGGAGGGAGTACAATTATTTGAAGGAAATGAAAATAGAAAATGAAAAACACCTCGCCCAACGACAACGACCACGACCACGAGTAGAATTTCCAATTTTTTAAAATCACAAGAGCCTCAAAATTCCATCTTGTTGTTTACGGCCACTTGCACAGTTGTTCTTCTTTGGCTTGGTCTCATCGCCCCGCAGAACTCAACTCAACTGACCATGCTGTACAATCAGCACCGCCATAGCAACCCCTCCTCAGCCAGGGTGGACTGATATGAAGCCCCACGCTCACGGTGGAATCGGCTTCACCTCCGCGCCCCTCCTCCATTTGAATATTACCGATTATTCTGCTAGGCAATGTCCGGCGCGCCGTCGTGGCGTCTCTCCCGCGGAATTTTCATTGAACAAATTTTGTAGCAATTGCAGTTGTAAGATTCCGTCTCCGAAGGTTTTAGGTCACAAGCGTCGCCATATAAGCGTCTCCTTCACCTGCCGTCAAGCTCCAGCTGACGATGGCGGAGAATTTTCAGACATTCCGGCGCCTAGAAGGCGTGACGTGCTTGTGGCGCCTTTCCTTGCAATTGGAGCTTGCGTTCTTCGCTCCGCGGTGGCCAGAGCGGATGAGAAACCGCCGGAGGTAGCGACACCGGCGGTCGAGAGCGAGTCGGTCGGTACTAAGCCGCCGGCGAAGGCTCCGGTGGAGGAGGTTATAACTTCTCGGATTTATGATGCTACGGCTATTGGCGAGCCCATGGCGGTGGGGAAGGACAAGAGTAAAGTATGGGAAAAGATGATGAACGCAAGGATCATATATTTAGGGGAAGCTGAGCAGGTTCCAGTTCGTGACGACAAGGAATTGGAGCTGGAGGTTGTGAAGAATTTGAGGAAAAGATGTGCCGAAGCAGAGCGGCCACTCTCTTTGGCTTTGGAGGCATTTCCTTCCAATCTTCAGGACCAGCTCAATCAGTACATGGACAGGAAGTATGATTTCCATTTGAAAACTTCATGCTTTAATATTGTCCAGGATGAATTTTGAATTTTCCTTTTTATTTTTGATAGACCAAAGATACACTGATAAAGCTAAAATGTATCATGATAAAATCGAAATAGTTTTTAGACAAGTGTTTTAAGGATTAGGAAAGTTGACATGAAAGTATTGAATGTATTATGATGTATGATTCGACCTGAACTCTCTGCTATCTTGAAATGGCGAATGCTACATTGACATTAAAGTTGCATTGAAACAGAACTATGTCTCAAAATGCTATTTCACTCTCTTGATGACAGGATAGATGGAGAGACGCTACAATCTTTAGTGACACAATGGCCTCCTGAGCGCTGGCAGGAATATGAGCCTCTGCTCACTTACTGCCGTGACAATGGCATTCGGCTGGTCGCATGTGGATTACCTCTGGAGGTACACTATAATTCTATCAGAGATATGCAAATCTTTCTTGCTCTGTGTCAATTACTCTGGGGTTGGAATAGGTTGTTAGATGAGTTGGTACCTTGTAAGCGAACTTGTAATATTACTCTTCATAAGACTATCAACTGCATAAAAGAGTGTTGTATAGTTATTCTATGATTAAGGTTTTAGTAGTTGGGTCACTAATTTATGTGGAAAATCAAATGGTGCTGTTGGGGCAGATGGTGAGCTAGAATTGTAACGTTCCAATATGAATGCTTGTTACTTCTGGAAATGAAGATTGGTCATAAAATGCTTATATTCTGTGACAAAATTCGTAGTTGCATGTAGTCTTCAGAAGGTAAACTTTAGTTGTAAAGGATGGAAACATTCTGTTTGATTGTTTCTGTTTCTTGCTATCTTATGAAATTTGTATATAAACTTAAAAACCAATCTCCGTCTTCGACATCCCTCCCTTTTTTTCCCGAAATTTTGTTTTTCTTTTTATTTTATTACAAAGTCCTCTCTCTCTCTCTCTCTCTCTCTCTCTCTCTCTGTGCCCACATGTTAATGATGAGATTCAATCTTTTTGACGTGGCTGTTTTCCCACTTATTGATGGTCAGGTCCTCAGAACCGTGCAAGCTGAAGGAATTCGTGGACTCTCAAAAGCTGATCGGAAAAAGTATGCTCCTCCAGCTGGTTCAGGCTTTATCTCAGGATTTTCTTCCTTGTCACGGAGATCATCTCTGGATGCAAATTATGCAAATCCAGCTGCTTCTTTCGGGCCTAGTTCATATTTATCACTGCAAGCAAGAGTTGTTGAGGAGCATACGATGTCTCAGATTATCTTGCAAGCCGTGACAGATGGTGGAAGTACGGGTATGCTTGTTGTGGTGACAGGTGCCAGCCATGTTTTATATGGATCAAGGGGGACAGGAGTCCCTGCTAGAATTTCAAGAAAGATGCAAAAGAAAAATCAAGTTGTTATACTACTTAACCCTGAAAGACAACAGATACGGAGAGAGGGAGAAGTTCCTGTTGCTGATTTATTGTGGTACTCTGCTGCCAGACCTTGCAATAGAAATTGCTTTGATCGGGCTGAGATTGCCCGTGTTATGAATGCTGCTGGCAGAAGGCGAGATGCACTGCCCCAGGTTAGTTCATCTTCTCCTCTGAGCATATGAGGTAGCTATTGCTTGTACCTTGAACACTGTTTACCCTAACTTGCAAGTGTGTAGTCCCTTGTGCTTACATTTATATGAGCTAGTTTTTCGAACTGAGTATGCCTTTTCGATTTATAATTTGTTGGCTCTCGTTATGAAACATGAAGATTAATCTCTTTACATAGTAGCAGCTGTACAATGACTCACACGAAACTTGTTTGTCTCTCAGTATACCTTACATCTGTGATCATGCATTTTTCACTTTGTAAGTCTCAAAATATAAGTAATTTCTTGCATTTGAACTGCAGTCTTTTGGAATATTTTGCAAAGTTTTGGTCCTATCTCCTTATGTGTCACGTTTGGAACTAGATATTTGGATTCGTGGTCATTAAAAACTATATAATGGATTACCTAAGCAGTAATGAAACTCTGAGAGGATCTTTGGCTTGACTTATATTTAGCTGATTTAAATTGTGATTTGGTAAAAAGTGTAAAGCTGGTGAGTTGGATAACCTTATGTGTGAGGTGCATTTATCTTGTCACTTTTCGTTGGGAGGTTCTTCTTATGTGATTTAGTTAAACTTGTGAAAGTCAGTGCATTGCATAGATATCCTCAGTGCTGCTAGATCTTGAACTTTTATATCATCTCATCAGTCTTGTTTTATGGTAATTTGCAGGATCTTCAAAAAGGACTTGATCTTGGTCTGGTATCTCCGGAAGTGCTTCAAAACTTTTTTGATCTGGAGAAATATCCCCTTCTGTCAGATCTAAGTCATCGTTTCCAGGTAGGATGAATATAGGATGTATTAAAAACTGCTGTCAGCTGTTTTTAAAGCTTGCTGATGGTTAAGTTTTGTACTAATTTTAGTCCATCATTGATGCAGGGTTTCAGAGAAAGACTGTTAGCCGATCCCAAATTTTTACACAGATTAGCCATAGAAGAATCTATATCAATAACAACTACTCTTTTGGCACAATATGAAAAGCGAAAAGGAAATTTTATGAAGGAACTTGATTATGTTATCACCGACACTTTGAGGGGTTCTGTTGTCGATTTTTTTACAGTGTGGCTTCCTGCCCCCACATTATCGTTTCTGTCCTTCACTGATGATTTTGGTGGAACTGATAGCATTGATGGGATAAAGGGCCTGTTGGGTGCTATACCTGACAATGCTTTTCAGAAAAGTGTGGCTGGGAAGGACTGGAATCTTAATCTTAGAATTGCATCTGTGTTGGTTGGAGGTCTGAAATTAGCTGGTGTCGGATTTATTTCTAGCATTGGAGCTGTAGCTTCATCGAACATGATTTTTGGAATTAGGAAATCATTAAATCCAGCCCTTGCCATCAGGCAGCAAATTAAACGCTCGCCAATACTCAAAACAGCAATTGTATATGGATCCTTTTTAGGAATATCTGCAAATATCCGGTATCAGGTATGCTGAATGCCTCTCTAAAAATTTGAGATTAGCCTCATTTATGTAATCCAGAGTAGTGGATAGCAGTCCACCAAAAAAAAAATGTGTTGTCATATTTTGTTTTCTCATTTGAATTTTCAATATTATTCCCCCCTTTTGGATTATAAGATGACAATTTAGTATTACAATCCCAATATTAAGTGAAGGCTGGCCCTCTTTATAGTTCTCGTGCTCGTAGCAATAGTTAAAAACAGGTGAAACTACAGGGTAATTTGTTGATTTGATGCCAGATGTAATAGGGAGTACTTATTGTGACTTCACTACATGAGATCTCTCTTGTTTAAGCCATATAGTTCTTATGCTAAACAAATTTTTTTGCATGAAGAAATGTGTTTTTGTTAATTTTGTCATTCATATGTTACTGTATCGATGATAAATGACTACCTGATGTTGAGATTGCATTGATTGGCTGAAAATTAAGTCACTGAAGTCCTGTTAGCATCTGTGAGGTAGGGAAGTAGGTTGTGCATATTGCCTCAGATTTCAAGCTATTCAATTTGAGGAATGGTTGTAATGTAGGTAATTGCTGGATTAGTGGAGCACCGGATATCAGACCAGTTTGCAGATCAAGTATTTCTTGTAAATTTGTTGTCTTTTGTAGCTCGAACAATCAACTCCTACTGGGGAACCCAGGTAAGAAAACTTCCTAATCTGTTGAAGCGGTATACAATCTTGTGTCATTTATTTTTGTTTATCTATAAATGCTTGAAACTAAACAAGAACATACATAATAATGATACTAATAAATTAGTTGTAATAATGATAAAGAAATTAGCAGTTGTACGTTGCAACTTGCACCTTGGTTTAGTATTGATCAAAGATGGTAATTGATATATTAATGGTTAGCAGTAACTCTATCTACCATAGAGTAAATTGCCTTGTATTTCTGTAATATGATTCCACCTCAATGGTGCTCGTTTGAAGTGCTGCGTACGTATTTTTCTTAACTAAATAAGTCCACCTGCAGAATGAGAAGTCATTATTCATTTGACACTCTGCTTCTCTTTCATTTATGCATTGACGACTTCTTCTTCCACTGAATTCTTGTAACCTCTATTTGAGAGAGGAGAATGATCTTTGACACCAGCTTTTGGCTGTGGTCACACGTGATATTCACCCAACCGTCACTTGTTCTTTGCAGCAATGGATTGATCTTGCTCGGTTCACGGGGCTACAGGCTCAGAAGACTGAAGAAGCTTCGTCTCAGTCTCCGGCATCAGATTCTCCAAGTAACACGGCATTGGGCTGTAATGCCTCCGATGACACCAATATTGAGGACATTAGCAACCAACAATAGGTATAATCCACACAAACCGGTATCCCATAGAATCCACACAAACCACATCGTCGATCCTTATACAAGGAGAACTGAGATAAATATGTTTATATATTCTTTTGGCACATGAAGTATGAAATATACACATTACACTGTAAAGTGGTGGCCAATCAAAATTTTGCCGTATTCTTTTTAAAAGAATCTAGTGCTTGGTATAAACTATCTGCAGATTAATGCTTCCTTTCTGGACTCTCAGTGGTCATGTTATTATTTGCTTTGTAAATAGACGGGCCACTAAACTTCTAATTGGTTTGGTGTATTTTGCCACATTGGCTGTCAACTAGGTTGAATGAACCTGAATGTATTTGTATTCTGAAACAGTTTACAGAATACAGTTTACATTGGCCTAGGACTTTCGTAAGTTTACAGAAACAGTTTTAGAACCCAGCATAATCTTGAACACTAAACATGGTACGTTTAAGCAAAAAGAATTCTTTGTATTCTGATCTAATCCTCCAGCGGTCTAAAACTTGGACAAGCTCCGTGTCATCTGTTGGGGTTCTGTTTCATTTGTCTTCTGTTGCAGCTCCTGTTTAACCTTATCGAAGGCTGTTTCAAAGTTCTTCAGCTGCATTAAGACATCAGTGTCAGCTTCTACTAGAGTACGGGAACCATAATACTGAAAGTTTATCATTTGGAAGAATTTCATACCTGTTGTTTTGCAAATCTATTATGCACAAACAGTCCACTGAAGAGATCAAAGCTGTCTTTCGCTGTGCTATCTTTCTGCAAGAAAAGCCTCACTTAAACAGAGGTTCCCACCATATTTTTGACATGATTAGATGAGTATCACATTGGATCCTAAACTTACCACTTCAACAAGCTTCTGAAATCCTTTTGTGTCGATTGGTGTCTGCTCAATCTGCATCTCCGTAAGCACCCTGTCAGAATGCCGAATTCTTTCTTGTCAATTCTTGCATTTTTACTTGCAAGTTTAAGAACGCATGGTCAACTGGATGAAGAAGTATATACCTTCCAACCATGTGAGTCAGAAATTGACTTCTGGCAGCAAGTTCGTCATGCTCTTCACAGGTCATTTCCAACATTTTGCAGCCCTGCACAGGTAAGTATCTTCCTAATCATGCTACAAAACGAATGTCAGAGCATCTAGTTCAAAAACGAGGCCAACCTTTCCACTGAAATTTGGGGGTGTAGGAAACCAGTATTACCTCACTCTCAAAAATATAGAGGAAACTAGAGCATATAACTTCATCCCTTATTCTGATCTTCTCATACATAAACCTCAAGCCTCTCCACCCGTTCTTTCCACTTTCTGGCCCGAACATGGGGTGGGTGCAGAGCAAATCCGATTCTGGAGGTAGGGCCTTTGTCGAAAACACGAAATACTCAAAAATGAGGAAAATTTCTTTTGTTTCTATTCTTTGATCATGAAATGATGAAAATCAATTATGGCATACTTGCATAAGAACATGTTTTGGATATTCTTTCACCGAGAGTACATCAACAAAGAGTGTGGGCTGTTTGAGGCACTCGAACTTCATGGACTGAATCACTTCCGACAGAGAAAGGATTGAAGTACAGAGCAGAATAACTTCATTCCCTGACTTGAGAAATCCATCCATGTCCCTGCATCCATAAGCTCTTCTCACTATATGCATCCATAACATATTTGAATGGAAGTACAAAAAATTTCATCCCGGGAAAAAAAAAAAAAAGAAAAAGAAAAATTACAAAGGGTACCTGAAAAATGAAATACCCAAATGAGCGCATTGCCTGGAGTAGTCAGATCTTGAGGTCGCCGTTATGGAATGACCTTGTCTTAACATGGTTTCTGCCAGAAACTGTCCGAATGGTCCGAAACCGATAATCCCTATCTTTAGTGCTCGCGGCAAATCGGAAGCTGTTGACGAAGACATGGTTTGCTTCTGTAACAGAACTGACTATTTTTTTTTGTTTCTTTTATTCCCTTCAAGGAGAGAGATGTAGAAGAAGTTGACGTTTTCTATTCTTCTGTTTGACTGGAACTCATATTTTGTCGTCCTGAATACGTATCCATGCTAATCCTAGTCCATGGTCTTCACCGTTGCCACTTGCCCTGATGTTAATAATATGGACGCCGTAAAACGTCTCTTTTGTCTCTTGAGTTGCAACTGCGCCGTTTAATAGCTGATTTTTATTTATCTATTTTGTTTTTCCCATTCATGTAGATCTATTTTTACCGACAATTGGTGATCTCCTCGGGTAGATTGCTCCATTTAATAGGCATGTTTTCTTGCCTTGAACCTCTCTTTAAAAATTACTACCAACCTAACTTTAAAGTAGAGCATTGAATGGCTTGTCTCAGTCAATTTTAAGCAGCTTGAGAAAACTTCAGATTTCAAAGTTCAAAGCGTAGACGCTAATAACAGGAAAAAGGGTCTTTTTATTTTGTGTATACTAGTAATAATTACATTTGATGATTAAAGGAAAATAGTTGAAGAGCTTCTTTTTTCAGAACTGTGGGCAAAAACACGTCTGCTGTGTGAAAATTCTTCGCGATTCCGGCACGCTCTCTGCGTGTCCAAGATGGTTGGAAAGACGAAGAAAAGAGGGAAAGTGGGAGATTCAGGGGAGTTAGAGCAATCAGAAGCAGTAAACGATGGGGCAAGCGAAAGGGGATCGTGCAGCAATCGGCACTTTGGGAACATTGAGGTTAACCCTAAATCCTAGCTTGTATCGAAATCAAATTCTGATTCTTTGTTAGAAAGCATGTGCAATCACAAGATAATTGATGAATCGATGAGTAATTCGGGGAAGAAAGAATCAGAATTGAATCACGGAGTTAGGGCAGATGAAGGAAAGTCATTTTTGGACAAGTTCGATCCGAAGAAATTAAGAAGTGAGGAAAGGAAATTAGAGTTTATAGAGCCCAATCTGGTAAATGAGAAAGCTATAGGTAAAGTGTATAACGAAGAAATGCATGATGTTGTTGAGTACTGGAAATCTTCTTTGTTATGCTATATACTAGGTTCCAATCCACCCTTCCACGTGGTGAATGGATTTCTCAGAAGACTGTGGGGAGATTTGGGGGTGGATAAGGTCTTGCTAATGGACAATGGAATTCACATTGTGAGGTTCAAATAAGTTGATTCAAAAGATGTGGCTCTCAGGCAGAACATGTATCACTTTGATGGGAAACTGTTGATAGTCAAGGGCTGGAATGTAGAGGAAGATTTTAATATTGAAGAGGTCAAGAAGGTTCCAGTCTGGATTCAACTGCCTAGGCTTCAATTGAAGTATTGGAGTGCCCGTACTTGAGTAGGATTACAAGCAGCATTGGAAGGCTAATAGAAATGGATGAAATGACCTCTCAGAGAAATCGAGCAGGTTATGCCAGAATCTTGATAGAAATGGAGATCAGTAGTTCAATGCCTACGTCACTGTGGTTTGAGGACGAAAATGGAATTAAGAGCAGCCGATCAGATACGAGTGGAAGCCTATAAGGTGTAACTCTTGTAAGGGATACGGACATGCTCTGAAGAATGCAAGAAACCAACAGTGCAAGTGTGGCAAAAGAGCAATGAAAAGATAAAGGAAAAAGGAAAAGAGATTATCAGAAAATCTTAAGTAGCTCAAAATCCTAGATGAATGTCCTTCAACTGTTGAAGTGCTGAGCTCTGGAAAAGAGGAAAGGAAGAGCAGATTAAGGAAAGCTAGCCAATCAAAGATAACCATTACCAGCTGAGAAAAGGAAATGTTGCAGTTGGGAAAAAGATAGGATCAGTGGAAGATGGAACGATAATAGGCATTCAGAAAGGAGTGAATAAAACCTGTTACAATGGCGCTAGTAACTCTTCTATAGGGTCTAGTTACCATGAGTAACATTATTTCATGGAATATAAGGGGACTTAACTGTCCCCTGAAACACAGAGAGATCGACAAATGTTTCTCTGTGAATATGGTTAGTATAGCTGGCATTCAGGAAATAAAACTTACTGGCAGCAAAATTGAGGAGATTGTGACCCAGAAATGTTCAAAATATGATTATGTGAGCAACAATGTAGCAGAAGATAAAGGGAGAATCCTGCTAATGTGGCTGAAAGCAAACTACAGTATAAAGATAGTGAAGAATAAGAAGCAGATAATTCATGGAATCTTCAGAGATCTTGGATCTAATAAGGAATTTGAAGTTAGTATGGTCTATGGTGATCACCAGCATCAAGGAAGAGTGGAACTATGGGATGAACTACGGGCAATGGCAGGAACAATTCAAAAGCCTTGGATTATAATTGGCGACTTCAACTGTATAGTAAACTCTGCGGAGAAGTGGGGGAGGATCAGAGAAGATCAGTCAAGATGCAGCAATGTTTAAACTGGTCATGGAAACTTGTCAAGTCCGGGAGATCAAGACATTGGGTAGTGCCTTCACATGGAGTAACAAGCAGCTTGGCGACAAAAGAATTGTTTCAAAACTAGACAGAGCACTAATCAACGAAGCCTGGTTTGAAGAATATGAAGAGTCTGAAGCACTAAATCTCCCTGCAGGAAGATCAGATTACTACCCTATTCTGATCAATGGGGAGAGAAGATGGTCAGGAGGAATAGTACTTTCAGATTTTACAATATGTGGCTAAAGCACCCTTCTTATAAAGAACTACTAAGGAAGCATTGGGAGCTGAACAGTGAAGGAACTAAACAGTTTTAGTTATGGAGGAAATTGAAGAATCTAAAAAGGCCCCTAAAGGATTTAAACAAGCAGCATTTCATGGATTTGAGCAAAAGTTGGAAAAAGTCCAAGGGAATTTAGAAGAAATTCAAAGGGAGTTGCAGCAAGACCCAATGAATTTTCAACTTCAAACTGCTGAAAAGCAAGGTGTAAAAGATTATGTTGAAACCTCTAAAGCTATGATGAACCACTGGCAGCAACAGTTAAAAGCGCAATGGATCCAGGAAGGTGACCTTAACACAAGGTACTTCCACTCTTGTCTGAAAAAGAAGATCAGTCATAGCCGAATTATATCCTTCACTAACCAGCAGGGTGAATTAATAGAAGACAGAGAGCAGGTGAAACAGCACTTTATAAACTTTTATGAGAACTTGTTGGGAACAGAATGCCAAAGGAATTCAGCTGATAGTAACGTTTGTCAATCAGGGTTTAAACCTACTGTATACCAGCAGGTAAGCCTGATTGAGAATGTTACTGAGGCTGAAATAAAGGCAGCCATGTTCAGCATCAATGCTCAGAAAAGCCCGGGTCCAGGTGGCTTCAACAGCGGGTTCTTCCAAGGTTCGTGGGAAGTGGTGGCCAAGGAGGTAAATGAAGCTATACTGGAATTCTTTAGGACAGGAAAGTTGTTAAAACAATTAAATGCTACTTTAATAGCCCTGGTTGCATGTTGTAATACTGTTTACAAGTGCATTGCGAAAATTCTTAGTACAAGGTTAAGCAAGGTGTTGCCTGATGTGGTATGTCAGAATTAAGGTGCTTTTATACAGAATAGGTCAATCCTCCATAACATCTTGCTTACGCAAGAAATCATCAGATTATATCGAAGGACAAACTCCAAGTCTTGCTGCTTGCTAAAGGTGGATCTCCGAAAAGCTTTTGACTCCATCCACTGGGAGTTTATTGCAAAATTGCTTCCACAAATGGGATTTCCGCCGAAATTCAATGCTTGGGTGATGGAGTGTATAAGTACCAGCAGCTAATCCCTTAACTTGAATGGCAATATGACTGGTTTTTCTGCAGGAACGCGGGGACTTAGGCAGGGAGATCCTCTCTCTCCCTTGCTGTTTGTCCTAGCAATGGAATACCTCACCAGGTTGTTTCAAAAGGCGTCAAAAGGAGGGAACTTTAAATTTCATCCAAAATGCGAAAAATTGGGATTATCGATCTCTGCTTTGCAGATGATTTGATAATACTCAGCCAAGTAGATGAAAACACGGTGAAAATTATAAGAGAAGTTCTGGATGAATTTGAAGCCACCACTGGTTTGTCGGTAAATGTGAAGAAATCAACTATGCTCTTTGGTAATGTCAAGGAGGACCTGAAGCAAAGACTTCTGGATCTAATGGGGTTTCAGCAAGAGAGCTTTCCATTCAAATACCTTGGTGTTCCTATCTCTCCAGTGGCATGGACTGAGAAAGAATGTGAAAGCCTAGTGGAAAAGATGACGGAAAGAATAAGAAGCTGGGCTACAAGGAATCTTTCATATGCTGGGAGGTTAGTCTTGGTAAATTCAGTCTTACTGCATTTACATTCATACTGGTCTAGTGTGTTTATCATTCCCAAAGCTGTGATTCAGCAAATAGAAAGAGTCTGTCGTACTTTCTTATGGGGAACTAAAGAATCAGGAAAATCTTGGTCTTTAGTAGCTTGGGTAGATGTTTGTAAAGCCAAGACTCAGGGAGGTTTACATGTCAAACCGAAAAGAGAGCCTTTGGATTCGATGGGTGCATATCTATTATGTAAAAAGCCAAGATTTTTGGGATTATCAGCCCCCAGCTGACTGTAACTGGCACTGGAGGAAAATCATACAGGTTAGAGATCAGTTGAAGGGAGGAATGCGGGAGGTGTTTGGATGATGAACTCAGGGAAAGCGTACACTACTAAGTCAGGATACAAGTGGCTAATGGGTAATATTCCAAAAGCCAGGGAGTTCAGCATTGTGTGGAGTCCTTTTGCACTACCTAAACATAGTTTTATAGGGTGGCTAGCAATGAAGAATACATTACTTACGCAAAATAGATTAGTTAAGCTAAAGCTACTGAATGAACCTGAAAGCTGTGCGTTATGCTCAGTGAACTCAGAAGCTGTTGATCATCTATTCTTTGATTGTGAATTCTCCAAAAGGCTAATACAGGGGTTGCTGGAGTGGTTGGGTTTGAAGATTGAGGTCAGAAACATCACTAGGTGGCTACCTAGGCTGTTGAGTATATGGCAATACAGGAAACTGAAGCAGAAGGTTCTTCATGCTACCATCACAACAGCAATCTACCATATTTGGTCAGAGCGAAATAACAGAAGATTTGGACAGTAATGTAAGTCAATTGAAGACAGGAAACTGAAAATAGTCAAGGAAATATCTTGGAAAATTCATTATACTTGTAGATTTGGAAGCAATGATGATATAAGATTTTTGGAAAAATTGGGAATTAGTCTAGATTCTAGATTTCATACTGTATAGTTGCATTGTATAGCTCAGGAAAGAGTTGGTGTTTGTACTGATCACAAAATCAATATAAGATTTTACCTTTTGATAAAAAAAAAATAAAATAATTACATTTGATGGAGGAAACCCTAAAATTTATATTTCTAGGAGTACCATATGAACATCAAGTTTTGGACATCACTCTACTCTAGCTGTCTAGTCTATGCAGGAGATGGCTTCTGATGAAGATTTTTGGAAGGCATTATCTTCATGAAGGTGAGAAGGTATCTTGATGATCAAGGACTACTGGTTTTGTAATCCTGTTCATGAACTTCCCTTTTAATCTCTGTTGTTGTACTACTAATATTGATGACGTGCGTTCCGGATCCGACTCAGCAAGCATGTCACCTATCACTCCAAGTTCTGGACATTCTATCCAAGCACCAAGGCCTACCAGGAGAGGAGAATCTTGATGATTTCTTCCTACCAAAATCAAATCAAATTTACTTCCTAAACCTTTAATTGAAGCTGCTAATCCTACTCCATCTTTCACAATTTCCTCTTGGTATACAAACAGTTCATTTCCTATGTTGGCTTGTCGGATGTCATCCATCAGATTGTTGTCCATCTTCCTTTCTCGGGTATTATCACTCCCAAATAGAAGGAAACGGAATATGGTAAGGCACACAAACGGATGTCTACCCATTCGAGAAGCGTAAGCTAGTGCTTCCGTGTCATCAACGCCACCAATGAAGATTACACCGACATGGTACCCGGATTGATTGTTTAAGAAGGATGTGGTGCCACGCAGAATCCCTCTATCCACCAAGATAGCGACCGAGCAAGGCGCGTTGTCTGCGACTTTTGAATTCATGCTTTGAATTCCCCTGTTCACATCCCCAACTGATCCATCAATCTCCCAACGCTTGTGAAACGGTAGTATTATAATCGTCGTGTTTTGGTCCAGCGCTACGCGGCAAATGTCTTCGTGCATCGTGTCAAAGTGCGAGATGGAGCTGAATGAGTGAATGTTGACACAGGTTTCGTTGCAAAGTTCGTATTGCCGCAGGGCGTTGATGATTCGCCCGGATCTTGAAGAGCTCGGTTGCAGCATTCGGTGGGATTGATGAGCTATCAACATTGGATTAGCCCGGCCGACAAGTTCAACAAGCAGGACGGCTATGACTGCAATGTGGCTTTCCTCGGTTGCATTGGAGGCTTCAAGCAGGTTCAACATTTCAGGGACATCCTCTTGGTTATGTACGCAGACCAATACTCTTAGCTCCGCATCTCGCTTGCTATGCTGAATTGTCCTTCTCCGGACTGGAATGTTTCGTTTGGATGGATCGTATAAAAGTTTGATCAGGGACGATACTGTTGCTGTGACTACAAGAACTGACACCATACTCAGAGCAAATGCTTCAACTTTCATGGCCTGTGGTTTGGAAAAAACAGAAAACATAGAGAAGATCATATACCAGAAAGCTGAAGTTGAAAATTTTCATGGTAAAAAAAGAAAAAAATGGAGACCTTAACATCCAGAAGCAGATTGAATAGGACTAGTTCAGAAATCCCTTTGCAGTTCATCATCAATCCAAGCACAAACGACTCTCGAATACTCATCTCCATGTAGAAAGCCAGCAACATCACAGATAACAACTTGACAGAACAAGAAACGAAAACGATCACTCCCACCACCCATAGAGAGTTGAAGTGAATCGAAAACACGTTCAATTTCAATCCGCTGGCGGTGAGAAATGATGGGTACAGGATTTTCCCAATGGGAATATCAAGTTTTGCAGTCATTGCTGATCCCAGAGGAGGACCTTCAGGCATAACCAAGCCCATCACCAAAGGTCCAAACACAAAGTGCTGCCCAATAGACTCGCTAACCAATCCGGCCAAAAGAACAATGATAAACACTGCCATCACGTGGGATTCCGGCACCGGTTTTCCTTCCGGTAATCGTTTCACACTCCGTGCAATGATTGGGCGGACGACGTATAGCGCAACTAGTACAAACGTAACAAACACAAACAGTTGGGCTAATGAAATCACCGGGTTCTTGATATCTGTCTGCATGATTGCACAAAGGCTTGCCATAACGCACATACTAATAAGATCAGCGAACATTGCGGATGAGATTGCAAGTCGGCCCAGATCAGATTGAAGCAGCTTGAGCTCGCTCAAAACGCTGGAAACATTCTGAAACGACAGTACGCTCTGGGATGCGGCGATTATAGGCAGCGACGACGCGACATCGGGATCCAAGGTAACAACCTGGGAGAGGAGATAGGAAATTAGGAGAGCGAATCCCAATGTGCATAGCACGCAGGAGGCGCCTAAGGTCACGGGTTTCCATCCAGGTCGGATCATCATCTTGATGTCCATCCTCACTCCAATGGTGAAGAGGAAAAACATAATCCCGAAGGTCGCGAAAGTTTCGAATATGATCCTGCCTCTCGGAGGAAACAGCGCCGCTCCCACCACCGCTTCATGTCCTAAAAGCGAAGGGCCAAATATTATACCGCCCTGAATTTGATCGGAACAAAAAAAATGTAAAAAAAAATTTAAAAAATCGCAAAGGGGGAGAAAGAAAAAAAAACAAAAAGAAGAAAAGAAAGGAATTGAGAAATGCTTACAAAGATTTGTGAAACCATACTGCATTGACCAAGAGGCCTGATTAGGAAATCAATGAGCATAGAGGTTAAGGAAACAAGGGAAAGTTGAATGAGAAGAAGCGGCGAGCAATAATGCAAAGGGTTCTGTTTTGCCCAGAAACCATTCGACGAGATCTTGTGTGGATCATGGCACACAAGTGTCTTGTTCCCAACAAGTATAACTGTTTCAGGGAACAGGTTTGGTGTTTTCAAGGCCACGCCATCGGTATACAGGAAATCCATTCAATCGGGTTAAAAACGACAGGAATCAGAGTTCGAAGAAGAAAATTTTCAACCTGAAGTTATGCATGGAGGTAAGTCAATCAGGATGATGAGAAAAGAAGAAGAAGAAGAAGACCGATGCAAATAATGAAAAGCTTTTCGGAAATGCACACATCATAGGTAAGTATTACAGGAAGCAACACACAGTTCACACACACACACACAGAGGGAGTGAAGGCAGAGATTGAATTGGTGTTGTGGGGTTATGGATTGCCTCCAGTTTTCCTAAGTTTGGCCTTTCCGTTATTTCTAAATGGTTTTTTACCACAAATTTGTCACAGCCACATTTGCGGTTCCACCCTTGTTATCATTTATCAGATTTATTTTCTATTTGTAAGTTGTAGTATTTAGTAATTTATTTAGAAGTAAATAAAATTCTTGAAATAAATTTATTAAAAAAAAAAAACTAGAGACCTTTGAATGCAGATAGTAGTAGACTAGCAGTCTATGAGATAATTTCTACGAGAGTTATATCACCAAAATAGAAAAATACTTATATTTGTTGCATTAAAAACCATGATACAGTAGCTGTATCTAATAATTTTTCGTATGAAAGGTACTTATATTTGCTGCATTAAAAACCATGATATAATAGCTGTATCTAATAATTTTCGTATGAAGTAATATAAAACCGAACTATTTATCACTTACTCATAATATCTTTTCCGAAAAGAAATAAGAAACTGAAACCCAAAAAAAGGTTAACGCCGCCGATCGTAAGCCCCGTTCTGTTAGTCGTGATGGACCACGTGAATAACTGTTGTTCGGCCAAGGGACTTCACGGCTGGAGTTCCGGGCTCCACACGTGTCTCAGCCCATAATGGCTCGTAGGCCGTGAATTCCGAGCCTGCATCTCTGCAGATATGGCCCGGGGACTTTCCTAAGCGAGGGTCCGGCAAAGTTACCACACCACAGTCCATTCACATCGTCAGCGCCGAAGCACACGCAGAAAACTATAAAAACCGGTGTGGTTTTTCAAATAAGCTCGATGTGGGACTTAAGTTGCCATCTACACATTTATGATTCAAACTCAAACTCAAACTCAAACTCGATGTCGGAAACATCTCTTTAACAAGAATTGAACTTCCATCGAGCAGAGTGATTCGAAGTCTCAAACTTTTAAAGCTCAACCCGAAAAAGAAAATGGACAATTCAAAGCTTCGAAAATATCAACATTTCCTTGGAGCACAAAGTACAAACATGGGCAATAAGAGCCCAAAAGAACATCAAAGAGGCAAAGACATTTTGGTGCTGCTATCCCCCATCCATCACAATGCTGCCCAAACTTATCACCGTTTCCTTACAATCTGCTGTTGCACCACCATTACAGAAACTGGTCTGGAAATCTCTGTTGCCGCCAGCATGTCACCAACTGGCCCTAGCTCCGGCAGTTCACTCCATTCGTTAAGGCCCAACAACTGCGGCGAGTCCTCCCTGTGACGCCTTCCCACCATTATAAGGTCAAAAGTCTCCACCAGCGAGTGTATTTGTAAGGCTGTTTCCGCTCCATCTTTCACCCTCTCCTCTCTGTATACGATATTATCCTGGTGAGTAGCTTGCATCCTCGTATCCTTTAATATTTCAACATCAAAAATAGCATCCCATTGGTTATCACCCATGGAATCCCAGGGAACAAAACGAATCACAGTCAGGTGCATCCCAGGTGATCTCGCCATACGCTTGCCATAAGACAGCGCCTCGCGGTCATCCCCTCCACCAATGAAAATTACAGCTACGTTATACACCGACGAAATAGGTGATTGACGCTTCATTCTGTGACGATCAACAAGGATACCCACAGAACAAGGAGCCATGTCACAAACATTGCAGTTCGTTATCCTTATACTACTGCTGTCCAATGTCAGTTTCCCCTGGTTGTTCCATCTCCTATGAAATGGGAGTATAATAAATGCTGCCAACTTGTCAAAGGCAAGCGAGCATATGTCGTGGTGCATGAACCTGGGCATTGAGACTGCAGTATACAATTGCATGCTAACTAAACCCATGAATTGCTGCTCCAGTTGATGGAAAACTTCAATGATTTTCTGAGAACGAATGCCAGCTGAAGAAGCCTTCTGGCCTAGCTGGTGATCTATTAGTACTGGGCTGGCTCTGCCAACTAGTTCCATCAAACTGAGCCCATATACAGCTAAAGGGCTTTCTTTGTTAGGGAAGGAAGCTTCTAGTACTCTTTTGACTGCAAGAACATCATCCAGCCGGTGAGCACATGTAAGCACGCGCAGTTCAGCATTGCAAGCAATGTGTTGGATATCTCTCTTATGATACCCAGTGTAGATACTGGAGTAATCATACAATGCCTTCACGGAGAGTTGTGTGATTGTGGCTATTAAGAATACTGAAGAAGTCACCATGGACAGGGTTTCTCTGTCAAATAACTGTATCACCCAAAGAAAGTAGATCAAAATTCCAATTCAATACGACAGTACATACGTATAGCTAAACATGTTAGAGCTAATCCAGTTGTGCAACTTAACAGGAACAAACATGACCCTTCTTCCTTAGTGCCATTCAAGGCCAAGGTACACAGGGTTGACAATTAAGTAGGAGTAGGACACGGTTAGCAGAAGCTATTAAATATGTGTGCCTTCTTATGGACGACTCAAATTCTGTCATTTAATGTGGTCCTTGATCCAATCTCTTTATACCAAGACATGTCCACATTTTAAACTACTGCATAAAAGAATTAAAGCTGATAGCAAGAGCTGGGTATTCTGCTCAACCTAAAGCAAAAGGCACAAGGGAGCTCACTTTGCTTTGTTATTATTTGCAATATTTCATAGATCGCCTTTGAGTAAGTATTGAATAAGCAGATATACACAGATTCGTCAAGTAGAAATCGCAAATAATATTGTTCGCCTGAAATAAGAAATGCAATTGGGGCCCCTATAAGTACCTGGGAAGTGGAGAAGGTAAAATAGAAAGCAATCTGAATGACTCCTTGTGTACACATGATGAAGGAAAGCGATAAAGCATCTTTAAATGGCACTTTGCACATCAATGCTGGGAAAAGAACGGAAGCAAACTTCATCACCAGACAAAACCCAATAAGAGCCCACACCCTCCAAATGAAATCCAGGTCGTACAATTCAACCAAATTGACTCTCATGCTACAGTAGGTAACCAATAGAGGAGTAAGCAATCCACATGCTATAGTCTCCAACTTTTCAACAAGTGTGGAGCCTAAAGGTGGGCCATCTGGCAATGCTAAGCCTAGCAAGAAAGGACCATAAAGGTAGTTGATGCCGGCATTGTCAGTAAGTATGACAGCCAGAAGGACTGCGCCAGATATCAAGATTGTGAAAACCCTACTCATTGGCTTTCCTTCGGGGGTTTGCTTAATGATCCAACGAGCAAATGGCCCAGCTGACCCAACTATAAGACAACACCAGCCAATGAATAAGATGACAGATGATGCAGTCATTCCATCCTTGTAACCTGAACCCATCTTTATGTTGGCAGCTACAGTAGCCATAAAATTGCTGATCAAATCACTGATCAAGGCGGATGCCAGAGTGAGACGACCAAGTTCAGAGTTCATGATTTTCAGGTCGATCAGGAGAGAAGCAATCACTGGAAAAGGAAATAAAACACTGGTTGAGACTATACTTCGAACGGCTGGCAAGTGATAACGGTGGATGTTGAACATTGAGGAATACTTTATAGCCAAAATCAATGCTGCGCCTCCAGTAAACGGAATTAATGGGGAAAGAACTCCTACAGTCCAGGCCGTCATACTACCGGCACTTGATGTTAACACCACTCTTGGGTCCATCTTCACACCACTCAGGAATATGTAGTAGATATAACCAATTTTTGATAGAATGTCTAAGAATATATCTCCTTCGGGTGGGAACAAACCATTGTAGACTCTCTTGTAATTTCCTAGAACAGTTGGCCCCAGTATAATACCAGCCTGAATCAAGAAACAATACTTTAGACCTCTCAAGAAATTAATATTAACTAGTTAACCACGACTCAATACAACTTGCTTAGTAGGCTTAAGTTTCTAATGACCAGCTTCTAAGCTGTTGTATACAATTCCCAGCAATACCGGTACTGCCAAGTAAATTTAATGAGAATTATGTGCAGACACTTATAAACGAGCGAGTAATCAGTTCAACAAAAATATAAGATCGCTGGATTTATACCTGAAAAGCTAGTAGTTTATATGTCATTCAGGAATTGAACGCAAAACCCATTACCAACAAAACCAAATAATAAAGAAAAATCAATTTGGAGTTATAAAAAAAAAAAAAAAAAAAGGAAGTTTCGTACCAAAATTTCGGAGCAAATGCGGGGCAAATGCAATCGCCTGAGCAACAGATGAAGGGATTGGGTAAGCCCGAAAATAATAACCAATTGCAATTGGAGACGGGTCAATGCATGATCAAAAACTGAATCATTTTCTTGGAAGATCCCCCCCAAGGAATGAAGATTTATCTTCTCGGCGGATTCAAGGGTGCAGTTGGGAGGCAGTAATCCATGTGTGAATCGCTCGTTCGCCATGACTCCTCCACCACCGCTGCAAATTTCTTCGGGCGAGGTCGACGATGATATCGTCCTAAATGATTGTTCCGATGACTAGAACCATAACAAGGTTTGGCAACCAGCCAACGATGACAATGGTGTCTCAACAGCAATTGATGCTTCGCTGTGACAAACATTTTTTCCTGAAATCTAGAAAAGTGGGGAATTATCAAAGACAGGAGGGAAGGACACGACGCGGGAGATCAACGATCCGGGTGAACAACAGAGGCAACAAATCAAATGAGGGCAATTCTGGATTCGCTTTTTCTGCAATTCGTGGAGCAAGTGATTCCGCTGCTCCCGCAAAATGATGCCTGCCGTACGGTTTTTCCGTCATCGTTGAGTTGGAAAAACTTGGACAATTGGATGAGTACACGTCATCATCGTCATGGGATTGAGAAGTAAGGCCCATTTACATTCTGCAACCTCCTCATGAGGGGCTAAACAGACCGACTTTAGGCACAAAATTGATCTTGTACCGGCCCATACTTTTCTTTATCCAGGTTAACAAAACTAATTAGTAATTACTACCTGTCTGGAAATGATTTTTACTATCCGAAGTAAAAAATACAAACATGAAAATTATTTTTAAATGGAAGAGATAATTTGTAGTGTATGCACTTGATAAGCATTGGTAATGGATGAAAGAGTCGGCCAAATCATTTAACATACTCTCATAGAATTTTTTATTTATTGATACTCTCTCCGTCTCATAATTATTGTCCAGTTTAGGTTTTCATTTTTAGTTTAAATTATACTAAAAGTGATATCTTAAACTGGACAATAATTTTGGGACAGAGGGAGTATTTACTTTGGCAGATTTTCTTATCCATCTGTAAACAGTAACAACAAATTATTCTGTTTTGAGCAGAAGACAAATGTTTCTTTCATTTTGTCTACTTTTCTTAAATTTTGATTTCTTAAAAAAAAAAGGGAAAAAGGAAAAAATATATATATATGCTGTGGGTGGGGCAATCCAGTGGTTTCTGGAGTCTGGACCATGGACGGTGTGCTGCCTGTGCCCCTAGGACCAAAGGCACGGCCGGATGGCTATTGGCTATATAAAACCCAAATTTTCCTTCTTGAGATTCCAAACATTGTGCTGCTTATACTAGAATTTTAAACTGTTTAACCCTCTTTTTCTTTTTTATTTGTTTCTTTAGTTGAGGTGAGAACGTGCCAGTAGAAAGTAGAAACTTTACATTTAAAAGGATAACAACGATTACGTGTCATTTATCTGTCTTCGTGGGGAATCATTTACTTCTTTTCAGATTTTGGGAGATTTCAACACTCCCTTCTTCGCAGCAATTTTTTTTTTTTTTTGGCTCGCACCAAATACATATATATCCAGTTCACTACAATAACCGTTCAAAGTTTCATTTTTTAAAATAAGTAATACTCCCTCCGTCCCATAATTATTGTCCAGTTTTACTAAAATGAAAGATTTTATTTTTGGTCAAATTTAACTATATTTTATCTTAAACAACCGGATATACCCCTACATAAGTAATTGTTTAACTACTAAGATTTTATGGATAATGTTTTTATTAAGGACAAATGCGTAACTTGATCCATAAAAAGTCAAATTAGACAATAATTTTGGAACAAAATTTTTTGAGCAAAGTGGACAATAATTATGGGACAGGGGGAATATATTATAATGATTATATATTGTTTCACTCCGAAATAATGATTTAGCTTGTCATTTTATTGTTAATGAATCATCAATTTAATACGGAATGAGTAATTGTATAGACAGAAATTTCACTCCTTATTCGTAGTGATTTTTTTACTACCACCACTATTTTACCTACCAATCTTCTTTCTTTATATGGGCACTAATGCAACTGTCTAACAATTTATGTCACCAACCGGAGGTCGCCACAAAACGCATTTAAAAAAGAAGGCTCCTACTTATATTATCCTCTTTCGAAATCAGACAAACACGTCAGCATCTTCTTATTATTTTTTAAAAGGATAATAATAATACTCTATATATTTTGATTTAAAAATGGAAAATATCCATTCGCCAAAACCCAACAACCCACTCTCTGTCCATCCCCCTCTACTTAAACAAAGTCCTGACTCCTGAGGATAAAAGGATAAAGTGAGCTCTCTCTCTCTCTCTATATATATATCTATATATAGCCCTGTAGATTTTAGGTACTGTTCCGATCGTCGGTGTATCGATTTTTCAGGCTTTCTGCTTCATTTGAATCACACTGAAACGCCGGTTGGTTTTTTCTTCTGTACTTAGTACGTACTTGCAGATTTGTGAAAAAAGACATAGTTGGAATTTGGAAGCTATACGTACATGGGAACCTCAACCTTGAATCCCAACGCTCCGATGTTCGTCCCGCTGGCTTATCGGGCGGTGGAGGACTTCTCCGATCAGTGGTGGGACCTCGTTAAATCATCTCCCTGGTTTCGCGAATTCTGGATTCAAGAATACTGTTCAGATTCCGCGGATTCCCTGATTGAACCGGTCATGTACGACGACCTCGATGGCTTCCCGGACTTCCCTGATGACGACGTCTTCTCAAGCAACTTTTCCCCCGAGAACCCCAAGAAAGGTAAATTATTACTCTGTTAAACCAACTATTGCACAAGTTTTACACGAACTTACAGTTTTTCCTGTACTGATTTCTGTTTTATTGTCCCTCTGTTTTGGTCAGTGGAACAGGGTAAGATGGATTTGATTTCACTGGGATCGTTGAAATGGAAGAAACCTCGCGGGCCGGCGGAGATGGGTAAACACTGGGATAAGGCTCCAAAGATTGTGAATGTGAGGGTGAGCCCCAGGCCCATCAAGCAGCCTCGTTAGATTTGTTTTGATCCTCATAAGTCAGACCGTCTGAAGGAAGTATTATTAATGTTTAGTGTTTTACTGGATGTTGTTTATGTTCCTAAGTTTCTAGGATCATTGTACAGCGGGATTAATTAAGTGTTTTTTTTTTCCAACGCCTCTGAGTTAACATTTTCTGCAGTTTTCATGTATGTCTTGACGAAACTCAAGAAATAAAAGTAGTCTTTGAACAGAATTGAGCGTCTTCTTTTCCGATTGCTATACGTTTGAGACGAAATGGAAAAATAATTGTTATAGATGGTAGTATCATTATTCTATCAGAAAGTATATGAATGAAAAAAGAAGATTATAAGATCCAACTCTGGTGTCTCTAGTAGTCGTCTCGGACAGGAGGTTCTTGACCCCAGGTGATGGCTTGCTTGCCAATTTTATGAAGAACCCTGATCACTTCTTCATTTGTCACGTTCCCTGTTACCGTGACCTTGTTTAGCCTTGTATCAATGTCATACGTTTCGATATCTGCCATATCCCCAATTGCAAAGCAACATCAGATGAGACTCTTTTCAATATAGATTACATTTCCACAACTTAGATGGAATTGAAAATAAGGAAAGCGAATGTGAAATTGTACCTTCAATCTTCTTGATGGCCTTCAAGATTTTCTTAATGCATTCATCACAGTGCAACCCAACCTTCAACTCTACAACCTGTGACAGAAAAAAAGAAAGAACAATGGCATCTTAGTGGTGGAAACCGGAAAGAAAGAAGAAGAAAGAAAACATATCATTACCAGCCAAGAAAAACTTTTTAAGAGCTTAGAAGTAATACTTACATTAGCCATCAGATCAATGAAAAGGTTTGTCGTTAAGCAAATTTAATTTCTATTCAAGCACCGATTTCAGAAGCTGAAAGATCAGATTGGAACTATCGGTAGTAGTGGAATGAGGAAAGGAAATGAACTTTGGGATTGAGGATGAAAATGGAAGAACTGTGATGAGCAATTTAAAACAACCCTTTAAAGCGAGTGGGGGAGTATATGATTCTTATCTCCACTACTTGGAATACCAAAAAAGCTACTTTAAAGCTCTTTTTTGACCTTTTAACGTACACCTACAATATTTCTCCATGCCCAAGGGCGGCCAAAATTGACATTTCTGTTCAGTTTTAAAGGGACAAATACAAGGAAGGTGGCTTCTCTTTTTACACGAATGAGTACAACTCTCCACTATGGTAGTAACAAATCCAAGTGTTCATAATCAGAATCAGAATAAAACAGAACGACGCGTTAGGATCTCACAGAATTTTTAACATTGCTGTTCGACCACAAACATACATTCCCAGATGAATGTAGAAATTGGGCCAGCGGGGTCTTAAACAGCTTCATGCGGCCTAATTACGCAAACATTGTTTCTGTACTACATCTCACGCCCAATATTCCCTCCATTTTAAAATATAAGTCACTTTAAACTCTACAAGTAAACTAAAAAGACAATCATTCAACAATTAATTTATGTGTTAAATATATGTTTTATCCCTCATTACTTACATTGAAACTATAAACAAAATTAAATAAAAATAGATTGACATCATTTATTAAGGATAAAGTTAGAAAAAAAAATTCATTAATTTGCCTACAATTTGTAAAACGACTTACATTTTAAAAAATCTTTTCAAAACAGTATTTTCTAGTCATTGGGCTTATACACAATTAGTTGGACCAGACCCTGTAAAATATGTTACGATTCAATCAATACATCCTAGGTAAGATTGATCTACCCGGCTTTCTTTGGATTGTTTTTTCTCACGGGACTCCCATCATTTTCTATAAATAAATATATATATATATATATATATATATTTTCAATAAACTTTTTTATATTGAAAAAACCGCCTAAAAACACACTGAAAAGAGATTCACATCCTCAGTTCAATGCCCAAAAGGAACGCAACATTGGTGAAGAAGAAGATATACAATCCGGCGATTATTCTGTTTGACGTCTCCGGTCAATGCTTCCAAAGTATGTAGCCCTTAGCACCTTACACTTCTTTAGTGTTTGTTTGTTTCTCTTCGAAGCATTCCCCATTTCCCATGGAACCCTTTGTTTTGGTTTGCTGCTGCATTTAGGCATCTGTATCGGTTAATTGCAGATTTGAAATCTTGTTAGACCAATACGTTTTTAAGATCTGGGCTCGATTAATTTGTGGTTTTGATTGATATGTCGAATTCTGATCGATATGGTACCCAGTCTCCTAATTCAACAGCTAACCCTAAGTGTGAGAAATCAGGAACGGAAGAAATGAGTTCCATTGATAGGATCAGCAACCTACCAGATTCAATTTTGCTGCATATTCTCTCATTTCTTCCAACAAAAGCTGTTGCAGCAACTGGGGTCTTGTCAAAAAGATGGAAACTTCTCTGGACTAGTTTCCCCTGCTTTGATTTTGATGACAGTGACTACAAAGCGGGCTTTATTTCAGCTGTTAATACGATCATGCTTCAACATTATTCTGGATCCATCCAGAAGTTTCGGATCAAATGTAAAACTTTTTACTGCGTTGATGTTGAACCATGGATTAAAAAGGCAATTCTCCGAAATGTTCAAGAGCTAGATCTCCATTTCGATTCAGTGACGATGATGTTTAAGTTGCCTCGAAACACTTTCACCAGTAAAACACTCGTGGTTCTCAAGTTGCGTTCTGAAGGGGTGACCATCACTGTTCCCTGGGCAGCCTACATGCCGAATTTGAAAATACTTGAACTTGATTCGGTGCGATATCAGGATGATGAATCACTGAGTGACCTGATTTCTTGTTGTTTGGTGCTTGAAAGTTTGACTATTCTGAGATCCTGGAATGATAACGTGGGGAAGCTGCGTATACATTCTTCAACATTGAAGTCTCTCAAAGTACACCCGGGCGGTGAATATTATGAAGATGAAAGAAACAGAGTGATTAGAGACGAAGTTGCTCTAGATATAAACTCCCCTGTCCTCCAATACCTTGATATCAAAGATTGTTTCTCTGGTTCTTTGTTGATTTCAAATATTGGCTCCTTGAATAATGCAAACCTTGAGGTGCACAATTTTCTTTCTTGTCAGTCCCTCATCAAGTGTTTTGAAGCATTCCAAAATGTCAAGTTCCTCTCTTTAGCTGGTGGTGTTTCACAAGAAATCCTCAACTTGGAATCCGGACTTCCATCTTTGACTTTTTTGAATTTAACCCATTTAACTATGGGGTTTAGATGCGGATGGCGGCCCATGCTTCCTTACTTTCTTCAGTGGTTCGAGAATTTGGAAGTTCTGAAACTAACAGATGACAAGTATTATAGCGTCATTGATGAAAATCATTTGTGGAATGATCCGGCAATTGTACCAAGATGTTTGATCTCGTGCCTTCGAATCATCTCGATTGTGGTTTCCGGGGAATCAGATTGTGAACTTGGTATGTTAAAGTATATGCTGAAGCATGGAAATGTATTACAGGCAGTTGAGATACATGGTGCAGATTGGTCGCATGGCCAGCAGAAATGCTGCATCCATGGTATAGGTGAGGAAGCATGTGTACTTGAGGGGAACTTTTTAAGGTCTGAGAGATATAACCGTAAACTTCAAACCAGATTGAACCTTGCGGATGTAAGGACTGAGGATCATGGAAGGGTGAGTATTTGCTGAGTGCACATTTTTGTTTAAGCCATACGCAATTTTTATTTTTTTTTTCCTCATGTGGCTATTCCTGCAAACGCGTTGGCCCTAAATCAGAGTCTTTTATATAGCACAAGTTACTGCCAGTCTGCTACTTTGTTTGTCTCTTCTAGCTCACTACACTTTAAGTTAGCAAGTAGCAAAGTTTCAAAGTTAAGATTATACTAACATTTTAACGAGTCTTATGCTCTAATTAGAAGGAAAAAAAAAGGTGAAGCTCGCATTGACTTGGAGTTGGAAGTTTTGTACTCCAATTTGTACGTAGTTTCATTGTCTTCCTACAGAGAAACTGATGTTTGATAAAATGAAATCGGAGTTCTCAAAAACTAGTCCAGTACTGAAACTCGTGAGGAACCGACAAAATGTGCAGACCCGGGGGGGGGGGGGGTGGGGCTGAGTAACAAAATTCTGCTACTTTCATTCCCTCTAGGTTTAATAACAGGAATCTCCAGAGACGATTGCTCGTTGAATCCAGCGTAGAACGTTGAATCTTAGAACTCCCCTTCTGAATCTTCTGAAAGGTTTGAAGTTATTGGGCTTTTATTCAACCTGTGTCAGGCCTATAAAAAACCATGTCCCTTCTAAATCCCAAAAACAGAGCACGGACACAGAACATTACTATACGGCCCCTAGGGGTCCGTCCCTTATAAGTAGCTTTAACTTTTTAACTTTTAACACAGGGAGTTAAGCCGAGTTGCAGCAGTTTTGAGGTCTCCTATCAATGCTTCAGAAGAGAGTATAAGCCTTCCGTTTCTACGGTATTAATTCCGTTTTTTCTCTGCGAACAATTCCCCATGGTTTTGGTTTTACTGCTGCCGTTAGGTAGTATTGTTTTGGGTTAATTACAAATACTGAAAATCTTGCTGCTAAAGGTTGGTTAAGGAGGATTGAATTTTCTGGAATTGATTGATATGTCGATTACCCGGCAAAATAGTACTAAATCCTCCAAAGGAAACCTGGATTCAACTCCTGACCCTAAGCCCCTGCAGAAATCAGGTAAGCGCCAGAAAACAACAGAGAACCAGGAGGAGGGGGTGATCAGTTGTGTTGATAGGATCAGCGGTTTCCCAGATTCAGTTTTGCTGCATATTCTATCGTTCCTTCCCACTCAGAATGTGGTGAGAAGTATGGTTTTATCAAAGAGATGGGAACCTCTATGGACTAGTGTCCCCTGCCTTAATTTTGACCAGTCGAGTTACCAACCACCAAAACGACGACACAAAGTAGTGAACTTCATGACGTTTGTTAACAGGGTCATGCTTGAACACGATTCCGGATCCGTTCGGAAGTTTGGAAAGCACTACCCATTCGCATATTTCAAAGCACTATTCCTATGCTTATTTAGGTTGAGGAACTCGCTTCCAAGGAGGACAGGCTGCAGCCTACCCAACCTGAAAACACTTGAACTTGATTCCGTGAAATTTCAGGACAACAACACATGATCTCTTGTTGTTTGGTGCTTGAAACTTTGGTCATTGTCCAATCCTCTTCTTATTCCCCAAAGTTGACCATACATTCCCCAACATTGAAGTCTCTCAGATTGTTCCAATTACAAATGCTTTTCAATTCTACCGACCGTTATGATACTAGTGACGACGACTGTAGTAGTGAGGATGAAACTAGCAGTGACGACAGTGAGAGCGAAACTGGGAGGACGAGTAGTAGTGCTGTACATGAAGCTGGTCTTCTAGACATAAACGCCCCTGTCCTCCAACACCTTGACATCAAAGATTGTTTCTCTACTTCTCTATTGATTACTAATGTTGGCTCCTTGAATCAGGCAAAACTCGATTTGCACAACATCGTTTCGTGTCAGTCCGTCATCAAGTGTTTTGAAGCATTCCACAACATCAAGTTTCTTTCTTTACATGGTGTTCTTCCAACAAATACAGGGATCGCACTCAACGTGGATGAAGCTGGATTTCTATCATCATTGATGACGTTTAGGAATCTAACCCACTTAACTATTGGGGGCCAGATGCGTGTGGCGTCAAATGCTTCCTTTCTTTCTTCAATCTTGTGAAAAGTTACAAGTTTTGGAATTGACAAAAGATGCCAACGATGATATTGCAGCTTACAGTTACACCACCAATGCTGAGAATTATTTATGGAAAGATCCGGCCATTGTACCCAAATGTTTGACCTCAAGCCTCCGGATCGTTTCGATTGCAGATTCAGGGGATCAAAAAGTGAGCTTGGTATGTTAAAGTATATCATGAAGCATGGAAATCGACTGAGGAAGGTCGACCTACATCCTGTGGGTAATAAACCCAAGTGCCAACTCCGAACCCAGCGCAACATATCTCTGAAGATCGTGAATTTCAAGAAAGGGTCGAGTAGATGCAAAATTGGATTATTTGAGATCATAACTTTTGGAGAAAACTTTGAGTGATGGTTGTTCTGAAATCTACATTTCTATCAGCCTCATTCCTCCGCAAGTTTTTAATTTATATAGCTTCTGTCTCTTTTGTTGTGCTTAATTTTATTGAGGACTTTTCAAAAAAAATTTGTTATTGAGGATGCTAAATCAAATATGTTACATGCATTTCTTGCTTATTTAGTAGCACTTCCAAGCTAAAAATGACAACGTTGCGATTTGGTTATAATGTCATCTAAGATGGTAAAGGTCGGTGGTAAATACCTCTTCTAGCTAGTACTCCCTCCGGTCCTTAATATAAGGCATTTTGATTTGTTGTAGGTTTTACCGAATACGTATTTTTAATTGACGAAAAAACTTTAAAAATGTATTTTTACATTCGTTGTGTTCTCTTGATTGTTGTGTAATGTTTTTAAGATTTTTTTTCAATTAGAAATGCGTACTAGATGAAACCTAGAACAAATCAAAATGTCTTATATTAAGGACCGGATGGAGTATTATTTATAATATTTCATACATATTGTATTAGTTACAGATTTTAATTTAAATTTTGATGGTTTTGTAAGTTGGAGTGGAAGTAGTATTTTTTTTTCCCCTTTGTAGTCATCTATAAGATATATAAGGGCAGATGCGATCATGGGACGGTGGGACTCCACATATTTGTTTAAAGGCTTATACTGCTTGTTTTCATGTGGTTCTTCCTGCAAATTGTTCGGCCTACCATCTCATTCCTCCTTTGCGCCATAGAATTCCTTTAAAAATTCTAGAATATCACTCTAAAGATAGCAGCTATAATGCTATGATAAATGGAGAAGATTGACACATTTCAACTTATAACACATTAAAAAAAAATAATACCACCCTCGCAATTACACCAAAGCGTGATATAAAGAAATTTCGCAACTAAAAAGTAAACAGTTTTGAATGAAACCATTTTTTTTTTTTAAGAAAATAATTTGTACGATGGTTATCAGGAAGGTTTTTTCAATGTGTATTTTCTTTCTTCTTGAAAATGTAAAAAGTATTAGGAATACACTCCTCCGTCCCAGAAAAATAGTTCAGTTTGAAAATGTACAATTTTTTTTAATTTGGTCAACACATCAAATGTAAAACTCATTTTATTTCCCTAACTTCCAGTAATGCCCCTTCTAGTTATTTCTATAAAAATTAACTACATATACATTTATTTTACAACTTAAATTTGATCAAAATTTTTATCTCAAAAAATATTAAAAATGGATCTTGATGGAAAGCTGTCGTTACATAAATTAATTTAATATATAACATATTTTTTAATTATTCATATATTAAAAGATATAATCATTTTAAAAAATGAGAAAAAACTAAAAAAATTAAAATCAAACCACTACTCTTTTGGATATTTAAATATTTCAATTCAATTAATTTTGATTTTTGTAAAACTGAACTATTTTTATAGGAATAAACTATTTTATTAAACTGGACTATTTTTTGTGGAGGCACGGAGCAGTAAAAAGTTTGGATGGTATGGAGAGAAAATGGTGAAAAAAAAGATCCAATCAGTGACTTCAGATTGCATGAACCTTTTGCTTTTGTGAACCGAATAGGGCGTTGACTCAAATGTTTCTCTCACCTCCCCAGCTGGATCAGAGTTTTCTCACCCCGCGGAAGAAAAAGACATCCCATGTAGCCAATGGAAGCATGCCACGTGCTGCTTCCTTCTCCTGGATTTCTTCCTGATTCAAACTTGTCCTACAAATAAAGACACTGCAACGGGCAATAGGTAAGAGAATCCTTACCATAAACATAATAATTAAGGCAAATATCTTTAGACTAAATCCCCGCCCTTATCTTCTTTCTCTTGTTTTCCCAGATCAAACGCCTGTTGTTGTTACTGAATTCCAAAAATGGGAAACGCTCTGAGAATAATCTGTGGGGTTTGTTGTAAGCCCACATCAGAATCTGATTCTCTGGGTCACCATGGTGTCACAGCTCAAACCGTTGGTGTTTCAGCTCTTGCTCATGATCTTTATAGCTATGAAATCAATTCCCAGGTGACATATCTTCTTTCTCAAATTCCTGCCGTATGATTCATTTCCAATTCTTAAAGTTTCTACCTTGATCCTTTTTAGCAACATTTTTTATTTATTTTTATTGTATTGCTCTGTTTCACGAACTAGATCAGTCGATGATATCAATCAAGATCTTGCTATATCAGTTCATCTACGTAGGCCTCCAAGCAGAGATATATATATATATATATATAATTATTGGTTTAACTAAATTTGCTTTTCTTTTCTTTTCTGGGTTTTAAGGTTCCTGAAGGACTTAGTAAGCATGTTGTGTCATCAAAGAAGGCTCAAGCCAATTGGTAACCTTCTTCATCTATGAATGTCTTTTTTTCTTTTAGGCTCAGTAATCAAGTGTTTATTATTATACAGTAGAAATGAGTAATGGATTTGAGTTGTTAAAAATGAAAGGTATAAAAAGCTTTCGGATGCATGGAGAGAAGCAAAACCTCCACCACGAACGCCTGAAGAAGCCTCCCGACTTATAATTCAGACCTTGAAGCGACATCAGAAGGCTGATGTTGAGGTGAAAAGATTAATTTTCGTCTCTTGGACTCAAATGCATGTAGAATTTAGAATCTGTGTCAACAAAATTCTACATTTGAACTTCAGGGATTGCTGGTGTTTTACGGTTTACCTTTGCCACATGCTCTGGTCGAGCTAACTCATGAAGCTCCTCCTTCCACTCATTTGGAAGGAGCTCCACCTTCGGCACATTTGCAAGGGCTCAAATTTGAGTTGCAAACACTTCCAGTGAGTGAGATACATTATCTTCTACTTACCTAGTCTGTGCTTATTATAACTTACTGTATTCTGTTATAATCAATAGGTAGATGCAAAGGCGGTAGCTGATGGAGATACCATCACCGTATATGTTAGTACCATGACCCCCAGGGAGTCATCCCAGGTTCCCAAGGATGTACAAGTTGCTGCCGTTCAAAGATCAAAAGCTAGGGCAGTAAAAAATTATGCTAAAGCAGATGCGCTGCATAAACAAATCATTGATGCAGGATACAGGTTAGCAGTTAACACTAATATTTCGCAAATCCCATCATAGATTCTGTCCCTGTAATCGTTATTATGCCCTTTGGTATCCTAGTTGTCAAACTAACCATATTGTTTTTTTGTTGCAGGGTACTTCTGATTCAAAACGAAGAAGTTCTGGCTAAGAAGTATCGAATTCGATTAAGGTAAGCCAGTCTGCTTGAAATATATTTATTTTCTCTTCTTTCCTATTGGGTTAATAGAATCTTGATTAAGTATACTGTACATAGCTGATGATGACACTAGATAATACATTAATAGGGGAATAGATGCACCGGAGAGTAAAATGCCATATGGTAAAGAGGCAAAGGAAGAGCTTCTGAAGTTAGTGCAAGGGAAATCCTTGAGGGTTCTTGTATTCGATCAAGATCGTTATGGCCGATGTGTTGGGGATGTATACTGCAACGGCATATTTGTTCAGGTAACAAACTTTCAGATCAGACCACTTTGTTCATAAGGGCCACTGTATTGACTTTTCTGATTTTCTGGCTCATAATTCATTAGGAAGCGATGCTTAAGAAAGGTTTAGCATGGCACTACACAGCATATGACAAACGCCCAGAACTAGATAAGGTAAGTAAATTCTTCCCTTCATTTGCGTTCAGTTTCTGCTGTATCTGTTTTCTTAACTATGTTTGGTTGGCGTCATTAGTGGGAGAAAGATGCAAGAGCAAAGCGTGTTGGTTTATGGGCTTCCAAAAATCCTGAGATGCCGTGGGAGTGGAGGAAAGACAGACGTGAAGAAAGATAACCAGATCAAGGAAAGAAAAATTTTCAGAAAGACATCTGGGCCTTGAAAGATGGCTCAACACAGCAATGACTCTTATTATTGACTAGTGCAGTGGACAAAAGGCAGAGACTTTACGTGGTTGTTGATACTTGATAGCAACAAGCTCAATTACCTTGGAAGCCATGCATTACTCAACTCCCTTGGAAGTAGGAGATTGGTGGTCATGCAGAGTTGCAGACCATCCCGCAATCCTCGACGCTATATGTTTATTGCCTGTAAATGTACAAAAGAAAGTTACACAGAACTGTAAGATGCCGTTCTCAGACAGCCCGTTCTAATTTTTTTTTAGAGAAACTGAGAGCATAATGAAAATTGTATCAGTAATTCAGTATTATTGTTGGAGGTTGTCTGCTAGTCACCACTTTACAGTCGTAAATAATGAGAGTTCTAACTTCTAACCTAAATGATGAAAAACTGGGGTCGCAACTTGGTGTCACCTTAATGAAAACAACTAGAGAAATAACAAATAAATTACCATCTATTACTTAATTTGTGGAAATTACATCATCTATCCGTGAAACTAAAACAAACCAATGGAATTTCTCCAGTGATTTTTCAGCAATTTGTTTCCAGAAAGAGTAAATATTGACCAATTTGAAAAACTAAAAAGGGCCACACACGTGCAAGGGTTGGCAGCTCAGACTTGAGGCAAACCCTGTGTAATCGATGCTCGCACAGTCACACTGCAAAATATCAACACTGCAATAGAGAAACAAAAAAAGATTAACAAAACCGATTAAGTCATCAAGCAAGGGAACGGAGCTCACTACCAACAAAGTAAAATTCAGTGATGAAATCATTTTTTTTTTTTGGTAAAGTAACAGTTGATGACATTGTTTCTTTGGCTCCATTGAAATCAAGGAATCACCCCATAAATACCAAACTCAGATTGCCAAAAGGCCTAATCATAATATATTCCACAGGTAGCATAATTAAGAAATTAGTAAATGCGTCAGAAAGTGTGCAACTCTCTAAATCTCCTACCACCCCCGACTTGCATTCTCACTCTTCACCTATCATTGCTTTTTTATCCTTCAAATTAGGCCCAAATTATACAAATTTTAACTATGCACAAGCAATGAAGCAACCTAATTCAAAGAGCATATATATTAAGCATTAAACTAGATATGGATTGACATATATAAGGTATATACGTCTAAATTATATTCGTTCATGTTACATCATAAATCCAGCCAGAGTAAATGAACTTCAAAATATTCAGAAATGATGTAAATGAAAAATGCGCCAACTAATTGGCCAGCTAGGATGCTAACTATGACTTGACAGATTCATAATCCAAAAACTAAGAATCACGAAAGCCATGAAATCCAGTTCTACAACCATCACAGGACACGAAAAATTTTGAATTGTAGAACTATTACGTATGGTAGCTTAACAATATACTTCCCATTATGTCATCCTCGCTGAACGTAACACACCAGCTGACCATCATCAAGCACAATAATACCATCCCATACTAAGCACAATATATATCCTATGACAAGTACAACAATACGGATAGCCTTCTAAACATTGCAAAGAACTAATACTTATCATTTGCCAAGCTACTAAAAGGGTAGAACCAAAAAAACATCATAACTACACCAGCACCAAGATTAACCAAATGAATGAATAAACTCTCAACATGCATATAAGTATTAAAAAGGAGTTTAAAAGAACCACAGTGAAGTAACAGACAAACCAAACAGCAGAAATGTCATTTGCCACGAAAAGTTCATAAAAAAAATTTATCAGTTAAATGATAAGAATGAAGAATTCAACTCACGAATCTATTTCTATAAAAGCCACAATATACAGCTCTCAACTTATTTAGCCGCGGGCTTCGTGTCATCAGAATCTGAGTCGCTTGCATTATACCCTAAAAAAAGGGATGGAACAAGACTTTCTCAATTCTACAACCAAAACAACCAGAAGAAGGCAGTTAGCTAGTGCTCATAAATAGAGCTATAACTTACCTGGACGTTTATCACTGACTTTCCATACTGAAGACCGCGTTCTCGAAGCTTTGTTCATCCAAGCTCTTCCCTGCATCCAATAACATATCAGCCTAAAAACCAGTAATAAGCAATCATCGAACATTATTACTTATCAAAGTATGCACTCAATGCAGGTTTAACATTTTGCATGCCTGAGAAACAACAAGGTGCTACTACATTTTTTTCCTATAAGACTGAACAATGTATAGATAAAGGTCGAATCTTGTAATCATCTCTTTCCCCCTTTATCCCCATTTAATAGTGGGAAAAGTAGCTTTTTTTTCCCTCACTTTATTCATTTTCAAAATCCTAAACTTGTGGTCACACACTCAAATGATAATCAAAACTGTTGAAAATTTCAAAGCTCTATAAATGCTAAATGGGATTGCGATATTTCAGCATATACAACTGAATTGAAACAAGAGAAATCACCTTTTGGTCATCTTTAGGAATTCCGTAACCACTGTGATACATCTGACTCACGAGCACCTGCATGGAAGTATCACCAGCCTTGGCCTCTTTAAGGGTGTCCTGAAACCACCGCTTGACACAGTCAGCCACCACTTCCGCCAGTGGCAACCGCTGTCCCTGCTCCGACGTCTTGGGCTTCGAATTAATGGCCTCCATGTTCTTATACTCGGCTCGGAGCTGCGGCCACTGCTGTGGTGATCCGACCCGGGTGGCGGGCTGGGACTGGGAGGAGGAAGGAGGCTTGGTGGGTCGGGTTTTGGAAACAGCGGGTTTAATCTGGCAGTCGGAGCGGCGTTGGATTCTATTAGAGGTAATAACCCGGGAGAATTGTTGGAGGGCTCTGGCCGGAGATTGTACAGATTTTCCCATAAAAATGAAAAAGGGAAAAAAAGTCAATGAACCAAATCGGGAAGACAAGACTCAGACGGAGGAAAGTCCTATCCTATGTGTAATGGGGTTTTTGGTACTAATGCGGGCCGGAAAGCAACTTTTGACAGCAAATGGATTTTCTTTTCTACTTTTTTATTTTTTTAAAAAACTACTAAATGAAATTCGTTTTGTTTCTAGATGAGGATTGGATTTCTCCATATATATTACAAAAAGAAGAAGCAACCTGTAAGACCAGGACAATTTTCCATTTTTCTTTTATTGTATTCTCTTTCATGTAATTCTTGAGATATAATTTTCAGGAAAAAAAAATTCTGAGATATAACATTCTACAATAAATTTCTACTAATTTTCTAGTGTATCTGGATAAAAAAGAATGACAAAGTGTGGAGGAGTCAAGCTGTCGATCTAGTTAATTTCTGGAGATTGATTCAACAGGATTTACAACATAAGGTAATATTGGTAAAGTAAGGATCATTAGCATCAACCTCACAGACTAACATCCCAGAAAACAGGGTTCAAGAGATTTGAACAATAATGATGCAGATCAAATCGCGGGAGTCTGGAAAGTCAGTACACACACAGGAATACTGATGCAGATCAAATCTATTTCTCTAAATTTTCTGTCGTCGTTTCAAGTAGAGGCAAATGACTTACCTCAAAACAGTGCAGGATGCCTCAAGCCTGGGGATAGACAAGGTAAAGGTCTATATAGATTGTGAAACATTGACCTGCGATCAAGAACGTCCTTTGTTTCATGCTGAGGCACAGGAGTTGATTGCTAATCTATGTAGGTTGATTTCTAGTTTTTAAAATTGCTGCCTGATTAAAGTCAGCAGGGCTGAAGTACGTGATTTACACAATTTAACTTATAAAAAAATGAGATGTAATAGTATAGGTAGTTTATATTAATACAGGTATCATTTTAAAAAAAAATCATACCAGCTTGAATTCATGTGCTTCATATTGAAGCTGAATCTTAAGGGTTCGATCCTTTGATTTTTGTTAACAATGTTCATTTAAAAACTGCCCGAATGACTACAAGTCATTGCCTGATTAAATCTGCTATTTTACATTGAAAATATATACTAGTAATTTATTATTCGGAAAACAAGGTTAAAACTTAATACTGTAATGATAAAGTTAGTGAAGTGTCGTTGAATGTTGAAGACTTTTAAAACAGGAAGGAGAATTGCTTCCTCATAGTACATACTGCAACAGCAATCCATTCCAATGCTGGGCTGCGAAGTTGGCCCAGATGTCGCCTATGAACTACTAAGAACTCGTGAAATTTCATAGGGCCCGCCCACAAAGACTAGGAAAGCTTTCCCATGATGAGCGGAAAGGCAAAATTATGCAGTACAAAAATTTCTAAATCTTACTTTTTCAAAGTTTACAATGATGATAATAGATAAAGATTGTATTTATTTGCTAAAAAATAACTCAGTAACTTATACTATATGATCTGTATACGAATAATTTTACCATAAAACATTGATTTTGTACAACGGATTTTTGTGTCTTTTCAAACGTGAAATTCTACTAATAATAAACAATGTTGCGAATGAGGTGTTGGTTCAATAGTAAAACTACCCTTGCTCTCAAGAGGAGGCCATGAGTCTAAACCTCCACTCAAATAAAAGTTAGGGGATGGGTCAATTGGCACCTCTAGAGGGCTTGTTATGGTAAATTCACTCACGAATTTCCGATTTTGTACCGAACTTGTCACCCGAACTTGTCTAGGATGGTTTACCTCCCACTGTAGTTTGTAGGCTATTGCAGTGGGTATGAGTTTACTCATCTTTGGTGAGGTTACCGGCATTACCTAAAACAATAAACAATGTCAGATAAGATAATAGCTTCATAAATACTATCCAATCTAACCAAATTTAGAAAAAAAAAAAAATCCCTCTCTTCCTCTTCCGTTCATCAACTGAACTGTTACGTTGTCCTTGGAAACGAAATTTTGTTTATTGGACCAAAATGATTGCTCAATTCAATTTAAGCATTAACAAAATTTGCACTTGATACAAGTTTTAGTTATGCATTCCCATACGTAAGAACCGATTATCGTAAGCTAAGATTATAACGTGCAACATTTTGGTAATGTACAAATTCTAGCTATACATAGGGAGAGCGACCCAAGTAAGATGGTTACATTAGAGACAAAAACAACCTGGTTTCCATAGCTTTGCCTACTAGGAAAAGAGTGATATATCTATCTTTTAGCAGCTGGCATGAAATGCAATTCCATCCCATCAAACAAAGGACGTAACTGCATAGAAATTGACACATTTTATCACATAGTATTATTATGTTATTTGGCGTTACACGAATACGTAAACATCTGGGGTTACAGTTCTTACAGGGGAGGCTCCCTCTTCTTTTCCTTTTTCCCTATTATAAAGCCAGGGGAAAGGGGGTTGATTGAAAAGTTAGAAATAATTGAACTCGTCATCTCTGCGATATAATCACATATTGTACGCATAACCTCATATGTTTACTCTGTTTACGTTCTAACAAATATTATTGCGTTTAAGATGACTGAAACTGATGCAACACAATGAAGATATATAAATAGAAGGCACGATGAATTCAATGTACAAGAGTTTAGAAATGATTACTCGATTTAAATTTTTGTTTCTAGTACAAATCGTACTAAAAAATAAAATATCTAAACAAGCCAATTATTTTGAAACAAAGGGGATATATGACTAGTTAGATTTTTATTTCATTTCCTCGACGATGATATTTGTCCTCAAAAGAAAAAAAGAGAAACAATTGTGCTATCTACGTTTCTGTCTCACTCTGGAAATTAATATCTGTCTAAAATGTCCACTCAAGAGATGTATGCCATCATGATAAGATTGATCATCTTTCCTATTCTTGTCAGCTGTTGTGAAACTAATTTAAAGCTAAATAAATACTTCCTCCGTCCCAAAATTATTACTCCCTCCGTCCCATAATTATTGTCCACTTTGCCCAAAAAATTTTGTCCCAAAATTATTGTCCAATTTGACTTTTTATAGATCAAGTTACACATTTGTCCTTGATAAAAAATATTATCCATAAAATCTTAGTGGTTAAACAATTACTTATGTAGGGGTATATCCGGTTGTTTAAGATAAAATATAGTTAAGTTTGACCAAAAATAAAATTTTTCATTTTAGTAAAAGTGGACAATAATTATGGGACGGAGAGAGTATCTAGTAACTGGACAATAATTTTGGGATGGACGGAATAAATAAATCGTATGTTCATGTTCGCGCGATCGTTCCAATTACGAGTTAGAATCTTTATTTTGGTACAGTAAGAGTTAAAATCCATTAAATAAAGCCTGCCTCAGATGAGGAAAGCTTTTGCTTATTGTTTGCGTTGAATTGTTCTTTCTAACTTCTAAACGCTACATCATTATTTCCCTCGATGTGAAAGTAATTTCTTCTCCCATTGACTATTTCTATTCCAAAATAATCTCAACATAAATCATCATTTTGTTTACTAAACATAAAACAATAAATTGGACTTGATTCAGTCAAACGCTTGACAATTTGTAAATATTCCAAAGACCTGCAGCAATCTTTCACCTCCAAAAACATTGGCACGAATGATATTACAAACGTTAGTAATCAAAACGAAAATTATTACTCCCTCCGTCCCATAATTATTATCCAGTTTGGGTTTTCATTTTTAGTTCAAATTGTACTAAAAGTGAAATCTCAAATTGGACAATAATTTTGGGACAGAGAGAGTATTATTATTTTACATTTCCCGTAGTTGATATAATCCTCTCGAATTGTAGTATGCTCTTCTTGTCAAGTTGGACGAGTAAACAATGAAAAGATTCAACAAATAAGGGCTATGAGTTCCCTTTAATTATAACTAAAGTAATGATCCGACAAATAATGACAAATTAATTTCTTTATTCGAAATTATAGTAGTAATAATACTAATAATTCCATAAATTGTCAGGTAACCATGTAGTACTGCCGATCCAAAAGTACAAAGCTATTGTTATCAATGACGCACACGAACTAGAAGGACTAGTTGGACCTTCCTCATATAACTTCGGATCAGAGATTGAATCTGGGACATGGCATCGTTCTTTGTTTTGTGTTTAATTTATTAATGAAATGGGGGCCATTGCCAGAGATATAGATGCCTCTTAATTATTTCAGTTCAGTTCAGTTCGACCTTCCTCACGTAAAACTACTGACTGAGCCCCTTCCAACATATCCATCTGTTGGGGGTCAATTTTGACCCACTTTGACCGGTCCAACTCTCCATCCTACTTGGGCCTATCTTATTAGTTCAAATAGCCCATTTATTCCTTTCTAAAGGCCCAGCCGGGTTATGAGGAATCAAGCCTTGTCTATTTACGCTTTTGCCTCTCCCAATACAAGGGCCCACAGGTATTGTCTCATTGGGACTTACAAATATTCCTTGTTCATTTATAGCGAATTCAATTCCACACTATTGTTTCTCTTTTTAAGTGTGATAAAATTGTCTGTTTCTCTCTCTAGAACTGATTTAATTTTCGGAGTGCTAACTTCCGTCTTGCAGGTTCCTCTGCAGGTCGGACCGTTGACTCTCCACCCCCAGGATTTACCCTCGACACCATCCTAATTCCTACGTCCGACTGCGTCATAAGTTTTATACGGATTGGTTTCTGTTGTCGTGATTTGGTATTACTTGTCATGTTTTAAAAAATATAAAAATTAAAAAATATTTTGTCCGTCTTCAAAAGAATAATTAACATTGAGTTTTAAAATTTCCTAAATCGTATGAATGATGAATGATGAATTGCTAAATCGTATGAATGATGAATTCATGGATACTCTCCCATGAGATAACATTTCAACATTAATTGACATGGTGTGATTTTATAATATGTTTTGAATTTACTTCCTCACAACATAACAACAGTGATATGTTTAGGACTACTATTTGTTATTGATTAATCTCGCGATACCTTTATTATGAAC